ACGTTTATTTATTTTTATTAGTTTGATATAATATAAACAGTAAGTTCATAAGTCATATATAATGACCCATAATACAAATACAGCTTAATTTATAAACAATATGCTAATAAAGTTAATGTTAATGATGCTTTATAATACGGGCTTATTTACCTAGGTTAATTAAATAGAAAGAAGTATTTAAAATAAAGCTACTTGCTACAATTATTTCCAGCTTTTATCGCAACATAGCCTTTAATTTTAACGACCTACACCTCGTTTTTTTAATGTTATAAAATTAACTAGCTAGTACATATTAGCTTAAAGTATAAAACGGCCACTGCTTTAACCAGCTTCAAATCTGTTATACTTTTACTTACATTTATATAAACGACGTTAAAAGCTATATTTACATGTTACAAAGCCTATTTACGTTACTTTAAAGTGGTGAAAAGGCGTTTTTGTTAATAGCCGCGCGCATAAGTGGCCTTTATAAAACACCCTTTATAACTTGAAAAGCTAAAAAGCTTAACCTAGTTTTATTGATCGTAACTTTAAGAGATTAAAATAGCTGATGTGTTGGATCCATGCGATTCCAGCGTGCAAACCATCTATACCAGGACCCACATGCATGATTAGATAAGAGATTAGATACCGGGTTGCAAGGTCACTTAACCAGACCTTCAGGTCCAGCTAGACCTCCCAATCCAACCCATCAGCAACATCATGACTTTGACCCATACTCGAGTATTATGATTGATCGCACAAGCCTGTTCCAACATAAAGTGCGCTTATAGGTATAAAGGGGAAAACCTATCAGTTATAATATCTTTAACTTTAAATTTTTTTTTTCAATAACGATAGTTTTAGCTTTTTAAACTAGTAAGCTGCTGATATAACGGCTCGTAACAAAACAACCAGTGATTCTGTTTTTAACGTTTAACGCAAGGATACTATTTTTCAAATTAATAAAATAAATATTATCTTTATTTAAAATGCTATTAAGCATATATAATAATATCTAACAATCGATCGTTTTAATAGTTTCTTTTTAAAAGATAATAAAAGCATAACTAGTTACCATATTACGAACTCTTGTCACGGCGAGCGTACTGAGGAGCTGGGACATGGCCGGCAACAAGCAGCTATTACTCTATTGACGAGAATATCAAGACTAGAGAGGAAAGGAAGAGAGAGCGAGATAGGTACAGCGGGAGGTTGCCCCTTTAAGGGGATCCTCTGGTCAGATCTTTCCCTTATTGGGAAGTATCTGCTTGTTATGTGGGAAGGTCCGTGCAGGCCGTCACAACTCTCTTACTTTTAAAAACACTGATATTGCTACTTATAAAGGAATTTTAATATATGACATTAAATATAACCTTATTAAGGGTATTATATCTTATTACTTTTAACTTGCTAATTAAATTTCAGCGTTTTAAATAGCTTAACATGCCGTTTAATTAAGATATCATATGATTTTTTCAAAGGCATTAACTTCGATCTTTTAAGCTTCAAAGTTCGCTTTTTATCTTAAAGACAAAAAGCATAAATAAAATAAAGTCGCAAAATAAAATTAGAAAGGTAATTAAAAGAAAGGTATATAAAAACAACAAAGGAATTTTTAAGCAATAACTTACGATAATTCTTAAATATACGTAGATAATTAAACGAAAACAGCTTGGATATTAAGTTAATATAAAACTAGGAAAAGAAAATATTGTACAGTGTAGGTTTGTTTGATATTAATAACGACGAGAATTTTCAAGTTAATTTTAACGATATAAGACAGTTATTATACGAGCTTAATTAAAATTAAACGATAACTAAGAGATAAATAATATAAATTATCGTATTAAAGTTATGTATAATATAAAAATAAATTACTTCTAAGGTTTTATTTTTTAAGTTATAATTTAAAAACTGAAGTATTTTCAAAATTGTTTGACATACGTTATTTTTATGACATAAGCTTTTGTATATAAAAATATTCATGGCTTAATTATATCTTATTAAAATCAATAGAGTTTTAGATACGGACTTAAAGATATACTTGTCAACTTTTATTATTATTATTATTATTATTATTATTATTATTATTATTATTATTATTATTATTATTATTATTATTATTATTATTATTATTATTATTATTATTATTATTATTATTATTATTATTATTACGTAAATAATAAGGGAGCGCAGTTACAAGCGAAAGGCAACTTTTTACCAGCGTTTCACTAACATATTAAATAACTCGATTATAACGTATTTAATTCAATCTAATTAATCGGATTCTTTTTTTAACGTTTTTACTTTTATTGTATAAGTTCGGGCATTATAGCTAGTACTGTTGCAAACGCTATAACGTTGTATATACGCTATTGCTTTTTTTGAACGACGACTAATTTCACTTATTTCCTGTCTTTCTAGCTTAGTACTATCTTTTATAGCTTAAAGACTTATTGCATCTTTAACGAAAGGTATTCTTTTTTTTATTAGACGTTTGTTTTTTATCTTGTTGCGCTTATTTAATAGGTGATTGACCTTTTTTAGCTTGCGAACCTCAGAATCAACTAAAGCGACCTTGTACATAAGACCATATATAGCCTTTAAACCCTAATTTAATACATTAATAATTAACATAAAAAAGCTTTTGTAATAGTTCTTAATTTAGTTTCTGTGGGAACACGCTTGAACGATCAATTATAATACTCGAGTATTGTGTCAAGGTCATGATGTTGCTGATGGTTGGATTGGTAAGTCTAGCTGGACCTGCAGGTCTGGCTAAGTGACCTCAGAATCAGGTTTCTAATCTCTTATCTAATTATACATGTGTGTTCTGTATGGATGGTTTGACTGTGGAATCACATGGATCCAACAGTTCTTAATATAACCTGATTAAATTATCGTTTTATTAATAATAATAAGCATTTTCTTACAGTTTAAATAATAGATAATAGATAAAGGTTTAATAACGGTATTTATACGATAGTGATAATATTTATCTTTCAAATAACATTTTTAAACTTAAAAGGAATAAAGTTAATAGTATTAAACCCTGTTTAAACGTTTTTAGCATTTTAATATTATTATATATTTTATAAAATACTATAAGAAAGTTCTTTTTGAAAATATATGTTATATAATGTGTGAGGAGCCGTCTAACCTATGAGGCTAAAGGGTTCTATAAGGTTTATGTTCTGAGGTAAGCCAACACAAAGGACGATAGAGGCTTCTGTCAACTAGAAGACACTCAGATACTGGGGCTTGGTCTGATCCAGGGGATTACTATATAGTCGAGTTGTCAAGAGATTTCTCCCACCTTAGTATTAGCCAAGATGCTTAGATTGATCACTGAGGTAGAGACTGTTTATCTATCTAGCTGGGAAATGTCCGTCCTTATATATCCCATCTCTCCTTCACTGATGGAGTAGGATCACATTGTCCAAGAGTGATGCTCATTGGCTCACTCCCTGATCCAGTGATCCGTCACGTGACCTTTGTTATATAATCCGTAATACCCATTGTTCTGTTCCTGGCTTCTGATTCCATTGGTTCTTGGTGTACTCTGCTTGACCCTCCAACAGGCCATGGTATTTGTTGGTTTGTAACATAATGCTAGATAAAATCTTTAATTGAGTAACTATAAACTCGTTTTAGCAAGTCAAAACAATTAATATTTAAAAGTCAAAGCTTATATAATAAATAAGCAGACATATAAAAGGTAATAATGCTGTTATTTTAATAATAATTGTGAGATTCTAGAAGGGTCATAAGCCTTTGGGGTGTGAGCGGTCGCTGCAAATGTTGTTGTCATTCTCAAGTATGCTCGGCAGGGCTAATCTACAGCTAAATACCATACTGCACTATACCAGCGTGGATCCACTGTTCCCTTGACAGCCCCCTAGTGGGTACTGCACCTAAGGGCACCATATCTGAGATCCAACATCTGACAATAATCTTTAAAGACTTATAAATAGTAGCTTTTATAACTATTTAAAATAATGAGGTGCTTATTAGCAATTATATGCGGTTTAATATACTTATTAAAATGTTAAATTTATTTTAAACCGATCTTATTTATAGTTTACTCGTTATTAAATACGGCTACTTTTTAATTACCTAGTAATATCGTGTTGCGATATTATAACACGAGGTAAGTGTTGAATACACGGATATTGCTTGATCTCCTTGATTGTTCTGCTCTGCGTGCAGAGATTAATCATCTATCTTCTTGCTGGGTCAGATGCCTTGTGCGTCTCTGCCCAACTGGAGATCTTCCGGTGTCTACCTCCGGCTCTCATTCAACACATTTGTGCTACTATCCAACACTTATTATCTTTTTAAACGTTATACCTAAATTTCCAGGTTTAAAAGCCTAGCTTTTGATATTAAAAAGCCTATATATAAATAGGAAAAGACTTAACAGGGTTTTTTTTTTTTTTTTTAAGAAATATTATATCGCAAAAAAGATTAACTAAATAATATGTTTAGAAAAAGATCGTTACAAAGGATTAATAGACTTCGATCAAATAAAAATTGCGGTTAAAAAGAACCCTAGCGCGTAAAGATTAAAAAGAATTTAAAAGCAAAGACAATTAATTCGCGTATTTTAAAGTTACTCTATATGATTAAAAAAGGTTATATTAATTAAAGATGAAAAATAATAATTACATACCTTATAGTATGCTAGGTATTTGTACATAAATTTTATAACTAGTATTAAATTGAAGATTTCATAATTATTAATTATTATTAATAAATAGCCCTCTTTCAAAAATCCAATTAATTATAAGCTATATATATATATACTAGCGCATATTAGCTTATTGAGTCTACAATATTAAGACCTTAATAAAATGGACGAAATCTTAAGAGCCAATGGATATATATGCGAGTGGAGCAATAAAAGTGGACCACTCGTATACTGGGTGTAATTATTTTAAGCCTTGCTGCGCGCGCGTCTTTGCCTCAAGTCCTTTCAGCCGTAGTGGTCATTACAAGGTCAGTGGTCGGGTTGATTTTCAGTCCGAGTCGATGATGAGGTGCACCGGCGTAATGACCTGCGAACAAGCCAGGGCCTCACCACCACCAGCGTGGCAGTAGACCGGGATGGGACCCTCGCCGTAACGGCCGGATCTGTATCGCACGCAGGTCAGCTTCTCATCAACATCGTCATCAAAACACAATCAACAGAAACAGGAATAGGAAAACAAGCAAAGGAAGAAGAAACGGCAAATGGATAGACAAAACATACGCAAGCCCAGTCTCGTGGTAAAGCCTGAGCGCAAAGCTGTCATACGACGCGGTCCCCGGGTACAGCGCAAAGCGGTACTTGGAGTCGCCGCAGGTGACGACCTCGGAGGGCACGCCCGTCTCGGCGAAGCACGCCAGGTTGGTGGCCTCGACGGCGTTGATGGTGAAGGCGACGCTGTCGACGACGGCGCTGGTGCTGTTGGCCGCCGTCGTCAGGACCTCGTGCACGAAGAAGTCGGTCACGGCCACGGTCTCGGACGAGCGGGCGTCAACCTTGCGGGCGGACGGGGAGGCGAGGACGGCGCTGGCGCCGAGGAGGGCGGTGGCTACGGTGGTTGAGAAGTGCATTGTGGTGGTTGGGTTGTTGGCTCTGTGGTATAAGTTGTGGGCTGATCAGGTTGAGTTGACGTGAGATGAGCCGAGATGAAGGGAGGCTCTTCCTCTCTAGCACCGCGAACAGTTGACCGTTATATCTGCCTCCATTCCCACGATACGTCATCTGCGTGAAGATACCGGCCGTCCCGCCGTCGTGGGTACCCTAGCATTGCCCAGCAATAACGTCGTAGCCGCGACGGGGCTTCGTGAGCTGTTGTGTGGGGCCGCGTTGAGCTCCCGTCTGGTTTTGTCCAGAATTGGCTTGTTCGCCGCTGATCGAGCTGAACACGAGGCTCGCCTCGCCCCTGTACGACTCCTGTTTTCCGCCTGCCGAACCGAGTGTGGTCGGTTCGACGAACGTTCGAGAGGGTTGAGGGTTTGTGCGACCCTGCGCCACTACCTACGAGTAATATTCACCGGTAGTACCAGGCCGGCCCAAGAAATGAGTGGGAATTTGGGACGACGATGGAGCTACGATACAGCTGGTAGTCTAGTATCCCGAGAGTCCCGATGCGCTTGTGCTCCCGAGCTAAAGCATGCTATTGTCAACGGCGAGACCGCCTGGCGTCATATCGTCTCACGTACAATTCCATCCCGATGCTGGTAGTGGAAATACCTACCATGCCCCACCCCCTAACGGGACACACCCCCCACCGGGACAGCCAAACCCCACCATCACCACCAAAATACCCCCTTACTCACTTACACGCAATTGAGGCTATAGATACCCAAAGAAATCAACAAAATCATCATTCTGTGGTGTTGAGGCTCCTCAATCCACGTATCTAGCTGGCGCCCTAATTGACCGACCGCTTCTCGTCACCTGGGGCTCTGCAATAGGGGCTTCTTCACCCTCCTCAGCCTCCTCAACCTCTTCCTCCTCCTCACCCTCATCTTTAACAACCTCTGGCTCTGTTTCTGACTCTGAAGACTCTATAACCACGGCCCTTAATGGGTCACCCCCCTGGGCCAATATCTTGGTCATATTCAGGAACTTCCGGTTCGGATTTGGGACCTTCTTCCTCTTCTTGGGCCGTAGCCGCTCTAGTTCAGCCTCCAGGATTTCTGGGTGTTTCAAATACTTCCTGCGGCTAACTGGGTAGCACCCCGTCACTCGGAAGCCCAAGGGGATGTTCGGCTTAGAAAAAGCCTTGTCCCTAGCCTGAGAATAACAGCGGATGAAGTTGATCTTATCCACGGGCGAGGCATCTGTGAGAGAATTTAATTGCGAAAGAAATCTCTGGTAGTAGGCTTTAAGCGCGTTATATGGTCCGTTATCTAGTGGTTGCATGCCGTGGCTGGTATGGGCTGGGAAAAAACAAAGCAAGATATTGGCAAAATAACACCGCAACATGAACTCGTCCTGTTAGTTATACAGTTAGTTAACTGATTAAACAACCCCTAAAAAATAAATAACGTACGGAAGTATGGCTACCATGGCCATCTAGTATCAAAAGGATCGGCTCTGCCTGGTCTTCCCCTCGTACAGCATCCACCTGGGGTAGGAAAACGTGGTCTAACCATAGGCACGTAATCTTGTTACTGGCCCAGCCGTTATCTGACGTTATGTAGTACCAACCCGCGATTTTGTGGAATTCTTCGATAAATCATTGGGCCTGGAGATCTTTTCCTTTGAAAATTATGCCTGGTTTGAGAACTTTTCCCGTGGCTGAGATGGCTTCGATAAAGGAGGTCCAGCCACGCCCCTAAGGACTCTTTAGGAAGGCTTTCGTAGTCTCAGAACTTCCTAAGACTAGGGAATCGATGCCTATAGGGGTTAGCTAGTTAACTGACAGGATAAGGGTGAATAGGGGGTTAAAAGACTAACCAAAACCCGACATGATGCCGCCCTTATTGACATTGTACGTATTTTCTGGCTTCACCCATTGATAATCCTCCAATATGTCAAAGAATCAGTTGACAGACTTAGGGGTGAACCCCTTAAACCGAGCGGATTCCATCCGCTTACCGATTTTAGTCTGGATAGTAGGGTTACGGCATTTATAGCCCTTCATATAATTCGGGCCCAGTGGTGCGAAATCCCTCCCATTTTTCAGCAGTTGTACAATAATCTCCCGCACGGCTGTGTGAGAAGGGGCAAGCCCTAGGGACTCCTGGCGCAATATTCATTGAGCCACCTTACTCTCTTGTTGAGGGGAGAGTCTCTGCTTGCTAACCTGGGCCTCGGCTCGGGTGATTCTGCCATTGATGCGTGCTGACAGCGTTTGTTTAGGGATGCCGTGTTTTTGGGCGGCTTTTCTCACAGACATGCCGTTATCTGTCATATCTAGCCAGGCATCCGCCACATTATCTTTAGTATACGTGGGCGGAGGCATCGTGGCTGGCTTCATGATGCTGTGGTGGCATAAGGGTCAGGGGCTCAGAGAGAGAATTCTACAGCAAATTTGCATTTAGGGACGGGCACGGAGGCTCCTAATCACTGATGCCGATGGCTGAAACTTCACTAATCTACATCCGGCTAAACACCAAGAAAAGGGTTATCTAACCATCTAAAGAGCGTATAGATAGCCTCAAAGGGGGCTGTAATCCGTGTAAGTGAGGTAGGGGACTTTTGGTGGTGGTTGTGGGGGGTGTGTCCCGTTAGGGGGTGGGGGATGGTAGAGGTCAAGATGGTCAACACGGGTTTCGAGTCAACAGAACTTCACAACTCTCCAACACCCGAGTCAGTGTCTGCTATATTCACTGCTTCTAACTTGTGAGATTACATACCCTGTGTCACCCGGCCGTGTACGAACCGCACAAGCGAAGGACAATGTTCGTTTCCCCTAATCTGACTGGCCATGATACTCATAATCAAGACATGGAGCTTGATAAGTACTCGGAGGTTTGTGCTTCTTCGAGAGACGACGTCTCTCTAGTAGGAACTATAATCAAAAGACGCAAGGTCAGTCTCTTGAAGGGGCAGAACCCATGTTGAGTCGAACCCGATATTTTGAGGATAATGACGCGAGTAGATTCTGATGTTCATTATAGCTGAATATCGACCACAAAATTGTGATCAGGGTGCGTAGTAACACGATGTATAGTAAGTGAGAATACCCTCAGCCGACACGCTGCCGTGATTGAGAAAGACCAAAGCCGGGGTATCAGGTCAAGCCATACACCCAATCCGTAAACGCCAACCCAACCAACCAACTCCAACCCATGAGCCCTCCCGATTTTCCGATGCCCAAAACGCCATCAACCCGCACAAGTCTCATCCAGTGTTGTCCTCTCCAGTCCCATAGACATCAAGACCCCGCAGGTTCATTCATTCATAGAACCGCTCATCCCACTGATGAAGCATCATACCAGACACCTCCGGCCACCAGCTCATCATCGGGCCCGAGATGTCGTCGACAGGCTTCACCTCAGCCGCCCTCTCTTTTTCCAGCTCAAACCCCATCCCGACCACCTCCACATCCACAGGCGCAGGCCACCAGCTCATCGCCGCGCCCGCAATCGCATCGACATGCCTCACCTCACTCACAATCTCAACCTCCGTCACAAGAACACACGCATCTCTCGGTTTCGCCGCCGACGCCACCAGCTCCGGCACATCAGCGACGGCAAACTCAAACGCTTCCTCCTCTTCATATTCAGCCTGCCGGCCCAAGAACACGGGAAACTCGAACCCGTCCTCGAACGCAAACGCGTTGCGCCGGCCCTTGGCGTGGTAGGCTTCCATTTCGTCCGTGGAGGGTAAGTTCAGGACCAGGGGTTGCGGCTGCGGCTGCGGCTGCGGGGTGGTGATGCTTTCGTCGTCTGATTCACCGTCGCAGTCGCTCAGAGAGGGCGGCTCGTCGCTGCTAGACATAGACAGCGGCGAGAAGGGAGACGTGAAGGGAGGGCAGGCGAGGTCGTTGAGGGGGACCTTGCCCTGCTCGTCGGCGGGGTGGGGGTGGACGAGGGCATAGTTATGGTGGGAGTGGTGCGTGTGCGTGTGCGGCAGGTGGCTGTGTACGTAGAGCAGATGCGAGAGGTCGTCTTCGTTGTAGATGGCGGGCGTGCTGGTGTCCTGATCCGGGTTCAGGGAGACGGCAGCGGACTTGTTGCCGTAGCTGTGGGAGGATGAGGCCGGGACGGGGACGCTGGTGACCACCTGCGCGGGGGTGGCCAGTTGGTCCAGGTAGAAGATGTCGCCTTGCATTGATTGGTTTGGTTTCTAGGTAGGGAGGTATGTAGGTAGGTATGTAAGAGGACTCCTGAATCCTCTTACTTGTGGTATGGTGGTAGTGGTGTGCTTTGCTTATAGCTTCTGACAGAATAGCGGACTGATAGTCACGATCTTGATTGCTGTAGCGAGACAGATGATGAACAGCCAGCCAGCCAGCAGTCCCATACACAGATCCAAACGCGACTATATACCACAGCCGGGAGTCCGCATCATCCGCCTCCTCCTCCTAATAACACACCCAGTACGGTAAGCAAGCAGGTCAACTGACGACGGTGAGCAATCAATCCATCCACCACCCTACCCTACCGCACCCGACCGATTCTCGTCCGACCCTTCCGTCACCGCACGGCCAGGCGAAATCGGAATACCGAAACTCATCCTGCCAGAATCAACTCCTATATGCCCAGGGCGCAGAATTGCCAATTCCGTCGACGTAGACGAAAGAAAAGCGGACTCGGTGGTGTGTTCAGTCGAGTCAGCGATGTGGAATGGGTGGTCGGTCGTACGATCGGAACGAGCCGCTGAGTGATGAATTTTTGGGCAGCGGCTGATGGGAGCTAGCGAGTTCGGCCTTTGGCGGCGTCGCGGCGTAAGTCCCGATTTCACCCGACAGCATTGCTTGAATAATCTTCAGGGTGGCGTGGCCGCGTGGGTGGACATCCTGCTTGGCATGCCATCAGCCATCATCATCGACAGCTCACCAAGGTTATTAATAACATTCAGGAGAAAAACGAATGGCGACTGCAAGATTTCGTTATGCGAGTACCTACGTGGAAAGGCCGGGCTGTTACAGACGAGGTCTGTGTTGAAACCACAGCCATGCGCAACTCGGCAGTATAGTGTTCCCAAAGCACACAAGAATTGGCTATACGAAGCGGAAACATAAATAGTTCCAGATGCATGGTTCTATTATACACAGGTACAGGTACATACAGCAGTCTACATGTACATGTCAGCCGGACGCGGCCTCGATGGCCCTACCCATTCCTATCTCGAACTTGAACTATTGAAGTCTGCAATCTGCGGAAACTCCTGCGACAGAGAATCCGCCGCAGCCTTCTTCTGCCCACGCTCACCATCGTTAGAAAGTGAATCATGCCCAGGGTTTCTGGCCTCTTTCATCGCGTCCTTCTCGGCATTCTGCCTCTCGATCTCCATGAACTTCTGGACATCGAGGGGCGTCTGCCAGGCCACGGAGCCCTTCTTCGCGTCGTCGAGGCGGCGTAGGTGACCTGCCTCGCCTGCTCGGCCGAGCACACTACCGACCACGGCAAGGCATCGTAGACTGCCGAGAATTCCGTCAGTTTCATAGTATCACAGAGAAGTGTAGAAGTCGGAACAAGGGTGGAAGCAATGGAGAAGGGGAGCATTCAAGCTGAACGTACCTGTCGTCATTCGCCGGAATGGCATACGTAACCCACGTAGGCTCAGTATTCGTATCGACCACACCAATAGTCGGCACGTTGACCAGCGAGCACTCGTGCAGCAGTACGTAGTTCTCCAGGGGGTTCAGACAGACGACCAAGTCGGGCACCAAGGGGCGTCGCTCGTTCAGATGCCTGTGGAAGCCTTCGATCGGCTCGTCATGCTCGTCCAGCATTTGCATCTGCATGCCGTTGAGGATGACCTCGCTGTTCGTGATGGATCCAGGCGTCCACTTGGTGAAGAGGTGGCAGGCCCGCGACATGCGCGCGGCCTGTGTCACGATCTGGGTCTGGCCGGGCCGCGTGCCGACGAACAGGATCAGGCCGCCACGGTACGCGACCTCCTCGACGACGCGGGCCGCCCGGCGCAGGTGCGCGGCCGTCTGCTCGAGCGAGATGATGTGGATGCCCTGGCGCACGCCGTAGATGTAGCGCGCGTTGGCCGGGTTCCACAGCGACGTGTGGTGGCCCATGTGCGCCTGGCTGGCCATCAGCAGTTCGAGCGTAACGTCCTTGGGGCCCGGCGGGTTCAGGAAGACATCGGCGGGCCGGTAGGTGCGCTCAACGCGCGAGCCGACGCGGCCCAGCTGCTGCTTCAGGTCCAGCGCTCGATGGTAGTCCTGGACGGTGGTGTCGGGGGCGGCCGGCCGCTTCCGCCGCGTACCGGGCTTCGCATTGGCGGTGAATATCGATGGCGGCTGCGGCGTCTGGGCGTTGGGGGGTTGGAGGATCGGGTCGGTCAGGTCGGCGACGCCTGTTGGTGTCGGCTGCGTTGATAGAGCTCGTAGGCAAGCCTGGCGTGCGGGTGCTGCCAATGCCCGTCGGGCTTTGATGGAAATACCTGTTAGCAATGGCGAGTCTATCATGGCCGAGACGAACGTACCTTGACGAAAACCGATCTCTCTTATTATCATGGCGGTCGCTGCTGTGACTTGTTGATTCTGCAGCTTCAAGAAGCCGTCGATGGTGTCTCGCGACTTTTTCGCTGGTTGTAGCTCCTTGGAACTCGGCGCAGGGGCACAACGGCATAATCCACGCCCGGTCCGCCGATGGGTGATGGAAGCTTGGGCCACATAGCACCAAGCTAGCGCTCAGGGGGCAGCCCATCCCCCTTTTCGATCTCGTCGTACCTAGACTGCCGGTACAAACGGTCTTCTGGGTTGATTATGCTAATGAGAGGTAATGCATCGATGTAATATGTCCAGGGCATTGCACCGTGGTTTCGGCTAAGCGCATAGAACACTCCGTTGGTACTATGCAAGTCAAGATGCGTGATCAAGAAAGGTGATTATTATTCTATGTTCATCGCACGTTCTTCTTGTTACACCTCTTGTGCCATCCTCCATATTACTGGCGCGGACAAGAAACTCCCAAGTTCCTACAAGCATCCTCACTTCAAGCTGGATTCAAGAAGTTCATCGACTCGATGACGCCCTACCGATCGCGAAGACTCCCACAATAACAACAGCCAACGCGCAGATGGCACCGGGAAGCAACAACTCGTTAGGCACACCCGCAATGACTTGCTCGGCTTCCGTCTTCGAGGCGCTGCTCTTCTTCCGGCGCCTAACCGTCGAGAAGTCCTCCTCCTCGCTCTCGTCTGCCTCTTCGTCATCCACAGCAGCCCGTCTTCGGCGAACATCCGAGGGAGCAGAGCTTGCTGGCGGTGTGTGTGTGTGGACTGGTAGATCAGGTTGCGGCGCAGCCACTGCCACGGGGGGCTTCTCCGGGTCGTGCACAAAGAGGTCAACCTTCTCTTGGTGGTTCTGACGCGCCAGAAGGATGGCCTCCAGCAGATCCTGATCCGTGGTGATACTGACGGTGTCGCCTTCGTCGTCCAGGTAGCTCATGGCGAATCCACTGTAGCTGAGCTTGCCGTCTTCTACAGTAGGTGCACCACCGGCTGCCTCTAATTCGTTCCCAAGCTTGGATGCTACAGTCGCGACAAACTGCGCGATTCCCTGGCTGGCAACGACCTGCAGGCGGTGCACTCGGCCACTGGGTGCCTTGAACTTGAATGCGAATGGTATATCCGCAGGGGGTTGCTCAGCCACGACCGACTGTGGAGGGGAGTCGATACCCATGTGAGAAGCACTATCGCCTGGGGCAACCGAGTCATTGATGCGCTCTCTGTTGACATCGGGGGACATCATCGAGCGGGATGCCATGGTGCCGTGATGGTGGCTACCTTCACCGGACATCATGGATTCGGTCTCATTGTCGAGCGAAAGCCAGAACTTGTTCCAAGCTGGGCCTTCACTGTCGCCCGAGCTCATGGTGTTGACTTGCTCCAGGGTCGCGTAGGTGAGTTTGAGAACGTCAACCATGCCAACAATTTCACCCTCGCCGTTCATTACCGGCAGATTGAGGTAGTGACCATCTGCACAAGAAGTCAGCCAGGCCCATCTAGATCGCCTACGCATCTAACTTTTGCAAACTTACCATGCATCTTTCGGAGAGCGGCCTGGATGCTCATGTCCATCGGCGCAAAGTCGGGGTGGGGTGTCATTACACGTACGACACTGCAGGTTGAGGGATCCAAGCCTGGAGCGATGACTCGCAGAACAACATCCTTGCTCGTAAAGATACCAGTAATCTGCCCTTGGTCCTGAACCAGTACAGCAGTGGTGTGGTTCTCCTTCATCAGCATGGCTGCCTCTTTTACCGAGGTTCTGACGCTGACGGTCGTTGGCGGCATGCCGTTCAGGACAGATTCCAGAGTTGGGCCCGACATCTTGGAGCGAAGGGCCTCGACGTACTGGATGATCTGTTGAGGTTGGCTCGCGCCGAGCTCGGACTGCACACCCTCCAAAGCAGCGTAGAGCTTCGTTGAGGACGCATACGCGCGTTCCAACTTCTCCATGGCATCGTAGAAGCACTTTGTAATATCGAGAATACCCGAAATATCCTGGTTCTCGTCCATGACGGGTAGATGTCGGAAACCCTTCCGCACCATGAGATCTAATGCATCAGTCGCGCTGGTGTCGGTCCTGGCGCATAGCGGGTTCTTGGTCATGATCTCGGCAATGGTGACATTGTTGGACTTCAGGCCAGCGCCGACAACACGGAAGGCCAGATCTTTGGCGGTGAAGATACCGGCGATCCTGTCATCTTCATCCGTAACCAGTACGCAGTCTTCTCTCTTGGCGGCCATAAGCTGAGCAGCCTCGGCCACCGTCGTAGCAGGCTTTATTTGCAGGGCGGGACTCGGCTTCAGGGCGAGGACAGTACCCGGAGGGGCTTTACGTGAGTGTCGTGCTCGGCTCGTGATGCCCTTCTTCTTGGAGAGGTCATTCTCCAGCTTCCGGCGGATGGCCTTGCGGTAATAGTCAGCGTCCGTAGCTTGTCTTTGGGCGACATGACTGCCGTAGTCCATAGACATGGAGTTTTGGGCATTCATGATTGGAGGTAGATAGGTGAAGGTGCGACGTAGGATAGGGAGGGTGTAAAGGAGAGATATCATACCTCATCCCGCTTGGTCTGCTTCTGTCTACTCGCACTGACGCCGGACGCGACCTCGCTTTGGGCTGGCTGAGTGTGCGAGTGGGAGTGGCCTTCGAGGACGGGCCGGGGGATATTGGAGTTCACAGGACTGTTGGTATTGTTGTTGCTGTTGTTGTTGCCGAAGGGGATTCCTCCACGGGACTGAGCCCGGTTGGGCGTTCCTCTCATGGTGCCCGACATTGCATGGACTCTGCGGAGCGGAAAAGATTAGGGGGTTTTGTTGATAATGCCACTGGGAGAAGGAGCTGCTGCGACGAGAGGCAATAAGGTAGGTAGGTAACTTGGAGCGGCGGGTGATGGAGTCGGATCTTGGGGAGTAATGCTATTGGCAGCGGAAGAGAGAGCTGCTGGATGAGGAAATGGCGTGGATAGGCAGGGGATGGGTCATCAAATTCAATTCCTTTCTGCCTCCTGAATGGCAAATGGCAAATGGCAAGATGCTCGCGAGATAAAGGTATGGGCATGGCACGTTGTCGGGAAAGATTAGCGGGTCAACAAGTTGTCTCGGCGACCCGGCAGCGCCCCTTGTCACCGTTGTCCCCTGAGCTGGCCTGCTAGTCTAGCGGACTGCACGGGCCAGCGGCAATGCCCTCACATGTTTCTCAACTTCTGCAACAGAACTGTGCCACACCGCCACACTGTCGAATACCGAGCGGACAGGCAAGCCACAGTCGGTCTTTTATCCCTGACTCCAAGTCTAGTTCAATGTGGCTTCCCTCAAGACCTCAACTCCATTCAGGGGTAGTAGGACAGAGCACCGAGAGTACCTACCTACATACTCTCTGTCCAGTGCTCGTACTCTGCCTACCTCACTCAACTGAGATGATGACTTCATATACAAGTTATCCTTAATGAGATCCTCCACCAGGCCTGGGCTCAGAGAGATATGCTCGCTATCAGTGACGAGGTCACGACCGCCCCAACGGCTCGACTGACTATTATTTATTGTCCTTGACATCCGTCGGCGGCAAGGGTATAGGCCTTTGCTCCGTGAGATGTATGACAGCTCATCGCATGCTGAAGCCGACGATTCGCTGTGCAGTCAGGCAACTGAAGTTCGCGCGGAACCCACGACTCCCGAGTCGCAACTGCGCCCCGTGACTTCGTCAGTAGGCCACGGTCTCTATGTTAATATAAACATCATTCCTGGATAGGAAGTAACCCAACACCCAGCACCCATCACACATCACCCATCATCACCCATCACCACCCGTTGACCATCATCACCCATCAGCACCCAACAACCATCATCACCCATCAACCATCATCAGGCATCAACCATCATCACCAATGGCCCATCACCCTAGCTCAAACGCAAGTTGCAGCACCACCAAGATACCCAAACACGACGATAACAAGATGCCAAGCTCCAAAATGGACCACATGATATCCCATCTACAAGGGGCTTTCGAGACCGACAGACTCGTCTTCCTGCCAATTGAGGACGAAGCCCAAGTGAAGGCGTTCATCTACAGGGAATTCTTCCTCGACCCCGTGAACGCAGGTCTAGCAGGCCTGCCAGGTCACGCGACTCTACAACTCTGCCCTCAAGAACGCGCGCGCGACATGATCAATGGATACGTCAACGGCGCCCACATGGCCACGATAATCTGTCTCAAAAGCCGCCAAGAAAGCGAAGATCCCCAAGCAAGCGCAGACTCGATCTATAGCGATGACCCCCCAAAGCCAAAGTTGATCGGCCAGTTACTGTTGAACGACAAGGGATACAGCCGAGTAAGCATCTCCATCTCGATCGCGAGCGAGCACCAGAACAAGGGCTATGGCCGCGAAGCTATCAACTGGGCGCTGGAGTGGGCGTTCCGTTGGGGCGCGATGAACCGCGTCGACATTAACGCTGCGTCGTACAACGAGCGCGCCGTGATGCTCTACCAGAGCATCGGTTTCGTCGAGGAAGGGATTATTCGCAAGGCGTTGTTCATGAATGGGGAGTTCCACAATATACGTACGTACAATTTCGAGTCTCTTATTGCCCCTTCTAGCCAAGTCTCAGGGGCGAATTTTCTCTTCTAGCCTGTGTCAAGAGCCCTTGCTCCCGGGACACGCATTCCGACTCTTTGTTTCTCGTCGAAAAGGGGTAATTACTGACTCTAATTTGCTACCAGACGAATTCGGCATTTTAGCTGGTGAGTGGTGGGCTCTTCAGCGTGCACAGGCAGATAGTGAGTAGCCACGGTGGATCCTGCGAGACATTCGTCATTTCTTGCCTCGGAGTCTCTAATGATATTGCCAGCTGATTCATCATCTTTGTACCCTACACTGCCTCTCAAACCTACTTAGCTTCGGCATTGGTATGAAGGCTACTGTTCTGGCAACTGGCAAGAAGACGGCGATCAAATTAACAAACTGGCAGTGCCTTTGGTCTTAGGGCTTCGGCGCAGATGAGGCTGATTCATGGACGTACCGACGCAACGTTTATTTGGACTGCCACAACAGTCAACGTCGGGAGAGCACAGGGATAATCGCCTGTAGCAGATATACCCAACAGAGAGATAGAAGTAAATAGACACTCAGTGAGTCTCAAACCTCCATGCAAACAGTATCAAACCAAGCATCGTTGGCGAGCAAGCCTCCAGGTGCTCCCAACAGGAAAAGACAGCGCATTGCATACTCATCGCCCTTAATGGGCGTCATATCTATTTTGGGGATGGGATCTTATCCTGGATTTCTCTCGACTCGGGGTAGACATCATGGCAAGCCTTTCTTCATGGTCAGCTCAGAGGCTGTTCCTGATACTGATCCTGCGGGTGGCCACTACACGATGCAGGCCGATAGGGGTCTTGAGCTTTCCTTCTCGAATCATCTGATGGCGGCCAGAAGGGCGCTGCAGGCCATCATGCCGCCTGCGCCAAGCTCGACTGGCGAGATATAAGCACGCCCAGTAGAGAGGATTGACCCGCCATCGCGACCGAAGCCGTCGTCCGCGCGGGAACCGGCACCTAGCCCTCCACAACCAAAACACCATCAAATAAAATCCTTCCCCCGTCTCACCTGCCCATCCCTCTCCCTTCCAACCCCCCACACCAGCGCCCGATCCGCAACAAACGCCGGCGCCATTCCCAGTGCAAACTGCTGCAGCGCATGCGGCCAATACGGCAACGTACTCGCCCTCCCACACCCCACGCTCTCCAGCGCCGCCTCCGCCACAGTCTTCGCATCCGGCATGAAGAAGCTCGGCGGGGTCTTATTCAGCGCCGTCCCCGTCGTGGTGCCCAGCCGCACGCACAAGACCTCGACATCACGACCCTCGAGCATCATCTCGCGCCGCAGCTGCGCCGACAGGCATGCTAGGTACGCCTTGCTGGCCGAGTAGGCGGCTGTGAGCGGCAGCGCTGCGTCCGACATCGACCCGACGTTGAGCACGAGGCTGGGCTCGTGGCGCATGAGTAAGGGCAGCAGGCGCGCCGTGAGCAGTGTGGGAAATGTCGCGTTGAGGAGTATGTTGGAGGCTAGCTCGGCGCTGCTGATGTGCTGGAGGGGCCGTAGCGAAGGGTCGGCGCCGCCGGCGTTGTTGACTAGGACGGTTAGGTTGAGGTCGTCGAGGGGGCGCAGCAGGGCTTCTAGGAGGGGCGAGTGACCACCCGTGCTGCAGTGGACTGCGTTGGCGATGAGAGCGCGGAATGCGCGGTTGGGGTGGGCGCGGCTCAGGTCGTCGATCACGAGCTGGACTTTCTGCGCGTTGCGCCCGTGGATGATCACGTTGAAGCCGCGGGATGCTAGGACATCGGCGAATTGCCTGCCGATGCCGTCGCTGGCACCGGTTACGAGAGCCCATGGTGGTTCGCCATTTTGGCTGTGTAGATAGCGGTCGAGTTTTCCCCTCGAGAAGAGCATGGTGAGAAGACGTTATATGGCGGTTATATGAGCTGTCGTGATCAAGGTCTCCTTAGCTGAAGACACGAAGGATATCACGAGTCAATGTATAAAGTAGGTGGCCTTACCGCACTGCCACCCGACGTAGCTCGACAACTTGTCTCTTTATCATACCTCGCCATCTCTGCTGCTGGGCCGTCGTCGCGGTCCGGCGAAACAGGATGAAACGGGAATGAAGCACAAACGAATTGTGGATGTATAATCAGGGGTCGTGAAGGGGTTGTTTCACGATGCACATCCCACCCCCTCATCCTGCCTTTACCTGGTGGCATTCCAATCGACCATCACTGCTGCGCATCCGATCAATCTGATCATTTGATGACAATGTCCAAATCCCACGACCGAGTATCACAAGATGACAGTCAATACGATCGTGAGTTCGTGATGATCCTTACAGGACTTCGCCAGGTAGTCGCGACCCCAGTCTTCCAGCGCTGCAATACAGTAGGTGAGGTAATTTGGTTGTAATTTGGTAGGTTGACTCGATATTCTGGCAGAAACGTACGTCGGCACCGGCTGTTCGATTATGGAGTTCTCGATTGAAGATGTATCTGGAAACTAGCATTCGTCCTGGTCGAAGCAACATCATCCGGGGCGTGCGCTCATATCTCCCCTCACGGAAGCAATTCGATCCAGTCCCCTCGCAGTCACCGCCGCGTCGTAGCCGCGTCCCAAAGGCAGGCAGATTATTACATACAAGATACAGGCCATCATGACTGCGTTGAACCTATCTGCACCAGCCATCGATGTATATCCCCCACGAAGCCCTCCGCCAGACCGACATCAACGACACCGTCCTGCGAGCTAAAAGTCATGCACAGCGGGCCGTCCTTGACAGCGAACGGTGCGATCATCCAAACACCCGAGGGTACCTCAGTGGACAAAACGAACTGCGCTCGCCGAATGGCCCAATTCTCGTCCTTTGCACTGGACAGGGCTGTCGTTCCCGTCCCGGGTTGCCCGTCCACCACACCGAGATTGGTGACCAACCACGAGAACTGGCGCGGCTTTCGCGCGTCTTTCTTCATCTGCGTCCGCCAGTCCCCGATGAACTTCATAAGGCCAATCAGGTCGTTCTTGAGGCCGAGATCCAGTCGCTCCTGTATCTCCCTTCGCACCTTGGCAGCAGCCGACCACGTCAGGCCTGCGAGCTCGTCGGACAGGGATTCGTTGCTGGTCTTCTTCCAATTGAGTTTTGACCGAACCTCGGATACGACTTGGGTGTCGAACCCATGACCCATCAGTGACACGTAGTTAGCAACCGTCCGTTTCGGGTCGAGCCCCGGGTACGACGGGTGGCTCGAGGGCAAGAATTTCCGCTGGTCAAGAGCCGTGGCAGCCTCGAACGCGGGTGCCTTGTGTTCATCCAGCCGCGACGCAAGAGACACGAGCGCCAGGCCATGGATCAGGCCTGTTAGCGTAGTCTTGTGTTTCCGGCAAGCCGCCAGAATGTTGGTAAGAGTGCCCGCGTCGACCGCGAACGAGCGCAGCTGTGTCTTGTACGGGAGGGATGTGAGGATCGGTGCCCAGGTCGCCAGAGTCACGTCCTTTCGAAGCATGCCGGGCTTCATCTCATCCCAAAGTGTTTTTACGATGAAGCCGTTGGTTACGGGCAGTTTTGCCAATTGTGGCGTGGTTGGGGTGAACCTGGGTGTGCAGTCCGGAAGCTTCACCACATTCTGGTCGAATTGCTGTCGCTCCTCGTCTGTGATACCCGCATTCAGGGTCTGAAGTAAGTCCTCGTGGAATACCTTCCCGCCCATGCCGTCTGCATGTGAGTGGTTGAATGTGAAGACTATCTCAAGCGAATCGGTGTACTGTGGATGCAGGATGAGCACGCGCCAGCAGGGGAGGCTATCGAGCCCGTCGAACTTGTTGTCGACCTCGGACTGGGCCGTTTCCCGAAGCGAATCCTCATCAACGGGACCCTCTATGAATCGCCATGTGATGAGCTGACCCAAGTCGAGGCTGTCCAGAGGGACGAAGAACGGTTTTCTCGACTCGGCCTTTCCGACGCCCACCTGCAGGAGAGGATGCTTCAATACCACGCGCGCGATGGCCGCTCTGATGGTGCTCATGAGCTCCGAGCGCGCGTTCGCGACGGTCATGGTTGGGGGTATGGCATAGCGGCAGATGACAGAGGTACCGCGGTAAAGGTCCAGGATGTACATGGCCAGTTGGTAGGTCTCACTTTGGGGGATTCTCAGTCAATAGAATAGCTTTGATTGAGTCATTCGGACACTTACTTGCCACCGAGTGGCCTGATTGCCTTTGATGCTTTCGCACCGCTCTTACGTGAGCTCTTCTTGTCCTGATGCTCAGTCATGGCTGGAGGTGATGCGATCTCGACGCGTATATGGTGTGGTTCGTCAATCGAAAAAGGATGCATAGAAACCAAGCGAAGTCGAGGAAGTGGAACATTGTATGTAAAGATCTTCTGATCCCAATTATATCTTAAAGTGCAGACATAATTGCGAGATGGGTATTAATTACCATGATGGCCCCCCTGTTTGCTCGTCTGATCCCAGTCACCATTGTCGGCTGTCAGCCTTCGCGCGGCGCCCGCGGACCCTGTACCGCGCGTCGCCGCTAGCCCAGTTCCTAACTTCGACCAAGTTCCCTTGTGCAGCGTCAGCGTTTAATGCGCGATGTATTTGACATGACAAAGCTCGGTTTGTCCCTTGGCGACGTTTAGACGGCTTGCTCGCACGAGGAAGTGTCCCTGTTCTGCCTGTCTCTCCGTGGTCTATCGAAGAGTACCCGTAAGCTAAGGGAATCCACATTTGCTGCCAATTTCCAAACAACCGGCACAACCCCACAGTCTCCACAGTCATTTGCCGGGCAGATAAAAATAGAAGGCCCCTGCAGCTGACCTAGACGACGCGTGCAGCATTGTTCCATAACTATTGCTTTGCATCTCGCAAGAAGCTTGCGTGGGTTTGTCAGATTGGACGCGTCCGTCCGTCTGCGGATGATAGGCTGTCGAGAGCCTGTGCTTGAGTCCAAGTTGCTTTGTGAGAGACGTCCAGAATTTGGACATAAACAATTTGTCCCTGTCGGACACAAAGTCGTCTGGTAGTCCATGCTTGCTGATGACTACTCGGATGAGTGTGTAGGCTAGCTCTTCTGCCGTGCTTGATTCTTTGTATGGAATGAAGTAGCCGTACTTTGTGAGTCTATCGGTGATCACCCATATGCTGTCATACTCTGTGTTGGTCATCGGTTCCTTGGACTTCGGTAGCTTGACAATGAAGTCGAAAGCAATCCGTTTCCATGCTCTATCTGGGATCTCTGTGGGTTTGAGTAATCCGTATGGTTTGTGTCGTGCTGCCTTGGCCTTGTTGCAGATGTTGTATTCCTTGATGACTTCCTTCACCGTCTTGGTGAGTCCTGGGAATTCATATCGTCGTTTCAGGCGTTCCTTTGTCTTGAAGATGCCTTGGTGTCCGTGAGTCAGGTGTTCATGGAATTGTCGTACAAATTCCTTCTTGTGTTGTTCCAGAATCTCTATCTTCCCGTTTGTGGTTGTCGCGTTCTTGAGTGTAATTGTCCACTTGTCTTGGGTCTCGATTCGTTGTGTTGCATTGATCGTGAGATTTCCGTGTTCGTCTGTCTTTAACAATGCTCGTACCTCCTTAGGGACTTTTTGTTCGTGGTCACTTCGTCTGCTAAGGACGTCTGCCCTTGTATTTTCTGTCCCTTGACGTAGATGATCTGGAAGTTGAATTCCGATAGGAACTCCGCCCATTGTGTCTGTTGTTTATTCAATTCTTTTGTCGTTATGAAGTGTGTCAGGTTCTTGTGGTCTGAATAGACCTTGACTGGTTTCTTTGTTCCACTGAGGTATGGTTTCCATTCTTTGAATGCCTCAATAACTGCTATCAGTTCTTTATCGTGGATTTGGTAGTTCAATTCTGGCCCGTATAGCTTTTTGGAAAAGAACGCTACAGGGTGCAGTTTGCCATTCTCGTCACGCTGGCCAAGCTGTCCTCCGAGTGCGTAGTCAGATACGTCTGTCTCGACTTCGAATTCCTTCTCAGGGTCTGGTAGTCTTGTGACTGGGTCACTGAGTATGAGTTCTCGGATGGTGTCGAAAGCCTGCTGTTCTTTGGCTGTCCATTTGAATTTCCGGTCGTTCTTTGTCAGGTCCGTTAGGGGTCCGGTGTGTTTCCCAAAGTTTATGATGAGAGGTCGAACGTAATTCGTAAATCCTATAAATGCTCGTACGTCTACAACACTGTTTGGTACTGGCCAGTCTCTGACTGCTGAAATCTTTGACTCTTGGATCCGCACTTCTCCTGGGGTGATGGTGAATCCTAAGAAGTCAACTCGTTGCGTGTGGAAGTCGCTTTTCTCGGTGTTGACTAGTAACTTGGCGGCCTGGAGGGCTGCTAGTACTAGATTTACGTGCTTCCGATATTCGTCCATCATTTACGAGTAGATCAGGATATCGTCCAGGTATACTATCACGAATTTGTCGATAAATTCGCGTAGAACGTATGTGATCATAGTCTGAAAACTTGCTGGTGCGTTGGTTAGCCCGAACGGCATGACCAAGTATTTGTAGTGACCATAGCATGTTCTGAATGCTGTCTTCCATTCCTCTCCTTGGGCAATTCGGATGAGGTTGTAGGCGTCGGGTAGGTCCAGTGCTGTAAACCATCTGGCCTTCTGTAGTCGATCCCGTAGTTCTTGTATTAGTGGTAGGGGGTATTGATTCTTTGTCGTGATACTGTTGAGCTGTTGGTAGTCAACGTATAGTCGTAGCTTCCTGTTCTTCTTGGGAACGAATAGTATTGGGTATCCAGCTGGGGATGTCGATGGTCTGATGTAACCTCTTGCTAGGTTCTTATCGATATATTTCTGCAATTCTTTCTGCTGTGTGTTGTTGAGTCCGTATATCGGGAAGAATCTCGGATGTTGTCCTTCCTGTATCGGTATGTTATGATCCCATCTGTTGTGCTCTGGTAAACCTGTTTCTGTGTCGTGTTTTCTGCTGAACAGGGCGTCGTACTGCTAGTACTCCTCTGGTACTCGAGCCTCGTGTATCGGCTTGGACTCCTTGGTCACCATAAAGATCCTAAGTGTCCTTTTAGTCTTGCTTGCGGGCTTTTTTTCTGAGCGTTGCGCAAAGGTTAAGTCTCTTTCTGGTGTATCCCACTTGAGATGGCCGGTTCTCCAATTGACTCTGGGATTGCTCACCCGCAACCAGGGTATCCCCAAGATAATCTCATGTCCTGAGATGTCCGCAATGTCGAGCATAAGTTCTTCGGCGTGTCCCTGGATGTCGAGTGAGAGTGCTGCAGTTTCTTTCTCGATGTTTCCTTGTTTGTACATTGCTAAACTTCTATTAACGGTCCTGAGTCGGTATGGGGCGTCTTTCTGTTTTTATGGTATTCAGAGCTTGTTGACGATTCGTGGTGAGATGTAGTTTCCTTGTGCTCCTGTATCGATCATCGCCTGGATCTTCCGTCCTTTATGTATAGCTTTGATGATGATGTGTTCGTGTAGTCCTGTATTAATTTCGTACAGGGACTTATTGTTTAGGTCCAGCGGTTGTCCCGTTATTGCTGGCCTCTTCCATTTTTTGAATGGGCTTGTACTCGTCTCTGGGGAGTCTCGGGGCTGACCTGCGCATTGTTGCTTGGTCATTGTTGACCCGTAGGTGCTGGTGTCGATCGTCTGGTCCTCTTCTGGGGTTGATTATTTCCCCTTACTGGAAGTAGGATCCTGGTCTGTTTTCTTTAGTAGGCTTGCTTGATTTCTCTCTATATCTTGGCTTTTCTTGTAGCATGGACGAGACATTTGTCCTGGAGACACTGGCTCCATTCCTGGTCTTGCAGAAATTCCCTGGGATATGCCGGGTTGGGTCGTAAGATCGCGTAGGTCTCCCTATGCGTGATAATAATTCTTTGAGTCTCGTGTTCCAGGTATGGTCTGGTGATGAAGTGTTGCCCAGTCCTTGTGGGGAACCACTGATGGTGTAGTTTCTCCCTCAGGTATAATCCATAGTCGTTAAAGATACAAGAAATCCAGAATAATTCCTTATGTCCTAGTCCTTTTGGTATCAGACATGTGTCTTCTTTTTGTGTGTTGACCTTTGGTGGCTTGTCCACATGGGTCTGGATGTAGTTGGTTACTTCTTTGTCTTCTTTCATTCTTCGCCCTGGGACTGTAATCCATCCATCGGTTTGGAGTCCTCGTTTCTCCTGGAGTTTTTCGCTTTGTTTTTGAGCTGTCATCTGCTCGAATAGTTCTAGATTGAGTTCTTGGAAGTGTTGTGCATTGAATTCTTGTGTGGTAGCGCTGCTTGTGACGTGGACTTCTGGTCATGATCTGCCTTGTATCACGATTCGAATATCGTCCTTGAATCGGTGATAGTTTTCCGGAGTGATCTCGGGTAGCTCTGGTCGTCCATTGTCGTCGAATGTCAAGGTATCTTCGTCCGAGTCTTCGTCCTCACTATCTGTCCAACTGTATGGATGTAGTTCGTATATGACAGTAGTGTAACAATGGCATCCTTTTGCAAATTACTTCCTGTGATTTGGCTGAGTATGGGTGTGCCGGGCACGCCCTTCCTTCCTGGTCGTGATGGCACCTGTATTCTTTTTCTGAAATATGAGGTTCTTGGGAAGTGTTGACCCTAGCCATTATGCTGACTTCCCGCTCTTTGATGTATCCTGAACGTGTCGTGGCGGCAGTCTGTTGCTGTGGTTCTGGTACCTTTCTTTATTGGTTGTTGTTCCTTGTTAAGGAGCGGCACTCTTTTTTGTAGTTTCCATTCCTTCCATAGTTGTAACACTTGACGTCCTTCTTGTCATGTTTGGTGGCGTCGAGGTCTATGGGTCCCGATGGTATCCTGTCGCGGTACTGGGTACCCTAGGGGTGTAGTTGCAATTGTTGTATCATCGTTTCCCTATGTTTGGTTTGATGAAGGTCCTGACCCCTGAGCTTTGTTTCTCTGCCTGTCATTCGTAGAGTCTGTTATCGATCTTAATCATCTGGGTGACATAGTCATCTAGTTCGTCGGGTCGCTCAGTCTTGACACTTCGTCCTTGATGTCGTCTCTGATTCCGGTATAGAACTGTGCCATGAGAGCATCTTTATCGGTCCAGTCGGTTCGAGATGCGATCTGTTTGAATTCTGCTGCGTACTTGGATGCTGATCCTCGTTGTCGCAGTGTCATGAGTCGTCGTTCCGCTGACCTGGCTTCGTCAGGGTTTCCAAATGTCGCCCTGAGCTTTCTTTCGAAATGGTGATAGCTTTGGAAGACATTGTTGGTCTCATTTTCCCTCTCTTCCTTGTTCTTGTCGAGATAGTTCCTCATGGTTGGTTCGAACCATTCGAGGGCGTCGCCCTTGAGGAATCTTGCCACGCAGAGCACCTTGTCTGGTTTTGTATTGATTTGGCGTGCATAGAACCTGAGGTAGGCTTTGGCCTGGGTAAGGAAGCCCTGGACGTTGCCGTCATTCACATTATAAGAAGCTGGAGGGGGTAACTTATACCCATTGTTTCCTGTCATTGGGGTTGCCATGACTTGTGCTTCCAGTTGCTGGTTGCTGCCTTCGAGTTGCTGGATCCTGGTCTGGAGTTATTGTATCATGCGGACCAGGTCCTGGGCCGACGTGGTCGGTCCGGTTGCCGTGCTTCCTACGGGGGTTTGAGGTGCCATTATCGAGTCGATATTGCCCAGCAGTCGTCGTGAGTACTAACTGAACAAGAGTGATCAAAATATGACAAGCCGTCTAACCTATAAGGCTAAAGGGTTCTATAGCGTTTATGTCTGAGGTAAGTCAACACAAAAGACGATAGAGGCTTCTGTCAACTAGAAGACACTCAGATGCTGGGGCTTGGTCTGAACTGGGTTTACTGTGTAGTCGAGTCGTCAGGAGATTTCTCCCACCTTAGGGTTGGCTAAGATGCTTAGATTGATCACTGAGGTAAAGACTGTCTATCTGTCTAGCTAGGAAATGTCCATCCTTATATATCCAATCTCTCCCTCATTGATGGGCTGGATATGTTGGATAACCTTGCTATCCAAGCTATCCTGGATATGTTGGATAACCATGCTATCCAAGCTATCCTGGATATGTTGGATAACCTTGCTATCCAAGCTATCCTGGATATGTTGGATAACCTCGCTATCCAAGCTATCCATCACGTGATGTCTTGATCACGTGACCTAGACGTTTCCTTGGCCCGTGCGTTCTCCCGGGTTCTTCCAGTTACTGTCCATCTTGTTGGGCCTGCCAGCGGGCCTCATTCCCTGTACGCCTCGTTGGTTCGTAACAGCCACATCGAACCGCCATCTCTGCAGCCGTACAGATCAACACCGAGACTAGAGGGCTTGTCGCCAAGGTATCAACCGGAACCAGAGTCACTTGGGTATTCCAGCCGTTGTACCTTTGGGGAAACACATTGAGCGACTATGCTCCGCCAGTGGTATGGAGTCCTTGCACGCAAACACAGTGTCTGTCGTCAGTTGACAGTAAACCAGAGACCTTCGTGTCGGCGTAGATGAGCCTTATGAACAGCAGCCCCTGGAGACGATGAGTCGGACCTCGAGTAGTCGTATAGTTAATCCAGATAGGTGCACGGTAAAATGGGGGCATATTACATTGTGCGCGTTGGCTACTTGCGATCACGGCAGGTATTTACACGGGCAGTTTATCTCTGTGTTGTCGATAGCTCCTTAAAAATTGTACAGGCACAGTGCCAATGTAATGTTGGTGCAGGAGAATCCGCTGGCCTTGGAACAACAAAAAGTTGACAGCGGCCGGAATCTAACCAGCCCCTCCGACCTTTACAGACATCATCTTACTCTTATCGGTGTGCACCATTACACGCTGTCATACAAGAACTCTGCCCAATCTAATTCTATATACCTAGTTGAGAGGGATGGTGTCAGAATATAAGCTCAGTGCGTATCTAGCTGTCAGAAGGCCAACCATATGGGGGGTTAAATGATATGTTGATCTGCAGAGAGGTGCAATACTAATCAGGTGCGGAACCACTGTATATGTACATGAATGGTTCCTTTGTTGTCGGGATGCTCCCTGACACTAGCCTCGAGGTATTTGGGTTTGGCTCCTCCCTTCCGGTGGAAGAGTTTAAAAAAATAAAATAAATCGTATCTAGCCTGAGCACGTACATTGGTCATCCTGTGGGATCACCTGACTAAATAGCTCTCGGGGGCCACACTCATAACTTTTGCGGTGCGAAGATAGTAACCAGAGGCCTACATAGGTGTAGAGATGCCGTCTAGAAGCTGGAATCCATTGGTGCGACAGTCTAGCCTCCGAGCTGTGGAAAAGACAACCTTAATGACTGCACTGTTTGATGGGGAGCGCATTACGATTTATGTGCCGGTAACCCGCGGACACCGTGGAGAGGCGTAGCGTAGAGGGATGTCCGTAGTTTGTACTATGGCGAGACAGCTAGTCGAAGTGATCACTAGATGCAAACTACACATACAGCTGATAGATCACAGGAGGGTTGATGGGTTTTTCATATTGCGGTATGCACCACTCTTTCTTGAATGTCACGATGCCCCATTCCCAACGCAGGACGTCCCTTCAACGTGAACGCCTTTCGACATTCAAGATCCTCCGACCACATCATTCAAGCTCAACCTTCTTCCCTCCGTTGGGCAAAGGTGCCTTGAACAGGGCGAAGGGTCTGACTCTTCTATCGGTGCCTGGATACGTCGACGAGGAAAGGCTGAGCTGGTTCACCGTGAAGTACAGATAGCCATCTGACGCAACCGACACTGGTATCCAATTAGCAGACTCGCCAGGATGTTTGGGGCGCAAGAGGTACTGACTGGTATCTACCCAGTTGATCCTCGGGTCTCTGACAAATGGCAGGGTCGTGCCATTGCTAGCATGGAAAACGTTGATGGCGTTTCCCTCATTGTTGCCCACATAGACCAGGCCGTTGCTGTCTGACTCCAGGCCGTCGCTGACCCCCTTCTGGCCATGGTTGACCACAGACTGTTGAGCCATGAGCTCACTGGCCGGCCCCTGGTCCCGCAGTCTGCTTGTAGGCGCGCTGTACATGTACCGAGATCCTACGGGAGACCAATACAATGTCTCGCCGTCGGCGGATAGCGCAATGCCATCAGATCCGAGCGGGAAGAATGTGAAGGGCTTGCCGGCATCCGTGTAGTAAAGTGGTTGACCCCATTGGAAGGGCAGGAATTGGGACTCGGTTCTGACCGAATCTGTTTGATCCAGATGCCTCCAGCTGTTTCCGGACCCAAGGTCGACTATGATGATTGCGTTGTGACCTGATGCGCTACTGTCTGTGATGTAGGCGACACCCTGGCCTGATTCTGAGACGTTAGGTCGTAAGTCGAATCGGACGTCGTTGAGATAGCTATCTCCGTATGCGACAGTCGACGGGAAGACAATAGTCTTGAAGACTTGGTTAGTCGCGAGGTCAACACCAACCAGCTTTGGTCCACCGTACGTCGCTGATACGAGCACGCCCTCTGGAGTGAGGACACGTCCGGTGTCCAAGATCCAGAGGCGATCAGACGGGTCGATGACTACCGACTGCACGCCAATCAAGTAGTCTTGGTAATTGGCACCCGCTGGCTACTGTTAGCTGAGCCCCCTGTGGCATCATCGAGAGTGCGAATCAGTGTGGCTTACTCGGCGGTGTAGTAGAATAGTTGATCGCTCCTCCAGGCGGGTGATTCATCTCCAATGTGGGATATGCCATCTCGGCGGTGAGGCCGGTCAGCTCTCCAACCGTGTACACGTCGTTTGAGCCATTATAAGTATTGCTGGGGTCAAGTCCTTCGAGCAGGTCATCAGCACATTTCTTCGCAACCGCGCTGGATAGACTGACCACCAGGGTAGTTTGAGAACATCCGGCCAGTGCTAGAGACCGTTATGCCTGGAGGCGAGTCCCGTCAGCTCAAGTGTTCATGTATGAGATGGTTTCCGCGAACTTGCCAGTAGGCCATTGCCCATAGTACGCATGGGCAACTTCAAGTGGTGGTCCATAGACCTGTGAACTGGGGTGTCAGCGTCTTTCCTGATATGACGAACAGGCGCATCAATCAACACTTGGACTGCTGCCTACCCCGGGATCGCTGATGAAGCTGATGTTCTCTCCGCAAACACCTCCAATGGTGAGTGCCACCGCCATTTGCACAGAGAGCTTCATGACTAGCAGTCTCTACGAACGGTGTATGTGAGATTTCAAATTGTCCTGTATTGAAAAAAGAAGAAGAAGAAGAACTCCACAGGGGATTGATCCTCCTAGTTATAATGTTAGATGGGTGGCCCCTCCGGATGAGCACCTGCAGCTGCACATGTGAATGGCTTCTGACATGTCCTCAATGGACCAACCTCGAATCTTCAGAAGCCAAGATGACAGAAGTTTGCCCGTAGTATGAATGCCTGCAGCCGTATCCGAGTATGTTACATAACTATGATACCCAACAGTTTGCGAAGACGGAATGGCGTTGCGAGCGAATGGGGATACAGAAGATCACCTTCAATTGCCGGGTTGGTCTACTCATCATCGATTGCTCTTGTGATACCATCCCGGCTTCTCCGCGTCCAGTTCTGGCTCAGAAGTGACGATCGACCCGCGGCCCGAGGTGTGCAGCGACAATGACGTCTTCCCGTTGTCACGATGAGCATCTAAATGGAATTCAAAATCGTGCCCCTGCCAAGACGGCGTCGGTTCCCCGCATCGGGATGTATAAATACGACCACGACCTCGGATGTGACTGCATGTGTGACTGCCGGTCGTTGGGCTCTTATAAATTTCCGAGTTCTCCCGGGGCAAGCTTCGTCCGTCCTCTTCGCGTGCTATCGCAACTCCCCATCCCTCCCGAAATTCGTAACTGCTGGCATAGTCGTAGACAGGCTGTGAGACGAATCTCATCCCAAAGACCGTCCGGCTTTTCACGTGGCCTCTGGTTCAAATCCAGGTCAACATCGTGCGCACATTATGGAGCGTGATGACCTTCTCATCTACGACTCACGTCTGAGTGGTTTGCTATCAATGCAAAATATTTGCCTGTTTTTACTAAATGTCTTCTCGAATGGGCGGTGCGAATTAGTCATAGCCATCTCTATATCATTGATAGAAACCCAAACAAGCAACTAGCTTTCTAGGAGTCAAGACAATTGTATCGAAATTGATATAAGTTGAGGCTATCGCCTGGCTAATTGCTGATGGAGATGGGAACAAGGAAGCCTATTTCTCTTCCCCTATTCGGTGGTACATTACCATATTGCCTGAACCAATCGTCAAAGCGCCGTTGTGAACAATCATCAAGATCCGTGCGATTACATTCTAAGTACGGAATTGGTTGGGTATCGTCAGTCCAAGCACGCCTATGGAGACTCCCAGCCCTGCGCGCTGTTTAATCGCGCTGGTGTCGGCAATCCTGGTTCGTGAGGAATAGGGGTAGGTTGCCGACATGCTAGCATCTCGTCTGTGACGGCTGATTGACCTGATCAAAGCCCGATTTGGAAGATCAGAGTGAGGCCCAGCTGACAGCCGTCGCCATCACGGTGCTTGCTTGAAGTTGGGACCAACAATGAGCATCACGTCGCTCCGGCTTCGTAAGAGAGGGTGACGACGTCACCGGAGAGCGCGAGACGGAGACAGCACGTCTGAGCGCGTCATCCAGAGCGCTGACGAGAGCGCCAACGAGGGAGGGAGAGACGGCTCAGAGAGCGCGTCAACCAGATTCACAGCAAGCCAGAGTGATTGTCGAAAAGATCACGGCGCCAGCAGATGAAAGACTCCCCTCCACCTCATCCCGTATATTCAAGAAGTCCACGTCGCGAAGCAGTGACACTCGTGGCGCGTGGCAGTCCCCCTGAAGTTCACAAGGGCAAGTCATAGCGTGTGGTACCCCGAACGTCACCATCAAAGCCACACGGCACTCGCGACCGTTAGTGCGCGGCTGTCATCCCCCAGCGGAGAACGACGGCTCCAATAGAGCACGTCACCAGAGAGAGCCTTCCTCAGCAGCCCGGTCATTCGGAAATGAGGGCCAGGAACGAGAAAGGGCACCGAATCGCGTGGGATCATACACCACGGCGAGCACCGAGTCAGGCCCTCACAAGGGCCGCCGAAGGCAGAAGTATGCGCAGATCCCTCCGTGATTATCAACTGGATGGCACGAGGGATGGTATCTGCACTGCAGAAGGTGATGATCAGTTGGCTGCCGATACACCACGGAAGAAGGCGTATACTACCGACGACAAGGTACGCCGCCGTATCAACGACGATGCGGAGGAACACAGATTGGGAAGAAGCAGAGGCCTCTATCCACTAGTTAGGTAGCAGGCACGAGCCAATGAGCCATGACGACGGCAGAGGTGGCTGTGAGAGATCATCACGAGCGAGCAAAAGCCCTCTCGCCACGATGGCAGAGGCACCGAGCAGCTTGATGGTAACGGGGTCATGTAGAGCAGTAGGCGACATGGCGAGTGGAAGCCACGGAACAGCAGGAAGAAGAACACCAGATCCTCCACGGCATCCACCTTTTCATATGCCACGTTCTCAGCCTCAAACGAGTGAGCGTAAGCCAAAAGCAGTACTATGAAGCTCCTCATTGGATGGAACATCAGAGCCTCAATGGCACCCCTTTTCCTATGTCAACACAGCAAGGTTTCCTTTGTACGAAGCAAGCAAAAAGTTAGTCTACCCCTGTTCCACACGAACCAGGATTGTGTTGAATGGCGCGCAAGCCACCGTGGCGTTCAGAGAGGTGGCAGCGCACCAACAAGGCCAATAGGGCATTTTTGGGCCACTTAGCCCACAGAAGGATTTTCAGAGAGATACAACAAGAACACGGATTACACCAGAATATATGTTTTCACCCATCTAAAAGCCCCCACGCTCTGTTTGACAGATTGCCAATATGGTAGCATCTCAGACTCTCTGAACGCTGTATTCCTCGTTGTTCTCGCTTCCTGATGCCGTCGTCGACCGACGAGCTTCTGTGGCTCCACCGGGAGCCGTGACTCCTGAATTTGTATTCAGGCTCCATCGCTCAGGCCTGAGGACCTTGGAGAGATTTGTTTACGAAGCTGGTGCTGTATGTAAAGCTGCAGCCTTGAATCCCTAGCCACTCTCCTGCTTGCTTGCTAAAGCGCACTCATCCTTAAATGTGTGTGCCTCCGTTGATGTCTTCTGTATGTGCCGCCTGTGACCTGGCAGACTTCTTTCTGCGTGCCTCCGTGGAGGTCTTCGCTCGGTGCCTCAAAGGAGAGCTTCGCCCCCCTTTGGCTCCTCTATTGCGCACCTTCCTTAACAATCAGCGACTTCCAAACAATATGAATAACGTCTGAGCTTCCCGCCTTGCTAGGCGCTTTGGCCCCTTTCGTGCGCACCTTGATAATCGGCGACTTCCATTTCTAGTTTTCCAAGCAAATCATAACATAAATCGTCCTACCCCACTGCGATTATGAGGAAGGCAGATGGGCCTGGCGGCGATCATGACGGCTCAGACCCCGCGGCGATTATAGGGGCCCCTTTCGTGCATACCTTACTTTCGTCATCGACGACTTCCAATTGTCAATTCTTCCACATCCTTCAAACAGTCTTTGGCGACATGCAGCCCTGCGCGCTGTTTAAGCGCAATTGAACCCCTTCATGCGTCAAATAAGCCCGCCAGCGGAGACACCCAGCCCTGCGCGCTGGTTAATCGCGACATTCCCCCCTTTACGCGTCGAAACACCATTAGGGCAGAGCTGACCCCACGGAAACACCACCATCCCACTTCTTCACCATTCAAATCCATTTGTTTTCTTGTTCCTGGTCTTCTTTTTGATCTTTCATCAACCCACCACAATACCATCCCAAAACCCAACAAACCTCTAATCGGCCAGCCCTCTATCCTCATCAACAATACATTATTCTATCTCTCTACTCGCACGTATTCATCCACAATGAGCATCATATCTACCACATACTCTCCGCTTCCTATCTCATCATTCCTAGCTCAGAACATCGGCGTGGATGACAGCAAGGGCATGCTGTTCAACAACACAAAAGCCGACCAAACGGTTCACGCCCACTGGCAACGGTGGGCGCAAACCCTTCAGATCTCCCTTGCATCTTTGCGCCGGACATGGCGCCTCTCCATGAAGGTGACGAGTGCGCAGCCATGCTGATGAAAGCATCGCTTCCCCAAGCAGAACGAGGCCAGGCTTCGAGGTACGTCAGATTCGTCTTCAACTCCTCAATATGCTGACACATCCTGCAACAGCCAAGCCAGACAAGCTCGGCACGCCGAGACGCTCACTTGGGCAGCCAAGTCGTTATTACATCTGTGTAAGTTTGTTATTCATCATTCTGCTCAGCCACGCATACTAACGATGAAACTAGTAGCGGCGGTCGTATACGAGACGAAGCAACTGGAAATATGACCAGAGTTGTCAGTCAGGCTACCAGCAACCCAGGATTCAAAAGCCTCCCTGTTGCTTTCGGCGGCAGACACTCACTGGGTCTCATTGCCGGCAAGTATCATATCATGCATACATAGCATGGTTTTGACTAACATCGCAAAGGAGCGGGCAACCCCTTGCTTCAAGTAAGTCAAAGTCGTCGCCTCACCGATATGCCGGCCAGCTCATCCAAGACCCCTTTCTTGTCAGCCCCATCACGACGCCGTCGCAGCCCTACCGCGCCAAGGATACGAGACGGCTGGCCTTCTAAGGGTCAGTCGAGGCAGCGACCGGGTCGGCGACCAGTACGCTGCGATGGCTACAATACGTGAAGTGCAAAAACATCGAGGAGGACAACGGACCCAATGCCGCTTTCCGGTTCAACTATCGATCGTGAGGTTTATTCACCCACTGTATCACCAAATAAGCTTTCTCGTCGCTGACTTTCTTCACAGAGGTTCTCATGCAAGAGGGCGTGATCCCGCGCCCCAGTCGTAGCCGTGGACAATCCAGAGGGCTGTCGGGTCTATCTCGGGAGGAGATGGACGTCTTGCGCATTCTACGAGCAACGAATGTTCAACTTTTTCGAGCGCTATGGCATCGCCAAGAATACCAAGAACATGCTGAAGCAGTACGAGGACTTCATGACTGCCCAAGTTGACGAAGCCGCCTCGCTATGCACCCGCTAAACACCCCAACCGCCCCTGCAAGCCTCTCCACGCAGCACGTGCGAGAAACGCTTTGCGAGAACTACCACGTCCGTCGCTGGCGCGCTCTGCTTGAGCCACAATACGCAGACGACCCTCGCGGCCCGCACTTGCAGGTCCGTATCGCTTCTTTCCGGGTGCCTGCTTGGCAATCTCGCGCACGTTACCATGCGGCGTCGTTATCCAGTGTCGACGCACCTTCAAATCGGTGTCGGCACCATCTAGACCCTAGGTTGGTGAAGAAGCACACCAAGGTCGCTAATGTGGGCAGATATGCGGGCGAGCTCACCCTGGTCAATGGGCGGTCCTTAATACTCTTGTTGTTATTCCTGTTAATCCCCTTATTCCTGTTATTCCCCTTATTCTTTTTATTCCCCTTATTCCTGTTATTATTTTTGTTATTATCTTATCACTTGTATTATTCCCATTTCCTGTATCAGACCGCATGTTGGCCAGTCTGATCTCGCGCGGTACTGCTCACACTAGTAGCTGCGGTGAACGGATTCGCCAACCTGGGTGTCGAGATGTTCGTTGGAGAACGATGCAGTTCACGAGTACGCTGACCCTGCTGATGGAGAGCACGGCGCGGTTGGAGACGCATTCAAGCGAATCCAGAACTCGTCCACCTTCTCGAAAAGTCTTCGAACATGCCTCCCAAGGCCGCACCTGCGCGCACGGTGTGGGATGACACGACCCGGACCGACCTATTGCAGGCCATGATGGACGTGGCTCATCCCACCGGGGAGGAGTGGGTTGCCGTCATGGCATTGCTCGGTGCGAAAGGCTACAGCTTGGGAACAGGCGGCCAGCGCAGCGCCCGGAAGACAGGGCAATGCACTCGTCCCGCTGCAAGCTATGCGCGAGAAGGTGGAAGAAGTCAAGACGGTGGAAGGAAGCAAGACAGCGGAAGGCAGCAAGACAGCAGAAGGAAGCAAGAAGCGGAAGAGAGACGACAAGGACAGCACGAAGAAAAAAAAGAAGAGGCGCAAGTCAATGCGCAAGGGAGGACCACGACGTCGAAGTGGAGGGAGGATAGAAGTGGGCAACCTGTGACGCCCGGGATCGAACTGCAGCCAAGGGCATGGACAACTTCCGAGGATTCACCGACCCTTTCCTGATCAGGAAGACGTTCCTCTTGCAAATCCGACCCATTGCCTGCCGAGCCTATCCCGCCGCCAGCCAACACCAGACTGTTGGTGACAATTGCAGCGACGCCCGGGTAGTTCTGTGTGGCTGCTCGACAAGGCAGAGGGCAGGCGGGTCATGCGATCTGTGAGGACTTTATTTTCAAGAAGTCCTCAAACATGGCCCCCAAAGCCGCAGCTGCCCGCACGGTCTGGGATGATATGACCAGAACGGACCTGCTGCAGGCCATTATGGACGTCTGTCCTCCGACCCTCGACGAGTGGCAGGCGAGGGGGCAAGGTCTGGACGCCGAGGGAGTCATGCGTCATGTGAGGACTTCCTTTCCAAGAAGTCCTCACCCATGCCTCCCAAGGCTGCACCCGCGCGCACCGTATGGGACGACACGACGAGAACGGACTTGCTTCAAGCAATCATGGACGTCTGTCCTCCGAACCTCGACGAGTGGCAGGCCGTCATGGCCTTGCTGCACGCGAAGGGATACAGTTATACCCATACGGCTGCCATGCAATGACTTGATCTCTTATGATCATGCTTCCAGGGCCCGATAAGCGAAGAACCACGGCCAGGACGCAGGACGAGACCATTTGCCTTCTCCTGGTCATGATGCAGGCGGGCAACCCCGAGCTCAACATGAGGGGCTGGCAGGGAATTGTCTTTAGAGCCAACGCGGCCGGCACTGTCGTCGAGGAGGGAGGATTCTGCAGCGGAACATGACGAGGTCGTCGAGGTTCCCGCGCCGAAGAAGACCCGAGGCAGCAAGACCAGCGACTAGTAAGTACACATCCAACCAGAACTGGATTTTCTTCTCTTCGCTGTATCTTTTTTCTGACCTTTCACACAGCGCTCATTCTGCCAACCGTGGCTTCGGCATCTGGACCTGACACTCGCGAAGAAGATGGAGGGTTGGCGCTGTGGCCTGAAGCTTGGAATGGAGAAGGACGAACCGGCCATGCTTACTAGGGATATAGCTTTATCCATATATATATAAACTACGCGGGCTGATCGAGCCTAAGGGCACTGTGAATCATCCTACTCAGGGTCGTCCCGCCGGGGACATTAGATATACGTTGACAGCATTTATTTCTTATGATACAACCCCATGGCATACGGACTACTCTTCAAATTGATCTGGCCACCGCCTGGCTATCTGTTTTGATAAGCACCACCGCCTATCAAAGTCGAAAACGCACCTAACGGTGGCCCGGATGACGAGCGACGAAACTCCAGTGCCGGGGTTCTACTACCAGACAACATGGCATCGTTGCCAGTCTCTGGGGCGGGCGCTACGGGTGCGCAGCAAAAAGCTGTCGTAGACGTCCAGAAGATGCAAGCGGCTGTTCAAGAATAATGCACCCGAGAGTCAGCGCCCCCTGACGGGTTGGCAAGAAGTTGGTCTGCGGCGGCGCGACGATGGGCAGCGTCATCAAGATGGGTGTTAGGATCGTTTAGTCGGCATGGACGTCGCGGCACAGTCTGGGCGCTCCGGTCGAAGCAGTATGAGAAGTCTACGGAACAACTTTCCGACAAGCTTTGGTGGTGAGGCGGGCTGAGGCCCAGACTGTCTACCACCTCTGCTCCGTCCGCCTCCGCTCCGTCCGTCTCTGGTGCTGATTCTGGTATTCCTCCTTCCACCTCCGAGTCTGTCGCTAGTGCTGCTGCGTCTGGCTCGGCCTCTGCCCCTGAATCCTCCGCTTCCGCAACCGAAACGCTGCTCCCTACCCAGCGGCCAAGCCCCGGGTTCATCATCACGTGAAGCCAGAAGATTAACAATCCTACCGCCAATTGGCAGCACGCCTGCACCCCCAGACTCTGTCCACTCCGCGAGCACGAGCGACTCGATAATTCCGACTCGCGCAAGTACGTCATAGAAGCTGCAAGGCAAGAAGGGGAAAGATGAAAACGGAAAGAGAAGAACGATACTCGCGGCCAAGTTTCGTGTGGGGGGTGGTGGTGCACTGAGAGGTACATCACATCCTCCTCCGCACTCCACCTATGCTAACCACCCGAGCGTCTGCAGCATACTTCGAGGATCTCATGATCCATCATCGGTAGAGGATTTTTGACCGCCGTCAACGAATGGAGGGCAAGGGGCCGGGTGATGACGGCTTCGAGATGTTCTTGGAGCTCCCGGTCATCCGCATTCGACCCTAGGCGGCCCGGTCATCCCCCCCTTGCCCGGCAGCCAGCAGAACGCGTTATCTGTCGGTGATACAGATGAAGACGCTGGCGGTGACGATGTCGGCGTCAATGACAATGCGATTGCCTATGCCGATATCGCTGCCGTTGATGATGCCGTTGATGTATCAGCCGGGTGTCATGCTTCAGACCCCTCAGATGGGCTTGCCCCAGCAGGCCATGGGTCCTCCCCCTCCTGCCTTCATGGTTGCCGGTCAAGGAGTTCCTGGAACGGTCCCCGCTGGATATGGTGTCGCAGGTGTAGGAGGTAACGCCCGCTCCGATCACCGGTGCTTCGGCCCCCTTTCCTGGTGGCGCGCCTGACATCATGGGTATCGGAAAGACCGGCACCGAGTTCGCGGCTCCTGAGGCGAGCCGAGTCTTTGCAAAATCTCGAAATGGCAAGCTGCCGATCGTCGACAAGGACCTCAACCTCATCTCTATGATCTCCCGATCCGACCTGGCGAAGGAACTGGCTTTTTCACCGGCGGAGCAAGCTGCCAGCCCTGTTCACAGTCAGGCCATGAAGCCCTTGTCAAGACTGGGGAATATCTACGGGGACAGAGCGAAGGCGCCGGCATCTGGGAAGACGATGATGAGCGTCGCTTCTACGAAAATCTGGTAGATTTGAAGGGGAAAGTTCCTGGCATACTTCTCGAGGACGGCAAGAAGAAGAAAATCAACCCTGACGAGCAAGTTGGCGCAGAACATGAAGCCAGGCGACGATGCTCCTGATTACTACGAAGCGAACCAGAATTGGCCCCTCCAAGGTGGCGGTGCCCAGTCTGCTGACATGCGTTCCGAGTTCTCCTACACTGTAGGAGGACCTTTAGTGAAGGTCCCCACAAGCACAGTCGAAAGATGGCCGAGGAGAAGGCGCGCAGGCATCGACGTCATGCCCGAATTCATGAGCTTGCTTACAAAGCTCTGTGAGCTAGTCTTAGAAAGACTGAGTCTCGCTACTAAGAAGTGGTTGCGCTAGCGCGACCGCGATGCTAAGAGTGCTAGCCGCCGAAAGCACACCCCAGCCTGAAGCCGCCACGGCGAAGCTGGAATCCCAATCCAGCATCTCCGCCAACTCCCGTGGGGACGATAGCCGACCAAGCCCATATCACCACAAATCGGCTGCCTACCCTTCAAACAGAGCGCCATGCGCAGTTGGAAGAAGCTACCAATGCGAAGTACAAGGCGGAGGCTACCCAAGCATACCCCGCCACGACATTGTACACGCAGTTTGTAGCCGATGGTGATTCTCGCTGCTACGCCGGCCGGGTCAAAGGGTCCAGATCTTATATATTCGCAGTGAGACTCTTCTCGTTCAGCCAGAGCCCGGAACCCACGCGCAAACGCTACTAGCAGGGACGCGATGGTGAAGGCCTAGGCAGCGGGGAGGGTGCGCGGGATCAATCTGCTTCGGAGGAAGATTAAGACGAGGCCCCCATCAAGCACAACCTGCCCTTCCACCTGCAGGCCCTCGCTCCCGCCTCGCCCAGGCGTGCTATTGAAGAAGCCGTCACCCTCGCCCGAGTCCTCCAAGGCCTCATCCGCAAGTCGCAACCTCTTCAGGGGCACCCCGACGTGGAGGAGGATGAGGATATATGGGGGAGGACGAAAACGACAACGATGCCGTCGATGAAAAAGTGAAAGCTGCCGAGACGGAGTGCAAGCAGCAGATCGCTGAGCTGCACGGCCTGGGGAGGGAGTTGGCGGAATCCGAGGTCAGGATACAAACGACTACCGCGCCCATACTGCAAAAATGTATCCTATAAATAATCGGAAACTGCGAAAAGGAGATAGCTGTCATGAAAGCTTTTCTTGGAATGGCAGACGAAGACTAAGAGCTCCCCGGCCATGCCAGGGACGACAGTCGAGGCCGTGTTGTGAGGACCAGTCATGGTTAGGATACTTCTGGCAGGCTTACAAGCCCCAACAATCCTTTTAATCATGGACATATTCAGCGCTCGAACAGCGAGTCCATGCTTGAAAAGTGGACCAAGTCTCGAGGCACTGGGTCCGAGGGCTTGACGGTGCCTGGCTCCTCCGCAGCCGGTTCTCTATCGACCGCATGGAGGGCTGCCGCTGGTACGTCTGGGGGCCTGCGGAAACGGTTGAGCAGGAGAGCTCAAAGACGGTAAGGAGCCCACGCGTGAGCGTGTGTACCCACCCGCCTGTCGGCTCGCTAGACTTCGAGATCCTGGCCACGGCCTTGCCGCCGAGGCGTCCAGCCTCTGGCAGATTAGCGGTCGGGGTGCGGAGGCGCATGCGACCTTTGCGTTCCTTCACGGCCAGAACACGGTCCCCCAGCACAATCCTACTCCGCAGATGATGGCTACTGGGAGCCTGGGAGACTTGTGTCTCCTACGCCGTCCGTCTGGCCATCAAGTCATGTACTTGCTCAAATCTGTGAAGGCCTGGGTTGAGTCAGATGGAGCTTCGAGCGGCGAGGAAGTCGGCTCTGTTGGTGAGATCAGCAACGACTACGGCCTTAATGATCTGACGCTGGACATAACTCACCTCTCCGCGCCACTACCGTCGAGATGTTCATCGACAATCCCGTCATCCTAAATTCGACAAGACGTCGCCAGCTGCAGCGCGCGGGCTATTCGCGATATGGTCTTCACGCTTGTGTAAGACTTGGTAGTTACTGGGCAATTTACTTTAGCCTGGAATGAATCATCCAGCTCGACGACAATGCCCCCGGGCATTTCATGCAACTCAGATTCGCCCCGTATCGGCAGGTAGAAAACTTCGCCGGTCATCCCCAGCCAATGTTTCCCCAGCAGGCCATTCCTGCCGTCGAGGTGCTTGGTCGCGTGAACCAGGAGTTGACGGGGCGCGACTTCAAGCCAAGCGAAGAGCTTGAGGTGGTCCAGCAGGTCAACAAGGTCCCTGACCAAGTCGGAGCAAGCAGACGTCGCTGCGGAGTCTGCACGCCTATTGGATGAATGGAGCAAATTGGAGGTCGCGTATCGTATTCCCCGGAAGAAGTTCGACCCCGATGCACAGGCGGCCCAAGCCACGCCCTCTGTCAACTCTTTCGAAGATGGCTGGGGCAATCGCCAAGAGGAGCCACTCATCCGGCGGTTGCCAAGAAGCCTCGAAAGAAGAAGGTTGGCGAGGACGACGAGGAGTACGTTGATAGCGTGCAGGCTCGCGGCCTCGATGAGAAAGGCGTCACGAAAGTCATGGCCACGCTCATGCAGTGCAAAGAGAAATGGGTCGCTGTCAAACTGCTGGAGCGTATCCAGCACGCTGACAACAACCAAGTGCGCAATTCGAGTTGTGCAAGTGCACGGATACCAGATCCCGAAAACCGCGCACCTTCTACTGGGTTCACGTGCCAGAGCACGCACCAACTCGAGTCTTGTTGATGGCGCGACTCAGGTGGATGGCGAGACGGCGGAGATGCTACCACGTAGAATTCCATACGACGAATTCTACGAAAGCAAGTCGTTTTTTCCCTCAGCATGCGGCTCCAATTCGAGCGATTCCCGCTGTCGGATGTCGCATCCCGCACTCGATGCTCATGTTGACTGCCACGATTTCGACACCAAGAACATTCTGAACTTGACGTTGGTTGAAGTTTACGAACCACTGGAACGGTGGGTGTCGGTCTGCGTTGGTCGGCGATCGGGTGCAAATGTCGGTCCTGATGTCCGCGTTAGTCTCGGATCTCCGCCCACCGCCACCCCCCTATGCTGCCCCATCCGCAAATCGAGGAGAAGCGGAAGGAGCTGCAACGACCCCTCGCCCGCGCCACCAACACCGATCAGTACTTCCATGCAGCAGCCGAGCCGAGCCGACCGCCAAGAAGAGTCTGTTAGACAGACAGCATGTCGATGACCACAAGGCCTTATTTGATCGCGTTAAGTTTCGATAAGAAGCCCAAATTCTTTATGGCGGACGACTGCAAAGGCGAAGGCTGCGATAGAGAAGCACGTCCGAGGGCTTGCTGGCGAGGAAGTTCTCATAGGAGGCATCTCTGATGCCGACCAGGTGTACGAATATGACAATGATGACCAAGGCGATGAGGTTGACGAGGCGGAGCTGGTTGACGACACTGTCATCGACAGGGTCACCGTCCATAGTGGGCGGCGATACACCTGTTAAAGCATTGAAGCTCAGCAGGACTTTTATCACTAATTCAGAGCTCTCATTTCCTAGCCTTAACCGGTACTCTTTGCCAGAGTCGTCCTACTGATCAGGGGTCTCCGGAGCATCGCTGATGCCGAGCCTTCGGACGCAACATCTTCCCTTGAAGCGGTCGTTTTGGTGTAACTTGCATTGCCGATGGTGGTGTACAAAACGTTGGCCACATCGTCAAGGGTCTCGCACTCGGCGCTTCCACCGGCATGATGGGTGGCCTGCTCGCTGGCACAACCGAGTCCCCTGGTACACTCAGCTCTCATAAGTCTCCGTACGCGCATATTGGCCAGATTCTAGACCATTAGCGAGTTGGAAATACTGGAATAAGCGCCCTGGAATAAGCGTCAAGCATGGTCAATAAAGACCAAACTGCTTATTCCTCTGTGCTTACTCCGATTTGATGAATTTACCGTTGTTTGCTGAGAGGGGTGGTGTACGGAGACTTCTGAGGGTTCGGTGTACCTCATTCGTTTCGCGGGAAGGCAAGCTTGTCAAGGCACACCGCGGTATGGGCAGTATCGACGCTATGCAGGACAAGAAGTCTGGTGCTGGCAGCAAGAAGACCCAGACTAGCAATGCTGGCACGACGCGGTACTTCAGCGAGGGAGATAGTGTCCTAGTCGCCAGATAACTCAGAGGGGCAAGAAGGGTACGAGACGTCAAGACTTGTCTTGGATGTGTCTGCCCGCGTTACTATTAGAGGCAGCTACCAGCTCGCCGGACCCGGACAGTGACGAATAAGCATCCGAAGATGACAGGGGAAGGGTCTGCCAACCCGGCCTACGACGACCGCGCCAACAAGCGAGCCAAGATCGTCAATGCCGCCACGGGCGAGCGCAAGGAAGTCGCAGTCGCCCACCCCTGGGAGTTGAGCCGGGCGCTCGAGCAGCTACCCGGGTCCCGACCCCTTCGACCTGGGCATCGGGCGACTTTCCCTGGTACGGGATATGAAGGGGCCAGCCAAGGCCAAGAAGTGCTGGCTTGGCGCCGACGAGGTGCACCCCGACGCCTTATCGGCGGATACAACGAGCAACCCGTTCGAGGTTGAGGTGGTGAGCCGTGAGAGCGCGGCCCTGCGGGTGGGCGGCGAGCAGACGCCAAATCAACGGCATCGAGAAGGATGAAGCTTGATGACACCATGCCATGGTTCGCAACATCATCATACTTTCGGGCAACTCCCACACTACCCTCACGGACGCCATATGCCACGTTCTCGGGGCCCCTCCTGGTAACCGGATCTGGACCAATTTCTCTGCCAGCGAATCGCGCTGCGAAATCCAGGACTCGGTACGAGGCAAAGACGTCTTCATTATCCAGTCGGGAGGTGGATCTGAAGAAGCAGCTGCCTCTGTCCTCCACAATTGTCTTCGACGCTCGCCGTGTGACTCGATCGCAGGCAGCCAAACTGGCTGCTTCATCTGACGGTATACTTTACGGCCGGGACCAGATCAACATATATAATCATCTTCAATCATTACCACCCTCCCAAGATCCTTCTCCGCACCCCTCTGGCCCTGATGATCCAATCAACCAAGCCAAGGCCAAGGCGCACCGCAATCTCCCGTCTTTGCGAACCTGCGCGCCGCCCTGAACGACGCTGTCCGAAGAACGACCTTGCTCTTTAGAGCTTTGAGCGCCCGACTCTGGACAGTGTCCATGTGGAATGCAGTTCAGCTGACGAAGACCTGAGCTGCCTGCTCATCGTCGTCCCTGCTATCCCACGAGGTGGGAAACGGCTGGTCCTACTACTCCCATCCTCGCCGATATGGACTCGAACTTCCTAGAGCCGAACCCGGGGGTTTGCGGGGGTCCTCATGCGATCGCAGAGGTGAAGTGGGTGATCCTGCCGCCGGCATACACGGTGCCGGTGTTCATGGCAGTACCAATGACCAGGCATACTTTATGCGAAATGCGATAGATAGAGATTTCCCCTGAAGATAATAATAAAACCGTGATTAAGAACAGATGCGATAACCCTGATATGTACGGTATGTTTCCCTGCTCGAAGACATCGAATCGAGGCTGGGAGCCGGCACTTCACTCGCCTCGGATCGTCCCGCCGGGGACGTTAAATATACGTTGACGCCATTAATTTCTTAAAAGAGAAGAAACCCTCGTGATTCTTTTCAAGGTTGCGACAGAGGCTGAATTAATCTCAAGACGATGCCACTTTTCAATCTGCTGGGTTGGGAACATGAAGTCAACTCGCCTGGAAGCGCAAGCCAACCTAGGCGGCCCAGTTTGCAACGACCAGCTGTGCTGGATTCTTGGTACATCTTTGCCCCGTCTCTTCCTCTGCCGCCATCCTAACTGGTCCGCAAGGACACATCTATTCAATGGGACCGGTGGAATACTAACGAGTCACTCGACCAACAAAGAGGGCAATGGGGTCTTTTCTTTGAGCAAGACACGAATGACGAGTACGGCGACGGAGGTGCTACCAGGGGCGCCGCACTAGCGACGAAGACGAAGCGAAGCGAAAAGAGCAGGGCGCGACCAAGCCGGTCATGAACGACAAGGAACAGGAGCTACTCCTGTTGCTCTTCAAGTAAATGAAGTCAGTACCCGACATCGACTGCGACCGACGGGGGCGTGGGGAACTATGACCCCGGCGGAAGACGAGACTTTAATCACCGAGAGTACGCCGTCCTCTAGACATCCGCAAGGGCGTTGGGTCTTTTGGCCAATTACCGACTGAGGACAACACGGAGGCAGTACTGAGCCACATACATCATTCTCTCCCGGAGCTCGAGTCACGGCTTTCGACCGCTTGGGACGAATTCAAGGTCTTTTCGACATTTGCAACACCTTCATCATGGCCTTCTCCAAGGGGTCAGCCTTTCTTCCACGCCTTTCGACTAGCGCTGACCAACCTTCGGTGGGCGGTGTCTGCAACGCGGGAATCGATCGTTGAAGATTGCCTGGCATATGCGTGTCGTCCGAGATAATGTGCAAGAATCAAATCGATCGAGACACAATAGACTGATGTCCTTGCATACTGGATTCGTCCGCAGACCGCCTGCGCACCTTCCCAGTCGACTACCTTTTCGAGAAAATCTGGTAAATGAAGAAAATCGGGAATGCGTTCCCACCCATGATCGTCCTTGCCCTACTGAAGGCGGTCCGCCAGGAGAACGGATACAAGACCATCGAGGACGGTGGCATCATAGTCGAAGATGCTCCTGGCTGTGTCCCGGCCGAGCCTTTGTGGGGGCTGATGCTACATCAACCGCGACTTCGCGTTGATCAAGAAGGGGTGGCTGCGCCCCCAGCGTCGTGGGCCGCGTGGTGCTCATCGTGCGGCACACTTGCCAAATCCGCTGCCCACGTCGTATATATATATACTCTCTCGACATGCCGGATGTCGGCAACGATGATGGTGGTCCTGATGCCGCCCATTTCCCAACATTAGACCCGACACCTCCAGTATCGTCCATTTGATGCATTATCACCTGTCGGAATAGTCACCTGTCAGTTTGTTCCCCAAGCGCTCTCCACCGTAGCCCGACACGATGGCGACCATGAGGGAGCTTCCCGTCCCATCCGCAACGCTGAATGCCCCGGCTTAGACAACCAATGGGGTCTCCGTGAGCCGACAATTGCCGTCAGAAGATTTGACTTAGAGGCCCCTCTCCCAGATATGTTAGATATCGAATCCGATCGTCAGTTCAAGCGAGCCGAACTCCCGAAGACAAAGAGTTACACATCCATTAGACAGTCGCCCAACGAACGACAACCCTCTAACATACCACGGTCAGACACCGGGTCACCTGGACTCACAGCCAAAACACCGCGCGGTTTCACCAATGAAGCTGCGATACAAGGCGCCCTCGGGCGGAGGCAGCATCGTGGTCGACGATCACGCCACCGTCGCGCAGCTGTTCGAGACCCTCAAGTCCACCACCGGCTTCGCTGACGTCACAGTCAAGTACGGCTGGCCGCCGCAAGCCCTGGGCCTTGAAGAAGCGCGGCCGAGTGTTCGGCCACAATATGGTAATAGAATCAAGGAGAGAAAGGCCTGACAGGGCCCATCGCATTTCAACCTCTGGCGATGGGCAACATCCCAAGAGGTTGCTGACTTCTTCTCCAAGGGAGCAGCCTTTCTTGCACTCCATCCGATCAGCACTGGCCAACATTCGATAGGCGGTGTCTGCAAGCCAAGAGTCGAACACAGTTGAAGATTGACTGACATAGGGGTATCATTAGAGATTTGCTATGCAAGAACGGAGCCCATCGAGACGCAATGGACTGGTGTCCTTGCATATTGGATTCATCCGCAGGCCACCCGCGTCCGCGCAACCACTTTCGTCTTCTGCTTCGAGGACCTACGGGCGCTTGCCCGACTTATCAGGTTTTCAGGAGATCGGTGTCGTGAAGGCGAGCAAGCCTCTGAACCAGATAAGCAAATTGCTGATCACGAGGCGCTCTGGTTAAAAAAGCAGGGACAATGCGATCCTCATCTGTGGGAATGACGACCAGAATGACGGTCCGTTATCGAGGGTGCCCAGCCTATCTCGCCGCACACCAACCACAGAATGTTGGTGACATTGCAGCGACGCCCGGGTGATTCTGTGTGGGTCCGCCGAGACGGCCAGGCGAGTCCTAGAATGGGCATAACGGTGGTGAACATGGCCAACTACATCGACCGACACCACGACGATAAGCATCGTCAGCGAGCCGACTGGATCGAGATGGTCAACAGCTGGCCTCCCTTCCCCGAAGGCACCGTTGACCCCCATGCTGCCGACTGCCGGATGATAATCTAGCTGCGTTTATCTGCATGGGCATATTCGCTGGTTCTCTAAAGCATATAGCTACATGTGCTTGCATGGGTACTGCTGCCATGTTAATGGCCCAAGGCGACGTGCAGAGCATTGGCTCGGGTACTCAGTCCAAAGCCGATACCGCCGCGCTGGAAGCCATCATAGCCCAGGCCAATGTTCTCAAGCAGCGAATTGCCACGGTGCTTGAGGGCCGGGTCACAACTCCGACAGCAACGACGAAGGCCAAGAGGGTGGTGAGGCCGGTCGCCGTTGCCAACACGGTGATGTTTTCTCCAATCACCCCTGCAACCCCAAGCCCCTGAGGTGATTACTGCCGCTTCTCTGGAAGTCACTGGATGGGGAGAGGCACCCTCTGCCTTGATACCCTGATCAGAACCCCGCTGAGTGATGCAACAACCTTCGCCAATGCGGCGAGATGCTTTAGTGCCTCATCGACAAATACGGTATCCTCGAAGAAGGTTGCCACGGGACGGCCCAAACAGTATGACCCCTCGGATCAACCTGTAGCGCTGAGTTCTCGTTTGGGGCGAACACGTCGTCCCTGCACCCTCTCGCGCCTACGAGCTTCCACCACAATCTTCTGTCATATGACAACCGCTATGCGCAGGGTGACCGGACGTTCGCGGCCCATCGACAAGGTGTTGAGCGTCAGATGGAAGGAATCAATAATCGAATGCCGGGTGCAGTGGACCTACCCAGGCAATGGTTCCAGAGACTCTTGGGAGAAACTTCGTACGATGCCCACTTCCGCAACGTTCTCGCAAGTCTATTGTTTCTGCAAGCGCTTTGGGCCCATCCTCCTATTACGAGGATTTGGCTCCGGCACCCCGAACCTGCACGGTGGTCCTCTCCAGCGTCGTCGATCCAGTCGCCTTGTTAACGCTGGAAGTCGACATGCGCGCACCAGACTACTCTGCCCACCTGAGAGGTTGGGTTCCTCCGATCAGACCTATATAAGAAAATTGCCATCCGTCAGGCCCAACAGTCCGGACCCCCACGTCGACCCGTGAGCAACATATCGTCACGACGGAGAACCCACGGTGTGAGCCTGTGAGTATTTCCTCCAGCGCAAAGTTTTTGCTTTCCGATTTGTCTTGCGACCCATATCGCACGGGCTTGGACTCTGCACGTTTGTCACAGGACTTTTGATTGAACCACGGTCGGCTGTTCATCAGGAAAATCAGCGCCATCATGAACGGACGAAATCCTCGCTCGAGGCGGGCATCAATCTGAGCGCTGCATGGTAGCTCGTCCTGCTGATGAGCTTTAGACAATCGGACGTGCGAGCGCTCGCTCTTCGGGTACGCGTCGTATGCTGGCAAGCATGTGACCGGGCCGCCAGTCGAGAACTGCCGTCAGTTCCACGCTGGGCGCCTGCCCTTCCTTCTTGTGCGCATTTCTCGCGGCGCCGCTGCTTGCGGTCATACTTCAATGCTCGGGAGGCAGCATTTCTTTTCGCAACGATCAACGCCGGTGCACTTGCAAAACTCCCAACCGTTTCGTGAAGCAGCCTGGGAATTGGGCGTCCTTGAGTTCGGCGTCGACCTCTAAATTTTTTATTTTAAGTATTTTCGAAATTGGCGATTGGGGTCGCATTGACCACTACTAGCTAGCCGCCTTTTCTGTGGTAACCCTGATCGGCTACACTCCCCGGCCATAAGTCTCCGAGCATCCCTGTTTTACACCAAAACACCCCAACTTTACGCGATCGTGATAAATCGAGTAAAATAGATACAACTTAAGTACTTATAGTACATATAGTTAAAGTTACTGGGATATTAAAATGGTTTATTTAAACCCTTTGACATCTTAAAGATAAAGGTCGTAAATGTTACTTTATTAAAGGTTAAATTTTGATAAAAATAAAGACTAGATTTTTTTTTAGTTATATTTATAATAATGATAACTTTCTAACATATCTATTTTTTTTAAAATCTATCACATAAGGTTTTTTGTCTTATACGTATATTACATGTCATTTAATATTATATAACTTTATTACGACTTATACGATTTTTTAACATTTCCTATAGCTTTATTAAGATTTAAGATTTAAGATTTAAGATTTAAGATTTTAAACTTTACTTTTATATATCTATTTCTTCATATTTTAGTCGCTAAGAAAATAAATATTTAGAAATTAGTTACGAAAACTTCAGCATTTTCAAATATTAGTTTCTTATAATATCTCATTTTAAAAAGCTTTATGTTGGATCCATGCGATTCCAGCCTGCAAACCATCTATACCAGGACCCACATGTATGATTAGATAAGTGATTAGATACCGGATTGCGAGGTCACTTAGCCAGACCTTCAGGTCCAGCTAGACCTCCCAATCCAACCATCAGCAACATCATGACCTTGACCCCATACTCGAGTATTATGATTGATCGTTCAAGCCTGTTCCAACACTTTAAGTCTTTAGTTATAAAAGCGTAGAGGTAGGGCATTTTGGTGTAAATGCGGGATGCTCGGAGACTTATGGCGGGTCAGTGTAGCACGTGACTATATGCTGGTAGAGCTTTCAGCAGATGCTTAGAAAAGGCGGAGTGTTGTAGCGAAGAAGCATGAAAAGTACGAAGAGAGCGATGTGGTCGTATTCTTCGAGATCGGCAGCTTTCTGCCGGACACGACCTACTTCTGGGAGTACGTCGCGTCGAGCAGGCTCAAGATGAACGGCAAAGACGGCTTTCTCGTCAAGACGTGTATGGTTGACGAGCACCTTCCGTGCCAGTACTGCGGCGCTACACAACAATCTTCCGATGCCTCGTAGTGTGACCTCCGGCATTGGGGAAAAGAGGGCTGCCCTGATTGGGAGGAAGGAGCTAACGGCGGGGGCATGCAGATGGGACAGCCCCCCAGATGGGACAGTTCCCCCACCAAAACACAACATTTGCACCCACCCACATCTCTATCGGGATTGAAGCTGTAGATATCGTAAATATATCGTCTGAATTTTCTTTTCTTGGTGTTTCTTCCAATGTGGAATTTATTAGGTGTCCTATAGCGGGATGTCCCATGGCGGGGGTCAGAAGTTAGCACGTCTGGCCCTAATCTGAGGAGTAATGGGACCCGTGCCCCCTATCCCCTCTAACCAGGCAGAAGTTCTGCGGTTCTTTTTTTCCTTTTTTTTGTAAGCATCATAGGCTTCAGTATATCAAAATGGCGTCTTTATACACCAAAGAAGACCTTGCTGAGGCGATAGCCACCATGAACAGTGACAATCTGTCCCTCCAAAAGGCTGCCCAGCGCTATAGAGTACCAAAAACCACCTTTTCTCACAAAGTTAAAGACTCCACGATGCCTATAACTGGCACTTAACATAAAGGACATGCTCACAGGCAAAAGATAAGCCCTGTTCAAAAAAAAAGGTGGTTTTATGGATTCTGTACCAAGAAAAGGCCGGCCATGCCCCTACTCATGCCAATATGAGGTACATCATCCAGAAGATCCTATAATCCCAGGGAAAACCGCCTTATTTTGGGGGCCATTACATGGGAAATTTCATCCGCCAGAACTCAGAGATAAAGACTAAAATGGGCAGAAAACTTGATTGCAAGCATATCAATGCTGCTATTCGCGATAATGTCAATAAGTACGGCATCATACAGGGCCAGCAGTACGTACGTCCAATCCAAGTGTTTTTTAGACGGCTAACCGGGAGGTTATAGGTCTAATGGCCTTGTAATAGGCTCAAAAGGGGCCAACGTCAAGTCTAACGATGACCGCACGTGGACTACCGTGGTAGAATCGATCACTGCCACTGGGAAAAAGCTCCGGCCGCTGGTTATCTTCAAGGCGAAGTCGATACAGACGCAGTGATTCAAAGAGCAGCTTATTCTCGAGTATCCCAGGGTGGCAAACTGGATAGTGACTTACTCTGCTAATGGCTGGTCCTTAAACGCGATCGCGCTTAAATGGCTTAAAAAGGTTATTTTATTTTATTTTTTAACGTTAATTATATGCTAAACAATCCCCTAGATCTATTTGCCAGATACTGTCCCTGAAGACCCGGATGAGTTCCGCCTGTTGGTGCTCGATGGCCATGGCAGCCACTGCTCAGATGATTTTATGTATCTGTGCTATATAAACAACGTCTATCTGAGCTTTTTTCCTGCCCATACGGTAGGTTATATCCTTAATTAGTAGTTATTCCGCTAATAGGGGTAGTCTCACATCTTCCAGCCCCTAGATCTGACCGTTTTCTCTGTGGAGAAGGCCGCCTATCGCTGCCTCATCAACCAGCTCGGTCAGTTGAACGATTCGGCCCCTATTGACAAGATTAAGTTCTTTTCTTGCCTGGCGAAAGCCCGTGACGAAGCTACTCCTGCTATCGGGCGTTCGGGATGGCATGCTGCTGGCCTTTGGCCCGTAAATAGGAACAAGACACTGGTAAACGAGCATGTGGTAAAGGCAGCAGAGATACAAGCAACAGCTGCTGCTATAATGAACCCTGAAACCACCCCTGATGCCCTGAAAGCCCCTATATCAGAGCAGGATATAGCCCTGATGTCGTCAACAGTCACGGAGACCCCTGAGCAACAAGCAGCAATACGCACGGTCGCAAAATCAAACGATGAGATGGTGGTTGAGTTAGCCATCCTGAAGCTGCAAAACGAGGCAAAAAAAGACAAGATCGAGCGTTTATAGCTTAAAAAGCGCCGTAAGGCCCCCCACAAAGAGCCTGATCAATGGCTATAGAGGATAAGAGACGTTATTTAGGAACAGATTGAGCATGCGGAGGCCGCACAAGTGCTGATTGACCAGCAGGCGGAGAGATGACGACTTTTGTGCGAAGTGCAGAACCTGGAGACCAAAGAATCAGAGGAATCGCCTTCTGAGGACTCCCTCTCCTCTGATTCAATAGATTTAGAAGATCTAGATAAAGGGGTGATTATTGACAAAGAGGGCGAGGGGATGTCTGACAAGCCGGATAATAAAGAGAAAGAGCCCATTGTAATGCGATCTCAGCGCCGAGAAATCCGTCAACCCATGCGTTACCACTAAAAGCACTGGTATTGCTAAAAATACCAAGAAAAGGCGATTCTTTTGATATATATATATTATCTATAGCCTCAATACCGATGGGGTTATATGTGGGTGCAAATGTTGTGTTTTGGTGGGGGAACTGTCCCATCTGGGGGGCTGTCCCATCTGCATGCCCCCGCCGTTAGATGGGGTCATGGACTTCAAGGCTGTCTGCCGGTGCAAACTTCGACGGGTGGGAGGCAGAGGACCGTGCTCATCTGATGAAAGCACAGAGCAGAATGCACCGTTGGATCCTAGCAAGCTCGAGTTCTGTCGAGTCAAGTACGACTTCACACGCTCGATGAACTGGCTATCTTCCGGGCTTGGAAACCACAGGGTCCAATCAAGGCCCAGGTGCTGGTGAAGTACGTGGCATATGCTGGCAAGCATGTGACTTACTTTTCTGTGGAAACTTGTACAGAGTTCCGTTTCAACATGCAAAAACTGGCCGTGGTGTTTCGAGAATGCCAGGTTCTATAGGACCTGAAGCTCCGAATCCCGTGCCATGGGACCTGGGGTGAAAGCAACCCATCTCTTCAAAGGATGTGTGACCGAAACCATTCATTTGGGACCGCCGCGTCCTGCATGACCTTAAAAGGCATTTATCTGGGGGTGATTCTTCCAGAATGCCGAGTCCTGGAGAACCTCAAGCTGCGAAGCCCGAGGCACACACACAACCTCCTTCCCAAACCTGGGGTATCTTGGCCAGGATTCCCGTCAAAGGATGTGACGGAAACCATCCATTTTGGACTGCCGGGTCCTGCATGACCTAAAAGGCATTTGGGGGTGGTGTTGACGGGACCCGCTCCGCCAGTGATTCGACACATTGGTCAGGTCCGATGCCACGTGGGCGTCTACAACTAAGAAGGCTGTACCTGGGCCTCGGGGTGAAGCCCACCCGGCCTTTTACCTCTGGGCCTTGGGGTGAAGGCAACCCGTCCCTTCATCGAGATGATGTTCAGTCGTCCGCGGAGAATTCAAAGCTCCGAATCCCCTGTCATGGGACTTGGTGAAGGGACGGGTTGCCTTCATCAAGATGATCGTTCAGTCTTCCGCAGAGACATTGGGGGAGCTTTTAATATTCGTTTTCGAGGCACCTCTCGACAAAGCTCCTGGGGAAGAGAGAAGAAGGCCAAGAGTCCTTCCTGGATATTTTGGACCACTATGAAGCTCGAGATATCCCGCCGCCATAAGATCTTGTATCCCAACTACACCTACCAGCCCAAACAGATCAAGAACGACGACGAGGAGCCCAAGAAGGCCTCGAAGTCGGATACGAGTACCAAGGCCAAGAACGCCGCGATCAGCGACGAGGATCTTCATACAGAAATCGTCATGCCGGCATACGACCATGAGGACATGACCAACAAGGTCACAGCTGAGTACAACACGTACATCATTGACCCCTCGGGGTATGAGGAGTCGGCGGAGTTGGACTCCATGACCGTTAGGGGACTGAACGATCATCTCGATGGCTGTTTGCAATCCTCACCTACCGTAACTTCAATCACGGGCCTACGGGCCTGTTTTCGCGTCTGCATCCATTTCCGGGGCGAGACGCGAGATTCTCGGCTCGAGTACATGTTGGTTCTGTTTCGGATCCGTCGGGGAGGTGGGTGGAGAAGGCATCGTGAAGTTCTTTCACAAGCAGCGCCTCGACGCGAGCCCCCGCGTCGGCCACAAAGCGCAGGGCTGATGGCCCTGACCTCCGCGATGAGGTTGGTTTCTTTCCGCATGCGTCGATGGTGAACCACGCCTGCAACGAGGATGCAATCCGAAGCTTCATAGGTGACCTGATCAACCCCAGGCAGAGCACTACCCTTTCATCCAAGGCCTGAAGCTGAAGACCATTGTCACCTTGGTCAGCAAGGAACTGCCCTCCGCGCTACCAGGGATATTCGCAAAGGCGAGAAGATCACCATCTCCTACATCCCTCGAGATGACAGTCATGCTGCCTCCCAGGTCAAGCGCCTTCAGGCTGAGCATGGCGGCCCACGAGGCCAGGTCGACGCGATGATGCGGAAGATGCAACAGCTCCAGCAGGGAGTCAATTCCTTCTCGGGACCTGGGCAACTGGGTTTCTCGAACCTCACCCAACGACTTTCTCGGCCAGTGATTCATCCGTTGACCGGCTGCTCACCAGGACATGGACCTGGGAAATGGCAATCAGTCATTTCACGGCAAGCCTGCCGGCTCAAGGTCTGGCAATGAAGCTGTCGCGGAATCCAACCCGGTTGACTATGAGGCTTCTATCGATTTGAACGCCATAACACGCCGCCAGATGGCTGCGGTTATCAGCGCATACAGATACGATGTTCTATAGGAGCGGCGAAATGGGTACGTGCGGTGAAATGGGGCGTACGGCGACGGGAGCGCAAGGGCAGGTGTCAGGGAGGTATTCCATGCGGAGGAAAAATTCCACGCAGCAGAGGATGACCGCGCAGTTGAGGACGACCATGCACCAGCAGCACCAGCAGCACCATCTCGCGCCCCCGAGTACTGCAAGGTCTTTGCCGCTGGCCTGTATGCCGCTGTCTCGCCCCGTTCCATGGGCCGGATCGCCTGGAACTCGAAGCCGAGAGGTTCGAAACAACGGTCTCTTCTTCGATAAGAAGGGACGGGGCTCCAAGGTTGTAAACGAGGTGAGTAACATCCAGCTCTTGTCATTGCCCTACTTGCTTCCCCGTAGTAGCTTGGTCTCTAGCCCACGGGATTTCTGGTTCTAGAGACCGGCTACCGTACTCTTGGACCCTTCATACCGAACATAAAGAGCGAATGCTGACCATGGGTTCTGCAGTGGCTTAACCGCCTCCAGGCCATCGCCTAACAGCCCATGCAGCAGCAGATGGGCGCTGGCATGCCTGCACCGCAGCGCACCATTGGCGTCGAGGAGTTCATCAGTGACGGCTCGCGAATTTGGTATCGCCAATACCATGGCCTGAAGTCCATAGGGTAGAGTACCGGGTTTGCATGACAGGATCCTTCAAGCACTCGACTGCGCTGATAATAGAACGGGCGGTTCTTGTGCTAACCTCGACGTTGACGACGCCGCCGAATCGACGTCATGAAACTCGACAAATGGCTCTGTCTCATGGGGAGAAGCCAGACACGCCGCAGGAGCACTCGCCTAACGATATTAACGCTTTGTGAGCAGAAATATCGGAGGTCAAAAAGGGGGCCGAAAGACACAGACGATTTACTCAAACAGCTGTCCCGCGACACAAAAACGAGGTGGGGGAAGCTATCGACCGAGAGCGCCGTTATTGGGGGACGTTCGTAGCCGAGCACAAAGCCTCGACCAAAGCCCTAGTGACCGAGCTGCAAGCTATGCGCGCGAAGGTGAAAGGAGTCGAGGCGGTGGAAGGAAGCATGACACCCAGGGAAAGTGTAAGTACCTAAATACAGTATATAAGTAAATAATCACAAAACAAAAACCACATGGTATCTAAGTCCCGCTCGGTGGAATGACTCGTGACATCAAAGCATCGCCCTGGCCGTAGACATGCCCACTATCTTCCACGGCACACTGCCGTGCTTGCCATCGAAGGGCACAAAGTCCAACAGCTGTCCCTGGCGCAGGAAAGGCGTGACGCGCTCCCGCGCAGCGTCCTCCATCGTGAAAGGTGGCGGAATCGTCCGGTCGATGACCTCGTCCTCCGGCGTGGACCAGGTAACAGCGCGAGTCACCTCTTTACTGCGCGCAATAACAAAAGCGCACTCCTTCCAGCGCGCGCTCTGGTACTCGGCGAACACCTTGTCCAACATCTGGGTACTTGGAGTTGGCGTACTGCGCAGGGTTTGCCGAAGTATGTTCGCGAGCACCGCGACTGAGTTCACCCCCGTGTTGACGCCCATTCCCCACAGCGACGTCGTCTTGTGGATGGCGTCGCCGACTAGCACCACGCGTCCGTGGTGCCACTTATCGACAAGACCTTCTTCTTGGTGCAGAAGCTGCGTATTAGTCTGGTCGCGTGCAGGCCAGAGCTCTTTGAACTTGATCCCGGGGAAGACCTCGACTTCGGCAAAGGCTCCGGCCATATCCTCCATGTCCTCATCCGTGAACCTCCCCCTTTCCGACGTGGGCTCCGGCAGCCGTCTGATCAGCGAGAAATACAGCGCGTCGTGCGTCCTCATCGATTGCGACGCCATTCCGGGGCCGTGGGTCTCGACGAAGTTGCCCTTGTCGATGTCTTGGTTGGTGTACGGGGCGCGGCCGAATATCGACTGGTAGGTGGTGACCATGGGGCCTGCAGGCAATGCCCCGTCGGTTGCCGACTGTGCGCTACCCATTCGCTGCATCAATTCTCTGGTCTTGCTGTGGACGCCGTCAGCTCCGATGACTAGGGAGCCCTCTATCACACTGCCGTCCCCTAGATGCACCTGCACGCCATCGTCGCGCGTTTCGATCCTGACAACCTCCGTGCTGGTTCGCACCCGGCTCTCACGCTCGGGTAGACTCTCATACAAAAGTCTGATGAAGTCCCCGCGATTGAAGCCTAGAGTGGGATATCCAAGACTAGACCAACAGATCAGTACCTATATGATTCGGGAAGGACACTGGGGAGAATGCCTCACTGTTCTTCAACCACGTCCCACAGGCGACCGCTTCCGACGGGTATGGGCTGCCCATCCTGAGTCATTGTCGTTCTTGTGTGGGTTCGCGTCCCGATCTCCCTGGCGCGCTCGTACAAGCCCAGCTGGTCAAGTAGCCGCAGCGAAGGGGGCCATATGATGATGAGCGCCCCGCGATGCCTCACTATGTCCTGGTGTCTCTCCAGCAAGATGTAGTCGATCTTTGCCGCGGCGAGGACGTGGGCGGTGAACAGGCCCACTGGGCCGCCTCCGACGATGATCACAGGGGAGGAGGCAGAGCTCGGCATCTTACTTGGTTGTTGGTAGTCACGGATCAGTGGTGTATCGGTCTGAGCGGGACATGATTGGAGTCATAACGGGGAACATGATGCTCTTAAGACGATACTGCAATATTGTAGGATGATCACTAGCTGACCAAAAATAGACGGCCGGCGACGCAAGGGCTCGGCCCATGGAGCCAACAAGACCCAGTTAAGTAAGATCGGGGATAAGACCGGGGCGCAGAACATACAAATAGACCCCTGACGGCCGCGGAAGCACAATGCGGCGCAGACCACGTGGGATTCGGATTCGGATTTAGTGACCAGGTAACCGGGAAACTATTAGGCCGATGAAGAGTTCTGCCTATATCACTACCATGCTGACGACGGCTGATCGTCTAATAGTCCTCTCGGACTCGCATATGCCCACACAACCGGGACATCTCTCTCGCTCCTCGAGGCATCCTTCCGACCACCGAAGCTGACGTTATCCCAGCCCAAGACCCTGCAGCTGATGGTCGCCTGGAACTTACAACAGTCGTTTCCCGCGAACACCAGATAGCCTACCCCGTCGCCGTTGACCACGTCAGAAGTGCCCGGCCTCGTGACCTGTCCGCGCCATTGAAGCCAGAACTTCGGCGACCGGAAGCTGTTCTTCTCGAACGTGCGAGAGCGACGCTGCTGCGAGGCTTCTGCGCTCACGTCCTCGCTGTCTTCGCGGTCTTCGGCGCTTTCTGCAGCTTCCTCACTGCTTTCTTCGCCTTCGCCTTCGCCTTGCTCCTCTTGTCCACTTGCGTCTGGACTCGAGGTAGAGGTAGGCGGTACTTCCATTTCCCCGACGACATCCCGGAGGGTCTTGCGGCTGCCAGCCAAGACGACCGTCGCCTCGATCGCGCCACGAAGCCGGATCTCTCCGACGAGGCCCTGGCCGCTGGGAGTCAAGCGATATATCTCCAGCTGCGAGGCGCTTGCGCTCCTCCTCGTTGGCGCTTCTTCGTCCGATGCACCACCATGGCCTTTGCGCGCGCTCGGCGGATGGAGTTCGTACCGTAGGTCCCGAATGCCTTGCGCACGTCGAATGCGGCCTGCCGCTCCGTGCGGCCGCCGCTCGACCGGCCGACGCGGTTGTGAACGTGCCGAGAGGAGAAGGCTGCTTCTTGCCAGTCGTCGTCCATTGTGCAGTGGGATAGTCGATTGGCAGGTCTGGCCTCTATTTCGTTTTATCATCCTCGGATATTATTGTTAGTAGCCTGGGTAGTTGGCACCTGTGGTCGAGTCTTGACGTCATCGGGCGCCCCTTAGGGTAGGATGTAGGCAGGTCTTGAATGTTGTCTCATCTGTCTGGCTGTCTGGTTCATCTAGGGTTACACCACACGGACCCCGACTTGCAAAATCAACAGACCTCCTGACGACGGACCGGGAGCTTGGTCGACTAGTGGCTTCAATGGTTGGGACGACGTATGCTTATCCTGTTCGTGCTGACTCGGGAGCGTCCGAAAGCTTGTTTGTTCGGACGACCGTAAAGCCACGCATGAATCCAAACCGGGGTAGTCCCTCTGCTTGAAGAAGTATCTGACTGAAACTCTCCAGCACCGCCGAGTACCATTACCTGCCCTAGCACCCAACCTTCCGGTCCAGCCTCACGGAGCTAATAAGGCATTTCTCAAAGCTACGCCGCAGGTGCCTGGATATAAGCTTATCTCGATGCGTACGACAACCGCATGGCTAGCCCCAGGTGCGAACAGCTTCCTCTGAAGTTGAGCCTCGTTTTTCCGTGGACGCGGGTAAGTCCATAGCTTGGCAGGGCCATGCTCTTCCCGAATCACCAGACGTCTGAAAGTCATGAAAACTCCACTGACAGGATTGTGTAGTTCGATGCTCTTCACGAACGTCCTCGCTGCTACTACCGGTTCTGCCGCCTAGTGAGAGCCATATCACCTGCAATCTATGCAAAACTTAGACATTCTCCAACCAAACATCAGCCACAAACCCGAAGGTGAACTACTATCGCGAGTTATCCATGATACTGTCTTGTCATCGTCTAGATGTCCGGAATGGCAAGCCGAGATGAGCAGTGGCGTTTAGTCTACCTGCTACTATACCACCAACAAGAGCTTTGCTACCTCTGCTGTGGTATGCGCCGGGTGGTTGACCATCCATCTGTCATCACCAGCGAGCGGACGCACCACGCAGTAGTGGACGTCTTCGCTAATTCGGACCGCTCACTATGGCTAATCCGAAGCTCCAAGCTGCTCCCTGGAATCAGTAGAACCGGAGTCCGTAGCAAACAGCATGAGGAAGGCAAAAATAGTGATATTTGGCCCTCGGGTTCCATGCCAGACCGATATAGACACAGAACGTCATTCTTCAATCACCATAGCACCTGGACAGTTCCTTCAGATTCCTTCCCAGTATACCTTCAATACTACCTTCATCTTGTACAATCACTTGAACCACTCATCCTTTCTCCTCAGAGGACCCCGAGTCATGAGGGCCACGACCTTGCTCCCAACACTGCTGTGTGTTGCTGGAGCTACCCCGGTGTTTCCACGTCAAGACGTTGACCTGACGATCATCATCGCAGCTCCGGATCCGTCCACGGCGACGATTCCGATCGGTGTGGGAAGCCAAGTCGTTAGCTATGATCTCCCGGCAGCTACACGGGACGCTACGGTGTCTCCGCTGCCGGTAGGAACTGAGGCTGCCACCTCACTGGTTGCTATCACCTCGTTGGTTTCTACCGGCTCACTGGCTGCTACCTCCTCACTGCACTTGGCGGCCAGACAATCACAGGCCTGTGAACCCCTGGCCGCCGGGGACGGGCCTCAACCAACTCCCGACACTGCCGACGCCTTCCTCGCCTTTCAGGATTTTTCAAATGCTGCGAAGGGGGCAGTCACGCCCGCGGGCTACGTACTCCAATATCAGGATTTGAAGGCAAGCAGCAATGCCTATGGTTACTGTATGTTGGACACCTTTACCGGACAGCACTTGGGCGTGGCATTCTATATTCGATCAAAGCAAGCTGACCGCTCTACTTCTAGTGGGCCACAGGACTCTGAAGACGTATGCTCCCGACCAATGTGCCAGCCAGTGCAATTATATCACTGGCTGTTCCGGCTTTGGCATCTACTTCGAAAGAGCCCCAACCGTCGTGCCCGGTAGTGGTGACAACTGCACCGATCCCGCGTCCACTACGGTCATCAAGTGCGTGTTCTGGGGTGGATACCTCGCAGAAAATAACGCCATGAACGATGGACAGTTCCTTCAAGACTTCCATGTGGTTATCGCTGGCTCGAATGGCTACATGGCCACAGCTGTCCCGGAAGTACCGGGCTTCACCGGGCAGTTCTTGGGCACCAGCACCATCGACGCCCCCCTAGATTGCAACGGACAAGACACCTACATGGGGCCGAAGTTTTTCAGCCAAAGTTATTACGACCCGAACCTCTGCGCCGCTGCTTGCCAGTTAGTATTCCCACGCCTTCTCTCCCTTTTTGGACGTGTCTGGCGTCTCAGGCGCCATAGCGAAGAGACCCCAGCGGCTAAAGCGGTCATGTCGACGTGAATGTTGACACGATTACAGGTCGCAAAACGACTACAATACAGCTCACCCTCCTCCTGACGGCGACCCTCAAATTTGCAGGTTCTTCACCACATACCTCGTCGCCAGAAACGGGATCCCGGAAGGGCAGTACTGCGCACTGTACACAGAGTTTTGGGACAGCTCGTATGCCACAAACGAAGTAAGTGCATAGAGCCGCGGATCGAACAGAACCATTACCCCACTGACGTTGTGTGAACTTCTAGGGCCAGTATCGGGGGAATGATCATTACACGGTTGGGCAGGCCTATTCCTACTCCAACACAGCATCGCCTTCGGTGTCAAATTGCACGACGGTTATTGCCTAATTGCAATTCGGAGGCGGCGTGTTCTGTACTTCCTGCAATCATTATGTGGCGCGGACGTCGTCTGTGTCTATCACTGCGACGATGATGTTATATTTAAGCTTTATAGCCACTAATACCGTTCCTGCTCGGAGTGACAAAAAATTGAGATCGTGACGCGTTTGACCGTAGTGCCCAACAAACCCATCCTGCCTCCCTCCGCCGAGTCGACAGAGACTGTCGCCTGGAGTCGGCTGTCTTCTTACGACGATGACCACAGGGTGGCAGAACATTCGAAACACGCGGACCGAAGGCAACAGGCCACAACACCTACGTGCGGTGGTGCTGTCGCAAGTACATGAGCTTTCCCATCACAGTGTGACACTGCCGGTCCAGGAGATAGACATTCCCATCACCTTCGAGATCCACCAACTTATCAACCTTCGAGATCCACCAACTTATCAACCTTCCACTCATAAAACCGAACCGCCTTTCCCACAGCGACCGCCCCGAATTTGCGATGGTCTGCATCGATAGCAGCAAGGTGCGCACCAAGCAGTTCGGCGGCTTCCAGCCAGATATGGGCCTGGTCCTCCAGACCAGGCGCGTTACTCGTGATCACAAGGAGTGTCTTCTCGTAGTTGGGTATGACGTCGATGACCAGGAGCGATGTGAACAGCTCTGCCGCTTTGCCGCCGCCAGGAAGCGTCTCCATCCCGGTTGAATACCCGTCTGTGGACTGGAAGACTTGGTGCAGGATTTCGTTCCATACCCTGCAGGTCTCTCCTATGGGTTGGCCCTTGACGAGGCGTTCCTTGATCAGCCAGTCGACGACGAATAGCTCCATGTACTGTGATTCCAGATTAGTTCTGTGAGCAGTTTTGAGTCGCCTGTTGGCTCGAGGGGGGAATAGTAGAATATCACTTACAGTGCCAGTTCTATCTTCCTGGTCACGTAGAGGTCTGTGCCCCTGGTCCCGTAGTCGGAGAGACATGGTGATTTGGTGAAGGGGGATATCAGGTTAGCGACGTTCGTAGCTGAGGGCAAGCCCAGAGTGGAAATCAGGATATATTTAACGACGTGTCTGGCCAGCTTAAAGAATAATGTCGAGATTCTGATGGTTTCCTAAGTTTCTTTTCAGTGGTCTATGCGGGTGATTTGAGCCAGCCACGAAGCCACACAAGAATGAAAAAAGAAAAATGGTAGCCAGAATAATGTCGAGCTTGAGTAGAATCTGGCCAGAGGAGTGCGAGTGATTTTACACTCCGTAATGGTCAGAAGGGTTTCGCTACCAATTGTTGACGTTTTAGGCAGTGCATGCGTTTCGGAAAAAAGAGCCAACATGCGTCTAGGGAGTTGCCGCCTAATGTTGGGCGGTGCGATACAGTACAGTACAGCACTAAGTACAGTATGAAACAGCCCGGATACGGGGCAGTACAGTAAAGTACGGAGCGCAGAAAACCGGCCAGCTGTTCTACCATTGGTGGGTCCATTCCAGCTGCAAAAGAGAGGGGGAAAGAAGTACCTGTCACGTCTATCGGGAACATCACAACCAGCTCCCATGCCTGTTACTCGCACACACTGCTGCCTCTGCGGAGATTTTGTCATCGACGAGAATTGGTCACCGTCTTGGATGGCCCAATTTTATGCCCGTCAGTCATCCTGCCTTCTGATAGACGCAAGACAGAAATCTCACGCTGCATCTAGTCTATGCTGTCGACGAGGAGGCGGACGCGCCGGCCTTCCTTTCTGGCCCTGGACGCAGACAGCGATTTGCCGATGTTGTCCAAGTCGCCGACTCTGAGCGTGCCGCGGCCGAGGATGACCCTTCGCATCGATCTCATGCGCTCGGGCTTCGGGGACAACGTGGTCTTCCCACCTGATTATGATAACGCACCGCAAATCTGGGGCTCACCTGATTATGATACTACACCGCAGATCTGGGGCTTTCCATTCCACTCCTCGTGCTGGAAAATATTGTCAGCCTACTGCCCAGTGGCACCATCGGAGTTGAAGGCACTGTTAAACCTTTGCCGGTCTTTCCCCGACCAACAGAGTATTCTCGACTGGGAACACGACTACGGTGGATTTGTTTGTCACATTCAGCACTCGCCCCTGGTGAGGAGCCCAGACCACACCACCTGCCAAGTGCGATAGGTTACGGCCTAGATCCTTTCTATATTCCAGAGCTCTGTCGGGCCCTTCAGCAGCCCATCCGACATACATCTTCAGATGCTGCCGGCCCGCGTGCCCAGATCTCGAAACCGTCGGACCTAGATGTTTTTGCAGGATTGCCAACAGAGATCCTCTCACACGTTCTCACATATCTCCCATCATGCGACGTTGTTCATTTAAAACAAGCGTCTGGCGTCTTTGCTGATGTTGCTTTGCGTGATGACTTTTGGAGGTCGCGCTTTTTCCTCGGACATGAGTTCCAATGCATATTCGAAGCTGAGCGACACTTCCACGTAAGGAAAGGGCAATGGAGATCGATGTTCAATTCAGTCAAGGCCCTGAGGTCCCGCGATACCATATTGAACAGACGACGGGTTTGGAGTCTATGTTCATCTCTACGCCAGGTGCTGAATCTGATGAAGGACATCAGCTGTGACGGAAAACCTGTCCAGTCTTTCTTCGAGCTAAGCGCTTCGCCGGATGATACACGCTGGGTTACTGCTAGCAGAGCTCTGAAGTCTCCGGCCCAGGTCATGTCTGCGGGATCCAGAGCCCTATACGTGCGAACTTTGGTACTGCCCCCTACTGCGACTGCCATGTTCGTCTCCACCGTTGAGCTCTTCGGCCAGCGTTATATATCTAGTATCTGAGTTCTAGACGAGAGTGGCGTGTCTGCTCCCTAGGTTACAGGCATCCAGACACCGAAACCCCCCTCTCGCATGATAATGGACCGTTTCGAATTGTAGGCTTCTATCTTGCCCAAGACCAGAGAGGGGTGCGGGGCATTGCCGTGATATACGACAACGGTACCTTATCCTCTTGGCTGGGAGACCATCGGCATATACCCAAACGGAAACTTTTGTCTCGCGGGGAGCACTTCGCAGGGTCAATTGCCTAAAAGGTGGCTTTGATGTGAGTGACTCTGTTCAGATGTTCCCTACGCTGCCATCGGCGCCTTCGAAGAAACGGCTCTAGAATAACGAACTGACGTGGGGTACTAGGCTGTCAAGCTCGTGTCCCTGTCTGTGCCTGCAGTACACGAGACTCAATTAGACTCAGCCGATCAACTCAGGATCCGAGATACGACCCTTTGGTACCCTTATATACCACACCCGGCTCTCTCTTTCCTTGGAATATCGGAACACCCACGCCAAGCTGACCCTTACTAAGAACTTCCCTTCTGTTGTGAGATTTTTGGTGGCCTCGACGGCGAGAGACTCCCCAACTTGACTGGCTTCACCGTCCAAACATGCGAGCTTGAATCTCACGTGGTGTTGTCAATTGGTACCAATCTCAACAGGGAAAGCGCAGCCCAGCTAGGCTTGCAATTTGTCTCATCTGGGCAGGAGGGGCAAGAGTTCATGATCGATGGTCCAGGTGGAGAGCACATCGCAGGGCTCGACACGTTTCATACACACGATCGGCTAGCAGGGTTCAAGGTGAGTCGGGGTTTCTCGTCTGCTCCCGGTGTTGAGCACTTATACTCACTGTTTCAACGGGCAGATATACACCAGCCGGAATCGCACCGCCGACTTTCCCAACGGATTCTCTAGGGTACTATCGCCTCACCACGTTGAAATTAGATCTGTTCGTGCTGAAGGAAAGATCGTTGTCGGTCTCTGGGCCACGATGGTGAGTGAGATAAGAACAGCATGACAAGTGCTAGTCTGGTGCTGATGTACACATCATTATAGAAAAGGTATGAAGACTATTTCGACATAGGGCTTGTATATGTTGCCTCCACGGGAGGGCCAGGACCAGAAGAGAGCACGAAAGAAGACACAGGGCCATGATCCGAGCCGGCTACCTACCCCAACGAATGGACCCTCCGCAACATCGAAGGCACGTGGCAGTGGCATTGTGCTACCACTCACGGCTATGCAATCAGTGGCATCGGAGGCCGCAGCAGAATCCTCAACAACGCCGGTATCATCCTAGGCTCTTTGACCCCGAGGCTTCATTTGTGTCTGCCAAAAATCGGAAACCCCATCCCTCGATGCAGGCCGGTTATGCGTAACAATACCAGAAAGGTACATTTCAGGTAAAGACGAGACTCTACTCTGTGGTCTAGAGGTGTGCGTGCGCGTCCACACGATTTCCAGCTTGGGCTGTACGATATTCGTTCCCAGAACGTAGTGTAGGACTACGAATCGGCACCCTCAGCAGTATTATGCGGGGGGAGGGGGTTGGGGGTTTACACAGCTAAGCCGGGCGACTGTATGGCTGCTGGCTGGCTGGCTGGCTGGCTGACCTCCGGCCACGCGTCCCGCGTCGGAACAAATCTTCCCCCTCCTGGGTGCACCGCCCCGTAGCCTGCATAGGGCCGCGGCGCAGCCTCGATCTTACAACCTTGGATGCTCCCTTCCCCCAAGGCCGGCCAGGGCATCCAGCCTCCCCGTCTCCAACCTTGCAGCTTGCGGACCAATGAATCTTTCCCTCCTGGGTGCACCGCCCCGCAGTTTGCGCAGGGCCGTCGGCGCAGCCTTGATTTAATATGACGGGATCTGGCCGTCGCCCAATAGCTATAGTCTGCCGTTGTGAAGACCTATCCCCTGAACGCAGGATGCCAAAGATGAGAACATCTCCAAAATGGCACTGTTATGTCAGCAGTCCCGGGGAAGTGTTCACTCGCTGTACAAGCATCTTCAAGTCTTACGACGAACTGGCGGGGTTCAGGAGAGTAGCGAAAGAGAGCACGCCATCTGTCAGGATACCATCAGGCTTTTTGAGGTCTTACGAGAAAGGGGGATCCTTCACCACCTCATTCCGGAAAACCTCGAAAGTACAAAGCCTAGTTGTCTGGCTCTCTTCGGCCCCTTGCTGATAAATTGCTTCTAGGAAAGCATATGCGCATGAAAGCTGTGCAGGAGAGGTGTCGGAGCTCAGACGGACACATCGCTGCGGCTTCGGTCCTCACAAGCTCCTGGTTGCACGAATGCTTGACCGAGCACCAAAGCTGTGCCCGTACAGGTTTACTCGGATCCTGGCCTTCGCTGCCACGCCGCGTTCTGGACCTCCAAAGACCGGAGGACTCTACAGACCCTTCTGTCCGCGTTGTCGATGGTCACAGCATAAGAGCGCCATACTGTGCACTGAGCTACAGATGGTCATCCAAGCAAAGCAACCCAATGGTTCTGTCGACAAGGAACGAGCCATTCCTATCTTGTGGGTTTCCATCCAATTTCTTGAGCGTTGCTGCCTACGACGCAGGCACCCTGGCGCGGAAGCTTGGTATCCGCTACCTCTGGGTTGATGCACTGGTAAGTGGGCAGCATGCTAAGGTGGAAATCATCGAGTCCATCTAACGTATGCGTAGTGTATAATACAAGGCAGTGGGGGAGATTGGCACGCCGAGTCGGGGAAGATGGATATAGTGTGTAGCAACGCTGCGCTCACCATAGCTTCGGTCGATGGAAGCAGTCTGTCTGACGCATCGAAGAATAGGTCATTCCTAAATCAAGCATCTCAACTCTTATCGTTCGATGTCTCTGATTCGGACCCCGAGGACATCTACAAGATACTCGACAGAACGGGCAACTTCATTAGCCGCCCTGAAGGCGAGCTTGACGGCCGCGGATGGGCTTTCCAAGAAAAGCTCCTTTTGCCGAGGACTCTGAGTATTACTCGAGATGGCATGTACTGGGACTGTCTCCATTACTCGGCTTGCGATCAGAGACCGACCGGCCTGCTTGGAGATGTCTCCCCCGGTTTCCAGGACGTTGACGATCGGGCATTCAAGAACATTCTGATAGGGTCCCCTCTGACTGGTGGGATCTCCAAGCAGCTAGGCTACTGGCTGTGGCGCCGCGCTGTCCAGGAGTACACCTCACGCGAACTGACGAAGAAAGAGGACCGAGCTATTGCGATCAACGGCATTGCACGACGCATGGGTGCACTGCTCGAGGATGAACAAGTTCTTGGCATATGGAGGCAGGACTCGCTCCGGTCGCTGATATGGTTTGTGGAAACAGCGCCAAGGCATTGGCCCTCTTTCGGGTCTCTTGCACTGGTTGAGGCAGATCACGAAGAATCGAACCACCGCCGAAAGTTCACAAGGAGAAATATCCAGCACGAGCACCGTCATGGACATGGATCTCAACCACGAAACCAGTGAAGTACAGTCTCTGGCATCCCTTCGAGCAACACGCGGACAGGAGGCTTGAGCTTGTGGGCAGTCTGGCGATGGTGCACAATGGCAAGGCGGAAAGCCTGAACTCGTTGAAATTGGACAGCTTCCAAGGGAAATTAACCGTCACCGGACCAGCCACAGACGCGTATGTTTATGGATCATCCATTTTCATACCGCGAGGAACCCGCACCGGTAGACGCTCCGTCGCCATCGGCATCGCGCGTAAATTGAATGGAGACTGGCCACCTATACGAACCAACCAGGAGGCGATGCGTGCGATCAACTATGATAGTAGCCAACCGTTCGACGACCGCAGATTCCTCGAAGCGCGATTCCTGCACGACCCAGACCAGGTAGAGCTCACTAATCAACACATACGCAGGGTCTGCTGCCTCGCCTTGCTCGAGGGCGGCTATAGCTCAGGTCTGAAAGCAAGGTACTTCTTAGTACTCCGGCCTCCGACTCAACAAGAAATTGGCGGTTCCCTTGGCATTGTTAAAGCAATTCCACAAGAGCTCATTGCGAGTAGCCGTGCACAGCAATGCAAGCCCGATGTTGGTGAACCTTCATGGCATCGCGGGCCTACGGTATACGATGATCAGTCGCCGTATGGGCCGATGGAAGACTTACCACAACTGCTAGGGATGCAGTACAACGAAAATGGATGTTTCTACTACTCTCAACCCAGCAACTCGGAATCTAACGAAGAAGAATCTTTCTACTCTTCACCGACTGACTGTGGACACTCTCGTACTTATGATGTGCCCGAGTCAAAGCGGCGATGTATTGCTCAGCCCGGGGCCTTTGAGCGATTAGGAATCTGCGCGTTGGACGCAGTCAGATGTGGTGACTTGCAGCTAGACTATTGGACGGTTGATGTTATGAACAGGCCAAGGCAAAAGTTCATGAGACTAATAAACACACAGCCAGGTGAAGTCCATGTCTGGCATTTTCTTCCTTTGAAGCGGCCCCAGCTGATTAACTATCCTTTGCTTGGTGATGAAGCCCATGTCCACTGTCCAGCGCTGATGACTTGACCGGGGATATGACACAACCACAAGGAGTAATAGCTCATCGGCTTGTCTCCGTTCGCCGATGGTTCGACCGGCCAATAGCAAAACCTAAGGTTAGTATGCGCCCGCTTTTCGACGTTCGGCCATGGGTCCTGCCGATCACGCCATCTAAGAAGTTAAATCCTCTCCACCAAAAACCCCAGTAATGACCCCTTCCAGCCACCGAAGCCCGCGCGGCAACGAGTCGGGCAAGATAACAAGAGCTGAGGGAAAGCCAGACATGACGTCCCTGCGAGCTTCCACAGTATCTTCAGTATTCCCGTGTGCCTCTTGATCAACAGCGTCGACTTCGAGGCGGCTGCTACGAGCCTGCATACTCGCTCATCATGTATAGCCCCAAGTCGTCCGACCGGCCGCTGGCGCCGCCCGATGGCGACTCCGACCAGGGCGATTTTCACGCCATCGACCCCGAGTCCGGGGTCAAGCGAGGGCTCAAGACGCGGCATCTGAGCATGATGGCTCTGGCTGGTATCATTGGGCCTGGATTGCTGGTTGGTGCGGGCAGTGCGCTGTCCGAAGGCGGACCAGCGTCGCTGCTCATCGGATTCGCCATCATTGGAATCATTGCTTTCAGGTAATGAACGGCCATGCGAGGCTGGAGAGGGATTCGATGCTGACACACGGCCAGCATCATGCAGAGCTTGGGGGAGCTCACGACCTTGTATCCGTCGGGAGGCGCGTTCACGAAACTGGCCGACCGCATGGTTGACCCGGCCTTTGCCGTCGCGGTTGGCTGGAATTACTTCGTCATCTGGTTCGCCGTGCTCGCCAACGAGTACAACGCCGTCACGAGCATTCTGGTGTTCTGGAGCGATGCGGTTCCGGTCTGGGGCTACTTCCTCATTCTCTGGGTATGCTGCGTTCTTCTCGACGATGGCATTGCTCAATTGACTTACGCGACCACAGTTCCTATTTCTTGGCTTTCAGTTCCTCGGTGTCGAGACGTTTGGCGAGGCCGAGTTCTGGCTGGCGCTTTTCAAACTCGCTGGGCTTGTGGCTTTCTACATATTCGCTATCGTGTGAGTATTCTCCTCCAGCGCTATTATCGCGTGGTCTAACCGACTGTAGCTACGCGGCGGGAGGAATTCCCGGCCGAGATGCCGTGGGCTTCCGGTACTGGCATAATCCCGGGGCCTTCATATCGGGCTTTGCTGGAGTCGCAAAGGTCTTCGTCTTCTGCTCGACCTTCTATGCCGGCGTTGAGTCCGTAGCGGTCGCTGCCACCGAGACGAAGAACCCGGGCGTCGCCGTGCCTATGGCGATCCGGCAGGTGTTCTGGCGCATTCTCTTCATCTACCTCGGCGCAGCTTTCTTCTTCGGCCTCACCTGTCCATCGAATGCCGATGGGCTCGTCAATGGCCCAAGCCGCGCCCTTCAAAGTCCAATGACGATCGCGATACAAAATGCTGGCTGGCAAGGTGGAGTGCATCTCATCAATGCCTTCATCCTTGTCACTTGTATCTCTGCCATCAATAGCTCGATCTACATCTCATCTCGGACACTTTTGTTCATGGCCCAAGACGGCAAGGCCCCCAAGATACTGGGCTGGACGAACAAGCACGGCGTGCCAGTGTATGCGATTATCTTCGCCAACGCCTGCGGGGCCCTATCTATGATGAACATCTCGACCGGAGCTGCGAAGGCGTACAGTTACATTGTGGCGCTCTCGGGCGTGTCGACCTTCCTGGTCTGGGGTTCGATTTCCTTTACGCATATCCGCTTCCGACAAGCCTGGGCCGCGCAAGGCTACCACGAGACGCGTCTGCCGTTCAAATCACTATGGTACCCCTGGAATGCGTATTTTGGGCTTGCCGCCAATATTTTCCTTGCCCTGGTCCAGGGGTGGACGACATTCGCGCCGTTTGACGCGGGTGGCTTCGTTGATGCTTACATATTATTGCCACTGTTTGGCATCATTTACGTCGTGTATAAGGTCGTCTTTAAGACGCGTTTCTGGCGGGTTGAGGAGATTGACTTGCAGTCAGGCCGTCGCCGCGACATTGACCAATCGAAGGTGCAGGCAATGGGCGACTTTGGTCCGAATCAAAGCTTGTGGCGTCGTCTTTTGAACAATTTTTAGTACATGGCCAGGAGATTATGTTTTATATCGAGATATCTACGTGCCACAATATGGTTGAGAGATGTATGAGCAATGTCTCAAACGCTGCGCCCCTTTTCAGTCGATCCTACCCCACGCTATGCGCAGTCCTTCCTGTCTTCAACAACAAAAAACGGCACGGGGTAATCTGAGCTACAATGGACCTGCACCCGACATCCGGACATCCGGACATCCGAACGGGTAGTCGGCCGCCCTACGTGAGGCTGGAATAATACTCCCCCGACGGTAATCTCATATGGATCCTCTCGATTATGGGTGCTGAAGCCCGTGTCTAACCATCGCTATCTGCTAGGAAAACTGCCGCTGGGGCACAGAACCGTCTACTAAACCAAGAAACGCAAGTACACTCTACAAATACGAGGGACAGCAGAAATCTAGAATCCCCGAAACCGCAGCTCCGCCCAGCGCAACGGCAGATAAAGCAGCGGCGCCAGCACCAGCGCAACCTCGAACCCAATATCGCCCGTCGTCTCCGCCAGCGGGCCCGTGAACCAGACCTGCGACATGCACGGCACAACCAAGCCAAACGACAGCGCCATGGCGCCAATAGCCGCCACGCCCGTCGGCAGCCTCTTGGCCGTCCTCCAGTCCTTTAAATCATAATTGTCAAAATTAGCCCGGCGGAAGACGAAGTGCTCGGCGCCGACGACGCCGACGTAGGCTGCGGACCAGTAGGCGATCAGATAAATAAAATTCTCGAGGCTGTCGAAGAAGGACTTCGCCGCGCTGACGGAGACGGGGATCGCGATCACCGTGTACAGGATGGCGAAGGCGAAGCGCGGCACGCGGATGAAGTATGGGATTATTAGTTGCAGGTTCAGCGAGATCGAGTACATGGCTGCGGCTAGGTTGCCGATTACGGAGAGCGAGAGGAGGACGGCTACGAAGCGGCCGAAGCCGCCGGCGGGGAGGAGCATGGCCTGTGTTAAGGAGAAAGATTTAGTGGTTGGTCTTATTACTTGGGGTCGATTTAGGGGTGGAATGGGCAGTACTGACCTGGAGCACACCGCCCACGCTGAAGTTGTCGTATCCTTCAGCCCAGGCTGGAATATTTGGGGTGGCACCACCGATGGCAGCTCCCAAGACCATCAGTGGCACACTCGGGAAAAAGAGGCCGGCATAGGTGTACAGGAATATGCGTGTGGTCGAGGCAGACGGGTGGCAGTAGACCGAAAAGTCAGCAGCCATAGCCTATCAAAGTCAGCAAATGAACCATCACAGAAGTTGGGAAGCGGCAACGAGCACTCACGGCCCAAGGAATTAGAAACCCAGCAATAACACCACCGAAACTGACAATAAGCCCAGGCGTCGCGGCCGGGGCCTCAGCTTGGTTCCACAGGTTCTTGCCGCCCGTGCCGGTCGCGATGACGATGGCGACGAGGGCGAAGATCCACGAGTAGCGCTCGTACTGGTGCAGGACTTTGATTCCGCCGAAGGAAACCACCATGGCGATGAGCGCGACGATGACGATGCCGGCCGTGCTGTCGATTTTGCCGCTGGACACGGCTGATAGTGTTGAGCCGCCTAGCACGCAGTCGATGACGCCGAAGCCGGCGATGGTGCAGAGATTCAGGGCGACGATTATGGAGATCGCGTAGTAGCTGAGGGGATATGGTCAGCAGTGCACTGAAGAAATCTTCGTTGGGACTATTCCAAGATGGAAATATGCTCTTACCCAAAAGTATATCGCGAATGCAGCATCTGCCGCAGTCCCGTCCGCGAGCCAAAGGTGCTGAAGTAGGCGGGGGGGAGCGTACACACGAGACTGAAGAACAGGATCAGCAGCGAGCAGTCGCGCAGGCTGAGCCCTAAACTGAGCGTCCCGGTCATGCCGGTGACGATGCTGCATCGAGGGAGCACCTGGTCAGCAAGACATTCATCATGTTTGAAAACGAGAGCGGCGGCGCTACTTACGGCAGCAGGTTCGTGCTCATGGTGAACCACACGAAGAAGATGTTGATGAGGCGTCGGTCCGTCCGCTCCTCCAACGGCACGGGCGTGACGCCGCGAAGCTCGACGCCGTAGGCGGAGATCTTGCTCAGCCAGGCCTTGGGGCCGCTGCTGCGCGGAGCCTCGACATCGCCGGCTTCGAAGTCGACGTTGGTCGTCTGGGGGCTCGGGGGGTTCTTCTCCTCGGTTTTCGACGACATTGTGATGGGCTCTTGCTGGTGCGGCATGTTGCTAGCAGACCAGACTGGCGTCACAGAACTTGGTAGCTGTTGAACCGATATTTTTCTTGTCGTTCGTCCGTCACCAGACCCTTGACTTCAAAATATATATCCCGACAAGTTGCTGTCAGTATCGCAGGGCTGCAGATAAGTATGTAGCCAGCAGTTTGGCTCACAATCAACGACTGGAGCGCAAGGCGTAGTCATCGAAGAGGCTGCCTTCGTTATGAGTCTGGACTGCGCTGAGCTTGGTACCTAGTACCCTGGCTGTGGATCGACCTACGGGCTTACCTTGATAGCGAAGGATGCGCGGCAAGATAGCTCGAACCCACGCTGCCACGCCGGCGGGTTGATACTAGCCGGCAACGGTGGGACTATGATAGTCGTATCTGGTGGCGACGCTACGATAACATAACCGGTGCCACCTCCCCTGCCTCCATGTGGTTTTGCTTCCACTTGATGACTGGGGATACCTGGAGAAAGCGGATTCAGGAGACTTATCCATGGCCCCGGTTTCATTTGGAGTGTTGCCGATTCGGCTTGCCACCAGCTTCACCACAACCAGTTCTCAGGCTTTCAGTTTGGAGGTCACAGGGACAGGCACAAAGAGGTGAACCATCGCCATGTAGTGAGATGCTTTGCTTAGGTGCTGGGTACTTTCTTTTCTTCATTCTTTTCAATATCAGGCTGGGAACATTTCCTGATGAGTGATGCTAAAGCTCTGTTTTCTACCATTTCGTAGACCAACTACGTCTATCATGATATCTTGCTGCTTTCCTTGCTCATGTGAGTGCTTGGTTGTTTGATATATTGGCCGTCAAGACATCTTATATAGCGTCAATCAGGCATAATGCGATCAGATGAATGCTAAACATCGCGCGCTCAGAAATGCCTCATGCTTTGTTCGTAATCTAATCTGATCAAATTCCATTCATCCCCATTCATTCCATTCACTCCATTCTGCTTAGGAGCTGCTGAGTCCTGTGCTTTATCATGGCCGTCGGTGGCCATCACCGGCAGTCCAGCAGCGGCAAGGTCAGCCTGCACCTGGTCGATATTATCGAAGAACCCTCCCTTGAAGTCCTCCCACAGGTCCTCCTGAATGGGCTGCAACGTCCCGCTCCGCTCCAGCGCCCACTTCGTCAGGGACATGTGTGCCGAGATATGCATCATGAATGCCATCGCGCCCTCGCCCATGCGCTGCGGCTGGAGGTCCGCGCTCGTCGCCTCCTTCCACCGCTCGTACGACTCGCCGTGTGGCATGTAACTCGGCTCGTACGTCAGTCCCCCGGGCGCAAGTTGCGTAGCCGAGCCCGCCCACGTGCCGTACATCATGCCCATGACCTCTGTCGCGACGTTGCGGTGGTAGTACGGCGGGCGGAAGGTGTTGCGCGTGACGCTCCACTTGGGCGTGAAGACGAGGAAGTCACTGGTCGCGACGCCGGTGATCTTTGACTTGGCCGTGAGGACACAGTAGACCGAGGGATCGCTCTGGTCGCGGTCCACCGTCGCCGAGGCGATGAACTTCTCCATCGCGTATTTGTACGGCGTGTAGTTGCCGTGCCAGGCGACCACGTCGAAGGGCGTGTGGTCCTGCTCGTAGACGAACAGTTGGCCGACTAGCTTCACCACCACCTCCCACTTGCTTGACTGATCCAGGTCAAAGCTCGCGACCGGGATCTCGAAGTCGCGCAGCAGAGCCATGCCATTTGAGCCCAGGGGCCCTAGTTCGGGAAGCTCGTAGTGGCACCCGAAGATTTCCTGGACGTACCCGCGTCCGACACCGTCCGGCAGCTCGACCCGGAACCGCATTCCCGCCTGGATGACGGCCAGCTCGCCGGGCCGCACCATCAGCTTTCCGAACTCGGTCTGGACGTCCAGCCGGCCCTCCTGCGGCGCGATCAGCATGTCGCCGTCGTTGTTGCAGTACGCCCGGTTCCGCATCGACTTGTTGGCCACGTAGATGTGCACGGCCACGCCCTCCTTCAGCGTCGGGTCGCCGTGGCCGCCGATCGTCTTCAGGCCGCCCACGAAGTCGACCTCAGCGTCGCCTGCTGCCGGCAGGGCGAACTTGTCCCATCCCAGGTCCTGGGGCGTGAATTCCACGTTTGGGTTCGAGGGCGTGAAGACGGCTTCCAGGTCTGGGTTTTCTGGTAGCCGCCGCAGCGGTCTATGCACGACGGAGGGCTTGATCCTGTAGAACCAGGCGTGCAGCAAGGAGGCCCGTGGCGATACGAAGGGCGTCCCGTTCAGCTGCTCGGAGACTAGGTCGTATTTGCAGCGCTGCGGTGTGTTGCAACTGCGCGGTAAGACGTTGGGGATGGCCTCTGTCGCGAAGGTGTTGCCGAACCCGACTTGATAGGTGTATGGGTCGGCATCTGAAGGGCTTGTGATGAAAGGTCCCTTGGCAGAAGTACTAGCCGATGGTCTTGATGCCATTCCATTCATTGTGATTTATCGTGCAGGGCAAAAAAAAGCGGTGATGATTGCACGCCGCGGGTAAGGGAAAAGTGCTGGGTGATTGAAGTCTCAAGGTAAGGTAGCTGGCGCTTTTCGAGGCTTCGGGGGTGTATCTCCCTCACAGCTATGGTGTCATGAGTCCTTTCTTTTCACCGTGTCACTCGAGGGGATCTTGAGATCAGTTCATGATCCGATGATCTGATGAGCACGATGAGCGTCGCGATGCCGCCGGCAGCAGGTCCACACCGCAGGAATGCAAATTGCTGCATCTAGACCGTTCTCGCCGTGTCGACCAATCATCGCCTCGCCGTGCCGGCAAGCCTGGCAAGCCCGGCAGGCAATCTCAGAGATCCATCGGGAATATCAAGTTGGTGGTGGAGACGTCGGATGTGGGACGACTTGGGGATGTCTAGGCGAAGTACCGTGGCAGCGTGGTTTATGAACTCGGCCCTAACTTCCGAACGTTTCTATTATTTGCACTTACTGTACTAGTGCGGAGAGATACAGTAAGACATCCACTTTTGCCGCTCCAGCCTCGAGTGATGATAGCGTTGAATTGGAGATGGCCGTGATGGGGCCGAGTCTGGCTCACGATGGAGAGAGGACACGGAAGACAAAAAGGGGAATATGTCGTTGTGCGCTCGGAAGCCGATGATGCCAATTTTGTAACGCATTATCACAAGCCAACAAACTCTCGTCGACCATGGCAATTGTGGACATACTACCTGATCTGCCGGTTTCGCGATGGCTCATGGCCATCGTGGCTGTGGCCGGCGTGCTGCTGCTGGCCAAATCCGTCTTCCTACGCCCGAGAAGGCCCATGCCCCCTGGACCACCCGGTGAGCCTCTCCTGGGCCACCTTCGCGTCATCCCCTCAGAGCACCCAGAGTACCAGTATGCGCGCTGGGGAAAAGAGTACGGCTCCGATATTCTCGGCTTCACCGTGCTGGGCCGCCCGATAGTGGTGCTCAACAGCGTTGAGGCTGCCCGCGACCTCATGGACAAGAAAGGCGCAAACTACGCGGACAGACCCCGTTTCGTGCTGTTCGAGGTCATGGGCTGGGGCATCACCTTGACGTTCTTGCGGTGGTCGCCGCGTTTCAAGCTGCACCGGAAGATGCTGCAACAGTCTTTCACGCCGTCCGCGTGCAAGGCCTACCGCCCGATCCAGGTGGAGGAAACACGCCGTTCGATCAAGGCCATTCTACAGCAACCGGAAAAGTGGTACGTATATAAACATCCCAGCCCAAGACCCCGAGCCTTGGTTTCGAGAACAAGCTTTTCTGTTCCATTTCATTCTGCATCTAGAACATGGCAGTACAGGTTTAAAGACAGGCTGTTAACTTACACGCAGGGAGGTGCTCCTGCGACAGTATTCTCAGGCCGTGGTGCTCCGCATTGGATTCGGCATCCAAGTTGAGGAGAAGGACGACCCGTATGTTCGGATGGCCATCGATGTTGAAGAGGCTACGGGCGAGGGCGGCGTGCCTGGCGCCAGCTTGGTGGATGTCTTTCCCCCCTTGCGCCATATTCCCAACGCCTTGGCCCGTCTGAGCAGCGTGTTGAGGCCACTCGAGCATGCGCGCCGGACTAAGCCTACGATCCAGCAACTGCACGACGCTCCATGGGACGCAACCGAACCATCTATTCGTGCCGGAAAGGCGATGCAGCCTTCGTTCATGCTCACCCACTTCGGGCGCTACCTCGCCAACGAAGCCAGCGGAAACCCCAACGATGCCACCATCGACGACATCAAAGGCGCCGCGGGCGCCATATCCATCGCTGGGGGTAACACGACGTGGTCGACAATCATCGTCTGCGTCCTTAACCTCATGCTGCATTCCGAGGTGCAAGCCAAGGCGAGAGCCGAGATCGAGTCTGTCATCGGCCTGGATGAGGATGGCCATATTCTCCGACTGCCGACATTCGAAGACCGTCCCCAAATGAAGTACCTTGAGTATATCCTTCAAGAGACTACACGTTGGGCGCCCCTGTCGCCTTTGGGTGTGCCTCACGCGACTGTCTCTGACGATACGTACAAGGGCTACTTTATCCCGGCCGGCTCGACAGTCTACGCCAATGCCTGGGCCATGTCGCGGGACGAGCGGTTCTACTCCTCACCTGAGGATTTTGAGCCCGAACGGTATGCGCCTGTCTCGGAAGGGGGAAAGGGGGAGCCACTTCCGGACGGAGCATTTGGGTTCGGCAGGAGGGTGTGTCCGGGTCAGTACCTGGCGATGGCTGGGGTTTATATTCTCATCTCGACGCTCCTGGCTACGTCGGATCTGAGTTGCCCTGTTGACGGGGAAGGAAAGGAGATCAAGCCGCATGTGTCATTTACGAACGGGTTGAGTGGAGTTCCAGACAGTTTTCCTTGTGTGATCAGACCTCCCTCTGATCGCATGATGAGCCTGCTGGAGAGCTCATGGTAAATCCTGCATGTGGCTGGGGAAGGGCACTATCAGCCAAGCCGAGATGTTGGTCGATAAATTGTATATAAATTTTATATTCTGACTTGAAGCTGAAATTCATTTTCTTCTCGTAACTACAGGTATCCCCTTTAAGATCAGCCGGCTACTAGCAACGTAAGACCGTTACCACATGTCAGATATTTGTTAAAAATGTCATAGATTGCCAGCTGAGTAGATTGCCATGGATACAGCGTTCTTGACTGTTCGTCCATCTAGTGTAGAAGAAATCGTCTGGTCAAGACAGGGATCAGTTTGGAGCAGGTCGTTAACTAGTTACACCAACAGGCAATATTTCGCTTCTTGCACCACTCCTCAGCTTCTGGGTGATGGGGAATCTTGGTTTAAATTGTGTATCTTCATCGTTGAAACCAAGCAGCGGCCTGATTTGCTGCATCCTGCAATAACTGCTGACCCTTTGTCAGAATCCCTAGTGTGCTGAATCAGTCTATGTTTCCACACGGTGCAAGCAACCGAAGGGAGATTTTCAAATTGGAACTTACCACTAAACGCAAGAGTACAGTGCGTAGACCCTTCATACCGACTCACCACCACCTCCCCATCCGCCCTCTCCACGCTCGAGAGCTCCCAAGCCTCTCTCAACTGCACCGCATACGCCTCCGCCTCCGGCACCAGCAGATCCTGCTCCGCAACCGCGATCCACGTCCGCGGGCTCTTCGCCAACAAGTCCCTCGGCGCCAGATTCGGCGAGGCCTCCCACCTCAGCGCGTCGCTTTCCTCGCGCAGATACATCTTCCGATACCACAGCATACGCGCCGGCGTAAGCCAAGGCGCGTTCGCCCGAGACGCCCATGTCGTGCTCGTCGTCGCCGTGTTGTCGATGACCGGCAACACGAGCATCTGAAAGGCGATTTCGACCGGCGGCTGCAGCAGCGCCGCTTGTAGGCTTAGGGAGGCCGCGAGCTGCGCGCCTGCGGACGTGCCGCCCACCGCGATGCGCGCGTTGTCGATGTTGCCGAGCTCCTGGGCGCCCTCGGTGGAACGCACCCACCGCAGCGCCCCGACCGCGTCATCGAAGGCCGCGGGGAAGGGGTGCTCGGGCGCGAGGCGGTAGCCGACCGAGACGACGACGCAGGCGGCGCGCTGGCAGATGAGCGCGCAGATGTCGTTGCCGGCGGCCACGCTGCCGACGGCCCATCCGCCGCCGTGGAACCAGAGGAAGACTGGATAGCCAGACGCCGGGCTCGAATCAACTTCAGGGGTCCAGACGCGGAGGTCGAAATGGCGGCCTGGGCCGGGCTTGATGTCGCGGACGGCTCCTACTTGGACTGGTGTCGATTCCGTAGGCGCCCAGGACGCTGCTGTCGTGCGGGCTGAGCCGTCCCAGATTTTTTTGTCGTCGGGGACGACGTATTGCAGGTATTTGTCGTGGAATGCGACGTATTCGGGGTCCAGGAGGGGCCGGACTGCTTCGTGGATTGGCTGGTGCTTGGGGCGGTCTTCGCCCATTGTGTCAAGTTGAGGTGGTTGAAGTTATGGAACTACCTATATCTATGACCTGCTTGGCTTCATATCCTATGTACTTGCGGTCATCTCGTCAGCGGTGCTATTTTCTTCCCTATTTACTCAAGATGCAACTTGAAGGCCGAACACGTCTCTTTGCGGGAGAAGCGCCATGCCTCCTTTGCTGCGATACCCCTACCCATGCAGATGGTTATGCAGCCCATAGTGGCAGAACTGATGCCGGCCGCCCCACCGGCACTCCCGCTGGGCCGGCTGGAGATAGTCGTAATAGCGTGTGGTCATCTGATGCTCGTTATCCGGCATCACGATGGAACATTGTGCATCCCCAATACTGTACCATTCTCAAGGCGCCTTCCTATACGTTAGGTAGCTTGTTGAGTTCTAGGTCGATGTGGCAGGCTAAGTATTTCCCGGGAGACGCCCTTTCAGCCAGCACTCGCGCCCACAACAGGACCAGACCACCTCCCTCAACCATGGCCGTCAACCACACCTCGGCAGAGTCCTACTCGCGCTCAGGCTTCGCCAACCGCATGGGCTGGGGCCAGCGCCCAGCACTTATGATAATCGACGTGTGCCGCGCCTACTGGGACGCGTCCTCACCGCTATCCCTCCTAGGCAACGCCGAAGCCGAGGCAGCACCAAATTCAATACGCCGCCTCCTAGATGCCGCCCGCGCCGGCAGGGTTCCCGTCGTCTGGAGCGAAGTCCAGTACAGCAGCCCCGACATGGCGGACGCGGGCTTGTTCTGGCGCAAGGCCAAGGTCCTGGATGTGTGGAAGAAGGGCGATTCCAGGGGCCTGGCGGAGCCGCTGGATGGACTGGCGTCGGAGGAGGGGGATACGGTTGTGGTTAAGAAGTATGCGAGTGCGTTTTTTGGGACTGCGCTGGCGACGGAACTTCATGTGAGCAGCGGATAGGCGATGCGAGGGTGTAGGTCAGGGAAATGGGCCTTGGCTGATTGCGCGATATGCAGGTTTTGAATGTCGACACTCTGGTTATATGTGGAGTGAGCACCTCTGGATGTGTGCGCGCTACGACTTTGGATGCGATGCAGCATGGCTTTCGTCCCATGGTAGGTGAAGTCCCGTTTTGCAGAAGACAGGCAGACCGCTGATGGCAGACAGGTGGTCGGGGCGGCTTGTGGTGACCGCAGTGCTGAGATTCAGAATGCGAACCTCTTCGATTTGGACTCCAAGTATGCGGATGTGGTTGCGGAAGGCGAGGCGGTGGACAAGCTTTCGGCTGGATGGTGATACTGTACTTTATACTCAAGGGCAATGCGAAATGGTGCCCGGTGCCTCTGAAGGCCTTGCTATCGAACTGACCCCTCGTATGTGTTTGACGTTCGTGAATATTACCCAAAAGGGGGCGCTATGAGCGGCTCATTGTACATGTCTCCATCGCGCCAATTTGCCAAATCACCCCATAGATATGCCTCAAACACTTCATACATATTGTCCGAAGGGAAGGGGTTATTGAACTGTACGTCAAGCCCCGAGATCCCCTCACTCGGGTTGAACTCCACCTGTGCCGGCATTGATCCACCACTCTCGGCCAGCGGTCCCTGTCCATGTTCTACCGATGACCTTGAGCTCTCCGTCACAACGGACTCGCTGGCCTTGCACAGAGCCAGATGCCACCGTCGAGCAAGCGGCCAGGCAGACTGGAGGTCACCCAGGCCCCGTATCGATTCGTGCAACACTTGTTGAGCCTCAGGGGCCACTCTGGGACAGACCTTGGTTTGTAGACGCAAGTTATTAGCCAGCGACCCGCAGACATAGACACAGAAGACGATGAGTGCCGGGTAGCCTTGGTCGGGGGAGCGGTATTCGAAGAAGGCCTTGATCTGCTCATGCAGGGTCAACATGTTGTCAAAGAGCTGCTCAGCCACCTCCGACCACGCGCTCGGCCCGGTCGACTGTGCGGGCGGAACGCCTTCCTGTCGAGTGCTTAGGATATCATGCAGGTAGCCACGCCGAAGGATGATATTGCTGAGCCGCAAGACCATGGTCGTTGATAAATATGCCAAATCGAGACCCTCGGCCTTGAAGCCGCGCAGGTTCCACACGGACCAACAGTGCTGCGAGGGCAGGTTATCCTCGAAGTCCCGGAGCGCTTGGGACAGTCTTCCGTATTCGCCAATGCTGAGGCGCGATCCGATTCCAGAGCTGAGGTTCGCTGCATCGGTGCTGACTACGCGCGCTACTTGCCCCCAGAGGCTGTGTGTCTGCAGCAATGCTGCGAAGAGCGAGCGCGAGCCCAACCAAGTCAGGCCCGGGTCCTCGGCTGCGGGAGGTGTGCCCATGAGGGCTGCACGCTGTATGGGCCGTACGCCGAACGTGAAGTCGCGTTCGTCGCAGGGTAGGAGTACCGTAATATCGCCGTAAGAAAACGCGATTGGCAAATCCGAGCCTGAATGCAAGTTTTCGAATGTCTCCAATACCCAGAACGTCCGTCGGGCAACCTCCGAATAGACAATCTGTTCTTTCGTAGCCGTCTCTGGGAGCCGGTAGCTCTCCTCGCGATGCAACCGGAGGATGCCCGCGAGCCGCACGGCGATGCCCATGTAGATGGAGGACTTCGTCTTGTCCATGTTACCCCATTCAGCGATGCTCAGCAGGAAGAAGCCCTGGATGGACTCCAGTGTCGGCGAAAACATCTGCTCGTGCACATGGGACGACGCCAGACTGAGGAAGACGTGGGTCGCAGTTGCCTGATACCGTCTCACCAAGCTCGGAGTGAACCTGGCCGAGACGCTCAGGATACTCAATAACAGAAACACGCTGACCGACGCTCGATCCTTTCTCAGCTCTTCGAAGAACAGCGCCTTGGGCAGGAACCCCAGCTGGAAGTAGGAGGTCGTCAGCGTGTGCACTCCCTCGAGGACCTCTTCAAATGGCGGCAGCGCCTCCCAGCCCATACGCGGCTGCGACGGCGTGCTCGGCAGGGACATCAAAGGGGCAGACACGGCAGTCCCATGGGTGACTGCTGCCATTGGGCTGTCGCCAGGGTCGCTGCGGGTGTAATCGGACGCGTGCGACGGCGCCGTGTTGCCCACGGTGGTATTGGTATTACCAGGAGCCTTCGTTGGATTCCGATAGGCCCGGTCAAAGTCGGGTTCTCCGCGTTGCGGAAACCGGCACTCCTGGTTTGCCTGCCGACAGCCATCACACGGCGGCGCGCCCTGGTTGGAGCACTTTGCCCTCAGACGCCTGCATCGCCGACATGCACGCGAGGCGCGCGAGAACGCTCGAGGTGCGGGTGGTGTTCGGCCGGCCGGCGTGGAACCTTGCTCCATGGGGTGGGTGCCTGTCACAGTTGCAGTGAACGCCGGTCGATATCTGACATTATGCTTCTCCAGGCGATAGAAGAACATACGATCCCCCTGCCCGTCTGCCAGCCGGGAGATGGAGACTCATCAATATAAGCGGCAGCCCACTTCCGGCAATTTTGACTTATCTCTGGACAGTGATTTAGTCTTTCGGCTATTCATGCACCAGAGATAAGCAGCTAGGCCTCGCCGGCCTGCCGCCGTCCTGCCGTCGCGGCAAAGTGAAAGCGGAACATGGTCCACTTAGTCCAGCTGGGGCCCCAGGTGGCAGTGACCAGTACGATGGGCTCTAGCGCAAGCCAAGGCGAAGGCGCTGGTGAAGTCCAGAGAGAAAAGAAGGGAACGTTCAGTTCAGACCGTACGAACGAATATAATGTCAAGGTATCAATGAATGTAGGCTTGATGCTTTCTAGCGAGGACCGGCTTCACTCACCTCGACGTCACGTGACCACTCCCCTTACGCTCGGCCTCAGACATGGCAGATATCACGGAAGAAAAGGTGGTGCCTGAAGCCAAGAAGCCTCTTGACGAGCCACAACTTTCAGATCCGTCAAGTCAAACACCTCCAACTGAGCTGACGGCTCCGTACAGCATCTACGGTCGGAAGGAGAGATGGATTCTGGTGGCAATGGTCGCGGTGACGGGGATGTTCAGTCCGTTGCCAGCCAACATCTACTTCCCCGCCCTTCCCACGCTCGCAGAGGCTTTCAACCGGTCAGTCGAGGACATCAACCTCACCGTGACCATCTACCTTGCCATGCAGGGGTGCTCGCCGATGCTATGGGGGCCTCTTTCGGACCGGTACGGACGAAGACCGTTGTTCCTTCTCTGCCTACTGATCCTCGCTGGGTCGAGTCTAGGTCTGGCGCTCTGCCCGACGTCTGCCTTCTGGCTGCTGCTTCTCCTGCGCGCCGTACAGGCTGGTGGCTGCGCGAGCATGATTGCGCTGGGCGCTGGGCTCATCGGGGATATTGCCACGGTCGAGGAACGCGGAGGGTATTTCGGCATGTTCAACCTGGGGCCGATGCTCGCACCTTGCATCGGCCCGGCCGTCGGCGGTGCCCTGTCTGAACATCTCGGCTGGAGGAGCATCTTCTGGTTCCTGCTCATCGTCTCCGGTGGTTGTTTCGTGGTCGTGCTTTTGTTTTTGCCAGAGACGATGCGGGCTTTGGTTGGCGACGGCAGCTGGACTCCCAGACATTGGATGTATCAGCCGTTGACCCCAATTGTTGGCAGGAAGAGATCTTCAGACACCGAGGTTGGGCCAGGCCAGGTTGATGATAGTGTGGAGGTCAAGAAACGGTCCAGCGTGAACCCATTCCACCTGTTTGTTTACCCGGATATCTTGTTGACGCTGTTGTATACCGGCGTAGTGTATGCGGTCAACTACACGATCACGTCGACAATCTCGTCCTCTTTTGCCGCTACTTACCCCTATCTGTCGGAGACGTTACTGGGTATATGTTACCTATCCACCGGCCTGGGTATGATCCTCGGCTCGACCATCACGGGAAAGTTGTTGGACCTGGATTATGCTCGACTTCGGCGAAAGCGGGGACTCGCCAGAGCTGGAGATGATTCAACTGAAGAGGACGATGACGACTTCCCCATCGAATACGCGCGGCTTCGGATGATGCCTACGCTGTTGGTGATCTTTGTCGCCTGTGTTGTTGGCTGGGGCTGGTGCATACAGTTCGGGACTTCCATCGCCGGACCACTGGTCCTCCAAGTGATACGTAGGTGTTCACTACTCACCCCGAAATGTAGAAGATGTACGCTGATGGCTTTATAGTTGGATATACATCTATCGCGATCCTCAACACGACGATGACGCTGATGGTCGACATAATCAAGAACCAAAGCTCGGGAGTCACTGCCTGCGTAAGCCTATATCCACATCCACATGGAGTCGCAATACTGACCATCGTAGACCAATTTCGTCAGGTGCTCACTGGCTGCCATACTTGTTTCAGTCATCGACAAGGCAACTCAGAGCCGCCTTGGATACGGCTGGACGTATACACTGCTGGGGGGTTTGTGTGCCTTGTTGCTCCCAGTGCTTTACGCAGAGATCCGATGGGGACCGAAGTGGCGGATGGAACGCGATCGGAAGAAGGTCAATTAGTTCGTTTTCTTCCAATAGGCAATCAGTACGAGTTCAAGAAGGAAAGCCTAAGTACACCCTCGAAAGCGCTTCGGCATACCTACTTCCCACATTCAGGGTTCCATGGGTAGACGAACCTCATGCCCCTTGTGCCCCTATTAGGAGGACTGCGGATTCTTGGGGCCCAAATGATATCTGAAGCGCATAGATAATCCTAAAGGGGCTTCTCAATAACCGGTAAGCTGCGACCATACGCAAAGGGTATTGATATTTACGGCCACCAGGTGATAATTACCGGAATTGAGGACACGACCAAACAGTCCAAAGCCCCGTGCCCTGCCACAGAGAGACATAGCTTCATTGGACCGGTAACGGACTTGAGGAACTCAGCCTGACACCCATGGTTCTCGACTTGGCCAGTAGGCAGAAGTCGAGGGAGGGTAGCACAAGGGACGAAGGCAAAGGGGATGGAAGTCAGCACACCAACGCGGTACTAAAGCGGGGTACTGATTCTCTCCTTCAAAAGCAACCGTCTTTTTCGCTTAGCAAAGCATTTAGATCGTGCGGGGACGCGAACAGCGAATCGCTGCGCACTCTGTGGGACGGTGACGATCTGAGATTAACTGAGATAACGTATTGGGGTATTCAGGTACCGTTTTCCAGGGCCTCCAGTGCTGCGCCTCGTAGGGCGCTTGCTCGGTGAATCTGGTCATTGCTCGTGACTCCTCGAGACACATCCATCTTATCCACTACATCTCATATAGACTGCTGGTTATCGCGAGGTATTCTCATGGCCCTAGCGGCAATCAATTCTTCAATCGCCTTCCTGATTCTCACATTCCGTCGTATTCTTGGTTACCGCCACCGCCCAACAATGACATCAACGTCGAGCGCAGCTGAGACCAACTCGGCGAATGTCTACGACTTCTCCTGCCTCACCGGCTTCTTCGTGGACCACGTCGAGGTTGCAAAGGTTTCCCCGGGCTCGCTGGTCGCAACGCAGCCGGGCCTCGGGCTTCTAGAGCGGAGCTATGAGACGGACACATCCCCGACTGATAGTCGGCCCCAGTGGACGCGGTTTGCAGCCTATGTCAAACATCTGAATGAAGTGTCTCCGCCCACCGAGTCCTACAAAGTCATCTATCTAGTGCGCCATGGGCTAGGCGTCCACAACGTCGCCATGAGCAAGTATGGCAGTGAAGCATGGAAGGTGAGCAGAAATTTGCCCAGCGCGTGTTCACATGACTGACAGCTCTTCACTAGGCCAAGTGGTCGCACATGGATGGTGACGGCGACGGCAATGTCTGGGCCGACGCACAACTCGTGGAAGAGGGCATTCGTCAGGCTCAGAAGCTCTCTCAGATCTGGCTTGACGAAGCGGAGAAGGACAAAGTAGCTTTGCCGGAGTCACTTTACACCAGCCCTTTGGCTCGATGTCTACACACGACCAAGCTCGTCTTCGAGCCCGTCATGGAAGTCAACAAACGCGAGTTTCACCCCATCGTCAAGGAGCTTCTTCGGGAGCGGCTCACGGATCATACTTGTGACAAACGGAGCTCGCGATCTTGGATCCAGCAGCACTACCCAGAATACATCATTGAGCCTGGCTTCGAAGAAGACGACACACTGTGGAAGCCGCATCCGAACACGCCTGAGTCGCAAGAAGAACATTTTGCTCGAAAGCAGCGTCTGCTTGACGACATCTTTGAGCATGATGAGTCGCAGTTCATCTCCCTCACTAACCATTCATACGCAATTACTGCTATACTCGCGACTGTCAAGGCACCCAAGTTCCGGGTCTGCGAGGGCACCATCGTGCCTCTGTTTGTGAAGGCGGTCCGCACCAAGGACAAGACGGTATGACCGGGTGCGCGCAGCGTCCTACCCAAATGAATCTTGCGGCAGGACTGGACACACGTATTGCTTCTATCTCTTCAATTGGGGGAGGCTTTCCTACTCTGGGGCGACAGTTTCGAAGCGATAAGACCTGGGCGTCGTCCCACGAGGCGGTGTTGGGGGGCGCAGATTTCCTCTTCCTCTTCCTACGTATCACAAGACTGCCTACAGCCTGCCTTTGGGGCGGGCGTCTTGCATAGACGCCCACAGGCAGCCACTTTCAAATCCGGCCTCCCAACTGCATTTGTGCTTCCAAACTCGTCCTGATCACAAGCCGGTACCACGACTGTGGATGACGGACGGCCAATCACTCATCATACCCCGCCTCTGAGGTGTGGCGAGGTGCAGGCGAGGTACAGGAGATGGTTTCAGCTGCTGCTGAAGGACCGACACACTCATATCCCGTCTTCTGATCCAAGGCCGAGTCCTCTCTTTCGATGCAACGGTGGGGCGTCGAGTGACCAACGATCAAATTGAGCCCGAGTCAACGGCTGCAGTGGCACGGCCCGGATGTACGACCTGCAGGACGTATTGCCAACAGTATTCGTAGCCGACAGGATGAACAGCAGGCTACTTGCCGTCACCCGTGAATTGATATTAGGGAGGTGATCAAAACGAGAGGCAACCCCGTAGCCTGCCTCTGGGGTCGTCTGCTGCTTGCTGTTCTCAGTCGTGATCCTTGCGAGGAGCTCCAAGTAACCGCATTGGAGATGGAGATTCTACGAGAAAGCCCACGCGCATCCTTTGATCACTTGAGCTACGAGAAGGTGTTCTCGAAAACACCATGCAAGAAGATACAGATGATCCGGGCCGTCGACGAAGGCCAGAAGGGTCTTATCGTCATGAACCCCCATCCTGCCGTCCGGGATGAACCCTCTCTGGTCGACTATTTACAATCCGACGAGGCGCAAGGGAACGGATCCTCGACAAAGGCCGCATCTCTGACCCTAATCTTCATATCGCGCGACACCGAGAGTGGATTCAGCGTCCAGAGGTCGACCTTCATCCAGCTGTGCGACTACCTGCAGCTCGACGAGTCCTTGCGGTATTACCTGATCTCCTCGCGATCAGGCTGGTTCCCCGTCGTCGGCAAAGACGGTTGCTGTAGCTTCTTGGTCAAAGACTATATGTACATCCTGGCATGGACATTTGATCCCGACACCCTGCAGACGAGAGCCATCATGTCGGAGCGGTCGGATTACAGGAAATACTCCCACTTGCGGGAGGCAGGTCCTGTCAACCTCCCGGGCCACGTCAACCTTCCGGGCCTCACCAGAGCCCATCTGTACCACCCGCTGACGTTGGCTTTCTACGGCCTAGCCGACTTCGTGTGGTGGACCGACGAGCTGATCGTCAATGAGGGCTACGCTGTCGGGGCGATCGAGAAATCCACCGGCCACGGACTGTGGACGAAGAGCGAAATCGAGCCCAAGGCGCCTTCATCCGAGGCTCTGACGGAGGCGTCGCGCAAGATTGCCAAAGTGATCGGCGTCTTCGCTAGTATGCTGAAAAGCCTGAAGATTGCGAAGGCGATGGCGTTGACGCTGGACGACGTCGACACCTGGGGCGCTTGGTTCGGGGAGCGCGACGGTCTCGACGATTACAGGCAGTGTTCGACCTCGTTCGCCGAGGCCTCGAGGTTATTGAGGCGGAGGGCTGCGGCCATCAAGCTATCTGCCCACGCTTCGAACGACAGGGCAAGAGCGCAGTCGTCTATTGTAAGGCCTTTGGTTTTCCGCTCGCACCCGTCAAGTTCAAGCGCGCGCCGGTATATCTCAGAAAGACTGACACTTCGCCCGCCCAATCATCTAGGTATCGGCACTCATCCGACGCGAAGAGACGCGCCTCAGTCTGCAGATCGCTGAAGCGACGAAGCGGGATAGCAGCGACATGAAGGTCATTGCCAGTGAGTAGCATCTACAATAACCCGTTTCCCGTCTGGCATGTCTCTGGAAGCCTCTGCCACGGGAACAAACGGGAATTCCCAGCAACCCGAGCGCCAAGTGGTACCGTATACCTCAACAGTTGCTGACCCGAGATGCACCAGTGATGACGATGCTGTTCCTGCCGGCGACCTTCTTCGCGGCGCTCTTCGCCGTGCCGTCGCTGGACTGGAACCAGCCCGGCATCGTGACCGACAACTTCTGGATCTACTGGGCCTTCACGCTGCCGACGACGCTGCTCATCTTCTTCATCTGGTTCCTTCTGAACGATCCCAGGGTCATCGGCCGGCTGCAGCGGCTGCGCAACTTCTTGCTGGGGAGGCGTGGTGATACTGATGGAGCCGTGGGGAAGGGTGGTCAGGATGTCCAGTTGGGTGTAGAAAAAGTGTATGTTGGGAAATAACGTGGAGCTGTACATAGTGATGGACCTATACAAAATGGAATGGACTTCGTCCACATACCTTGTCGTCTATAGGTAGTCACCGCATGGACGAACGTATTCAGGACGTCGTCATAGATATATCGTGCATTCAATCAATATATTGCCTGAAACCAACGAGTATATCGGACAGTGAAATGACCCCATTGCTCTATGTATGTATGTATGGTATGGTCTGCTCTGTTACGGACACTTCATCGGCGAAAGAAGAGAGACACAAAATTTTTTTTTTTTTTTTCTTCTTTTTTTTTTTTCAAATTTGGAGACCAGATTTAAACAGATAAACTTTCGGTGACGCTCCTTTCAGAGTGCAAAAACGAAATTGTCATGCTGACCCGGAGGCGATTCGAACGCCTAACCTTCAGGAACCCCCAGTAGTAGAAACTGGAATCTGACGCGCTACCGTTGCGCCACCAGGCCTTAGTATCAGATCCAAGGATCAGTCACGTGAGCTGACATGATTCGTAGGCTTCTGAGCGAAGCTATGTCAAAATTAGGTTGCCGATGCCCAATTTGCCATTTCGATGTTGTTGGACGTTGGCAAGTTGTGCGTGTGTGGCTGCAGTGCAGGACTGGCTGCATGCAGGTGGGCTAAATGTGGCCTTGAGGGCTAAGTGTGCCCTAGTACGTATGATCTGCTTACGTATTAGGAGCATAGGTGGCCTCGTAACTATCTCCACCCCAGACGCCAGTTCGACGGCGATTGGCAGCAGAAGCGCCCGTGAAAATAAGGAGACATCGAGGGGTTCATGGCTTCTGTGGAGTCTATCTATGGGCTTAGAGAGGGTATTGTTGGAATAATCCAGTTGCGACATAGTGCGCGGCGGAATACGAAGCAGGGGAGGAGGCATCGTTCAAGTAAGGGGTTGATGTTTCATTGTTGGGTTGCTTGTTAAGCTTCTAATCTGGCCTTCCAGATGTTGCTCCTCCTGACGCTGTCTATACCGGATGCGCTTCTATCAAGTATATTCCAAGATACCGTGGCGTAAGTGCGTGGCCCAGCGAAACGAAAGCTGTTCCGATACACCATCGCTCTGTCGGACACATAGCTTAACGGTGAGGTCGTTGTCATCAAACATCAACTGTGTGAGCACTACAGATGCAGATGCGCAGACCCTTCGGATCACTGAGGTTGAACAAGTTGAGAGCTGCATCAACTACATTGATGCCGCCATGAGCGCCGCCCCGACGCTCGATCCGTTCTTCGCCAGGCCTATCCTAACCCTGCGTTCGCCGCTCCCGAAGACGTCTGCGAGCGCTTCCCGGATGTCCTGCTCAAAGCTCGGATGGAATTCGATGAGAGAGCCATCGACTCCTATGTCTATTGTGTCTCCCTCGATGGTCGTGGGTGTTTCTTCTTTGGATCGAGGTACGGATGAGGTGTCGGGGAAGAAGCTCGAGGCTGCGTTCGGGAAGCCGAAGATCTTCAGTAACCGACGCAAGAGTACATTGACGCGTGAGCGAAAGCGCGAGAAGGCAAACGCGCGTGCAGGTTCTGACTGCTTCGACTTCCGTCCGTGGAGAGTGATCTCTACCGGCTTCGACTCATCATCCAGCAATGCCTTGGCTGCCTGCATTCGCCCGGATTGTATAATCACAGCCGCCATCGCCGATCCCGCAAGTCGTGCAGCTCGCCTCGAGATGGCGCCAGCTACCTCGCGTATCGCATTGGCATCCTCGTATGTGACCCCTTGAGCCTTCAGGGCATCTGCGATATGGCGTCTGGACTCTTCGAGACTCTCACTCCCATCCCGCGCGAGGATAGACAGTATTGAACTGTCGATACCTTCCCGCAAGAGCAACGGCGAAGTACTGCTGGTGGTCATATCCAGAAATCCTGCTTCCAATAGCTGAACTACGACCAAGCGCAATAGCTCTCCCAGGTATAAGCCGGATATCCGCTTCTCGAGCATCTGCATTCCCGGATCCTGCGATGCCGAGTCAAGGATGTCGTCGTACTCGGTCGTCGGCAGTACCTCCATGTCGTCGTCGAAGCAGCCCCATTCCGTATTGACCACCATTAGGTGGTCGGGGGTATGGTCGCGAAAGTCGGCTTGGTGGTGTAGTTTTGTGACGTTCTGCAGCTTCTCGATGTAGGCCGCGTTGGTGCCTGTCCCGAATATGGCACTCATCAGCGTTGACGACTTTTCCGGCGACGTGTAGGCCCTGGCCATGAGTGTTCCGACGCTGTCGTTAGCAAGGGCAGTGACGTGGATCGGCAGAGTCAGGTCGTCGATTGCCTCTTGCAACATGGCACACGGGTCTTTGCCAAGCGCCTCTGGGATGTCCCACCCCTTGTCCCAGTGGAGGAGCGTTCCTTTTGCCAGTGATTCCTGGTGGCAGGTGAAGCTGAACGTGAAACCCAGTTTCCGGTGGTTCTCTTGTGTCAGCTCGCCTGCTTCCGAGGGTATACACTCGTTTTCCTTGGGTACTGTGTCCAAGTCCGATTCTGGATGATCTGCGAGGAAGTCTTGTATCCTCTCCGCGATGAAGCCGAAGAGTGGCTTGTAGAATGCGTTGACTCTGAGCTCGGGCGGGACTAGGTGCTTGGACTGCACCAGTGTGTAGGTGAAGTCCCCGTGCAGCTCTATTGAGCAGACTCTACAGTTGGTGCCGCCCAGGTCCACCGCCAGGAACGTCCCCTTCTCCGTTCCATCTGGAACCTGCCTCACGTAGGACGGTATTTGACTCGGGCCAACCCGCGTCAACGCAGCTCCTGTAAGTGTGTCAGTTAGTCGAGTCCAGTCGAGTCGAACCCTCGAGCGACATTCTTACTCATATGCTTGACGAAGTGGCCCGTCAGCTTTTGGACGTCATCGTGGTCGATATCGAACTGGTGAATTATCTGTTTAATTCGCGGATGCAAGCCAGAGGTCCTGGCTGTCCCTTTCGACATCACCGCAGATCGGAGAGCAGTGCGACTGAATCAACGGCGACACTCTTCGCTTGTGCCTCCGTGGACGCAGCGGCGAGTAGGAACGACATGGTGGATGTTGAGAAAAATAGGCCACGATCGATGGGTTTGCAAGAGCCCGAAACGCCGAATCTAGCTGTGCTGGAGACGCTTTCACCACGGCGTGATGGCAGGAAGGATCGCGGAAGGGCCGTATCGGGCCAATCCGGTCGACGTGGAGTGGAGCCTGCTTATTGAACTCTTCGCCATGAATTCTTGTCACGTTTCGCCATCCGCCGGCTGACTCCCTGTGTTGCGAGCCGGCTATGCCGCCGGGCATGACCGGAGACTATGGGGACGGGTCGGCTGCAATCTCGCATATCTCGCATAATTCGCATAAATCAGCCCTATGTAGATAGCGTCCCCGCTAATAATTTACCCCATACCCATCCTTGCCATCCCCTATCTGCCCCAGGTCCGCGACAGTGAGACGTAATAACATTCTGGGGCGGGGGATGCGAAGAACACTTCCATCTTGATGGGAACCTCCACCAACCACCCTATCGTTACCCGCCGGTCTGACGGTCTCGAAACGCCTCACTGATTGTGCGCTATATTGTACCGGTTGCGACTCGGCTCACCTGTTCCTCTGACGTCGCCTGCTGCATCTCACCCATTTGTTTTCGTAACCTGGTTGCGCACTGAATGGACCACACCATTCAGCCGAGCCTGACGACGACGAATGTCATGCCACGGACCAGCTCAAGTCTGATGGGGTCTGGCCAGGATGGAGAAGGAGACACCCTGAGAGACGATGAACACAGCGAGCCCAAAGCCCGCAAAGCATGCAGTCAGTGACCCCGTAGCAATGACACTCGAGAGAAGTGCAAGACTCATAGGCCAACAATAGTAAACTGTCGGAAGCAGAAGATGAAATGCCGGCTTGACAGTGGGAACACCTGTCGACGATGCCAACGTAGCGGTGTCCAGTGCATCTTCCTGCCGCGTGCCAATGCCGCCACATTGCCCGAGTCTTTGGTCGACTTCAGCCAGATTGAGCTCAACGGAGACATACTCCGCAGACTTAGGGCAATTGAGACACACCTCGGCCTTACCGGTAATGGGCCGGAAAGTCCCGTAGAGGAACAGACCCACCACGGCTTCGACGGGTCGCTGACGATAGCTTCGCCGGAGGAGATCGCTCTGAGCTCCCTATGGGAAGCCGTCGGGTGCCTCGAGAAGATCTCGGTACCCTTGACGAAGCCCTCAATATGGCGCAGGAGCACAATCAAACATCTTTGGCTGGCGTAGGTAAACCGAAAACCCCGGGTTTGAATCCCATTCTGACTCTTGTGAAGATTCCACGACCGGATGCCGGGGCTTCACTTCCTGCCCGAGAAGCAGACCTTTTCGTCTCCTCGGCCGTTACTATTGGCGTCCATTCTGTACTGCTCAAGTGCCCGGGGGCCACCGGACATGGCCGAGACAGCGCCCCAGTACTTCTCCGTGCTGTGCAATGCCATAGCACAGCTGAGCGTCCCGAACAGTGAGATTGGCCGCCCGCCCGAGAACCCACAGGAGGCCGAGGAGTGGGCTTTTCAGACGGTGCTGGGCATCATCCTGGCTGGCCTTCTCACCGAGGCCAACATCCGCGAGACGGGCATCTGGATATCGGTGGCCTATCGACTGATTCTCGAGCACTGCCCGCCGCACATCGATGAGAGGTCTAGGGAGTGGCGGAAGCTGTTCATTGGCACTCAGATCATCGACCTCGAGCACGCCTCTCTCCACCTAACGTGCCCGGTGATCCCTATCGAGCCACCCCTCCAGGCACTCAAGACTTCCAATCGAGATCAGCTCTATAGGCTGTCACGGATGATGCACACGGGCTTGACGCACTTCACAGGACGCGGCTTACCGACCATATGGTCCTGCTTCACAAGTAACCCACCGGAGACAATGAACTCGAACTCTACATGCACCTTCAACCAGATAGACGCAGCAGTGATCCGCGACTGGGCCCGCCAGCTGGATGACTGGCTTGTGGAGTTCAGCAACGTGGTCGAGGACGCCGATGCCGACCGGACATCGGTGTTCCGCCAATACGTCCTCCATCGCCTGGTCGTTCTGTCTATCTACCATCCCGCGAGGGGGTGCAACCTCTACTCAAATACGATTACACCGAAGGAGCAGCACGAACTGCTCCTCTCTGCCCGTGCGACTATCAGACTTCACTTGAACGATTCCTCCATATGGTCTAACTGGGACCTGGTCATCATCACCTGGGCTGCGTTGATTGTCATACAGGGAGTAGAAGGGGAAGCCGGAGAACCCGATGGTGAGTGCAATACTCAGGCTACTTACATACACAACCTCCTGAAAAGACAGATACTAACCCAAGCTAGACCTGCGAAACATTCGCATCCACCTGGATTTTCTGAAGCAGACCAGCGAGCCCAAGCCAAGCCTGCGAGACAAACTAATTACACGACTCGAGCAAAGCCTCACGGGGGTCCAGACGCCGACTCACCCATCGGGCTTGGATCCGGCTATGAATATACAAGCTCTTAGTCCAGAACTGGAGTTCTCGTGGCAGATCTTTGACCATTCCAGCTTGCGACAGATGCAATTCCCCGGATGGCCAGACCCTTCGTCATTACAGCCAATGCAGTGAAGACCGCTCACCAGAGAGAGATCTCCTCATGACTCGGACCAATGTGGTGGCCAGTAAACCTCGCCGAGTATGAGTCCACCCGTGATATCATACTGTCTGGGGTCAACTCCCCATCTGCGATCTCTCCGTCCGACACGGATGCCTCGGAGTTCGGTGTCCACGGCGGCGATGCCAAGGGCGTGTCCTAAGTCGTGTAAGCACTGGGTGCTTTGACGTCGTATCCAGCGGACGCTCGACACTCGTGGAGGACTGATCCAGCTCAGCATGGCATAGTCTTATGCAGGGGAGTTCGGTCTACCTTGACCGTCTTGAACTGCAACCCCAAGGTCGCCTCTTCATCATCAACAACAATAGTGCGCCGCGAGTGCATCTGCAGACACGACAGCGTGCACATATGGCTCATGGTATCTTCCACGGCCCTCTGTACCGCGATCGCCGTACCCTCCCTTGTGGCGATGATGATGATGACCTCCCTTGCGTCCATGATGGTCTGCACGCCGACTGTCAGGGCCTTCTTCAAGACCTACTTCACGTCCCCGTTGGAGAAACGTGCATTTGCGAACCGTATCGAACGCCAGAGCCTTGACCCTCGTACGGCTCGCCAAGCTCGACCCGAGCTCGTTGAACGCGATATGTCCAACACTACCGACGCCCCCGAGACACAAGTCGACCCCGCCATAGGACCGGATCTTGGCCTCGTACTCGGCACACTCAGTGTCCAAGCTCGACGCGTTGCCATCGAGGATATGGACATGCACCGGGGCGATATTGAAGTGGGGGAATAGGCGCCGGTGCATGAACGAGCGGTAGGGCTCTCTGTGCTCGCGCAGGAGCCCGACGTACTCGTCCATGTTGAAGGTCACGACATTGTGGAAGGAGACTTCGACTGCGAGAAGGGCGGCGATGATCTTGTCGTAAATACCGACGGAGCTGCTCCCTGTAGGAAGGCCGAGCACGAAGAAGCGCTTTGTTGTTTAGACCGGGCTCCAAAACAAGGTAGATAACTGACCGATGAACATGTATCTTGCGATGTATGCCGAAGCCTCATGGTGATCTTCCGTCCGTAGCTTTCTCTTCAGCAGCTTCGTATATCATTCGTTCGCACCGGGTATTCCCGGATTCGCACAATGCGAGCCCGCTGCCCTTTTGATGAGCTTCAATTATGTCTCCAAGTTGCGAATGTCTCAGGCATATTCCCCTCGGAAAGGTTCAAGCAATATCGCCAGTATTCTCAAGATTATTCCGGTAGAACGCGCCGGATAGGGGGCCCGGACATCCCGGGCCGGCTCTGTACTAGTGGAAGTAGCCTCTTCCTCCGATACCTACCTGAGGCTGGAGGGCCATATCATTCGTTCTGCTTCAGCGTACGGGCCGGTGTACTTACCGGTGATCGTTGCCGATAGTACTCGCTTTTAGTCGCGTACGCAATCGATGGTTCAAATACTACAAGTGCAGATTACGGTACTTATGACGGGGATCTCATAATACGCATTTGATGATCGAGTCTTAGGTGTACTGCAGTCTACAATGTGGCATATCTCAAGTAACCATGAGAAGGAACCCGCTTCATTATATCGAGTGATGAAGCCACTGCGCTGCCCATACTACGGTAAACAAATGCGCCGACGTACCGTACTGCTTCCGCAGCCTTCTAGAATAACCCCAAATAGAGTAAAACACCGAGGAGACCGTTACTGACGGCTGACTAATTGTTGTAACCCCACCTCCATCACCGTCGCTGGAACGTCTGGTCCAAAGACTCAATCCCGCCCTTCCTAATGACTACCGGTACTCGAGTCTATAGACAAATGCAATAAACGACCCGAAACCAGACCCTCAAGCTAATCCACATCCCAAGCGCCGCCCTCCCGTGTCCCGCCCAGTGTCAGCTCTCCGACAATGGCCGACGGAGCGCCATCGCACCTCCTCAGCCTCCCCCCGGAGATCCGCGAGCAAATCTACTCCATCATTTTCCACCCCGACAGCAACCGGCTCTCGCGCCGCGACGAATACACCGACTACGACTACCGGGCAGCGCTGGTACTTTTCCGCCTCAACCAGCAGATCTACTACGAGTCGCGCAAAGTATTCCGCGACCTGAACGTATTCGTGCGCATCGAGACACCATGGGCCGAAGCAGCCGAACACACCGCCATCGTCGGCCACGTCCCCATCGTGATGCAAGCGCAGCGCGCAACACAATTCCCGCACGCAAGCCTCGACATCTCGGTTGAGGCGCCGTCGATCTCCCTGCACCGCGAGGGCGAGGGCCGCACGCACCGGTTCGTGATCCTGCTCGACGACCTCGAGGCCTTCACACAGTCGTGGTTCTACTCGAGCCTCTCGAACCCGGGCCTGAACCAGTTCCTCTCGACGAAGCTCCACCTGCGCGACCCGTACACGCCCGACTGGGAGGAGAAGCACATCCCGCGGCAGGTGCAGCGGCGCATGCTGGCGCCCTTCGGCGCCATCAAGGGCTCGCGCGCCTTCACGGTGACGGGCGACCCGGCGCCGCAGCCGTCCCTCGTCGCCGCCATAGAGGCCGAGCAGCGGATCCCGGTCGGCAGCCCGGAGAGCGCGCTCGTCGAGGCCACGCGGCTCAAGGCCGAGGGCAACGCCCTGCTCACATCCGCGGGCTGCGACGCATCATCCGTCCGCGCCGCGCTGGCGCTGTACCGCCGCTCCTGGGAGGCCATGTACATCGTCGTCAAGGGCCGCCAGCGGCACGTGCACGCCGAGGCCTTCTTCGCGCGCGAGCTGCGCGAGCCGCCGTACGAAGGCAAGAACGGCCAGGTCGAGCGGCTGGCGCTGCGCATCCAGCTCGTCGCCAACACGTGCCTCGCGTACCTGAAGCTGCGCGACTGGGACGAGCTGCGCTTCTGGGGCATGCGGACCATCGCGCTGATGCGCCAGGCCACGGGCGCGAACGACGAGGACGATTCTGTAACGCCCGAGGACGAGGCGCTGTTGAGTTTTCCCAGCGCGGTGCAGGTCGGGAAGATCTATTATCGGACGGCGGTGGCGTGGAGGGAGCTGGGGGATCGGGCGCAGGCGAGGAGGCTGTTGAGGGTTGCGGCTGTTTATTTGCCGCATGATAATATTGTTAAGACTGAGTTGGCGGCTTGTGCGTTGCAGATTGGCTGAGGGAGACAGACGGCTGGATACGAACCCGGTCTTCGTTGGTGGATGGTGAGGGACACTTTGTAGCAACACCGGCGTTTGGGGGGGAGCGAGCGAGCGAGCTCAGTGTATCTGAGATTGTCAACGAATGATGAACCAGAAGCCGCCATTATTCAACATACAAGCGTTTGTTCTTTAAGGGATGGCAGTGGAAATCCAAGTCGAATTACATTCAAGCGAACCACACACGATCATGAGCACATGCACAAGTTGCAGCACAGACAATTGGCCGTCTTCAAGCATCCGTGAGATCATCGAGTCATGACCATCTTTGGCACTCCTACCCAAGGCCATCCGATTATCTATTAACTGGTAAAACTACAGCACAATCCCGTCAAGTGACCCGACTAACCCAGACACAGCCCTACTCCTCCTTCGCCTGCGCAATCTTCCGCTTGAAGTTCCGCCCGCCCACAAACCACCACGCCAATATCAAGATCGGAATAGCGCCCACCACAACACAAGTATAGTTCATGCTACTCGCCTGCACAGGCATGCTATAAGGAAAACTGAAAAACACAATCGCGAACGTCAGCCAGGCAATCGTAACCCCATTCACCACCCAGCCCCAGCGGCCCATGTGGAAGACGCCGCGCGCCATGTTGCGCCGGCCGGTAAGCAGGTTGCAGGCAATGGGGATGAAATAGGCTATGTTGTTAATCGTGACGGCGGCGCCGAGCATGCTGTTGAACGCCGTGCTGGACCCGAGGTAGATGCACCCCAGCGCCGCGTTGATCACCGTGACGCCGAGCTGCGCGTTGATCGGCACGCTTGAGCCGAATTTCGTGTTGACGCGCGCCCAGAAGGAACTGAATGGCATGGCGCCGTCGCGCGCAAAGGCCCAGCACACGCGGCTGGTTGAGAGCTGCGAGGACACGACGCAGGGACCCAGCGCGACGAACAGGATGAAGGTCAGCCCGAAGGCACCGCCGGCCGACTGTGTTACCTGCCGGAAGAGCTCAGCTAGCGGGAGTCCGGTGTCGTTCGAGGATAGGGCGGCGTAGTCTTGTACGCTGAACATTAGGGCGATTAGGTAGGTTAGGCCCGTGCAGAAGGCGATGGTTAGGGTGATGGCGATGGCGAGGGGGGCGTTGCGGGATGGCTAAAGGACATGGTGTCAGTGAACTGAATGACTATGGACAAGTCAAGTCGATCTTTCCTTGAGGAGGAGTTCGGGGCCTGGCTCACGTTCGGCATCTCCTCCGTGATGTGCGTCACTCCGTCAAGGCCTCCGAGACTGTACAGCGGGTTGACCAGGCCGGTGATGAAGCAGATGACCTGGTTCTGCCAGCCCGTGTTGTTGATCCACGTCTTGAAGACGAACGTGGGCGTCTGGTATGATGGAGCACAGGCTACGACTGTGATCAATCTGGTAAGCCGGAGAGCTACGGTTAGTAATCGTTTTCTTAAGTCTCTTGGAAGTCGGGCAGACGCCCTAACCATGAGGTGCAGAGGGGTGGTACTCACTGTGCTGCTGTTAGCGACTGTACCGCGAAAGAAACGATTGAATGGAGTATAAAGGGATTTGGCGGAGGGAGGAGGATGGATCGTGGAAAAGGAAATAGGGGGGCAAAAGGGGCCGACTAGTGCACTCCCCAGCAGGATTGACATACCACGACGATCCATCCGATCTGAAGATAGAACAACGAAAACTTGTTCAAGGCCGGAATGATCTTGTTACCGAACATGACGACCGCCGCCGTGATGAGGTTGAGCCCCTGGTAGATAATGAAAGTCTGCCAAGTCTGCAGGTGCAGATCGGGGTGGTAGAGCGCAATAAGAGCGCCCAACGTCTGCGCATAGATCAAATTTGTCGAAGCAGTGGTAAAGATCCCTGAAAAAAGCCCCGTCGGTCAGTCAGTTCTATGTCCATCGACAACATGTAACACCTTTTCACCTTCAGAGGGGATGAAAACTCACAGCCAAAGCAAGTAAACCACCCCGTAATGAAACTCAGAAACGCAGCCATGTGCTCCGGCGCAACAGCCGCGATCCAGTGGTACATGCCGCCCTCGGTCGGGTAGCTCGACACGAACTCGGCCAGCGACGCCCCCAGAAAGCACTGCAGCACCGTGACGAGGATGAAGCCGTAGATGATGGCACCCGGACCGCCGGCGTTGATCTCGGTCACGATTCCCAGACCGAGACCCGTCCATGAGATCGTGGTGGTGCTGGCCAGTCCGATCAGTGACAGCACGGTGAAGTGCCGCTTTAGCTCTTGCGTGTGGCCTGGGTGTGATTGTTAGCGTGGTTGTTGAATTGAGAGACTGTCTACTTACCCATCTGGGCTAACCGCAGTTCGTCGGCGTCCATGTTGGGCTTCTCTTGGGTCACCTGGCGGACGAAGTCGGCCTTTTCGATCGAGTGATCCATGTTGGATACCAAAGCACACATCCAGCATGCGTGTGCACAAATGGGGGGACGTCGATCAGCTAGGTATTACCAGCGTCAAAGGGCTGCTGTCCTGGTGGAGATCTCGGTACGGTACCGGTATGCTGGGTTCACTGACGGTTAAAGAATGCGGCTCAACGAATGCGCGAGAGCAAAAGGCTGATATATTCCCTCTCATCCCCCTAGAATCATTCCTTCTCGCTAGATGCCTCTCATGCTGTTGCACTCGGTCGCGGCTCATGGCGAGATCCCGTCAATCATGTCGCGTCCTTATCGTCGGCAAACCAGCCGGTGTTGGCCGGAACGGCTCGTGAGTCGTGGATACGGGGAGTTATCAGGGGCAGATCCCCATACCGCCCCATTTTAATGGAATTTATCGTGTCACCAATAAACCGATAACGTCTCTCACCATTCTCCACGCCGAACACCTGTTGAACCCCTGTCGAGACCCCTGTCGAGACCCCTGTCGAGACCCTGAACGGCTTTCCGGTGTGATGCCCCGGTGCATAACTAGAGCTTGGCGTGCTCGGGGTGTCAACGTGAACCCTGGCTGTTCAAAGCGGTGACGGACGGAAGCTTGATCATGTCCCGAGAAATTTCCACTGCTGGCTTGGTCGCATGGTGGTATTCCTTAACGATGTCTAGATACATGACGATCTGAAGTGTCGGCCAGTACCGGCGGCGGGAAGATCATCCCGCTCGACTTCCCCCCTTCCGGCCGGTCTCACGATTAGTAGCGTTCGTCGGGATGCTCCGTGGTGGTTTACAGATCAGCAATGGGAACAAGACCGTGGAGTAGACCATGCTACTCTCAAGTCCTGTGCCATGGCGGGCCTCTGGTCTTGCATGGCCTTCAAGGCCTTCAAGGCCTCAAAGCCGTGAAGCCGGAAGAACACCCAGCAGCTCTTTGACGAGTAGATGACTTCACAGACAAGATCTATGACCGCCAGGCCGGGTATATGCCGCACTTCTACTGGCCATTGCGGGATTGCGTGAGACACGGTCCTCGGTCTGGTACGCGAATGGCCTCCTCCAGCGGACGTCAGGGAGAGGATGTCGAGCAGGCTGTCAAGATCATTGAGAATGTCGCTGGCCCAGCATCGTGCTCGTAGCGTGCTCGCTATTACTCCGTCTATCGGCAGAAAGGGCTTTTGCTGGTTATGGTTGGGCGGGTTTGTTGGGTCCTGGTAGGAGCGGGCCCAACTCATAACATATGAGAGACGGTTCATGACCAACAATCCAACTTCCCTTGTCGGGAGGAGTTCGCGTTTGGCCTTGGAATCATGGTGGCTGTTGGTTGGAAGTAGACAAAGAACCTCCCAACTTACCGTGCACCTGCTTGGATAGAACAAAGAGTTTCGAGCCTAGTAGAGGTGTCAAGGGGTGCCACAAGCCAGTCACGTTGATGGCAAACTGAGTATGAAAGACACTTGTTGGAGACGGAATCACCAAATGATCAAGATTGACTCCCTTTCATGCGTCACGGCTTTGCGACTGTCGTACGAGGGTCCCGAGTCCACCAACGACCAAATCCTCCTGACCACTTGAATCGGACGACTCGAGTCGCTTAGCACTTTCTCTGATGTATGTTTGCGAGACAACAAAGAAGTTGACTTCTGTTGGTGATGCTGCTGAGCTGCCATTCAGTAAATCAGGCCCACTTCGCCAGCGTCGGGACGGAGCCTCCCGAATGAGAGTTTACAGGTGAATCACGCAATCAGTGAGCCAGCACTGATTTCATCAAGCATGGAGAAACTTGTTATGACATGCCGTGTCTTCGAGGGAGTCCCTCCTCGCCTATATCAAGTGCGGCAGTGCATCTATCAGGCAGCCCAAACTGTACCCTCACCCATCACATTCACTCGATCCATGACACAGCAGCAAGTCAAGCATCTCTTCCTCTGCCCCGACTCCAACCCCACAAGAACGATGCGAAGCTTTGGCTGGTGTTCTTAAAGAGCGTCTCGGAGGTTTCCAACACGATCCTCTCGATCTAAGACACTATCGAAAGCGTTTCTTCGCCAAAGACCCCGTGAGTTCTACCAGCAGGGCCGGAGAAACCGCTACTAACACAGTCGACACTGGACAGACCGCAGGTCCGGAGGCGGAACAACCATACTTCGAGTACAGCCTGACCGTCCAATGTAACCTTCACACCGAGAACCTCAAGGAAATGGCCAGGTTTGCCGTGTTTGGTTTCTGGAAGCTAGAGTGACGCATTGCGGAGTGCGCCAGAAAGCCCCCGGGCGACGTTGTTGGGGAGGAAAACCATCACATGCAGATGTACCAAACACGCACTGGGCAATGGACACTTCGCCATGTGCATGTCGGCGATTTGTATCTTTGGTTTGAACCATGTATGCCCTCCACAGCTCCGAAGCTCCGGTATTCGACTGACTTGCTGCTACAGTGACTGAAAACCACATCGAGTTTCTTGCGGGCAAGCACGACGACACTGTCCTCAAGACAGAGGCCAACACCGCGACCAATGCATTTCATAAGAGCTTGCAGTGCAATGAGAGGATTGAGAAGAATGAAGGCAGCGATGAGGATGACACTAGCGAGGACAGCGAGGGGGGCTGTAGTAGCGAAGACTCGGAGGGCAGTGAAGGCGGCGAGGGCAGTGAAGGAGGCAACACCGATACCTAAAGTCAGTTCTACTGGAAACAAGGTCGAGGAGCCAATGAGTTGAGGGAGTGTTGGCTGCTAATAAGCGTTGTTTGAAAAAAGAGCTTCAAATCGAGTAGAAACGTCAAGGCGGTGCCACAAGTCAGCCACATTGTTGTTGGATTCTGGGCTACGTTAGCCCATCCATAGTCATCCTTCAGGATCACCATCCCCATCTGTGACTCTGTCACATACGTGGCCACATAAGGCCACATATTCTTTCCTTTAGTATCTTGGATATATAGGGCCACTCTGGCCGCTCCAGAGTAGCTGGAATTCCTCTCCTTAATAGAACACTTTGAAATCTCACATGGTAGCATCTCTGATCGATCACGACCTCCAGCAGCCCTTACCTTTTAAGCTTTTTCTACTGGTCTGATTCATTCTGATCACCCTCTTTCTGCTTATGTGCCTCTAGGACTAGCTACCCTTATTGTCACAAGTCTTCAAGTGTTTCTTTGTTATAAGTGTTTTTTTATACAGAAAGAGGTCGCTTTTTGGCTTATATTTTGCCTTATTTATAGGCTAGCCTTATGATATATTATCCTTCTTATATTATGTCCGAATCTACCCAAGAGACGGTCCTGGCCTTTACATCTACCTCTATCCCTCGCCTCCAAGACCATCAGAAGCTCGTTGGTGAGGAGAACTGGGAGGTCTGGGCCCAAATGATGGAGCATTTGCTCACTATTCTCGGGCTTTGGTCTCTTATCCTTGAATCCATCAAGGCGGACGAGAAGGAACCACACAAGGCCAGTACTGGTACTGTCGACGCACAAGCTACGCCTTCTGCGGGAGCCTTTTTCAAGCCCCCTGAATTGGATGCTAGTCTGAGTATCAAGAGGTCAAAATTATACCTCGCTATCACCCAGAACATCAAGTCTGACCCTGATTCTCGTATCATGGGTTTATTTGACCCTGGTCAGATCTGGATAGCCTTGCGACAGGCATATTCAGGCACAAGAATTGACGCAGTTTTATCCGTTATAGATGAACTGGCTGCCATTTGATTCCCTGACCATGGAGACAAGTTCGTGGACAACTACCGCAGATTAATGGATAAAGTCCAGCGGCAGAATATCACATATCCTCTGAATATTCGTATTGCTAATTTTCTAGCTGCTATTCGGACGGCCTTTCCAACCCTTCACTGCGAAATCTCAAAGGATTACAATCATGGAATCCTCCCTACGACCGAGAATCTCTTGTACCGGCTCCAAGAGGAGATACAGATACGCAAAGCTCAAGACAAAACCTTTATTACCAACTTTGGCAAGCCTGCTACGCTTAGCAAAGGCAAGAACAAGTGGAAGAACAAAGGGAGGGGCAGCAATCACCCATCTCCTAATGGCCTAAGAGCCTCTGGAATCAATCAGTGCTCTTCCAACAACAACACCACGGATCCTATCTGGTGCTATGAGTGCAGAGAGCTTGACAAAAAGAAGGGGCACCTTGGATGCAACAAACACATCCTCAACCAGATCATCCAAGCCTCTTAGAAGGTTAAGAAAGCTGGAAAGCCCTCAACCAGCGCTCCCGCTCACCAGAGTAATCACACCGGCGCTTCTGGCGCCGTCCAATGGTACAATTATTCTAATAAGGCCATCTCTATTCAATCTGCCCTCGCTCAAGAACTATATGGCGCCAATCAGGAAGTGAGTACCAATCTAATCAACACCGTTCATGCCACGACAAGTACGGACTCGTGGCTGTTTGACACTGGTTCTACTGTTCCTATTTGTAATAGCAAGAAGTGGTTTACTCGCCTTCGAATGGATCCTGACCTGGTCCCTTTTAACACTGGAGGAGGCCCTGTTACTCCTCAAGGTGTTGGCGACGTGGAGATCCCATTCATTACCTCCAACGGTGATACCGTCACTCGGACAATATCTGGAGCATTGTTTGTGCCCTCTTTTCTAATCAATATCTTCTCGGGGGATCAGATGTATCGCCAAGGATGGTATCTAATGATCCGCGATCTGTTTGATCCCCATGGGACATGGGTTGCATTATTCCACCGGGGAATGTACGTTCAAACGGAGATCCCCAGTGTCCAGAAGGACGTATACGGAATCAATCAAGCCCCGGACGTGTTCACCAATATGGTATCCAAGGATTCTTCCCAGGAACTTACCTCTCAAGCCAAATCTGCGGCACTGAGACTATTCCACCGCTGGCATACAAGATTAGGCCACCGATCTATTGGCGACCTTATCAAGGCAGCCAGTATTACCAAAGGGATCGAATTGCCACCAAATGTAAGAGAATTGGCAAAAAAATTCATCTATTTAGAGTGTCTCGAGTCCAATTTACGTCGCCTAGTCTCTCGAGTTGAACAGGAACATCCAGACCATGCTTTAGACCTGGTCCATATAGATATAGCCAAGCACTCTGTCCAAGGCTATGATGGTTCTCTCTATGCCACCGTATTTGTGGATGGCAAGTCTCGTTTGAGGGAGTACTACCCCTACGAGAAGAAAGGGGAAACTTCCGACCAAGCCATTTGCTACTGTGAATACGCTCACACCCAGTACGGGCGTTATCCGAAGCGATTCCGAATGGATGGTGGTTCTGAATATGCGAGATTCAAGCAATGGGGCGCTAAACATGGTATCGCTTTTGAAATCAGCGCCCCATACACTCCCAAGCAGAACGGAGTGGCTGAGAGGTCCTTTGGCGTTATATATGCTCTCATTCGCAGTATTATGAAGGATTCCGGGCTACCTGAAGCCCTTTGGCCTGTTGTTGGACCTGCTGTATGTGATAGGCTCAATGTGAGCTATACATCTTTCCTCCAAGGTGTGAAGAAGACTCCATTTGAAGTCTTCTTTGACGACTTGAACCCTGGAAAGGATAACAAGCCCGATTTGACAAATTTACTGTCAATTAGGCAGGCCGCTGTGGTCCATTTGCCGCAGCAGCACCGCCTTAAGGGAGACAAGACCGCTCCACATGCAAGGAGAGGTCGTATTCTTCGTTCCTTTGGTTCCAACCAGTATCAGGTGTATCTTACACACCTGAGAAAGGTTATAGTTACTGCCCATCTTGAGATTTTGGATGGGTACGTACTTTCAGGGGATTTGACCCATATCTTTCCAAACTTCTGTAGTACACTTAATGACTATGAGACAACCAGACCCAATACTGAAGATCTGTCAACGCCATCTTTTTCAGAGGGCGCTCACAATCCTCAGCATATATATATTGAGTCAGATAACAGAAGAGATGGTAGAGAGGATTCACCCCAACCAGTTGTTAGGTTAGGGACCCCTCTTGGGACCCCTGATATTTCTGATAATGATGATAGTCATTATTCTGACTCTGGATATAGCGACCCTGAGCCGAGTACTGCTCCTGCTGACTTGATTCCTCTATCATCTAAACCACCTTGTCAAGAAGTAGCCTCAATGGCTGCTCCAAGATCAAGAATCCAATCAGGGCTCAACCTAGAAAATGTACTCTCTGGAGGACGCACTCGGAGGACTCACAACTATTACGTAGCCAAGTCTTCCACCCCTGGCATATCTCCATATGTTACGATCAAGGCATCTTATGCTAATTGGCCTTTTTCTGACCCTGGTCAGGCACTTCCCTGTGATGACGAGCCTTCTAGCTATAAGGAAGCTATGGAATCTGCTGAGGCTCCCCAATGGCTGGATGGCATACACACAGAAATTCGTGCATTATTGCGGAATAATACTTTCATCTCTATGTGGAGGACTGACCTACCTACTGGGCGTGAAACTCTTTCTAGCCGCAATGTTTATAAGCGGAAGAAAGACTCTGACGGCAACACCTCTCGGTACAAGGCTAGGGTGGTTGTACGAGGCTTCATGTAACGCTATAGCCTCAACTATTTTGAAACCCAGGCCTCAGGCGCTCGTATTACCACCTGGAGGCTCCTTCTAGCCATTGCTGCTGTTCTGGACTGGGAGATTGATCAGATGGATGCTGTATCTGCCTTCCTGATGGGAGAACTAGATGAAGAGATCTTTATGGAGACGCCTGATGGTCTCTCTGACTTCTTTGAGATATATCCAGATGAAAATATCATCAACTAGAGACCTGGCATGATTATGAAGCTTGTAAAACCGTTATATGGGCTCAAACAGAGCACTAGGCAGTGGCAAAAGCGTATTCGCAACGCTCTGAAGAACCTCAGATTTGACCCTCTGGTCTCTGACAACGCAGTCTATGTCAACATCAGCCGTGGCATTATAGTGATCAGCTATGTCGATAATTTCCTCATTTTGGGGGCTAATCGTGACGAGATCGCTGCCTTCAAGAAAGAACTAGGTTCTACATTTGAGATAAAGGACATAGGAGCTGCTGAATACTTCCTAGGAGTCCATATTGTCAGAAACCAAGCTGAGAAAACATTATATCTCTCTCAACAGACGTATGTGAGAAGGACCGTAGAGGCGTTCAACCATCAGAACACTGGCAAGATGAACGTGCCGATATCTCCTCAAGCAGTGGAATAGATAGAGTCCCTGAATAACGACCTTGAGATCGATGCATGTCCTATTCAGACATACCAGTCCCTCATCGGTTCTGAGAATTTCCCTGCGTCATATACAAGACCAGATATTGCATACTCTATGGGTGTTCTCTCGCGATACCTCCACAATCCTGGCTCAGCCTAATATAAGGCCGCTCTGGGCCTATTTCGTTATTTATGGCACTCTTAAGATCTTGGGATCAAATTTAGAGGTCCCGAATATGTCGGGAAGACCCCCCAAGAGGTTCTTGAGATGATTCCGGATCTGCTGATTGGTTACTGTGATGCCAGCTATGCTAAAAGCATCAAAACCAGCGCCAAGTCCACCTCAGGCTACCTGTTCACGTTTGCTGGGGGCGCTGTCTCCTGGGCATCCAAGCTGCAGACTGTTGTGGCTCAATCTACTGTGGAATCAGAGTACTACGCACTCTCTGAAGCCGTAAAAGAGGCTGCCTGGCTGCGAGAACTGATGCTGGAACTTGGATTCATTCTAAATGTTATCAATATCCATTCAGACAGTGCTGGAGCTATTCACTTGGCTCAGAACGCTGAATTCCATCGTCGAACTAAGCACATTCAAGTCAGGGAACACTATATTTGTTAGGAGATCTCAGAAGGTCATATATGGCTCTCTTTTCTTGGAACTAATGAAATGCCTGCAGACGGTCTTACCAAAACTTTGATAAAAGCAAGGTTCTTTAAGTTTCTGGAGTTGCTGGGACTGGTTCATATAGAGGGGTGATATTCTGGTTATGTTAATTCCCTTAGTCTGAGAGGGCGTGTTGGATTCTGGGCTACGTTAGCCCATTCATAGTCATCCTTCAGGATCACCATCCCCATCTGTGACTCTGTCACATACGTGGCCACATAAGGCCACGTATCCTTTCCTTTAGTATCTTGGATATATAGGGCCACTCTGGCCGCTCCAGAGTAGCTGGAATTCCTCTCCTTAATAAAACACTTTGAAATCTCACAATTGTTAGCAACAACATGTGGGAGACTGACACCGAATGATCAGATTAATTCCCCTTTGTGCGTCACGGCTTTGAATACTTGGTCCATTTCAGGCTAGGTGGATGAAATTCTCGACACTTCAAGTAATTTCCATCTATTAAGATAGTGGAAAAGGGTAAGAGCGTTTATTGTTGAAGTTCACGCAGTAAGGCGTGGCAGAAGTAAAGACTGACTTTGAATGAAAGAACCCCTGCCCTGTCCTGAAACTATCTAATTCCATCCTATGCCTGCCCAATAACCCAGAATAATGAAATGAAAACGAGACCGGTCAGGTCTGAATGTAATGGGTGCCCCTGCGCTCTCCGATAGAAAACATGTAAGAAAATTGGAAATGGTTTTCGAGCCAACCGCGGTGTGCTTCTGTCGTATTTTTTATCGAATACAAGCAACGGGCTATTCCTCTTCCTTGAGAGTATCCTCGAGTTCCTTAATTCTTTGGACGATTGAGTTGTTATTGTCGACTGATTCTAGCACACGCTGGGGCTCCTCGATCTTCCCTTTTGACTCGGCATGCAGCCTGTTCTGATCAACGAGCTTTTCCACGTGACGCAGCATATTGTCCCAGGTTAAGGTTTGAACATCTAGATCTGTCTTCTCTTTGTCTCGATTGAGACAAGTGAGCTGCATGTCTATGCTCTCCCGAAGGATTTCGTTGTCGTCTGTCCACCTTTGGATGGTCTCTTCGTCATCGGGAGTTGAGTCACTGGAAGACATGGTTGGAAATGATGAGGTGACGAGTGCTGTGATATCGGCTGGCAAATATGTGGAGTTGAATCTGGATCGGTGAATGGTAGCTAACGTTATGGCGTAGAAGCTGATGGTCTGGAAGAAACAGGAAAAGATCGAGAGTGAGCCATGGACCTTATGTATCAATTGCCCGGGACGGATATGATTGCCTGTCAGGCAAACCAACGACTCGCGACATTTGGGAATCGTTGGGCCTCGCCCGGTCTACAAGGTAACTTGGGGGAGTATTGGCAGTGGGCAGCTTGAATACTAGGCTCGTAATGTGAAGCATGCTTCACCCCCTTTGTCGGAGAGGTGCGTGGCGGGCCTGTTTGTAGGTGGTAACAAACCCAACGGAAAGTGGTAAAAGAACATGACGTGTGACGAACTTAAGGTTCCAAATTGACCTGCCACAGATTCCCGTTTGCAGATTCTCTCCTTTCCAGTGCCGAGTCTAACCATGCGTCAACTCAGTATGTTGGTGAGCGTTCGGCCTTTGCTTTGCTGTCTCCAGCTCGCCAGTTGGTAATGGAATGGAGGGACCCCGGATAGGGGACTGGGACTTGGATGTTGGCACATATTCGCAATATCCAGTTGGCATGTGCTGCTGGTACTTGGTTGGGGTTGACAAAGCGACCTCCAGTAGTCTGGCAACCATCATGACTACAGATGGCCGCTAGGAACCACAGCCAGCCTAAGGATCCCAAAATTGCACGTTTGCGTAACTCTTCTTGAGGTTGTTGACACAACTTAGAAGTTAGACAAAGAGAGCGGGGGTAGAGGTTGGCGCAGCGAACACGGGTGGCTTCCACGTCCACGGCACTGGGGCCGAATGTTGGTTCCTCTCGTCATTCCTACCCAACCAGACCGACAGGTAGATCTGCTTTCGTGCTCACACCTAGCTGGCATTCCTACGTGACCACCATCAAGGACCAACACTGGTCATCCTCTTGCCCCACGACCTCGCCGGCCCCACGACCTCGCCGCTAACACCCGGGCGAACCCCTCCGCAGTAGGCCTAGACTCGATAAAACCTGGCCTTGGAATGTAGCTGCGCTGTTCGCGTTGACTTCATTACCTGCCGACGGCCGCCCATTCATGACCGATGGACACAGCACAGTGTAGCCGTGCTTAGTAAGCCCAGCACCCCTTGTGGCCTCGAACTCCGGACAGGCTGAAGGTGACATGTGAGAAGAGCAACACATATCAAGGGCCATCAGAACATATGTCAGACACGTGAAGTAGATAAAATTTCTTGACTCTCCATAGAAAATCCTCGTCGCCACCACCCGCCTTGTCTTGAAGTACGCCTAGCCCCGTTTCTACGTACCATTTTCCTGGCTTACATCGCCTTGCGAGGACCTTAGTGACCGGGGACCATTACGCCGCAAGTGACCAGCTTCGTCATGTTCCTCGTCCCACCTTACCAACCCGTCCAGCGGCACCTTCACCAGCCGATGGGTGTTAGCACCATCTGTATCGACATTTAGTGTCTCAGGCCGCAACTCGTAACCACCCCACCTGGGCAACAAGTACATCCACGCGATGTAGTAGACGCCACATGCGAGTATACTAAGCTTGTCAGCTTAAGACACCCACTCATTGGGACTGGCTCATGACTTACATGCCAATGCCGACCACGCAGTACGTGGCATACCAAAAGCTTACTTCGCCCGCATACGGGCCGCCCTTGGGCGGTATCCACGGCGTCGCAATGGTGTAAAGCTGAATGAGGACGTAAAACAGCACCATGATATCCCAAGCCTTGAAGTCTGGCCTTCCCCTGTTGAGATGCTTGTGACGGTAACGGATGAGAAAGAGGCCAACAGCTAGTGCGAGACTAAAGAGGCCGTCCGGGTATGTCGGGAGGCTGACAACTGAGTGAAGGCTATGTCAGTATACCTCCGAATCTGGGACTTGGTCGACGCTAGGTTTGCGGCAGACGTACTGAACTGGAAAGCATCACCCGCCGGGGGTGCTACAATGACGATGAAGGTCACCACCCATTTGAGGAAATAGGGGCCCAGGGGTGTTCCAAACGGTTTCGTGGATACCCAGAACTCAGTAAACGGTAGCACACCCTGCCTATTGTCAAGGGTCGGGCTGTCAGTATGTCCTCACTACAGATGTCATTGCATGACGTACCGCCCGACCTCGCGGATGGACCGAGATGCACCGATCAAGGTTGCCAACAAGTTTCCGAAGGCGCTCAGCAAAACCAGGAAGTCCAGACCTTTCTGAGCTCCTCCTTTTCCAAAGACGGCGGCAAAAAACACGGAGGCCGCTGTCTGTCCTGACTTGGCGAACTCTGCTTTGGGCACTGTGATCAACTGGTTAGCCTCGGACTCATGGCATGACATGCTGGTCTGCCATATTCATACCGGCCGCGAAGTATGCGATATTGCAGAGAATGTAAAGCACACCCACAATGCCGACTGAGATCGCTCCGTTCCTCTTCAGCGTAGGGACGGGGTTATTGATTTCGTTGACTAACGAGAAAGCATTCTGGTATCCAGTGTATGCGAATATGATGTTGACAAGTGCAACAGACAGGTCGTTCCCGTTGCTCGTCGTCCCTTCGAATGAGTTGCAGAAGTTGGCGCCGGGATCAGAGATTCCAGACACGTTCCCGCCTAGAACAACGAAGCCTGTGGTGCTGATGCTGTCATCCGAGGGATGTCGTCAGTATCTTCGTTGTAAGTACAGACCAGACGACGTACGTACAACGCAAGCGTGAGGATCTTGATACCCCCAATGACGTTCACGGCCCAGAGCGAGTACTTGTTGTGAATGAGCACACCTGCGGCATCTATGAGAGGCTGGTCTGCGAGAGGTTTTTCGGACTCACAGATTACTGCCACAGTATATACTGCCACAGCGACACCCTTCAGCTGCCAGTCCGTCGGCGTCCTGCCCCCAAGCTGCCACAAATAGGTTGACATTACTGTGGTAATTAGCATGAGCTGAGCACGGGGATACCAGTCTTACATACCAATGGCATTGCTGCTGCTGAAGGAGAGAATGACGGAGTATACTGCGAATGCGATAGGGAAGAAGTGCTTCGGCCTTGGATAAGCTTGCTCCAGGTACACGACCTCGGACCCAGATCTGTTCGGGAAGTAGCTCGCAAGCTCGAGGTAGACGCAGAAACCGGCCACAGCCAAGAGTATGCCAATCGCCCAGTATATGAGAGCAAGGCCAATAGATCCGGTCCTGTTCAGGATGGTGCCGGCTGCACGAGTGGTCAGTAACTACTCGCTGCTAGCTATCAAAGGCTCGATCCAGCAACTTACGCGTGGAGAAGATACCAGTGCCGATCATCTGGTTGACGTTGAGGAATATCACGGTCAGCCAGCCGACGTGATACCCCAGTGGCGACTTGGATTCGACAGGAGCCCCGACTGCCTCTTGGTATGAGGGCTTGGAACCATTCCCGGCTGTCGCGACGGTGTATTTGAGGTTTCCATCGTGAACGATCTCGAGTTCGCCGCTGGAGATGCCGGAATCCCCTACGACTTGGACCTCGCTGGGGGTCGGCCGGCTCCAGAATCGTTTGATCCCCATCACTGGGCGATTGAGTCTTCCTCGAACTTCTGAAGGACCTCGCAGCCAGATTGTCCCTTCGAGATCGATTGCTGGGTTGCAGTTGCACACTGGCTAGTATTATGCTGTGGGAGAAAACCGCAAAATTTACTCTAGAGAAGTTGAACACGTCCTAGAGGCGAATAGTCAGGGTCCTATGGCGCAATTAATACCACGATGAGACTCCAGACCCCGGCGATCACGTCTATGGCTGATGTTCATCCAATTTGCATGTTGAGCTGCCACATTGGAGCAGAGCCAAGGAGCACGCCATTGCAGGTTCTGATGGTGAGTGGGATGCACCCCAAGAACTGGGGACGTCGGTGTGACGAAACAAAGCAGCGCTAGTTGGCGCGATAAGAGGTTTGGCAGTGGTTTCGTCCATAATGACAGTCTTTCCCAAATGAACATATGTCACTGAGCAGCATATATCATGGAAAGCCATGGGCCCGTCCGATATCCAGGCAGCTGTGAACAGAAGTCCGGCACTGCCGCTAGGTCTCAGCTGTCAGAATTCGTAGAGCAAGCAGATATATGTCGCGCGTGGCACTGCAGATACCAATTCAAACGAACTCGGCGTACTCACGCGAGCGCATCACGGTGAGTTACTGGGCGGTTCTACAGATGAATCTTGCACTAAGTAAGCAAAGTGGTGATCAAGTAACATCTTACCTCACATAATGTCGACTCACTAACGTTATATGTAAGCGAATTTAATTGCTTTATTATATACTTGATACCATATAACTCTGATACAGCATGCTTGCTTCACATGGCTTCCCGTGGCTATACAGGGTAACCCCTGAAATAATATTCCTTGCACAGATTACCGGTAGGGCAAGAACTATGTACTTTTTTTTTTACGACTCGGGGAGCGCTAAACCTTTTATACCGGTACTTGACTGCGCCCCCTGTCGGAACGTGGGTCTGGTACATTCTTTCAGGGGTTGACTGACCTGTATGGATGTGTGGTTGGCTGAAGATCAGATGACTTCCCACGCCTCCGCCGCAATTGAACCATGTAGAAATAGCCGTAAGGCAGCTGATTTGGAAGTCAACCCCTCATTGTCAGTTCCTTTCCCATCACCCGACTGGCAGCACGAGCATCGGCGACAGGTCCTTTTGATGGACGAATTCAACTGGGACGGAATTAAAGCCGCTGAATGTTCCATCTGTCAGGACTGCAAGCATCATCATCGTCACCCTCAACTCAAGCATCATCATCCCAACCCTCGACTCTGTGGCGACTGCCAGGGCTGGGACGATCTTATTCACATCGCCTGGTGCAACATTGCGCTGGATGATATCTACATTCGCACACAGCAGCTTTCGAGTTGTCCCTGTCGACCAGCGATTCCTTGCTCCCTTCCTTTCCGACTACGTTTTTCGTCCCTTGGACGACTTCACATCACGAAAACACTGCCTTATGTGCTGTGCTGTTTTCGGTATCACTATCGTTGGCTGTTGGCTCTTTAGGATGACGTTGCAGAACCTCAATAAGAAGATCGAGGAGAGCGAAAGGGTCGGCGAGACGCCCGATGGCGCCGAGGCCACGGCTAATATTGAAACTCTGGTCGGTCCCGAGGAGGCTGTTAATATGCAAAGCCCATTCCCAGCTGGAGCTGGGCATCTGTAGTTGGCGCTGCTAGCCACAATGCGCCGAGAAGCGCCGGTGGCTGCCTTGTCCAGTTTTATTACAATGACCCCACAAGAAGCATCAGACCGATCAAAGAAACCAGAAACTGGTTCAACGGAGAAGAGTTCGGCGGAGAAGATAGTGACTCGCTCTCTGATATGAATTCAGAACAACGATCGCAAGCATATTCTGCCATTCTTGAGCGATGGTCGCGACGATGACGACCTTCCCAGCCACGAAATTCCCCGCCACGACGTTCCTTGTCACTACCTTACTTGAATGAAAGTATACAGGATAGTGTTGAGATTTGGCGGAGTTGTTATCACAGCCCGTGGGAAGCAGAGCGGCATTTTGAGATCGAGGCTGAGATGCTGGCCCGCGCGACTTGTCACCCCGACAGTCTTATCTTCAATACGACCTGCGCCTACGTGTACCTTACCTGGGTCCAACATGCGCACTCCGGCTGGTGGAAGATCGCCAACCAGGAAGGTAAAGTCATAGGAAAAACAACATGATTGTACGGGGATGGCTATAGAGGGTGAATTTGTGCCCGTCTTGGTACCATACATCAATGACGGGTATCAGGGCTACGCATTTGCCTCGTGCTACTTCAGCATCTTCATTCGAGAACATATTTCACGCGAATCTGTACCTCTTCGTCGTCTAAGCAGGATGGCGCAGGGTGTAACACTCAACTACCCAAGCTCAATTACACGGAGAGCATCACATAAACTACCATGTTTGAACTTGCATCCTAGGTACAGTAACACCTTGCAATTTCTTCTTTTTCCTTTATAGTTGCCCTACTTCAACCGATTATGGCAGGACGAGACGCCATCATCCATCATCTTTCCCCTTGTACTAGTCCATCCTCATCCATACGCCTATCATCCGAGCCCTTGTCGGCATCTCAATCAAGGTTCACATTGCTGCAGACGTCGCCAAACACATCCATCATATGCTCAAGCTTTCCCTGTGTCTCTTTGTAACGCGGTCTGTGCCATGGTCCACTCGGGTTGTTTGGCCGACGCCCCAGTAGATCTCTATCAAGTTTGGAGACAGCTGTTCGACTGGAAGGATTGGCCTTACGAGGAGGATCCGCTCATCAGACGCCGTCAGGTCGAAATGGAACTGAGCCATTTGATCGCAGACATGCCGAGATGTTTCGTGCGAAGATGGGAACTTTCGCGAGTGACTGCTCTCACCCTTGCAACTATCAAGGGAAAGCAGGACATTGCGGATGTCCTGGCACCCTGGTCAAAAGACCTGAGCAATGCACGCTGGGAGTCTGTCATTCCAGCTTTGCATCTCGCAGTACTGGCTAAGTCACCCCGCGTCGTTCGCCGTTTGTTGGAATGTGGCTTCGATATCTCCCGCGAAGAAGATACATTCGGAGGTGCACAGCCTCTTCATCTTGCGGCAAAGAGAGAGAACAATGGGGAGATCATCCAGACCCTGCTGAGTCACGGAGCAAACCACGCCGCGAATGATTTGGCACTTGCATTTCACTTTCCCATAGCCGTCGATAGAATGGAAGTCATGCGACGAAGGCTCTCGTGCTTAAACGACAGGTGAGCACGAGATGACGGGCCTTTGAAACGGGACGATTCACTATTTAGATGCACTTTTATGCATACAGCGTCGGCGCTGCGGATACCGGGGTAGCATGGATCATGGGGTGGCGTCGGGACGGTCAACGGATGGATAGTGAGGGGATGATCATGAGAGGGCGAGACAGCTGGGTTTGATACTTTTCTTTCTGAAAATAGCATCCTGGTACCTCGGAGAATCCACGATTAAACCCAGAGGCTTGAGCATGACTCGTGACTGGCCAAGAATTAGCAGAAAAGTTATTCTGTTTCATTTACTAACTATTGGACTTGCTTCGTTTGTGACTCCTGCCCGCCTTACGATCTGTTTGTAGGACCTGCAGCAAGTAACTTATGGTGGTTATCCGTGTCCAGCCTCGCGAAAGAAGCAGGTATGGACCTGTTCGCCGCTATAACGGTCAAGGCTGCTCTGGGTAGCACGGTAGAGACCGGAAAGGAGAAAAGAGGATTTTGTTTCCCGATCTTCTAGCAGTGTATTAACATGTTGAGGAGTGGCAAACTCATAATGAATTGAACCAGCCGATCAACCGGGATGAATACCGCATCAGGCAGCAATGTGCCTCTCGACAGTCTGACATTTGAGAGGAGAGGGCCCTTCGCGAGAGGGCGGTACACTGCTGTGTGAGTGCCTTTAGAGTTATGTGCATTGTAATGTATGCTTATGTCTGGTTCTATGTGCCCACCCGGAGACGTCAAAAACGAAATGTGAACATAGGGATGTCAGTATTCGGCGCACTCTGTTGCGTAACTTACTTCGTACGCATCTTTCAGCCTTCTCCTACCACGTGCCATAATCGTAGGCTCGATTCTAGGAGATCCCAACCATCATTCGTGTCCTAGCTGAGAAGACATGTCGTCTTCTTTCGTTGAAGAGTAAGCTCTGTCAGCCTTCGGTTCCTTCCCAACATCACTAAGCCGATGCGCAGTCCAACCAGCGCGCCCGGGATTCCTCATACCGGCTTCCAACTGCCTTTGGTATGACACCCCTCGTAGACGTTCGTGCTCAGCAGGTGTGAGGTGAAGCTGTGCGAGAAGTGTCAGCAAAGGCGGCTCGTTGGCGATCTGGAGTCAGCTCACATATATCTCGACAGCCATAACGTGAACGAGAAGCGCAAGCCAATGTGCCGTCCCAAACGTCATGTCCAAAGCTGACGCCCTCTCAGCTAGGTTGCCATGTATCGACCCCAGTACCGCGATATTCTTGTGAGCATCGCTTCCGTCGAAGTAAGCACCGCAATCGGGATAAACTGAGAGCGTGTTCTCCTGGTTCCCAAGTAGCCAGGCCACCTTCGCGCAAGGCAAGGACAAGAAGAAGCCACCAATACGGGTAATCGCCGCTGCACCGGAAAACAGGATGAAGCGAGTCGTAATGACGGACCCAGCCTAAACAGGACATGTTAGTCATACGTGTGGCGAACTCGCCCGTGGGCCTCAGGGGCAACTCACATAGACCCATGCTCTCATCATCCAGGCCCGATGCTCCTCGACCTGCAGCCTCTTGATATTGACATACGCCATGAAGTTCGCACCCAGAAAGATGATGGCCAAGAACCCGATGGAGGACTGCACATCCAGGCCACCCCCGAATGAATGCCGGGCAATCATCAGCGCACCCGCGACACTCACGACCGACAGCAACACAACTATGTACCCGTTTACCCGATGCACCAGCAGAGCGCGGTGGCGGATCGCCGGCACGAACTGGAACACAGCCAGCAGAGCGGTAGGCAGGATGGAGCCGAGGTGGAGGATCATGCCGATGTTATTCGGCGCCTGGAGCAGGTAGAAGCACTCGCCAGGCGCGGCGTTGAGCGTTGCGCTGGGGTCGGCGTCGCGCCGACAGAAGATGCCGTAGAAGTCGAGGTACGGCAGCCGAGCGAGAGTAAAGCCCAGCAGCGTACCGCCGAGGACGACCCATAAGGCGAAGTTGTAGCCCTTGGAGAAGCCAGCGAGGTTGTAGACGAGCCGCAGGCGGCGGACGAGCTCGTTGGCGGGCGGGCGGGTGGGTTGCACCATCTTCGGGGGTTGGATGGTCCTTGCGGTCTCGACCCTGGGCGGAAAGGAAGGACAAGTGACAATACCAAAGTCCAAGAAAACAGCTCTGTTGTGAGATGTGTACCCGGGTCACGGATCATAGGGGTAAAGGAGACAGCGCACCTGAGACTGGCCAGAGACGACCTGCATTATCCAGGCTAAAGAGACAAGACACGCATTTATATCTCCCATTCAGCTTGACACTGAAAAGACTCGTATTAATACCGAGCCAAAGCTAAGTGCCGGTGGACAATAATATTGGCGCGATGGGCTTGCGTTGGTATACAGATCCATCGACTTGCATGCGGCTGGGACGGCTTGATATGAGCTCATGCCGGCAAGGAGCGAATACGATGCCGACACGGCGACAAGCCAGCTCCGGCACCGAGACTGTGTTGCTTATACCCCTAAACAAGGTGAGCATCGCGACCTCGCTGTTCAATCTCGTCCCGTCTCGAGGCCATGCGGTCGTCCGGACGTCCGTGGCGGCGGGTCGCTGGTCTCGTACAGCAGGCCTAGTGTGCATATGCGAGGCTCTCAGCGCGCACAGGATCTGATATGTGACGGTATCCAACACGCATATTGCGGTATGTACTACGTCCATCGTATACATCGTGTGAAGGAGCGGTGTGTCGGCGTATTGCTCCGATATTGAAAGATAATATGTGATTCAGGGGCGCGGACGAACGCCAACAAACCCTGAGCCGCCTCAGCCTCACTTTATATTGACGGCACATTGATGTTCATAACCCCGATGAGGGAGTTGCCTGCGAGCGTCTGGCACTTGGTTGGTGCCAGATTGTTGAGTTGTTGTGTGACATCGGCCTCCAGCGTGTACAAAACTTTGACTATAGGTCCACACGCTTTCCTCCAACATCATCACTCTTGCGAGGTCTGCACGGCTACGGCCGTTGTGTCACTCGAAGCATACTCAACCCTGAATCGATCACCTGATATTGCACACCCGTTCTGATGTCGGCTGGACGACTACTCCGTTGGCCGACTTGCTGCCACGAACTGAAGTGAAAACGGGAAGTAACTCACAAAACACCAGAGCAGCCACTTAACTATGATGGCAGGGGTATCCGTGAATGCCGGAACGGTGCGTTCTAATCCCACCATTCCACTCTGGAAGAAGACGGGCAAGATGTCGGGCCCGGATGTTCAGGTGGCAAATTGCCTAGGGACACATATCTTCCTATGGACACGATGATGGGAGTTGCAACGTGTTGCTCATTACTACTAGTCAAGAACTATGTCTATCTAGATGCGTCGCTATATACTCTACACTGTGTAAGTATCTCATCCATATACTGATCCAAACTTTTCTCCGGTTAAACCCATCCCATCCCATCCTCATCCATCGCGCCTCATCCCCAAGCATAAAGTCCGAACATATCCCATCACAGAAGAAGCGCATGATACATTACAAGCACCCCATCAACCGCATTAACCAAAGCCACCGCTGTCCCTTCATCACATCGCATTACATCACAACTCACCACATCACATCCCAGCTCGTCACATCATAACCATCAAGTCATAGTCATCACAACAAAACCATAACCCCAAACATGCCCACCGTAACCCAAACCAAAAATCGCCGATCCACCCTCCCATCGTCAGCGCTCCCAACGAGCACCGGCGTGATAGTCGCGTCCGCGAAAGTGGCGTCGTTGCACGACTTGAAGCACTCCGTCTGCAGGCCCGCCACGCCCATGCCGCTGCCGCTGCCGTTGTACGAGCCGCTGCCTAGCGCCGCGGCCGCCGCGATTATGGCGGCTGGGGGGTTGAGGTTTGCGCTGGGTGTCGAGTCGTCAGACTCCGAACTAGCAGCATCGGGCGTTTCCGTCGCCAGCGCCTGCACGCGCACGGTCTGGGGGATCGTGAGGATTCGCGTCGTCGTCATGCCGACGGTACAAGCGTCGTCCTGCGGGTCGCACGTCGCGACCGTGTACGTGCTCGTGGAGCAGTGCTCCGTCACGGTAACGGGACCATCTTCCTCGCTACCTACGGTCACACCCTTGACCGGCGCGGCGATTGGCGGTGCCGTGACCTGGTTCGTGGGAGCCGTGGACTCGGTCACCATGCCTGCTGGGGTGCCGGTCGCGCTGGGCAGCGCGGGGCCACCGGGGAAGCCTGGGCAGAACGTCGTGATGATGGTCTCCGTGCGGGTAGCTAGCTGGCCGTATGGGCAGTTCGTCACGGTTGCTGGACATTTCGTTACTGTGTAGGTGACGGGGCGCGTGATGGTGCTCGTGATTGTAATCGTGGGGCGCGGTGCGTCGGCGCCGATACGGGGGTCGGTCGTGCTGGAAGCAGGGTCGGCCTGGGCTGGCGCGCCGGGTGGGATGGCCGTCGGGTGGTTGAGGGGGACTGTTGTCACGGGGGTCGCGCTGCTGGCACCGCTTCCGTTGCCGTTATTGTTTGCTGGTGGAGCAGCTGGTCCAGTGGCGGACGTGGAAGTTGGAAACAGCGTTGTCACGGAATTCGAAGTCGAGCTTACGATGGAAGGCGACGTCGAGATCACTATGGAAGCTGGCGTCGAGCTTCCAATAGCAGACGATACGGAGGGCAACATCGAACTCGACCCAGTTGGTGAGACGGATGCTCCTGGTCCCAACGGGTTCAGGGACGGCCCAAACGATGCGGCAGCAGATGGCAGGACGGTGTTGGAAACTGGGCCACCGGCCAAACTGGCAGTCGGAGGAGGCGTGGAAGAAGCAGAAGAAGAAGGGGCGACAGCGATGACAGGGCAGGCTCCGGGAATTTGGGCTACCGCGTCCGGGCCAGCTGGCACAGGGACCAGGTTAGAGCCGCTTCCGCAGGTCTTGTAGTTGGACATGTAGACCGCATTGTTGCTTTGATCGAAGGAGACTATTGACACATCCAGGTTAGTCCTTTCCATGGTAGCCGATTATTACCCCTATTAGGGATAGGAGAACTCACCGTAAGTGCCCCTCAAAAACGTATCGCCCAGGATCCACACATCGATGTTATCCGTGTGCCAGGCGCCAAGGTAGCAATCACCGCCGCTGTTCCAGATGAAGTCGCGGTATGAGACGTTAATCGTCACCCTACTGTTGCCCGTACTCAGGAAGTCGAAGTCAATGGTTCCGTTCTGGTCCTGGAAGCTGCAAGGCACTGTGTAGCCACCGTTGCCGTCTGATGCCGAGCCGGGAAATAGCGCGGCCAGCACGGTCACGATGGACTCGGGCAGCAGCGAGAGCGTCGTACCGGAGTCGATAATGACGGATAGGGGAATGTTGCTATCGAGGAAGGGGCTGGATACAGTAGAGCCTGGGGCGGTGTTGCCCAGCGAGTTCAGGGTGACCTTGTAGTGTCTGGAGACGGAGTGGGACGGGTCAGTTCCAGGCGTTCTTTCATGAAATTTCAAAGTGCTCACAAGAGCAGGCAAAGGGATTGGAGAGTAGCAGCATACATGAGACGCTTGACAGAAGAGGGAAGACTGCTTACGGGTCCGTCGGGTCCGTAGGCACCTTGCCAAGATTACCCGAATACCTGTTGACGTCGACACCACCAAAAACCATCTCGCCAGTGACGGCAGCTCCAGGTGCTGGCTGGCCACCTAATTCCATGCTGAACAGCTTGCTGTTGGTGTATCCTTGCGCAGCTAGGGAGTCGACGACGAGAGGGTAGTTGATGAACCCGTTGCCCTGGCCGTAGCCGAGACCCAAGATGCCGAACCAGACGAGATCCGATGTGTTCGCAACGCCAAACTGTTGAGCTGAGATTTTTGCGCCTATGCCTATGTTTGTTATTCGTGTCAGTTTTCACACTACACGTTGCTCCTATGCCAGAACCTCATTGGATCTTTCATCGGCACTCTCACCATAGCCACAAGCGCAAGCGCTTCTTCCATGAACCTAAAAGAACGACTGTTACTCACCCGAGATATAAATGTCGTCCTTGTAGTATGGGCCCGAAGAGCTACCAGATCCGTATTGGATATCGAAGTCGGTGCCGAGCTTTTGCGACGTCGATGACATGGCAGGGTCATATGAACCGAAGGCGGTACAGAAGTCCGGCACATTTGAGTTCGTACAATTAGGATCAACCCACAGCTCGAATGAGCCTGTGTCGATGAGCACATCGACAACCTGCGCAGTGGTGCTTGTTCCAATAGTTACTGTTCTGTATTAGACGACACGTCGCGATTCTCTCAGTTGGAAGGGCCATGCAACATACGCTCTGCGAGATACGCAGCACCATAGACACCGAGCACATCCGTCTTGAAGAACCGTTTCGCGATACTGGGTGTTGCGGGACCGTCGTGATTGACACGCCTGAGCGGCATCGACAGTAGCTGGTTTGGGTTCTGGAAGAAACTTGAAGCATCGAACCGGCCATTCTGACCGATGTCCAAGACAGGTGTTGCGTCTGCAAGACCCGCGATGCCGAGCACAACCGATAGGTATAGTAGCGTCGAGAGCGGCATCATGCTTGGTAGATCTTGGAATCAAGATGTTGAGCCAAGATGGATGTCGTAAATCGCAACTCACGGGGAAGAGAGGACGGAATTTAGAAGAGCGGGCATGGGCAATCTCACGCGTATATCAACGCAGCGATGTGGAATTTGGAACCGATACTGTAGTGATTAGCATGGCTGATCAGGAATGCAGGTCGCATGCTGAAGAGCTGCCATTTTGTCGACTTGAGAGACATGCACTGGCGGTTCCTGAGACAACGGGTCGACGTAAGTAGCAATGAAGGGCTAGACGAAAGGGGCTTCGTCCATCGAGCCCATTCCAGATCGACTTGAAGACGCGTCGCTATTGCCAAAATCGCCAACCCCCAAATTGGGTTTTTTAGCCCAGAATCGCCCAGCCTGCCAGTCTGACGGGAACGTTGGGGAACAGCATCATACACGCACACTTAGCAGCCGTACCCGGCCGGTCAGGCATGGGACACGGCCCGGAGGTTGGCTCCAGCAGGGTGAGTCCCGGGCAGCTTTGCAATGGGTATAGCTAGATTCTCGACAGATGTAAGGTCCGATTCAAGTGTTCATCTCATTCAAGCGGGCGCAGAAGCCGAACGAAGGGAGCAATCAGTCCTCGTCAACGGTCAACGGTCAACGGGCCAACCTCTTCTTCGCGGTTTGATCTAGCGCATCAAATGTTGACGCTGGCCAACGATGTAGAGACCTCCTGGATGGCTACTGGACGGGAAGACAGTAGAGAAGCAGGGTAGTCTCATGAACCAGAGCGAGTTGTACACGACAAGTGGTCGCACCCGTGGCGTGGCGGAGTTGTCTGTCTCAGTTCAACTGGCATGTCATTCCGAGTGGCGCGAATTTGGCTAGGGTGCTTTCACGTGACTACGCTCCCATCATCATGGGGAAACGCAATGAATGTTACATACATAAACCCCAAACGTGCACCAATCCAGCACATACGACCATAGGATCAGGAGAACTTGGCATCCCGTCCGCTCTGCCTTAAATAAGCCTGATACCGCCGGATTAGTAGTTGGGTCGGTGACGACCAGCGAATCCCCGGTGTTGTATGTTTGATCTTTTTCCTCTATTCTTTTTGCCCATTCTGAGCCCAACATCATGGTACTTCATCTATTTCGATAGCACCAAAAGACAAAACTGACAAAAGTGAAGGGTTTGCCAGGTCGACTGAAATGGTGGGGCAATACAGTGGCTATCAGGGCATCTCTAGACCTGTCACTGTGTTAGCTCTCCATCATTCTTACACACCACAACAATGCAACTTGCTTGAACAGCCTCACCGCAAAATCGAAGCAAAAATCAAGGTCGTACCCGGGATCGAACTGGGGTCTCCAGAAGATTAAAACGTGTCTTCAAAATCTGAAGTGCTAACCACTACACCATACAACCAGATCATTAGATCACAAGGTACCATATCAATGATTCTGCTTCTCTATATTCCTGCCAGAGGGTCTCTGCGGAGACTATGGCAGACTAGTTGTTACACATGAATCATCGATACTTGCGTTCATGCTGGAATTTTGATGGGTTCCCCGATCACTTGCCTTCTCTCCCCTCAGACCGACCACCGCCAGAGGTTTTGCCACGTATCCGCCGGGGAAGACTGCCAGATGGGCACTACGAAGGTCTCAGGTCGTCGTGGCCTAGAGCGGCAGCGTGGACGGCCACAATCAACGCTTCGTGGGCTAGCTGTGGACATGGCTCGAGCAGTTTCAGCGAGGAGACCACCACACGTCGCAACCGACAAGCTTGGCGTGAACAGTTCAGCCTTCGATCCGGGCGGCAGCAGGCTTTCTGAAATAATGCACCTGGCTTATGGTATTCTCGATAGCGAGTCGCCAGCAATGATCACCCTGAAGATGAGGAGAGCTTGAGCTGGTCCCAGTTTCAAGGCGAATCATTAAGGTCCTGCTGGGGCTCGAGGAGCCGATCAGGAGGCAGTAACCTGCCACTCGAACCGATGCAGGGATGGCCAGGTAGGGTACGGGTGACATATCTCAGTCGGTCTGAAGGTATGTTGCTTCGATCATGGAACGAACCAACTGTGAAATGGCCATACCGTCATCACATGAGCTCGCCATGCGTTTCGGCATGTGCGTGAGAAGCTTCGACTCCGAAGTTAGGTGCATGTGGATGGGCTAGACTTCGCCAGGTATAAGGTGGGGAGTAGGGTGAAGTCGACTAAAAAACGGCGATGGAGTGGGATGAAAGTTGAAGGTGTCATTCTGAACAAAGGTACAGTCACACAACCTGAACGGGGCCAGACTCAAGGTGAATTGCAGGTTGATTTGGTATTCCGCTATAAACAAGAGGTAATAAGTCGCATTGACCAGCGCTTATTCCATCATTTGCAAGGCTTCCAATCCATCATCACGAAGGCCCTTCCCCCGGCAAACACAAGACCGCAGGCTACTTAGTTCCCACCAGGAATCTCGTCGTTGATCTTGGAATCCGCCGCCTTGTCGATGGTAGAGTCGGCGCCCTGGGGGACACCAGCGTCACTCGCAACTTGGTTGATTTCTGAGCAATGTCAGCTACTGGTCGACGGATATACAGACCTTGCGTACTGCGGGGGGGCAGCGTGGGAGGAGAGGGAGATATACCCTGGTTGGCGCCCTTGTCAGCTGCGCCCTCGACGCCGTTGCCCGGCTGCGAACCCTGGCCGCCGACAGCGTCCTTGGCCTTGTCCATGAGTCCAGACATGATGATTGGTGTATGTGGGGGTGGTTGAGGTATTGGTGGGTTGTTGTTTTGCGTGTGGTGTATGTGTTGAGGGTAGCTTCGAAATTGGTTTGATGCTGATAAGGAGGAGTAGGAACAGAGCTCGTCGAAGGATGTCAAGCGCTTCTTATATAGACCAGAACACTGTCCCAGTTGTGCCCTTCGCGATGACGAGTTCCCAAGTTCAAGTAACACAAAAGCTGGAGCGCTTCAACGTCATGGCTCTGAGGGCGGCGTCATGCGCATTAAGCGCTCGAACAAATGTCGAACCAACGCAGGGGGCCCGTTCCAAAGTCGACGGTACGGCATCAATCCTAATGGTGGGGATTGATCGATATCAATCTCGATGTCCTATTTTGAAACATCGATTCTCTCGTTCATCAACATAAATTCCCTGTTTTTCGAGCGGGAGTACCTGTTTCCATGTTGAAGAGACCCAGATCCCATTGATCCAACGCATCCATGTACAACCCCTCGGTCAACGTCAGCGGCTAACTGCGGAGTAGAACACCCGGGGGACCTCCTCACAGCGGGTATCCGGCATCCGGAAGTCGGCTATGTACGCGCCTTGCTTGACGTAGCGGTACACGCGACCAGTCACTTGAAGATCCTGGGCCAATAGGGACCGTGAAACACCCGATAATGAGAGACTCCCTAAGTGGGCTTATAGGCCGGAGGTGGGGGATGATGACGTCTATCGCAGAGATACCGGGTTTGAGATACCAGCGCATGTCTGCGTCAACCAGCTTTGGCCAACTAAATGATGGACATAATGTGTAATTCGTGACTTGACACTGATGCAAGGACTGCTCTTTTGTGTATGGCTCAGTATCTGGAACGTGGCTGCGGTGATCTTTCTTTCGGCAGCTGTAGATAGGTCATCACATCCCACTCGATCGACCAAAAACCAGCGACGGAGAAGGCAGTGATAAAATGAAGAGCTGCGTTAGTAAGGATGGACGCGGAACCGGGTGCGATATGGAAATGAGCTGCCATCACTAAGGGCACGTGGCGGGGCGTTGAAGGTAAATGAATAGGTTCTTGTCGAAGATCCGAATGAGAAGGGCATCTACCTGTATGAAATGGTCCCGCCTATCTTGCTCGCCGTGCCGCAAGGCCTAGAACACCCAGTCCAAAATGAAAAGAAGAAAAAGAAAACATCGCCATGTGCCGTGTCGCCAGTGTACGCCTTGGTGCCCCCGAGTGTCGCCCGCTATGAACGGGCATGAACCAGCCTGCCTGTCTATGCCTTGCCCTTCGCGTTGACCCAATCGCGCCAGTGCTTGTACTCCGGATACTGCAGCTCCACCTTGCGGCCCTGATACCGCACGACCGTGAGGTCGACGTCCTGCCACTTGTCCTTGCGGCCTGCCCAGCCGGCCTTGCGCATGAGGCTCACGAGCGTCTCCTCCTTGGTCCAGCCCTGCTCCTCTGCGACGCTGGGCAGGTAGGTTGAGCCGTAGCGGCGGCCGCGCTCGGTGAAGCTGATGCGCAGGCCGTGGGTGCCGAGCTCCCAGTCCATGGCGTCGGCGCAGTCCTCGAAGTCGGTCAGCAGCGTGACGGCGACCTCGAGCGACGGCAGCTCGCGCCGCGCGATCGGGTCGAACCGCGTGTCGTGGATCGCCGACGTGATGGCGTACGACGCGAGGCCCTCGTCCAGCTCCATATCTGCGAACGTGCCAATGCAGCCCCGTAGCGACGTTTTGCCCGTCCGCAGCGATACCGTGTTCCACGTCACAAAGAGAGGTGATTCGGTGATTGCGGGCTGTGATGTCGGCAGCGAGGAGGTCGATGTCGCGGGAGTCTCGGTATCGAGGGACATGGTTGAGGCTGAGGACGGCGACGAGATTCCGCTGGAGGAAGATGAGTTCTCGGCGACACGGCGGAGCGCTGGCATTTGCTTCTTAGACGATGGCGCCTCTCCGCTGCCAGGAGCCACGATGTCGGCATCCCTGTAGTATTCTTCCCAAGACTTCTCGACTTCCTCGAGCGTCATAGACTCCCGACTCTCGAGGTGAGCCGCCAGGGTCTCGAAGCAGTAGAGACAGTGTGGGATTTCCGCCATGGTTGTTTTCTTGTCTTGTTGTTTCTGGTGTGCCGGAAGCTGGGCCTCGCATGGGGATTGGAGCAGGCAGGACAGGCTTCTTATGGTAGTCGCGGACGGGCAGACGGGGGCGAAGGCGGAGTGTGAGGGCTGCATAAGTGAATGTTCGTCGGATCCGAGGAATCATCAAGATGTCAGGATGCTGCGTGGACCTTGAATAGAGTCAACATTCACCCCGCCCTTTGCTTAAGACGATGAGGGGTTTGCACAACTTTCATAAGCTTAATAATCCATGCATGTACCTCTACGCACAAGGGGCCTTCACTGACTTAGGTTCAGTGCAAACGAATCTATCAAGTTGACTCAACCTTGTGAAATGGAATGTCACCATTCAATACATCAAGTGTATTACATGTAAGAAGTCCGAATAAGTCTCCAGTACTCAAGTAGGTAAGCCTCAGCTACAAACTTTACATTCCCTATACGTCAGCTCACACGAGGGCACCTGTTACTAGACAAGTATGCACTTGACCAACAGTCACGTCTGGCAACTTCGCATTACCTTCCACCATGTCGTTCCGTACGACCATGTTATTGCGGTATTTCTCCAGTCCATCGCGAGAAATCTTAGTCCGGCTCCCCACTGAATTGCTCTTGAATACCGTCAAGCTCTTTCCTGATCTTTTGTCTTCACGGAGTAAGCCAGTCGCTTCCCCCGCCGTCGCTGCCTTGTTCGATGCTGCTCCAGCCGAGTTACTGGAGGCCGTCATAATTGCCAACTGTCCCGATCCAGATACAACCTCTATTACGCGCCGTCCTCTATATGCCCCTCTACTTTGGACCTAGCTTAGACGAAGCTATGAATCAGACAAGGAAGACCTTCGACAGCGACTCTATTGATTCCCGCTGAATTCCAAGCCCCGAATCCCCTTCGGCGCGGCCTTTGTCCATGACATTCACCTCCTCGCGCACCACTGCACCCATGCCAGGTCACAGCCGTGAGACCCGTATCTCTCGCTCGGAGTCATCATATTGCCTTCCCCACCGCATGCCGGAGCAACGATGTCTAAGCCTTGCGTACGAAATCTCTCAAGACTGAAGCCACATCACGGGCGCTTGCATCAAACCCGAGCCGCTCGCCGATCAAGAAAGTATCGTGAACAGCAGCATTTTCAAGGTGTAGTTCAACGCTGTTGCCTTCAACCTTCTTCATCTCATCCACCCAACGCGTGTTGTCGTCCAGGAATACTTCGGCAGACCCAGTATTGACAAAGATAGGCACCCAGGTCGCAAAAGGATTGCCCAAAGGCGTGATGTAAGGGTGCGATCTGGCGTGTGACACATGTCCGGGGTAAGTCTCAGCTCCCCAGCGCAAAAATGAGGTGGGCGTGTAGTCCACCGCCCGGTTAGGCTTATCAGCGATATCGAACTCCATGGGTGAGACCCATGGCGACAGCAAAGCGATGGCCCGAGGCCTGGGGATTTTGAGTCTGTCTCCGCGCTCCTCGATGTATCTCAACATAGCGATGACAAGATTGCCGCCGGCGCTATCTCCAGAGAGAGTGATATGATTCGAGGGTATCTTGAGGTCGTTGAGAAGATACATATAGGCAGCAAAGCAGTCCTGCAAGGCTGCGGGGAAAGGGTTGACACCCCGGTAGCCTGATAAGCGATACTGAGGCATAAAGACATAGTCGAGGCCCTCTTGCTCAACGAAGTTCTTCCCCGTGAATCCGCTGAATTCGGTGCGGCCGTCTCCTAGGACGAAGGCACCACCATGAAGGTGAAGGATAACGGTCTTGGACGCTATCTCAGGAGCTGAGGGTGCTTCTGGATACCAAGTGCCTCCAACAGTCTCAGGCTCGATGTCAGACTCGAGGGGCCCACTGAAGAACTCTCGAGGCAGCGGTTTGACGAGCCGGAATCGACTGCCTTCCTTCTGAGGCTCGAGGGATAGCGTCTGCGTGATACCAATGCGAGAGTCCAGGTCTGTGACGACATGGGCGACTCGGGCCAGGAACGTTTGCTTCGCCGTCCATTCTGGGTGCGGTCTGAGGGCAGGGACCAAAGAGGCGATGATCCAGATGGGGAGACGGGCGACGACCGTGCCAAGGTAAGTCAGCTGAAATAACAGCTTGATCGGTTGGTGGGAAACCAGGGGGTGGTTCTTCGAGTTGGGCATGATGAGGTTGATGGGAAAATTGAGAGAGACGGGGAGACTGGGAAAGTAAAGGGTACCGAGACTCTTGAGCTGGTTGGGTAAGGAAGTTTATCGCGCCCTATCGCGTTTAATTAACCGATTGATAGATTGGTAGATTGATCGACAAAATGACAGCTTGATCGACAGATTGACTAATTGCAGTGTGCAAATGTCTGGAAGGGCGCACCCTGTCGTGAAGAGGTTGTCGTCGCTTATTCAGCTGGGCCAGCAGTTCCGAGTAATTGAAGACTGGGATGCGGCAAAATATTGCGCAGATAGAGGGGTAAATGAAACAGGAGAGGACTATCTATTATACTTCTTGTGTTACCTCGCCGGGCCGGTCCATTGTTGGCATCCTTGTCCTGCAATGCGTCAGAGCCTACCTTGAGTGGTATCAGGGACGCGGATACGGCAATACAAGTTCTATTGGCCAGCCTCGACTCGGGAATTCCTACCCTTGCCTGCCGAACTCTTCACCAAATGAAGTCCGTCAAACACACATCCAATATATGCGACCCTTCTGCCCACCCACCAGCTGCGCCTACGACTGCCTTTAGTACAACATCCATAAGATGCATTCATGATTGACACATGAGGCGACATGGACGGCCACTTCACAAATGCAGTTCTTCGCATGCCTTCTCTTGATGTATGAATGCCAGTTGAACCATGACATGCGTCTCTATATGCCGATGGGCGACCTTCAGGCTGCCCTCTGTGTCGAAGCAGCATATTTGCTTGTAATCTCCACACAAGGCTTGGTGGTCGACTTGACATACACCACAGGAGATGCGTCACGGCTGCGAGATGTTTTGCCTATCTGTAAGGCGGCTCCTCCCATCGTATCGATGCCGTGGCTTGTATCCTTCTCTGCTCTCCCCCTTACACACCCAAGCCGTTCATCACTCTAGCTATCAACCACCGAGATAATTAAGGCCATTGCCAAGAACTCTCGCCAACCTCATTACATCCTCAATGTTGCTATAAAAGCCAAACGAGATCCGAATCCCCAACCGGCTAGGCGTCATGCGGATCTTGTGCCCCTCCAAGATAGTGATCCATCGCGGATCACGCAGATTCAGGATGTAGAGGTGCGGTGCCCGTTTATCGCGATCACGAGGACTGACGATATTAATACCCAGCTTGTCGCACTCTCGAAACAGGACGTCGCCTAGAGACTGTAGATGGTCCTCAACATCTCGAGGTCCCATGGAATCAAGGTAGAAGCGGAGGAAAGCGCCCGCGGTGCACGTCCCGACCAGACTGAGATTCTGATGCTCGAACCTCTGGGCGGTCGTGTGGAAGACCAATGGATCTGCCGGGACGAGATAGTCGGAGCGGGGATCGCTGATGCCGCACACGCTCACGATCGGAGGCGTCGGGTCGAGGTCGGCGATCATGGCGGGATCGACATAGAGAGCTGCAATGCCAGTCGGACAGTTTGAGCCCCTTGTGGAATGTAAACGCCACGGCGGACACGCCCATAGCCCTGACATCAACTTGCGCAAAGCCCACGTGCTGGGCTAGATCGGCAAGGACGTGGATCCCTCGAGGGCGAAACTCGGCGCAGATGCCCTTGACGTCGTTATGCTGCCCGGTATCGAACATGATGGAACTGAGGCCAATGGCTCGAGTACGTCCATCGACGAACGGGCGGAAGGTATCGGCATTAGCCGCTACCGCATGGCCCAGTCTCTCGACATCACTAATACTAGGGATCTGCCTGACCTCCAGACCAGCGTCCCGCAGGGCCATCCACCCGTAGACTTGGTTGGGGTGCTCGTTGTCGAATACGACGACGTTGCCCCCGGGCTGGAAGCGGATGCTGCGGATGAAGTCCCCCATGCCCTCGGTAGTGTCCCTTTTGAAGGCTATCGAGCTCGGGTCGGCGTTGATACAGCGCGAGAGCAGCTCGCGGGCTTCCTTTGCTTTGGCTTTCCACCCCGTCTGCGGGTGGGAGTCGTACAAGGCCTCTGAAGCATAGCGGATGATCGCTTCGTGGACGATCATGTTTGATGGGGGCGCGCCCGCCGCGTTCAGGAAGATGGGCCCGACATCACTCAGTGACGGTACGAGCTGGCGGTATGCTGCAAATTTGTCCGTGGTTTGCAGCAATGATGCCCTGGGCCTGGATGCTTGCAAGGAGTGCAGAAGAGATCGCTCTCCAGAGGCCGGACCGGCGTTCGCCGTATGAGTCATGTCACCTCCCATTGTATACTATGGAGAGCGAGGGTTGAAGTCTGGAGACGTCGCGACGTCCATGTCAATGAGCCACAAGAGGAGATCAACCTATACTCAATAAATACCCTCTCCAAATGCACTTAACCCCGCCTTCATGAACCTCTTGTCACATCCGACAGACGCAAGAGGACAGATTTGAAATGGCGCTCGCAAACGTGTCTGTATTACACGCCTCCTATTGAGCAAAGTCAGCGCCCTGGCAATTGATCCTGATGTGGTGCCCGTGTTGCACATTACTGGAGGTCTGAGGAGACTTGTCACTCTGCCGTCGAAGCTTGCATCGGCTGAAATTGGATCGAGTCTGCTCGATGATACGGTTTCCGACTGCTTAATGAACTGCCAAAGAGGCCTTGTCGACACCACCGTCGCCTGAGACGAGAAATACGAGCGTACGGCGGTCCTATGCTTCATAGTTCTCCAAGCCATCGGGAAACTTGTCAACGAGCTCACGCATACCCGGGATCAACCTGCCACTGTGTTAAGCTCTGGTCGATCGTATTTTCCTTGGCAGGTACCCACACATCTCTGTAGTTTGGTTCTGAATATCCTTTGTACAGTATGAGGCGGGAAGGTTGACGCGACTATTACTGCTCGATCAGCGAGTGGCAGCAAGGTATCGATGTGGAATTCGTATCTTACGTCGCATAGAGGGCATTACGATCATCGTAGTCTTCCTTAGGCTCTGATGGGGGAAAATGCTCGTGATAACGCATCCTGTAAGACTCATTGATCTTGTTCCACGGCTGGCGCCAGACACCAAGCTCATCTGTATTCTTTAGTTTGTCAGTCGTGCTGCAGCACTGCAGGCGTCTCACATTCATTATGGGCGTAGAACGATGCTGCATCGAATATGATCGGCATCCCGGATTCTTCGTCCATGGATGCGTTGCCGTGCCACAGATCCCCGTGGGTGAGGGAAGGAAAGATATATCGACCGCCCGATTCCAAGGGCCGCAGGAGACAAGGTATGACCTTCTTGAAGAACGGATCCATCAGTTCCTTGATCTCATCACTGGGGCCCTGGTATTCCACTGTGGTCAGTACTGACTCCTGTGGCTAACAACACCGCAAGAAGTTGTGGGTGTTCAACTCGATGTCCAGCGAAGACTAACCTGTGCCGCTTGCTCAAACTCGAACAGCACCCGTGTGGTGCGTGTAAAATACTCCTCCCACGTATCAGACCAACCATGATCGATCGGCGTATTCCCATGAAAAGTGACGACATCAAACCCAAACCTCCCATCGGGGAAGTTCCCACGCTGTGGAGCTTGGCCATCTTCGAAGTAAACGTTTCAATATCCGGTATTCCGCCCGTCATGGACCGAAATTCACACAGGAAGAAGTGGACATCTGGGATGTCTGCATATGTTCCCCAAGCAAGCGGCTCGGGGACGAGGTCGTGCATGACGGCGCGGATCTTCGACATGCAGTGGTGCTCACTTGACATCATTTGCCTGCCGCGCTCACCAGATGCTGTCTTCCCCGCCCGTCAGCTTCTTTGCGCAACTCACAGACAGACAGACGGTATCTGGGGATGTGGAGGCCACCTTGAGGAAGTAAGCCACTTGAACTCCATCGCGCTCTGCGTCAACACGAGCCGTGCGAGTCCAGAAGCTGGCTCCATGGGCCTGGATGCTGATAACATGAGTCCCCCATGGCAGATCTATCGCTGTTAGCTAACGCACACTTGACAGCGAGCGCAAGTGCTATGCGCATTTGACCCACTGGCGACGACGGCGGGATCTACGGTCTGGATCGCCTCGACCGGGACGTCGACCTCCCGCGCGTCCTCGGCGTGTTCGCTGCTCATGTTAGCGGACAGCCACTCGCTACACACCTCGGCGTAGTGCGCAGCTGGTGCTCAGTTACTGTGGTGATTATGATGATCGTTGGCGGCGGGAAGCAGAACACGAGGAGACACAGGACAAATTGGCTCCAACCTCCGGGTACCGGGCTGGCTAGCGCATAACGTGTTCCCGTTCTGGTACTTAACGGCTCTTGCTCCGTTCTTGGTCAACATAACTGGCAATTTTCAAGATGAGACCCCCGCCGTTACGCAGACCATTGCACCCGAATCAAGTGCAGCTTGATATGGATTGGAAATCTAGATCCCTCTCGGTTGGCACCTTCCTCCCTGAGAACTTCTATACGACCAAAGCTCCAGCTGAATTGCTCCGTCATGGAAGTCCACTGAACACGCTCAAGTGATGCATGAGCAATGCAAGAAAATCCCCAAACTTCCCTTCGGTCTCCTCTCCGGCGCATGTACCAAGTGTCGCGCGTGACTCCCCAGGTCAAGATTCCCTAATCGGCAGACCAGCCCTCCTACGCCTCTCAACAGTCCCCCGCTTCCACCTCACACACTCCGCGTGCTCCTCAGGGTGCGTCGTCGCATAACCCTCACTAGAAGCCTCCGCCAGCATCGCCGCGATGTCAACGCGCCACTTTGGCCTTCCATCAAGCCGGAACTCGACCTCGCCCACCGTCTCGTACAGAATCCTGCCCTGTAGATCGTACTTGTGGATGAAATGCGCCATCATCCTGAGCAATCTCCGAACGTAGTACGCCAGATACAGAGCCGGCAGCGTCTTCTCCTCCGTCGCCTGAGCCGGGGCCTCGTCCTCGGGGTCCAGGCATCGCGGGGCATAATAGTCGCGGACCGCTGGCTCGTCACCGGGGTTATCAGTCTTCGTCAGCCGCCAAGGATTCCTAGGGCAGGCCCCGAGCGGGAGCAGACCGGCACCGCCCTCCCCCTCCTCCGGCGTCACGAAATCCAGCACCAGCGCCCTTACCGAGACCGGCCTCTGCTCAGCCTGCCCGTCCAGAGCCGCGGGGCCGTGTCGCAGGAAGCCGACGAGAACATGATACCACAACCACACCGCGCGTTGAGGGCCCCCGCAGCCGATCTGGTGCATACCGCGTCCCCCGGCATCCGGGACAGGCGTCGCCAAATGCGCCAGTGCATCGAAGATGCGGAACTGCGCGTACACGGTGCCGATGCGATCTGCCAGCCTCGGCACGGACAGCCAGGTGGGCCACAGTGTCCAGTCGCGCAGGTACACGAGGTCGAGCACGTAATCCGGGGGGTTTTTCGTTTCTATAGTCCTGCGCATCATGTCCTTCGTCTCGTCGTGCAGCTGTCGGCTGACGAGGAGGAGGGGCAGGAGGGGGTTGGCGAGGCGTTGGCGCTTCCCGAAGAAGACGCGGGTGGTGGCCTCCCAGGCTCCCGAGTAGTACCGGTCGTTGACGGCCATGCGATCTGTCTTGTTAAGGTCCGAGGGGTGCGGGGCGCGGCGGGGGAGCAGCGGGATTTGTTCGAGGATCTTGTCGCGGATCTCGCGGGGGAAGCTGAGGAAGTCCAGCATTGTGATGGTGGTATTGCTAAACTCACTGTAGTGGGCTTGCTGTGTAAAATTGTTGATGTAGAGGGGACCCAGTGGTGTGGTCGTCGACAGGTGTCGAGACTGGTGGGTGTCGGCAAGATTTGGAAGCCGGTCACGATTTAGGATTCGGTGGGAACCTGGGTGTTGACACCTCGCCACATCGCTGCTGCTATGTAGATTAAGTAGGCAGCCGCTGTTTTTCTAAATTTAACGTAAACCTACCAGAAATACACCACAAATATACCAGAAAGAACCCTTGCTGCCAGAACATTCACTGCTGATTTACATCCAGAAACTATATCAAAGAGATTACCTGGGCTGTGTGATACAAGGCGGGGGCACTGTCTGACATTACATGTAAGCTCTCAAAGGGTCATTGACCAAATACGCACTCTAGCAGAATACACAGTGTTCCAGAAGATGAAGCCAAAAAAAGTACGGTAGTACGGGTTTTTACAATCATTATTGTGTTCAAGTATCTATCAGAAGGGATGGGGTATCGTCTCGGCTCTGCTCGGTTCTGCTTGAGCAGCCGGCCCAAATCACAAAACGAATGATTTACCACCAAAGTTTCCCGAAACTCCGGCGCTGCGCTAAATTCCAGCAATTAAAAAAGTTCTGTAAATTCAAAATGGGTCCTTGTCAGCCAGTGAGCGATGACATGACGACGAAGAGTGAGCCCTTTTAAGTCGCCGTCGTGGTGACCGGGATGACCACCAAGCCGGTGGGGGTCGGAAGCACCGTGGGCGCCGAGGTGGTGGGAGGCGGCTGCGCAGCTTCGGTGGACGAGGTGGCTACGGAACTTGTCATGGTGACAAGGGTCGTGGCGGTCGAGCTCGGTGCGGTGCTGGTGGTCTCAGCGGCGGAGGTAGCAGTCGAAGATTCAGTCGGGACGATAGTTGAGAAGTAAGAAGGGACGTCGGTGCTTGATGTCTCAACAGGGGCAGCACTGCTTGACGTCTCAGCCGGAACTGAGGCGGTCTCCGGTGGCGGGGGCGCAACCGACGAGCTAGCAGTGACAACAATCTGGCTTGACTGCGTCACAGCAGGCGGCGTGATCGTGATCGTGATCGCAGTTGCCACGGGCGTGGTAGCAGGGGCGGAGCTAATAAGAGCTGAGCTCGACGTCACAGGAGCTGAGGTTGATGCCGGAGGAGCCGAGCCACCAAGGAGCTTCTTAGCCGTGGCAGGGTCGACGCAGTCGACGGCGACACCCACGGTGGTGTTCATGGGCAGAGCGTAACATGACAAGCGGGCGTCACAGGAGAAAATGTCGAAGGTACCAGCACTGGAACATCGGCCAATGCTGCCGCTGATGCAGGCGACCTGCCCGGCCACGCAGCCAGACTGGTCCGTCAGGCCGGAGAAGATGTCATTGTAGCTCTTGGCGCTAGCAAGGTTGCTGGTGAGAACATCGGGACCGACAGTGGCTGTTGATGCGGGGACGGAAGTGATCGCGGTAGGCACAGCAGTGTTGGCTGTACCTGTCGCCGAAACAGCGTGGGGCACAGAAGATGCCTTTACCGCCGAAGAGGCAGAATTGGTAGTGCTGGCAGCGGTAGTGCTGGCAGCGGTAGTGCTGGCAGCGGCTGAGCTGGAAGCAGCTGCGCCAGACGCAACCAAAGCGGAAGATGATAACTTTCTACTGCTGGACGCAGTCGCCGTGGCACTGGTAATGGGCACAGACGCTGAGCTGGAAGTTGTCAAGAAAGGCAGGGGTGTCGGACGGTCAGAGGTGCTTGATGAAGCCGCCGAGGCAGCTTTCGAGCTTGATGCGGTAGTGCTTGGGGCGGCAACGGAGCCAAGGGGCACAGTTGACGAAGGAAATATGTTGAACGTGGGGATGGTGTTGGTGTTAGCGGGTGCGCTGCTAGTTTCGATCAGTGTGAAAGATCGAGAAATCGATGTTGATCGAGAGGTGACTGCTATCGTCGAGGAGAGATCGGCAGTTGAAGAGAGCGTCGACGACGCCATCGAGGAGGTAGCAACAGTGCTCGAGTTTGTAAATCTCTTGAGCGCGCCAACATTCCGTCTCGATCTGGTATTTGTTAGCTGATGATCAGATGTAGGTTGTCTGGTGGTGAATACGTACCTCTCTCCGAGCCTCAGTGGGCCTGCCACTGAGGCCTCTGTGAACAAAACAATAGAGAGGAGGAAAATTGGTATCTGCATTTCGGCAAAAAGATCGTGGAGAATTATTGGAAGAAGTGAAACGAAATGACGAAATGTCTTATCAAGAAAATGGGGTTGGACTTTGAAATGGATATGATGGACCTAGGATCAGGCATCAGGAGACACGAAGCAGCGCCGGTACATATCACTGAATGAGTCGATAAAGGGCATGTTCGGCTCAAAGAGATGACTAAGGGGCCATTCCGACCGAGACAAGCCTGCTGATATTCTGGAGCACGGTAGACAATGGGAGGGTAGACTGGACAGATGGAATCATGACAAAGAAAGACAATAGGAGGAGAAAGAGCCGCAGACTCGGGAAGATGAACCGCCAAGGCCGGAACGAGGAAAAGCTTCGAAGAATCATCATGGACCGAGGGGAGGGAGGGAGTACGTCCGAGTCTTGTATGGAGACAAGCCACGGCCTGGAGCCGGGTGATTCGTCGCACGACAGCAGCCCATGCCGGTCCAAGCGTGGGCTCCGTTGCAGTCTCGGGCCACGATGATGCGTCGGGTTTTAAGATTGAGGGCCATTGAGAGGGCCTCGTAGAGTCGTAGCTTGCCTTGAGCTGTCCAATCCGATTGTATTGGCCTGGGATGGCCCGGCCGGCTGGGTAGAGGTTGTGTTACTGGCACCACCAGCTGGAGTCGTATTGTCACGATACTGGGTTTGAGGAAGGGTTGGGTAAGCGCTTTTGTGTACAGGGCAGGTTCCGGCTCGTGTTTCGACGTGTTGGGTTGGGGAGACGCGCGGTTGTGTGTAATTGGCGGGCTTCAACTTTCAAGGGTTGACAGGCGGCTACAGTCGCTGTCAGCCAATCGCTAGGCCTTGCCCGCACGACCTGCGACCACCAAACGAGGGCGCTGATACGCCGCTGTGATGACCTGAAGAGGCCCACCAGAACTCGGCCCAGGGATGAGCCCTCTGACTGCATTGGTGATGCTAAGAGGATCTTTCAGAGGAGGCTCGGATGACATTTGGAGTTCCAATATCATGTGCACTGGCCAAAGAATTGATACAAGGGAATCCTCGGCAAGTTCAACGTCCACGAGACAAAGGCATTCTTGACCTTTGGACAAGATGAGAATTGATTATTGGGCAGTCTACCGCCCGAAGTGGGTCAGTCACAATCCAGCCCACGGACCACCTTTCCTATAGGTACTTCCTGACTTTGTGCGGAAGCAGCAATTAAGCATCAGCCATGACAGAAACTCATTGTTCTGTCGCATTTTTCTTGTGCACCGCCCGCGTTGCATCTGCTTTGCGGGGATCCTGGACGTGAAAACACCCATGTTTCACCAGCAGCTTCTGCGTCCACCGAAACTTCGCATTGTATCTTGTGGCATCCATTAAGACGTGTGTTGTCGCTCGCCGCCGGGGAAACCAACTAAACAGTACTGTTTCCGAATACAGCGATCGCTTGGCCCCTCAGGGAGCAGCCATAGGACTCGCCATTGGCCCCGGTCTGGTTGGCCGGCGCATACTATTCAAACGACCCGTTAGTCACTGCAAGTGGCTTGTCGCTCACACGCTTGAAGACTGCAAGACAGCTGGATGGGACACTCACCGAGGCGCAGCAGGCACCGTAAGGGGGACCGGGCGTGTATTGGTTGTCTACTCCCTCCTTGTAGCAGTAGCGGTACGAGGACCCGGAGGCGGTTGCGGCGCCACTGCAATTGAAGCCGGTGTAGGTGTCGGCCCCGTGTGCGCTGGGCTCGTACGTAACACAGCAGCGATCGAATTCCGGATCGTATGGTGCTATGCACAGCACCCATATGTCATCGGATTGGGCCTGCACCTGCACCGCTGGCCCGAGAACCAGAGTCGCGGCGACGAGGCTGCGTATCAAGATGGATACCATTTTGATCGTGGTGGAACTGGGTGAGATTGGCTGGATGGAGTGGAATGGCAATGGCAATTGATGCTTGATATTAGCGATTATTATTTGGAACTCGTGAAAGATACGGATCGGATCGGATCGTTAGCATACGAATGAAATGGAACGCCCCTTCAATAGGAAGGCCAGTCCTTTATATAACCGGTATCGGGGTTTCTAGGACTTGTTTTCCTACAAGCGAATACGAGGCAATATGCTGTAAGCGATCAGCTTATATTAGGTAGGCAGGCTGACTACATAAAATGATGTATGAGGGAATGAGGGATGCATGATATGATATGATGCATGAGGATGCATGAGGGGAACTCTGTGGCGCGCAGTACCTAGGTACCTAGGTAGGTATTGCTACGCAGAGGGGAAGACATGACCGGCATTCGAACACGGTCTCGGTCGGTAGGTATAGAATTGTCTCGAGCGATTATGGCAATGGTCCAAATAGGGACCGCTGTCGGTGAATTATTTCAATTGACATTCGTGGAACCTCTCACCGTTGTGACTCGTCCTGATCCAAAGCAGCCTTCTCATCCACCGTCATCTCCGACGCGGCTGATCCGATCTTGACAGTGACCATCAGGCACATCGCCAGCGCAGCCAGCCCCACGGCCGTCCAGAACCCAATCTGGTACTGTTCACGTAGGCTCAACTCGCCATCTCCGACCTTCTCTGTCGCAGTCGACACGGCCAGCTCGCCAACTCCGAGCCAGAACGCCATGCCGAGGTACAGTAGGCTGTTTATCAGCGCAGCGGCCGTCGCTTGGAGGCGCTGGGGCATCGCGGTGGTGATGAAGACGTTTGTCACGTTGAACGTGATGTCCACGCCGATAGTCCCGCCCAACATCGCCGGAAACACATAGGCCCAGTATAAGAAGCTGGTGGACGGCCCTGACTCTGACTGTGCGGGCATCAGGGCAAAGAGCAGGGTGGAGAGGAGGTACCCTCCTCCTGCTATCAACAACAGCACTTTGCCTGGTAACAGATGCAGGACGAAACCCCCCGTCACTGCGAGGACCATTCCACCGACTGCCAGCGGACTGAACCACGCAGCGGTTTGGAGCGGTGTTGTGTGCAGCACCGTCTCAATGCTAGGCCGTACATCAGTAGACTGAAGGGAAGACACAGTCACATGTAGAAGGACTTACTAGTAGCTAGCATAGAACAACCATAGCCCGAAAACACCATAGGAGCAGAATAAGGAGCCGGCAAGGCGCTTCATGTACTTGGCCTTGAAGAGTTCACCCGGCAGAAGCGGCCGAGCCGAGACCCAGCCCTCCAGGTAAACAGCGGCGCAGAGCAGGAGCACGCCGACGATGAACGTCACAAAGATGGAGGGGTTCCGCCATCCACCAGGAGCATGGCCTCCGTCGGTGAGAGCATAGACAACGAGGGCCAGGCCGGGTACAATAGTGCACACACCCCACCAGTCCATCCTCACGCTCGTATCACCATCGCCAAGGTGTCGCGGAATCGTCAGAATCCCAACAGCCATAACGACGAAGACAAAGATGGTGCCGATCCAGAAGTACCAGCGCCAGTCCAAGAGCTGGCCCGCGACAGCACCAATGATGATGCCGAAGTAAAAGCCAATACAGGCGAAGGCGCCATAGATGCTGTAGACAAAGTTCTTGCGCGGGCCAGGCCGGTACGTCTGCCCCAGCAGAGCCAAACCGGCCGGCAGGAACGCGCTGGCGCCGACGCCCTGCATGGCGCGGCACACGATGAGCAGCGTAGGGCCGCGGCTGAAGCCGCCGACCAGCGACCACACGGCGAGCCAGACGTGGCCGGCGATGAAGACGGCGCGGCCGCCGTACATGTCGCACAGGCGCGCGAAGGGCAGCAGCAGGATCGCCGTGGTCAGGTTGATGACCTCGGCGGGCCACGTGCGCTCGGCGGCGGAGATCTGCAGGGCGGCGGCGATCTCTGGCATCACGATGTTGAAGCCGCTAACGAAGTACTCGCTCATCATCATGGACGTCACCACGGCGAAGACGAAGCCGGCTTCGACGTAGGTTGTGCGGAAGACGGCTGGTCTTTGGCGGCCCAGACGGTCGATGGCGGCTTTGTCTAGGACTTCGGGACAGTCGCTGTCGTCGACGCCTTGTTCGGGGGCGTTGCTCTCGCGTTTGCCTTGCTCAGGGGCGAAGACGCCGTCTCCTGCCTTGGATGTCATGATGCGCCAGGAGTAGTCGATGGTGACTGTACAGTTGGCCACGACATAGAGACGAGGAAGTGGTCCCAATACATGTTGTAGGGGCTCGGATGGTGGCCATCTTGAAAGGCTTTATATATGTTTGCAGTTACTCATCGACGGTGTCTCTGTGTGGAGACATGGGCCGCTGTGTCGCCACTTATGCACGGTTTGCAACTTTGCTACCCCATTCGGCAAAGATGAAGTCGTAGAGAACTTTAACAATCTGACAGAGCACAGAGCAAGCGGAGACAAGGAAAATAGGGCGGCAATGATGACCCACTTATGCAGCACTTGCGTCTTGGCTACCCCTTACGGCCTAGCCTGCCGCCTAGGTCGGACCATGCCGATGACACAATATCAAAACCCGGTGCGGCGTCTGAACAGAACTTGTCACGTTCATATGCAATAACTTCCCTGAACGCTGCAACTCGCATGTTCAGCTCGGCATCTTCAACATCTGCCAGTTCTTCACCGAAAGAAGTACCCCGCATACGAGTGTTGCATAGGGACATTGGGCGTTTGCCATCAAGACATAAACGTCATCCGGCGATAGCTCCACTATCGGAGCCAAATCCGCGAGCGAAGTAACAACTCCATGAAGCAACTTCTCACCAACCGCCTGGCAATTTCTTAGGTTGTCTCTCTCTGCGGTCTCGACAGTCTGAGATTCTCAAGTAATAAAAGGTGGCACTAAGGGCACCTGCTGCTAACGCCTCAGATGGATGCCGTGGTTTGACATCACCGCCAGAGTGGGTTCAGCCTCTGGCACGCAGCTCCCCTGGCTGGCCGGCTGGGCATGGCGGGAACAAAGTCCTGCCACAACTGCCGGCGTCGCCGGCTCCGATGCGATCGCTCTATCCCGGAGTGTCACAAGTGTACCAGGGCGGGGCAGTTATGTCTCGGCTACGGCCCGATTTATAAATGGACGGATGCCGTTGTAGGCCCTGGCCACACTACCCGGGAAAGGGACGTCACTTTGTCGGCCTCAACGAAGAACAGATGGAATGTCGGCCAGAACGTGCCCGACGCTCCATATGCCCGCTGCGCACCCATCGGGGTGAAATCAAGACCTCTGGGCGTACCAGCAGTGGCCCTTGTAGATCCGTTGCTCCAGGGTTTGAGCTCGTCGTACAGATACTACATCTCCTACTGTGGGTGGACACTTACGATAGCTACCAGCGATCTATATCGCGGCTCCAACTGACCCTTGATAGTCACCTCCCGCTTCTGTCAGGACCTCGTGGCGCGTGACTCCATGCGCAACGGTGCCAACCCTTTCCGAGAACTGATTCCCATGTCTCAAACTCAGCCTTTTCTACAACATATCATCATCGCCGTCTCAGCGATACACTACTCCCGCGCCATGAACTACGAATCACGGTTAACATCGCAGTGCTCTCTCGTTGCCAACAGTGCTCTCATAGACGCATTATGTGCACGACAGAAAGCGATCCAGGAGCTCCGGGGGGCGTTGGAACGTCAACGCACCCTTGGTGAGAATGATGATCCAGCTGAGAAGGATGCTTTGCTTGCTACCGTTCTCTTTTTTGTCAACTTTGCGCTCATAGACTCGGGCAAGGATGGCTGGAGAGATCATTTGAGGGCAGCTGGGAGGCTCCTGTCGGCACAGGGCAGTATCAACTTCTTCACCATGTTGCCCTCATCGGATGCTTCGGGGTTGCCTGTGTACATGCGTCCATCACTCATTGATGGAGCAGGCACCTCGCTAACGAAAACAATAAGAACCGACCAGTCAACTCTTTCCGGCTTGATATTACTGTCGAAGCCTTTGACTGCATGCGACTACGTCGCATCAGATACAGCTGCGTATTACATATGGAACAACGCACTTGACTCGCTGGCGTCTTCGGCACAAAGCCTGGACTCGGACACCGAGGCTTCTGAATGGGATCCGAGCAACGTTCTCAACATCTTGCTACGCACCGAGACCAATAGCTACCACAGCTGCCCTGCACGACTCATGTACATAGTGCTCCGCGCGTCTCGTCTTGCGCAGGCAAATAAGTCCAACGGCACCGGTGGCCCGGACATCGCCCAGAGGGAGGCATGCCTGGACCTGCTGAACGAAGCTCAGTCGTTCGACGTCGACGACTGGGCGAAAGCGGTGTGTGCTAGAAACGTCAACTTCCTTGACACCACCGATGAGGTCGAGTTGGCTTGTCGCAGGTGTATCGCAGCGACGTACCGCGCGGCCGTCTGCCTCTACATTCTGCTAGTAGCCCAAGGGCTCCAAGCGCAGACGCGATGGGATACAAGATACGCGGACAATGAGAGCTTGCCATTTCTCCCCACGACTGCGGATCTCGTCACCACGATCCTGCACCAACTCTCCTTCATCCCGAAAGAAAGCCCGTTCTTCAAGTTCACCACCTGGCCCGTCTTTCTCACTGGAGTAGAGACGGCGTCACCGGCTCGGAGGGCATGGGTTCTCGACCGGCTGCAGGCCATGAGAGATATCTGCCCCTGGGGCATGCTCACGTCTGCTATGGAGACGCTGGCAGACATCTGGCGGTTGAGGGACAGCGTTTCGCCAAAGGCTGGAGTCAAAGTTGGTGCAGCTCACGTGTCAGAGGATGAGGTGGAGGCTGAAGAGGCCCTTGATACCAGCGGGTGGCTTGTTCGGTTACAGAGCATGAAAATCGACTGCTTGATTGTATGAACACGACATGGTGGAATGATTTCTCATTTCGATGACTACCAACCCAGCAAATCTGAATTTACAGACAGCAGAGACGACCGTCCAGATGGGACCGCGGAGGAAATTCCCACATAATCAACACCCTTCCTAGACTCCTCAGCGACTGCGACATAGGACTTATTCCCTAAGCTTCTCTAGGATATTCTTCACCCTGGCCCCCTTCAACTCCCTCGCCGCCTTAGGCGCTCGAAGCCCGATTCTCTAGCATCAAACCCACTGCCAGCAGCTCTGCTGCTTTCTCCTTTACCTCCTACATACTAACCAACCACCACGGCAACCCCATCACCCCAACCCCCCACGACTATCGACTCCCCCATCTCAACGTCGATACCAAACGTAACAATAAACACATTCCTCACGCGCCCCCTTCTTCGTCACGAGCAGAAACAGCCGCGCCGCATCATCCACACACACAGCCGAAAAGCGGGCTGTGGCCCCTTCCACATCCAGCACGTACCCAGCCCCGCAAACCCGCCCATGGATAGCCGCAGGCCGCTGCCGCTGCAGACATACGGCGCAAGGTGAAGGGCGCTGACGCGGACGCCACATGGTGAAAAGGTGATTAGGCGGTTTGGGAGGACCGCTGCTGCGCGTCGAAGCTACGTGACAGTGCTCGCGGTTTCAAGATGGAACTGGAGCTCCTTGCTCGTGATGCGCTTGTTCGGCGAAGCTTTTGTTGTTCTGCTACCTAAGCGAAAGACCACCCTACAGTGAGGTTTTGGTGCGTGGGAGAGGCCGCGAGAGACTTTCCGTGGCGGCCGCGACTCGCCGGTAGAGGGACGGGTAAAGAAGGCGGAGTTCGACCCTACCTGTTTTGTCCTCGCGGCGAGCCCTATGAAAGGCGTCCTCACCTCATTAGAGCAACCGGGGGAAGTAGCTATGAGTGCCACAGGACAAGGTTGGGATATGACGATGTAGTGCCGAAATGGACAGACGCTTTTCACCCTGGTGTCACAGTCGATCAATGTTAATAGTAAGGATTAAGCTGCGGAATGGATTGTGCCAATGACCCTTTTGGTACCAGAATAGCTGTCATCGTTTGATTATACATGGCTTTACTTCATAATATGCAGCTCTCATGTCCCAAACAGACTCATCCTCGCCTGGTGTACACTATATAACGCATTGCACTCCCAAATGTGAGACCCTAGTCATTGCTTCACCCCTGACTGCAGAAGCCCATGATTCAGCAGTTGGGTCACACTCGAACAGCTACCACCATATGCCCTATGATACCGGCTCGGTTGTTGGATGACATGTCCGGTTGGACCTGGTGGTAGCCATGGAAAGGGGGAAGAAATAGGAGAACACCATTTCGACCGCTAGGAGTCACGAGAGATGATTTTGATTCATATCTATTTGCTTTATGTTGCGTGGTCACGTGACCCACTTGGGCTGGCATATTGCCCACATCCACTGTAGCTGCGCACCACCTCCAGACCTTTAACAACAACAGCACCAATACAGCAGATATGCAACCTTTTGGTCTTCTTGCTGTGCAACAGGTTATGAGCCCTCATCCGCTCCCGCTACTTCACCTTATTGTTGTTCCTATTGATGGGCACAAATTTTCGCGTTCTTGACGACCTTTCGTGACCTCAATAGCCCCAACCCCCGGCAACTCACACGAATTTTTTTTTTCGTGTGCTGAGACCACCACGGTGCCATTCACAGCACCATTCTGCGAGCGGTTATACAGCCTCGCATTCACACCTTCTGCCGACGTTCTGATCGTACAGAAGCATCCTCAATCACCCAAATCCTTTGCATTTCAGAACGCAATCTCAAGCCACTGCTAACGCGTTTCGGGGACCACTGAGGTGACAGGAACCATTCTCAGCGTCTGTTCAAGACGTCTGACGCCTCTCAGCGTGCTACCACGTCTGAAGCTACTCACATACAAATTTCCAACATTTGTGCCTTTATTCCGACCTTCCTACCTACATACGGACGGTTACGGTCGAAGTATACTGGCATACACGGATATCAGAGGGTTGGTAATTGCCGTTCATAAGGGACTATTCGTAATGTCTCATGATCTGAGGTGTACTGAAGTGCATCATTGACTGAGGCTTCAGTCATAGGGACATCTGAGAACACCAGATCTAGTACATTTCTGTCATCATGTGTTGGGACATCTGGTTCAGAAATCAGATCCAGTCCGTGGTCTGTCATAATCTGTACAAGTATAACACCACCGTGATATCCTGGATTGTTCGAGTCCCAGGATGTATCGCTAGCATTAAAATCTCCAGCTATAACACAGCCAAAAGGTGGAGTCCATACTTCCAGAATGTCATCCACTTCCTGTGGGTTGTCACATGGCCAGTAAATACTGGCAAATATAATACCTTGTACCTTAACCTAGGTGATATCTCATATAGCATAAGGCTAAAATTGATCCATTTAAAGGTGTTTTTTTACATAGGTGAGAGATCTGGGTCGTGTACTGTCGCTATCCCAGGAATCCATTGGGGAGTATATATCGTAATTAGGGTGTGTCTTTATTCCCATTTTTCTGTCTGGTGGTATGCCAACCCAGGGCTCTTGCATCAGAATGATGTCTGCTTGTTCTCCTTTGTAGTTAGTCAGGTTAATGGCTAACTCTGTAGGGCCTGCACTCTTTTGTCTTCCTGCTATATTCACAAAATGGATGATTAGATGCCCGTATCGATATGTTTCGTTTGATATACCTAATATTGACTGACAACAATGGTATCGGCATCTCTGGGATGAGTTGTATCTGTTGTGTTGATTTGTATTGTGATGTTTTTGTTATTGTTACTGGGTGTTGACCTAGCTTGGTTTCTGCCTGTTTCATTGAAGGCCTTGGATCTGGCTCTTTCTTTAGCCAGCCTTATTTCCTGGATTTGTTCCTATGTGTGCTTGTGGATGATACCTTTCACAACCTTGGGGCGTGCAGGGCATTTATCGAAGTTGGCAGCATGAGGTCCTTTATAATTGACACACTTTGGGATTGGTTTTTCGCACTCCCCCTGGTATACTGTATTGGCGCAAAGTGTATATACTTGCTTTTGACATCAGTAGTTCTTACCATGGTATCTGAAGCAGCTCGCACATTGGTGAACCTTGGGGGAGTATTGAATGTGCCTTGAGGTCATTAAGTGAGCAAAAAGCGTGAATGGTTTCTTTACTGCACGGGGCAGAGAGATCACCCATGTGGTCTCTAGATCAGAATTAACTGTGTTCCTTGAGAATATGCACCTTAAAGGTCTGTCACTTGTTTGGGCTTTAATTTCATTAGTAACAACAATGTCGGTAATATTGATTATCAATCCTTCCGCACTGATAACCTTTCTTGGGCATCCATCAACCTTATAGTGATGCCAGACTGTGTGGGTCTCGATCTTTTCTGCCTTGAGAATATCAGTAATTTCTTCTTAGAAGGCCAGGAGCTTAGCCTGAATTGGCTTGTCTCTTGGGTATAAGGTAAATCCAGAAGGGCACCGGGTCACTTCTCTAAGCTCTTAAGGGTAGAGCTTAAGTCTTTTGTTCAGTATAGATTTTATTCCGTAAGGCTCTAGGTGGCTATTATCTATGCGGACAAAGACCTGGAGATTATCCTGTTTCTTCTTCAGTTGGTTGGTAGTGATACGGGCGCCAGGCTGTGTTTTTTTTATGGTAGTGTTGACTGTCCGTGGATGTTGTTGTTGGCTAGAGGAGACAGCTTGGGCAAAGGTCATGGTGGGCTTTACCATCCCTATCCCCCCAGGAATGGTCTTCCTTTTGGGCGGATCTCGGGTTTCCAGCCACTCGCTCAGACATTTAGAGAAAAAAGCGCTGAACTCCTTGACATGAGAGTATAGTTTGGTTCCAGCTTTCTTAAGTATCTTATCAATTATTACAACAAACTCTTGAAATATTGTTATCTTGGCTTTATAAAGGTGTTTATCTTTAGTCAGTATTCTGGCAACTTGGTCCTGGCACTCTGAGGAGAAAGCTTTATTCCTTATATCGCATATAATGGCTTGGTCTGTCGAGATTTTATTTAATTAAAGTCGTTTCATTCCAGTGGTATTGCCGTCATTAATATTTTGGAATTTTCCTTTTAGAGGGGAAATAATAGTGAAGTCAGCCTCAGAGACTTGTGACGGGCTGTTGCTAATGTTGTCAAGCAGCGCCTGGCAGAGCCTGCTCAGAGTTGCCAGGTGGTATGTTTTTCTAGGGGCCGGGGATTTAAGCACGCCGCCAGTGGTCGTCTTTGGGACGGCCACGGGCGTGTTTGGGGGCCCGTCGTGGAAGGGTGCCATCTGGCTTGTGAGAAAATTCTCTTATACCTTGGCAGAGATAGTCAGTTACTAAGAGAAGTGCCTGCTTTGGTGCAAATATCAAGGTTGCACCCTAACAGCGGGGCGCCAAGAAAAATAGTTGATCCTGGCTGATGCGATTAAGGACCAGCACGTAGGAGCGGAAAATACTACGAGATTCCCCTGCCGCCTCCCACCTTCGACGAGATGGACTTCCTTCTGGGGGCAACAGAGTATGAGAAGGAAGGTCTTCTCTTGCATGCCGACGACGACGCCAAAGACCGCCTTGAAAAGGCCGTGAAGAATTCGAAGGCCGCTGGCTACGACATCAGTGATCTCATCGCGGAGGATGTGGACTAGTGTCCACTCCGGGTGGTTAGAAAGTTGGCGGACAAAAGATGCGCTCATAATCGGGTCCATTGGCGTCCATGCGTCCTCTGGGGCGATGGGGTTTGGCATAGGTTGCCGTGCGTTCCATTGACGTGGTGATTCGGATTCACACGGGATGAATCGGTGGAGTTAGGACATGTGGTTCATCAGTTGCGTTTTGTTTTTAGGAAAAAAAGTCATAGGTCATTCATTATCAGTGCGTTTACTTACTTTCCTCTACACGTGACTGTTTCCTGTTACGTCCTTCAGATTCATCATAAGCCATACATGTACGTTGCCAGTCCATCTCGTCCATTCACCTTGTTCTTCATCTGGAGAGAATGATATATTCTAGAGCCCTTGATGTCGACCACTGAAGACCATGGGTTTTATTAAATCCATACTTTTTTGCTGATCATGTGCGCGACATGATCACTCAGGTAAACTAGTTCGATTTCGCTCATCCACTCTTGAACGAACCGAGTAAGACTTGCCCAAGCGTTTGGCTGATTTCGATCGTGGAAATTGCCATACGCCGAGGATACCGGCGGCTTAAGGCCTATCTTGCAACAAGCAACAGTCGGGGCGTGATATTCCATATTATCGTATCGCCAATCAGTTCACATCAAGGGACAGCGTTGAGCGGTTCCGCTAGGTCCACGCCAATCCGGGACATGATGCCGAGCGCAACGCACCCCAGTTGATGTCAGGATTGCATCCGCGCCGCTGTGCTGGCACAGGAGGGCGGTCTGGACCATGCGAGGACGTCGTATGGTACAGGTCGTCCAGCAGATGCTGAGAGTCACACTACCCAATGCTGCAGGGATTTCCCCAAGGACTCACCTGGAAGTTCTCGAAGTCTTGTGTCGTATTGTTCGCAGCACATGAACATAATTGTCAGACACCAATCCCCTCGGCGCGGTCCACTTGCTACGGCTGTCTCTAAAGCCCGCGCTGATTACCTGGCGTTGTAGCTGCTGTGCACGCGGGCCTTCCGAATCAAGTCCGGATTGGCAACCTCCGCCGGTCGTTCGTGGGCCGGCACTGTACCACCGACCCAATGGCATCCACGAATACGCCCGGCAACTCCTGCGCTTCTATTGCCGTGAATGAACTCCACAGGACTGGCTATTGGAGGAGAATCTACGGGTGCCATGGTTGGCGGTGATCAATACGATGTGCTGGAGCGTCGACGTACTGTCCCAAGTTGGGCATGTGGCGGACATCTCCTTTAAAATGCGACTTGGCGCCAGACAAGAGGACATGTATATTTTCTCCCAAACAAAGCTCCTTTTATCAGCTCTGGATCGTCAGTTTTACAATCTCAGCTCAAGCCAGAACACGCACGTCTCAGCTGGCAATATGAAGTACTTCTCAGCCGCAGCCGCCGCCGTTGTCGGTGCCAGCGTTGCCTCTGCGCACACGATCTTCGTCCAGCTGGAGTCCGATGGAGTGACGACCCCGGTGTCTTACGGAATCAGGGACCCATCTTACGACGGTCCTATCAACGACGTGACGTCGAACTATCTAGCTTGCAATGGAGGGCCCAACCCGACGACAGCTTCCAGCGACATCATCGACGTCACTGCTGGCACGACGGCAAGTTCTTTCTATTCATGAACCTTGCTGCTGCTTGTAATCTTGAGTCATCACAAGTTGTAAAGTGAGGTGTGTCATGAAGGGTTACTAACTCTGAGACCTACAGGTCAACGCCATCTGGAGGCACACCCTCACCTCCGGATCCGACGATGTCATGGATCCCAGCCATCTGGGACCAACAATGGCCTACCTGAAGAAGGTCAGCGATGCCAGAACGGACGTGGGCTACGGTGCGGGATGGTTCAAGGTCCAGGAAGACGGCTACAACAACGGTGTCTGGGGAACCACCACCGTCATCAACAACGGCGGACTCCACGCCATCACCATCCCCGACTGCTTGGAGGATGGCGAATACCTCCTGCGGGCCGAGATGATCGCGCTTCATGCGGCAAGCTCCAGCTTGGGAGCTCAGCTTTACGTATGTCGTTACCTTGTCTTGCCTCTACTTCTCGGTACCGTATCAGCAGCGCTCGAGCTAGCTAACCTTAACCGCAGATGGAATGTGCGCAGATCAACATCTCCGGCGGTAAGGCGACGAAGACGCCCTCTACCTACAGCATTCCGGGCATCTACGCTGTAAGTTGACCCCTATAAAAACACCCCGTCGTCACATGGCCTCTATGCTAGCGATACTGATGAATGTCTTCAAACAGCAAAACGACCCCGGTATCCTGATCAACATCTATTCGATGACCAGCTCCAGCACATACACTATTCCAGGTACGCATCTGCCATTGCCTACTGTTCGATATTCCCCTGTAACTGACTCTCGATGCCTTAGGCCCTGACCCTTTCACTTGCTAAGGCGAGGGGCCTGGATGTGTTGCCCGCGGTGGATGACTATGGAGTAGTTGGTCTAAAATTGCTTCGGGTCACTTTGGAGGACGTCCTTTTGACGAGCTCGTTGGTCAGGCCGTCTCTGCGCGGAGCACAGCTTGCTATACGTTAAGGGATTCGTTATTGCCTGGGAACTTCTCATAGTTGGCGGAGAAGAGAATCTGATCGATACGACGCTCTGAGCCTACCTGCCTGACCTTGGTAAGTAGCTGGTGTGTTGACTGAAAGTCTGGTTCTGCAAACCACCTTGTTACGAAACTATTGCGCAGAAACCATTTATTATCCATGACAATTATGGGCTTCCCCATCAGAGAGAACGGCATGCTACGGTTATATCCTCCTACTGTGTAGCAACGCCGTACGCCTACCCGAAAGAGCGCACTGAAGAATTATCCGTGGTGTCCAAACCGAGCCGCTGAACTCCCCCGTCCCGAGAATGGTGAGCGAACCGCCGTCACATGTCAGAAGTGGACTCCTTTCCAGAAACGTAGTCCTTGATGTGGTCCTTTACCACTCTCTTCATCGTCAGAACACTCTGTTGCGAGTTGTACGCCACGTAGGGAGATAGCGTGAGGTTAAGATCCTTGGTATCCTCTCCCAGGAAGGCGCTGTCTTTGTGAGAGCTTGCAGGTTCCTTCTCGTAGACGTCGACAGCGGCGCCCGATATTTGGTTGGCCCGCAATGCTTTGACCATACGCCTTGGCGTTCAGGACACCTCCGCGGGCAACGTTGATGATTATTGCTTTGCGCATGGCGTCCAGCTGTTGGGTGTCAATCAAGTGATGGGTCTCGCGGTTCAAGACACATGAGATGAACAACACAGTGGCCGACTTGATGACACGGTCGAATGGGATACGGAGCACAGTAGTGTCCTCGCTTTCGGTGGATGAAGTATCGTTGTCGCCTTGAGAATCGGTGTCGTCTTCAGAATCAGGGTCACCTTGAGAAGCGGTGTTGCCTTTACGCCCGGAAATCAGAACCTTCATGCCCAGTGCCCCACATAGAGTGGCTAGGCGCGTCCCTATCGTGAATGTCAGCGTCGATCTGTCAAGTGAGCAGGCCCGTACATACCGATGTTTCCGTAGCCAATGATGCCAGCGACATCTTGATTGAGGGGGAGGGGCGGCAAGTTGTCAGCCATTTGCATCTGGTGCGCAACGCATCCGTTCTTCTTCCATTGGTTATCGCCGTGCTCATCGGTATCCCTAACCACATTGTGAAGCGTAACGGTCTTCCTTCTCGCAGCGAAATACTGAGGTGGTAAAGTTAGTAAAGAACAATCTGGCATGTTGCGTTCTCTGCCTACCAAACCCAAAGCATGCTCGGCCACAGCTACACACGTCGATCCGGGAGAGCGCACAACCTTGACCCCACGTCTCTGTGACATTCGTCCTGGTCAATGTGGTTGATTCCTGCAGTCGGCGTGATGACGCGTTTCCTGTTCAATGTTCAATTAGAATAAAACCCGATACGTAGAGATTGTGGAGACCTACAGACGCGGTGCCTGGCCCAGACTTTCGGCGTTGATGTGCGCGGTTGTAGTAGTGATGATGCTGGCATGCTGCACTCGTTCTCGGATCTCGTCCGACTTGGAGAGGTTGTGGTAGGAGATCAGCTCGTGCGACCGGGGGTCACTATCAATATCCTTGAGGTTGAGGTGCACAGGTGCGAGAAGAACGACAACCTCGTGTGTCGCTGAGGGGAGCTGCTTCGGAAACTTGATGTCATTGCCTTCGGCCATGATTGCGGTGATTGCGGTGTCTGACTCAGTACCTGCACCTGTGGGTCGAAAAGATAGATATTTGCGACTTCGCAACGTTGGCAAGAGCTCGTGGCCGAATGGGCTCAGTTGGCTCTTGTAGAGTGCAAGCAATGGAGACGCGCTGTTGCGATGCCTCACAGTTTGCCTACCTACCTGAGTAGGTCTGGATGCTTGTTTAGGTGGTGACCACAGCAGACAGTAGTGACAGATATTGTTGACTGCGAGTGGGCATGGGACAATCAGACTACAGCTGTTATCTGCAAGGGGAACGTCAGCATGAACAATGGTAGTCACAGTGAATGGACGGGCGCAGCAGCAAGTTGCCGCCGTAGCTGGGCGACCTTGGTCGTTCCCGTGACGGACTTTGCGTTCGAAACGCAGCCCCCCGCGAGACTGAGTTCGTGTGATTACGGGTGATGGACCAGCCCTACTTCTATACCTAGATGCACTAAGGTAACGGGAAATGAAGTGAGTGACCCTGGTGATTCAAGCAGGGCCATACTGAAGTGGTGAGGCAAACCACTGGAATTCTGACTTACCAAAACGACTTACCTCGCTTACCGTGAGCAACAGTTTCTGATGCGAATCGCGACGATGCTCGGCGCAGTTACTGAGCTCGTTTGGATCAATCTGCAGCACAGCTGGAGAGTATTGAAGGTTGGCGGCCAGTCCGTCTGAGCCTTGACGCGCGTGTTGAACGCGAAGTAGATGGTGAACGACCAATTGCGAACCTATCTCAACCTCGTGCTGTTGGGGAGACGGCGGGGAGCCAAAAGGGGGCCAGCTGCGAGGGCTGTGCGGAACTGTGTTTGTTCGGGGAGGTGGCTGCTGCGCCAGCTGCAGCCAGAGATACTGGTTTCTTGAGAGACTGCGGGCGGCTGGCGGCAGCCCGGCAGTAAACCGGTAAACCTGCAGATGAGATGGGTCCACTCCACTAGCACCTGTAGGCAACCTAGTGGGGCGGCTGTAGGTGGTCGGGCCAACAGTTGATTTTTCTCCGGTTTCGCCCTCCACTCCCAACTTCAACCTCCAATCTTCAAACATCACAGCACCTAAACTTTGCCGCTCACCGTTACCCAACAATACCGCCAGAGCTTACTGGAACATCGAATCTCTAGCTGTGCCTCCGCCTCATGGTCACGACAAGCTCCGGGATTACTTCAGTTGCGGGTTGATTTGGTTCTAGGCGTAGGTACACGGTCGTTCCTCGTGTCGGCGAATCATGTCGGGCTCGCCATCGTCAGGCCCCTCGAGGCCGGGTGTCAAGGGAGTCACAGACCAACTGTCTTCGAGCTACTCAACTGCCTTTGACGGAACTGCACTCAGTCCGCCTGCTGTACCCGATTCTCCGGCAGCCGGCCCGTCGAGACATGACGCCCAGGTTGTTTCTGAACATTTGCCCTCGGGGTACACAGCTGGCTTCGATGGAGGAACCCCGCTCAGTCCTCCCCGCGAGTCTCTTATGGGCCAGCATGATGCCGAGGAGCCGCTTGCGAACTCGTCTTTGAAGTTGCAAGGAGGGGATATTCATCGAGATATCTTCAAGACAGCTGAGAGGGCCAAGATGCACAAGCGAGCTGCGACATTTCATTATCCTCAGGACGCTACTCGAAATGACGAACTAGACGGCCTCGCTGTGAGTGATCAGCTCGCCCCCGGTGGCTTTCGGAGAGCATACATTCGCCAGCAACAAGCCGGTCCCATCTGGGCAGCCAGAAACCCCGTGACCCGAAACTTTGTCGAATTTCTGGATTTGTACGGAAGTTTCGCCGGAGAAGATCTTGCTGAATCTGATGACGAAGCAATCACCGATGATGAGGGCGACGGCGCCGACCAGCCGCCTTCTGAGACCAGACCGCTCTTAGGACGTCGAAAGACCACACGTGCTCCACGATCTGCTACTGCTACAACGAGCAAGACCTTTTTCACTCTCTTGAAGGCCTTTATCGGGACGGGAATCATGTTCCTACCCAAAGCATTCCTTAATGGTGGTCTGCTGTTTTCGTCCATCACCATGTTGGTCGTCTCGTGCGTGACCATGCTGGCCTTTCACCTCCTCCTAGCATGCAAGACCAAGCACGGCGGTGGTTACGGCGAGATCGGCCAAGCGATAGCTGGAGACCGTATGCGGGGATTGATTTTATTCTCCATTACTCTATCCCAAATTGGCTTCGTCTGTGCCGGCATAGTCTTCGTGGCGGAGAACCTGACATCGTTCCTTGAAGCTGTTGTGCACGGGGAAAGTCCACTATCGGCTACGGCTCTCATTCTGATTCAGCTCGTCGTCCTCATACCGCTGTCCTTCATCCGCAACATCGCCAAGCTCGGACCCGCCGCCCTCCTTGCTGATGTCTTCATCCTCATCGGTGTTGGTTACATCTACTACTACGACATTGCTCACCTCGCTTCCGAAGGGCTCAACCCTACCGTCGTTCTCTTCAACCCCGACAAGTACACCCTCACCATAGGGGCTTCTATCTTCACGTACGAAGGCATAGGGCTCATTCTACCGATACAGTCTTCGATGGCGAAGCCTCAGCGTTTTGAATACCTTCTGGGTATCATCATGCTGATCATCACGATAGTATTCACGGCAGTCGGCGCGCTTTGCTACGCCACCTTCGGAGAGGACACCCAGATCGAGATCATCAACAATTACCCCCAAACCAGCAAATTCGTCAATGCCGTGCAGTTCCTCTACTCGCTTGCTGTTCTCGTGGGCAATCCTGTCCAGCTGTTCCCTGCTCTTCGTATCCTCGAAGGTAAGCTCTTCGGTTCATACTCGGGGAAGAAGGACATGCGCACGAAGTGGGTTAAGAATGGTTTCAGGACACTCATGGTCCTCTTCTGCGGCGCCATATCCGTCATGGGCGCTGGCAACCTGGATAGATTTGTGGCACTGATCGGATCCTTCGCTTGCGTTCCATTGGTCTACATCTATCCGGCTTACCTTCACTACAAGGGTGTCGCAACTTCACGAGCGGCAAAGGTTGGTGACATGGTGTTCATGGTGGTTGGGGTCGTCGCGATGGTATACACAACTGTCATCACCATCGTCAACAGCTTCATGGGCTAAGCGTTGGATTCCCGGCACATACTCTCATCTAGAAAGGGAACAAGGAAAGGCGCCACTTGATTATGCATTTTCACCGAGTATGAGGAGTACACAGCGTACACTAGAAATTAATAATTGACTGCAGCAGCATTTTGCACTATGATGTGGCCGGTGAGGCCGGTTACTGACTTCATCTCATACCTTGCGCTTGATCTTGACTGACATCGGGGCTCTTGGATGACATAACACCTACGTATGAGCTGACATTGCAGACCCGGGATAACTCCTCATAGGACAGCCGAAGCGTCATGGGTCTCTTAACTTCTAAGCAGCAGCGGATCGGGTGCTTGTGTCAGACTCTTGCACTGGTATATTCATGGAGGCCCTGATCAGCTAGAGTGGGTTCAGGAGTAACGGGATCGAATCAACGAAGGTGGAATGTTCTCTATGGTACTTTCATGCCCAGTTCCCTTTGACATCCGAATTGTCACCCTCACTATCCCCTCCGTACTCCCTTTATCCATCCATCCTGGTAATGATCGACTAGTCGTCCGATTACTGGCTATTTCATGGTAAGTTAGTTGATGTGCTCCCCAACCAATGGAAGAATGAAAGAAAGAAAAAGATTTGTTGAAAGTGAGTGCTTACAAAGTTTAGGCACCTTTACTCGCCGTCTTCTCCATTACCGACTTCTTGGCGACTGGCAGCCTTCTCCGCCCGTAGCTTCAAGTGGTACTGCTGGCGCATGAGATGGCGTTTCAGTCTGTAGGCCTTCACCTGACTGTCACCGCCGCAACGGCAGCCCGGGAAGTGCGTGAACGGTAGTTCTTCCCCCGGCGCTTTAGCAGCATCATTGTTGTGTTGTATGACGTGGTCTCGCATCTCGGCCTCGGTAGTGGTCGTGATGGCACAGCTTCCCCAGTGACACTGGAGGCCGACGTGGATCTGGCTCTTGTGGTCTCTCACCACGGCGCAGCTCGCGTAGTACTTCTGGCAGAAGTCGCAGAAGCCATCGTGCTCGGAGGCGACACGGTCTTGGGTGTTGGTAGTCATTGTGGGTGATGCTGGATGGTGACGATGTTGGTGATTATGGTTGGTGATGATGGTTGGTGAGGATGCGTGAGGATGCGTGAGGATGCGTGAGGATGCGTGAGGATGCGTGAGGTTTGGTGAATTTTGGGAGTGAGGATGTGAGTGTGATGGTACTGGTGCTCTTGGTTGGTGCTGAGAGCTGCCGGGTAGATGTGCAGGTAGGGCGGGCCCTTTCTGGTGGTCGACAGTGAGCGTTCCTTCCTGAAGGGATCTGAGACTGGTACGAAGTTACCTTTTTGCATCCTTGACTGTCTAGGCATGGCAGTGTCATGATCAGAGATCACAACATGGTCAGAGCGTCTGCTTGTACAGAGAGTGCTAACCCTTGGGGATTGTGGTGGTCGGGTGCATCAGAATATGGGACATGATCATGAAGTGGGCAGCTTGCGAATTTTTCTTTGAGAGTAGAGGTTTGGGCGACTAAGCTGCTTGGATTGAGGGGCCCGCAGTCTATGCGGTAAGTAGTGACACCATTCTGCCCCTTTAAACGTGGAGACAGAGGAGGAGAATCTTCCGGCTCCAAGGTGGTTCTCATTTACTGCCCAGACTCCCAACACTCGTAGCTTATATAGTGTCTTAACCAAGGCGGCTGACGATTAGCTTCTCTCAGTAGTACCAAGTAAAGAGAGGAAGAACTAGAAAAACAGAAACATGGCATTCAACATGTAGCGTTATGTCTGGAAACTGAGTAGTCTATACCAGTGACAACTTGATGAGAGTCACGAACAGTGTGAAACACACCATATAGAAAGCATAGCTATATCCAAGCTGTGGTACCAGACTAAGATAAACAATTGTTCATACACTGGTATGACTGCGTTGCTTGACTCTCGCAAACCAGTTCCAGCAGCTTCCATAAGGTACATCTTACTCCTGACACTAAAGTACTCCCTATAGACAGCTCAAAGAATGCCTCTGCAAGACGCCCTTCCACGGCAGCGGTCGAGGGTAGGATCTTGTCAATCGAATATGGAGGCGAAGTAGCAACGAACAAATCGAGCCACCTGTGGAGTCGTTCTTCTGTAGTATCCGAAACACCAGCTAGGATAATTTCTGCTAGGCTGTATACTCTTCCTAGGTAACTAGCACTTGAAACCAAGCAACGTCCTCGATTTGAAGTCTTTGTGAAGACATGTTCACTGCCGCTATACCACGTTACAGCAACAAGTCAAGTGAAGGGCTCCATCACACTGCCGTTGACGGATCCGATCCTGCGAGGCTGAGGGTAGAGTGTACACCTGACGATGACCGTCCAGTGGTCTTGGTGGATCCGGATACTATATGGTTCTTTGGAGTTCAATAAGTTAACAATAGGAAGACTGCAGCCGAGGTGAAAGCTACGGCGGTACATCATATGCGAAGAAGACAATGTGCGGACGTGCGGGAAACCCATATTTCTATGGGCATGATGAGGGAGGGGGTCCTACATCAAGGAGGAGGGCTGCCCTTGTCATCCCTACAACGCTTTGCTCATATCCTCGATATTTCCCCTCATCCTTAGAGACGGCATTTGAGCTTCAATGCCAAGCCTGTGCTGGGATACGATTCGAGGACCTGCAGGTGAAGTAACTGCAAGTGAAATAACAAAAGAGATGTAGACGATCCAGAAGATCGATCGCGACCTGATGTGTATCTCAACCCCGCCCATCTGATGGATGGGTGGGTGGCCATGATGAGCTCGAGTAACCTCACCTGCCGACGGGCTCTGGTAGATATGGTTTCCTTCTCCCACGCCATCCCAGTGGATTACCGCCGAGCGAGTCTGGTGGGGAGTCGGTAAGAAGATAGAAATACCGTCTTTGAGAGCCTATTCGACAATTCGAGGTTGACTGGTGATCTCACCGCTAGATAGGTGGATGTAGAGAGCTTTGGGGCTTTGTTTGCTGGCAAACTGCAATCATTCCGGTGGATGAAGGCAGCCGTTTTGTTCAGGAACGCCAGCCTATCAAAGAATCACCGCTGAACCGCTGTAATAGCGATATAGTGACATAGCAGGGCAAACAATCCCATCCATCCTGTAATTCATGAATCATAATTAGACCGCCACCTACCACATGCCGCCTGGCTCAGGGGCAATGAAATTTGATGCCGACCACGGCAGTCGACGGATTTGGTTGGCAGTGGCACGGTTGATGAATCGGCTTTTGGACCCTTCCAAGTACCGACACAGCCTCCATCTCGAGCCTCAGGGACTTGCTTCGACCGCGGAGATGCACAGTCGAATACGCAGATATCGCCTGGCGACAGCAGCGCAGCTACCCGCTGCGGGTTGAGCAGCTGGCCGGTATTCGCGATAGACGACGACAGATACACATCTGCCGCTCTGGTGTAGCGTCATACGAAGACGGGAGCCAAGCATCCTGGCCCGTACAGTGAGTTGCGGACGTCATAGTAGATAGTAGAACTACCTGGCACTGCTTGGGTAAAACTCGAAGAGAACTCTGCAAAGCACATGTCATGTTGGACATCGGCCTCGGTCTGGCAACTTTATTAGAGTGGCACGAGGTGCACGAATGTCGTCGAGAGTGGAATCAAGCGTGGGCCAGGCACGTGCAGTCTCTGACAAATTGTGGTTGCATACGGTACAGGCAGACAGGATTCCCTAATGGGAGGGTTGCATACTTCCGATCGGTCTGCCCGCGACTCCCGTCCAGTCGAAAAGAATCGGGGGTTGATGCCGACCTTCCGACCGCTTTTCTTGTTAGCACGTACGACGCAACTTCATCACCTGAACCTGAATTGCTTCAAGATGGGACGGTGGCAGTTGACGGTTGTGGATCGGGTCTGGAGCCGCTGGCCCATCGTCCGTCGCTGACCCGTTCCGCGCCGCGCGGTCACCAAACCTGGCTAATAAAAGTAGGGCTGGGGATACGTCGAACGGAGCCGACACCACCTCGCCATTATCATCAACAGGTCGTTCGGTGTCTCGAAGCTGCAATGTCCCGCGGCGGTTGCAGGTGCAGACAGCAGCTGCATGCGTCAAGATACCCTGGCCATTGGGCCACATGGCTGGTCCTTATCTATTACCTTATCGTCTTCGGCTGTGCGTGAGGCTTGAGGTGTGATAAAAGTTATTAGAGACGCATTGCTGGTCACGGGTGCCTTCACCGAGGCTGAAAACAGGAAAAATACCTAGGTGGGCTGGACATGTGGTCTGCATGGGAAGGATGCTCATTGCTGATGCCTCTCTCGGTTGGTGGACTACCACGATTCGCCAGTGCCGAGCAACTCGAGGATGCTCGAGGCGGTTTCAACAATGAAGCCTCTGGCCTATCTTCTATCAATAGAACAGGCGACACCGACAAATTTGAAGCGGGAGCGACCTGAACACTCGCGTTCGAGAAGAACTGGGAGTCCTTCCACTGCCCCGCATGTCGACATTCCATGATCCATCCCTCGATCCTGCTGCAGGCGAGCTATCCAGAACAGGAAGGTTGCACTGCATATCATGAAGTTTCCCTGCCTGGACCCTGAACGCCAATTGGCCAATTGCAGAGCCCAACAGGGCGGCCCCGGGTGGGGCGATGAGAACATCCGACCCCGCAACCAATGGCCACCGGCACCAGCCACTCGCCGCCCGAGTCGCCCCTCTACCCAGGCCCACCGGGAGACCCTGTAAATGGCAGCCTAAGGTTGACTATTGGCGGCTCTCCTGTCGGCTTCCCCTGCTGGAAGTCTTGCCATGGATTGAATAATTTCAATCTCTCTCAAATATATATGTCTTGACTGGGTGTCGTTTCACTGAATGCTTTGAGGTGTTACGTGAGCAAGAGATGGCATAGTCCTTGTGGCAGATGCGCAACGAAGAATAGGAGGTCGCGTGGTACGTGCTGACCGTACATCTGGATTTTGCGACTTCGACGGGCACGGCCGACCACCCTGCCGATCACTGGGGAATTCACCCAGTCTGTCTGGACGTCCGCCTGTACTGTACGCAGCAGTGATCAGCAGGGCTGCAGGATACGACGCCCTGTCGACTCGTGCTAAGGCTGTAAGGTTTGCGAGGATACGCAAACTCTCCACCGAAAAGGCAGTGAGAATACTCGCCTTCGGTCACTGATAAGGTGGCCACCGGCCTTCCTCTGCCTGATGACCACCTGCATGAGAGATGTAGGTACAATGTGTAGACAGTAGTATTTACAACTCACCGCACTTCTGCCGTGTCTCACGTGGCCGCGCCCCGTCCCAAGTCCTGAAGCCTTAAAATGAGTGAGCAATTGAATGTGGATCGCAACTGCAGGTGCAGGTGCAGGTGCAGGTGGGCAAACAACCTGGCAGTTGCAGTTCCGCCGCCGAACATTGAACCATACAAAACCGCGCACCGTCCCGATCGGCTCTCCCACTTCCTCCCCCGACCCTCTTCCCTCTACAACTCTGATCGTCGGCCGATTGACAACCCTTTGTGCGCCAACGAAGGAACACCCGTCTGCAGTGTGGTGCAGAAGCAATCACCCTAACAATACTTCCTTACCGGCGCCATCGCGTGCGTAGTATAATGTTATCGAGGCACTCGTGTTCTCAGACGTCTTACACCACCTCCGAAATTCCGCTCTCCCAGCGGAGTTCGCTCTCGTGCTCGCAATATGGCGGAAGTACTACCGGATAAGAAGCTCGACGGCGGCTCGAGCGAGAAGAACGGCTCCTCCAATAGTGACCTCGAAGACACCTTCGTCGGCGCCCCCAACCACCAGCTGCACCGCCACCTGGGCAACCGACAGATTCAGCTAATCGCCGTCGGCGGCAGCATCGGTACCGCCCTCTTCGTGAGCATCGGCGGCGGGCTCGCCAAGGGCGGCCCGGCCAGCCTGCTGATCGGCTACACCATCTACTCTGTCATGGTCGCCATGGTCAACAACTGCATGGCCGAGATGGTCACCTACATGCCCGTCAGCGGCAGCTTCATCCGCATGGCCGGCAAGTGGGTTGACGAGTCGCTGGGCTTCCTCGCCGGCTGGAACTTCTTCCTCTACGAGGCCTGCCTGATCCCCTTTGAGATCTCGGCCCTCAATCTGATCCTGACCTTCTGGACCGACAAGATTCCAGTCCCTGCAGTCGTTGTTATTTGCATCATCCTCTATGGGTATGTCTCGGCACGCCAGCGTTCTTCCCTGCTGCTACTGGGCAACCACTAATGATGCGGCAGGCTAATCAACATTGCTGCTGTCAAGTATTATGGGTAAGATACCCTATACCGAAGGCCTGGATGTCGCGCACATGCCACATGCCCCCAATAATTGTTGATTATATGTGCTAATCGTATCGTGCGTACTAGTGAGGCTGAATTCTGGCTATCAATTGGCAAGGTGGTACTCATCTGTATCCTGTTCATGTTCACCTTGGTCACAATGTCAGGAGGCAATCCACAGCATGACGCCTATGGATTCCGATACTGGCAAACCCCGGGCGCGTTCGCTGAACATATCCACAAAGGTGCGCTTGGTCGGTTCGAAGGTCTCCTAGGTGCTATCTTCTCGGCTGGTTTCACCGTCGTCGGACCCGAGTACCTCGCCATGGTCGCTGGAGAGGCCGAGCGCCCCCGAACCTACCTTAAGAACGGCTTTAAGACTGTGTACTGGCGATTTGCTGTCTTCTTCATCGGAGGTGCACTCTGCGTCGGCATTATCCTACCGTACAACGACCCCAAACTCGGCAACGACTCCGGCACGGCTGACGGCTCCCCTTATGTCATTGCCATGTCGAACATGGGAATCGCGGTGCTGCCACACATCGTCAACGCGCTACTGCTCACGAGTATCTTCAGCGCTGGCAACGCGTACACCTACTGTGCGATGCGATCCCTCCACGGTCTTGCGCTTGACGGACAAGCCCCGGCAATCTTCGGCAAGACGATGAAGAACGGCATCCCGATCTACGCGTTCGCGCTGACCATGATCTTCCCGTTCCTGGCCTTCCTGCAGGTGTCCAACAACACGGCCGTCGTGGTCACGTGGCTCGCCACCCTGACGCAGGGCGCGCAGATGATCAACTACATCGTCATGTGCCTAACGTACATCTTCTTCTACAACGCGTGCAAGGCGCAGGGCCTCGACCGCAAGACGCTTCCCTACTTCGGCTACCTGCAGCCGTACTGCGCCTACATTGCGCTGGCGTGGATGGTCATCATTGAGGCCACGTTCGGCTACACCGTCTTCACGCCCGGCAACTTCGACGTCGGCACCTTCTTCTCGTACTACACCATGGCCCTCATCGCCTTCTGCACGTACTTTGGCTGGAAGACCATCAATCGCACGCGCTTCGTGCGGCCCCGCGACGCCGACCTCGTGTGGGAGAAGCCGCAGATCGACGCGTATGAGGCTGCCTTCACGGAGCAGCCGAGCCGGTTCCGCGACGATATGCGCGCTATGATGACGGGGAAGATTATGCGCAAGGAGAACCATATCGGCGTGGACCCGAATTAGGAGTCGGTTTAGTCTGGGTCGGTGTTGGTGATTTGGCACAATCTTGCTCGGGACGGTTGCGGCGATCACCCGTGCTTGCATGTCACACACGCCGAGGATATCTGCATGGCCGAGGTGGCGTCCCGCGATCTGTGTGATGTTCAGAGATACCATCATGCTATGTATGTAGCTGCGGCTCCCGACGATTTCGGTATAGACTGCGAGGATGAGCTGCGATATTACTGGCGCTACGAACAGAAATGTGCTGCCGAAATGTTTGCCAGGGTTTGTCAGTATGTGATATTAGGCATGACTTACGTTTCTTTCCATCCTAGGCCCTCGCCTCTAAGTCAAGGCTGGCATTGCTTCCCGGGTCATAAGCCTTGTACCCAATTTCGTTTTCTGCGAAAGGATTTGTTTGGGAAAGATCATGCCGCGGGTGGGTCAACATCTCCGATTGCCAGATGACAATGTGTGCGTGATACAGGAACATTCACTACATACACGCTGCCACCGATCGTAACCCGTCCACCCTTTCGTTCGTAGTTTTATTTTTCCGACTGAATCTGAGGGACTCCGACGATCTGGGTCCGCTCTACTCAATTCTACTACTGGACTCCTAAACCACGTAGGACAAGGAGTAAGGTTTTTGCCCCATGATTCTCTTGGTCTGCTATACAACGATCAAGTATGCCATGGGAGTGGCTTTGAAGCGAGCAAGGCCACATATTCAGCGCCATCAGCCTATTCCAGTAGGACTATGCGTATATATATACATTGACTTCACGTTCTGCGTGTATTAGATATGCCTCGTATTAATGTCAATCTGACTTCAGCCGTTGCATGTGGAGCCCGGCTTCAACGCAGCCAAATAGCTGCCGGCGGTCATTGAGATTGCGCAAAACGCGAGGGTGATTGGAAGTTGACCTCATACCATAGATCATGTTGGAAGACCACCATGGATTCAATTAGCTTCTCTAACTCGCTTATATAGTTGCGTGAAAAATCGTGTCTCCTAACATTGCTAATAGATCCATCTACTACAGTCAGGGACTTGTGCCTTGTTTGAGACTATCCAGTCACTCAACAAGCAATCCTGCACATGCTCTTCGTCGATATAAAGTTAGTCTACGTGTTTGTTTGCATCGCGCGCTTCGTTTCATCAGCTGGGCCATATGTTTAGACACGCATCTGTTCAAAAGACATATATAGCTGACCCTGCTCACCGGCCCAACATAGTGAACATTTCAATATTATACGCGTATTTTGGGCGACATGCAATTTATAGTTCATCGACATTATCTCAACACTGGGGTTGTTGAGGTCTAGCATTGAAGCGGACGCATAGCATCAGCCCCTCACCCAGTATTGAAGATGCCCCTAGGTTCGCTTCGAGGCGCCCCAAATATATATACAATGACAGGGCTTCCACGCCATATTCAACTGAATGGTTCTTTCTAATGAGAGCGCTCCCGATTAATCTTGTTGGCTGAGTGGGCGTTCACCTGGCGAAGTTTGTTGTTTGTTTTGTATTTAACGTGGGGGGTAGCTCCTCAGTAGTGCAAACCACGCCTCCCAGAGCCTCTGTATCGCAGGTTTTTCACCTGGCGAAGGACGCCTAGCCGTAGTAAATTAAGTGATACAGCGTGACCACCTTGCGGACATCGACAATTGTTGCCTAGCGAATGCTTCCCAGCATCTGGGCTCTGGGCACTCTTCGACGTTCGACAAAATCATTTGGAGCTTCGCATCACGCGTCTTGTTTGCAGCCGCTGGTGCCTCAGGCAGATCACAACACTGATCGATTGGCAGACCGTTTGAGGTGCCCAGCACCTTACCCAAGATATTTTTTTGACTTTGGTTTACTTCTGCGACTCCGTCACCCGCCGGAGTAGTTAAAGTGCCTCTGAGACACGACCAAAACACCCTCGAAGGACTACTCGATTGTATGGCCTTGTCCATTGCTTAGTCCAGCCCAAGCCAAACCTGATGGGTAGCCATTCTACCCACGGTAACCGTTAATTGCCCAGTTCAGTCTGCTTTTCGTTCAATTCACTCGAAATGGTCCACATGGAACGCTGACAAGGCTCAGTTGAACCGATTTGGGGTTGGAGAACACGCCTCGGAGGCTCGGCCGCCATGGCCGCAACAGATCAATGGCAGATGCTTCATTTCTTCCTAAGGGTGTCGCCTGATGACCTGGGGGAAATTTCCGAGGTCGTAAAGCTCGTCAAACAGAAGCGGACGAAAGAGATTGCAGCTTCGAAGAATGCTGCTCCCAGCCCAGGACAGGCTCCGCAGAAAAACAGACTCGCCGGCACCCGCGCGGGCATTATCCAATGCCTTTCAGAAGAATGAACACGCCAGAATACAGTCGAACATGTCACTCCCGACAATAAGATCCGGCTAGATAAACGGGATGATGCTACCCGGAAGAAAACTATGGTAGATATAACCAAGGACGTACCCGGAAACATATCTAATGATAAAATTAGCCTTTTAACAAACAATTAACGAACGACATGATTGCTAACACAACCTTTAACATACCCTCAAACACATCCTCAAACATGCCCTCCGGTATATCCTCAAACATACCCTCAAAGATGTCTTCTGGTATATCTTCCAGCATACCCTTAAACATCCCCTTGAATATCCCCTCCAACATACACTCCGACATACCTTCCGACGTACCCCACCGACAGCCAGACATCACAAGCCGAGTTTACAACAAACAGCTGACGTCTGCGCAAATCGATAAGGTATACTTGGCCTTACAGCTGGAGAAATGGGCAAGATCTGACCAGGCCTACCGTATTTCAGCGGGCTGCACCCTCGAAAGCAGCATTCTCCGCGAAGAATTTGTATTCGAGGTCGAGAGAAGGTTTCTGGTCATCTTCCAGACGATTTTTACTGGAGAGGTTCGAGCCATCTATGGGCAGCCCCCTGGGACCCTGGACTTCGACGAACTTCGCAAAGCCATAGAAAGGATCGGGTTCGCCAGTTGGCCAACGCACAAGGGCTCCAAATACAAGTTTCGACCTGTGGACGGCTTGATCAACAGAGAAGTCGCTGCCAAGACCATCTTCATCGATAAGTGGCACAAGGGGCCGGCGCCATGGATCATCGCCCAGAAATGGGGCCATACTATCACGGTCCAATATGGGATCCGCGGTGCGGATTTTCGACTAAAGGCTGTTCTCTGAATTCGCCATCCTTTCTTTGTAATTTCGGACGAGACTACCAACCACCAACTCACGAGTCACGACACCAAGAATGTGTAGGACTCACAGCCCCAACGCCGAATCTTCATGACCGGCACCAGCGACGCCAATTTAGTCGCCTTCGACGCCGCCCCGTGCGTGGCGACCTGCACATGCTCGATGTTCTGCAAGGGGAGAGCGCGCCGGCGGACGTGGTGGTGCATCTGGCTCATGCTTGGTCGGATGGTAGCATGCACCACCGGTCTGTTGTCTCTACGATTTTGGGGTAGTTCAAAATGGCTGGGATCCACACCAGAAGAAGGGTATCCCAAACTGGCTTTCCCTTCCTTCTAGAGCTTCTTCACCACCCCGTAGCTAGACCACTGCAATTTCACGATTCATGCATCATTACACCCCATTCCGTGTACGTGACAGTTTCGGATGCATTGGACTGTGACGGTGTGGGTAATCACCGAGGTACCTATGTAGGTCAACTGCGGTAGTTTAACCTGAGAGCCACGAGATTGGAGTGTTGAGCTTGTGTCTTAAATTGGGGGTACGCGTCACACTGATGTGCAACAACCCGATGATCTGAGAGATGATCTGCCGTAGTAGGAATTGTGCTTGTCCCAGTTCATAGGATTGCTAATCGGATCGGTGCTGTTCTCCACAGAGATACTATTTATAACGTCTGAGGCACACACAGCCTCACAAAAACAACTATTTTCCTTGGCGCCCCGCTGTTAGGGTGCAACCTTGATATTTGCACCAAAGCAGGCACTTCTCTTAGTAACTGACTATCTCTGCCAAGGTATAAGAGAATTTTCTCACAAGCCGGATGGCACCCTTCCATGACGGGCCCCCAAACACGCCCGTGGCCGTCCCAAAAACGACCACTGGCGGCGTGCTTAAATCCCCGGCCCCTAGAAAAACATACAACCCGGCAACTCTGAGCAGGCTCTGCCAGGCGCTGCTTGACAACATTAGCAACAGCCCGTCACAAGTCTCTGAGGCTGACTTCACTATTATTTCCCCTCTAAAAGGAAAATTCCAAAATATTAATGACGGCAATACCACTGGAATGAAACGACTTTAATTAAATAAAATCTCGACAGATCAAGCCATTATATGCGATATAAGGAATAAAGCTTTCTCCTCAGAGTGCCAGGACCAAGTTGCCAGAATACTGACTAAAGATAAACACCTTTATAAAGCCAAGATAACAATATTTCAAGAGTTTGCTGTAATAATTGATAAGATACTTAAGAAAGCTGGAACCAAACTATACTCTCATGTCAAGGAGTTCAGCGCTTTTTTCTCTAAATGTCTGAGCGAGTGGCTGGAAACCCGAGATCCGCCCAAAAGGAAGACCATTCCTGGGGGGATAGGGATGGTAAAGCCCACCATGACCTTTGCCCAAGCTGTCTCCTCTAGCCAACAACAACATCCACGGACAGTCAACACTATCATAAAAAAAACACAGCCTGGCGCCCGTATCACTACCAACCAACTGAAGAAGAAACAGGATAATCTCCAGGTCTTTGTCCGCATAGATAATAGCCACCTAGAGCCTTACGGAATAAAATCTATACTGAACAAAAGACTTAAGCTCTACCCTTAAGAGCTTAGAGAAATGACCCGGTGCCCTTCTGGATTTACCTTATACCCAAGAGACAAGCCAATTCAGGCTAAGCTCCTGGCCTTCTAAGAAGAAATTACTGATATTCTCAAGGCAGAAAAGATCGAAACCCACACAGTCTGGCATCACTATAAGGTTGATGGATGCCCAAGAAAGGTCATCAGTGCGGAAGGATTGATAATCAATATTACCGACATTGCTATTACTAATGAAATTAAAGCCCAAACAAGTGACAGACCTTTAAGGTGCATATTCTCAAGGAACACAGTTAATTCTGATCTAGAGACCACATGGGTGATCTCTCTGCCCCGTGCAGTAAAGAAACCATTCACGCTTTTTGCTCACTTAATGACCTCAAGGCACATTCAATACTCCCCCAAGGTTCACCAATGTGCGAGCTGCTTCAGATACCATGGTAAGAACTACTGATGTCAAAAGCAAGTATGTGTACTTTGCGCCAATACAGTACACCAGGGGGAGTGCGAAAAACCAATCCCAAAGTGTGTCAATTACAAAGGACCTCATGCTGCCAACTTCGATAAATGCCCTGCACGCCCCAAGGTTGTGAAAGGTATCATCCACAAGCACACATAGGAACAAATCCAGGAAATAAGGCTGGCTAAAGAAAGAGCCAGATCCAAGGCCTTTAATGAAACAGGCAGAAACCAAGCTAGGTCAACACCCAGTAACAATAACAAAAACATCACAATACAAATCAACACAACAGATACAACTCATCCCAGAGATGCCGATACCATTGTTGTCAGTCAATATTAGGTATATCAAACGAAACATATCGATACGGGCATCTAATCATCCATTTTGTGAATATAGCAGGAGGACAAAAGAGTGCAGGCCCTACAGAGTTAGCCATTAACCTGACTAACTACAAAGGAGAACAAGCAGACATCATTCTGATGCAAGAGCCCTGGGTTGGCATACCACCAGACAGAAAAATGGGAATAAAGACACACCCTAATTACGATATATACTCCCCAATGGATTCCTGGGATAGCGACAGTACACGACCCAGATCTCTCACCTATGTAAAAAAACACCTTTAAATGGATCAATTTTAGCCTTATGCTATATGAGATATCACCTAGGTTAAGGTACAAGGTATTATATTTGCCAGTATTTACTGGCCATGTGACAACCCACAGGAAGTGGATGACATTCTGGAAGTATGGACTCCACCTTTTGGCTGTGTTATAGCTGGAGATTTTAATGCTAGCGATACATCCTGGGACTCGAACAATCCAGGATATCACGGTGGTGTTATACTTGTACAGATTATGACAGACCACGGACTGGATCTGATTTCTGAACCAGATGTCCCAACACATGATGACAGAAATGTACTAGATCTGGTGTTCTCAGATGTCCCTATGACTGAAGCCTCAGTCAATGATGCACTTCAGTACACCTCAGATCATGAGACATTACGAATAGTCATTCCAATTCAGGGAGATCTGAACCGAATCCCCAAGGCCAATCATTGGATAGTACCGGACAATAAATTATAAGAGCTGGCGGATAATGTCCAAACCAGGATTCATGAGCTCCCCCGGCTGAATGTATCCCCTGGCCAAGTGGATGCCTTTATACAGAGCTTGATCAACATGATCCAAGGCTGTATCAGGACAGTGGGCAAAAAGCCCCGATAATCTAGGCCTACTGCTTAGTGGAATGATAACTGCAAAGCAGCTGTTCAGACATATAAGGCCCTTTCCGGCCGTATGGCGCAATGGTCAAATGCGCCTGGTTATGTTCTCGTTTGTGCGGTGAGCGACGAGAGCAAGTGGGTTCGAATCCTGCTATGGCCCCCTTCTGACCCGGCTTGTGCGAGTTGATAATCAGCACACGACAGTGGAGAGGCCCCTTATCGCAGAGCCTGATAGCCAAACAGCTTGTCTCTATAACACCCATTCCTGCGAGGTTTTCCCCCTTACGGTTTCCCTCGCCAGCAGATAACAAATACCTATTTCACCCACTAATGCGACATATATCGAACGGCTACTGGAATGATGTGTATACCAGAGGACTGAGGTTCACTGGGTCGCTTTGTCACTGGACAGGAGGTTTTTCTGACAGAATCGTGCTTGGGTATTGACTAAAACCATCTGAACACTCCAGGTTGGTACCGCTACAGCGAGGATAGGCTCGTACCGCTACAGCGAGGATAGGCTCGTACCGCTACAGCGAGGATAGGCTCGTGCGCGGATCTGAATGTATCTAGACTGACACCTCTATAACCTTGCGATGCAATGGCCCTGGGAGGCGTGGTTTGCACTACTGAGGAGCTACCCCCCACGTTAAATACAAAACAAACAAACAAACAGGTACTTGAGCACTGTTAGAACACAGAGCGCCCAACAGGCATATGCAGACCTCTTACTTAACGCGCTATGGTATCTGATTAGACTTGTGTTCGCCTTCGGAACTATTCGAGATCTGCCGCCAAGCAAGTCTTTATAGAAACTGTGTGGGAGGTGTGGGTTGGAGGAGCCCTTCCTATATGCTTGACCACTACATACAAAACAGTAGCATTACGGGGTGTCTAAGTCTTTGTAATTATTAATCGCGACGTCGACGGCGACGACGACGATTAGGCGTAACGACGACGTTCAACCCCGACGACGACGTTCAATCCAACGACGACGTTCAGTCGCAACAACGACGTTCATGCCAGCACGACGACGTTGAACCGCGACGTTCAAGGTAAGGCGATGGTCTGGTTGGTGGTAGCCGTCGATGAGCGGGCATGGGCTGAGTTGGGAGGAGTGTTCATATTAAAATATTTTCTACAGTGCACGCTATTAGAGGATTCCAACTGCCAACTGCCACAACCTTGTTGCGCTCGCCAAGAAAGTCGCCAACGAGGCTCACCAGCTCTACCTTCGTCAATCTGCCGAACACCTCCGCTCGAAATGAGCCAACAACCAGCTGCAAACCGTGCCCGAGCATCGCAGAGAGCAAGCCGAAGCCGCCCTTGCAGAGGCATTATTCGCGGAGGCATTACTCGCGGAGCAGGCAAGGCTCGCGGAAGCACAGATTCAATAATAACAGCAAGGTAAGATCTATTCCTTCATATGATAGACCTTTATCTAAGTTGCGGTTTAGGTAATAACTAATTTGGTAGTTGTAACGTATCGGTTCATTTTGATCAAGTTGTTCAACCTCGTAGAAGAGCTAGTCCAAATTTCTCGAAACGCAGTAAGAGACGTCGTCTCATCTTCAACCAGATCGATTTCAAGTGGTATACGATAGCGTTAAGCACCTACGCCTTTGTGCTCGTCGGAGCTTGTTATTAAACATAGTCACTGGCGTGATGTTTAGTTGCTGGAATGGAGTTAAAATGTCGTTTGACTTGATAGGCCATCTAGGCCCTGGGTGAAATGTCAAAGTGACGGAGCAAGGGTAGGAAGACGGGTCCGCATTTGATGGCTTAGGAGGAAGCGCTGTACGCACAGTAAGGCGTGGTGGTTCGTAAGTGGGACTCATAAACCATACATGAACCCCCCTTGTCTTTGAGGGTAAAAGCCAGGGCAACTCTTATCTCCCTAATGCCTGTGATTCCAACCAGCGTCCCAGACCTTCGTAGAGGAAGGGCTATGGTCTATAGGTCAAGGTTCCTGGGATGCAACAAAGATGCCGGTCCTGGGCCCAGGCAAAAGTAGTTTTTACCGCAAAGATAAAAGTAGATCTACTGGGTTGGTCGAAAGAAAGGAAACCAGAGTTATTAAGAAGGGCACAGGGGGAAGCAAGATATAGACGAACAGATTTGATATTGTAGGACGTAAACGTAAATGAATGTCATCTAGTCATAGCTAGTACGATACAGCAATCCCCCTTCTATCTAGTGTACATGGAAGCAATGTTGATATGATACACGCCAAGTCTTTTCCCCAAACAACTCCAAGTGATGGACGACCCCATGGAACGCGGGTCGGTCGCGGCAGTCACAGTTGATGTGGACGCCCTCGACACTAACGCTGTCAAACTTCCCGAATCCTCCACTACGTTGAAGAACCATTTATACCAGTGCTGTCTCGAACGGTCCCCGCTGAGACCGTTTCTTCTCAGTCTCGTCATCAGCCACGTAACCGTCGTTGTCCGGGTCTTCATGGGCAGGCTTCGCAGATGCCTTTTTAACTTTTTGCGTATTTTTGTATGCGCTGTTGTGGTTTTTCATCTCTTTTGGGTTCAAGCCGTCGTTATCTGTATCCGATTCGGGATCTGACGCATAGAACGTGTACAATCCCACCAGGAACTCCACTTGGTGGGGTTTGGTTCCTGTTTTCGACATGACTGCTACTTCCTTTGCCGCCTTCTTGAGCTTTTTCATGTTGACGTTATCCTCGGGTCTTCCGCCGTCATGGGGTATCAAGTTGATGAACCCCGGTCCGCCATCGCCATTCTGCTCCTCCGGTATCGGATCCAATTTTATTTCGGTCGCCTCCGAGATTCTGTGACGGCCTTCTTCGAGGCCTGGTGTGCCGACACGGCGAGCGTCCGCCTCGGTCGTTCTCATGTAGTACGCGAGTGACCAGAGCTTCTTCCCAGCTTTCTTGGTCGCTGCCCACATAGGCTTGTAGTGTTCGAACTCGATGAACCTGTATATAGTCTGGACGTGGATGCCAGCGGCTGTCAGAAGAGAGAAAGCCTCGGTGTTGGTCAGGCGGGCCTCAATGTCGCGCGTGCCTGCCCTGGCGACGTTGGTGCGGGCTTCCATGTCGTGTACACCAGCCGCGGCCAAGTCCATATGGGCTTTGACAGTTTGCGTGTTAGGGTCCGTTAAGGGTTTGCAAAGAACCCAAGAGATGTTGGCGGTCAACGCCAGGCAGAGTAGTAGACGCATGATGTGGGGAAGATGTAAGGAAGATGTATTGAAGAGGTGGATGTAACAATTTAATAGTGAGAGTGTGTAGGACGTTGTTGAACCGTTACCTTGAATCCTCAAAGAAACAGCCTCGAGTGGCGCCCGGCAGGTTATACTTATATATCACTGGACTTATGTACTAATGGCGATCATGACACAAGTAGGTACCAAGAATAGTGACGGAGAGCGCTCCACTACACTGACGTCGGCACATAAATCGCCACTTCTTTCGGTGGCCAATTCTTGCTATCCTTCCGTTTCTGTTCGTGCGGAGAAAGTGGATTGATTGTGGAGTGGTGGAGTATACGCCCACGACATCTATCCAGCCGAAGATCGTGGAGCAAAAGCTTCGCGCGCGATGGAAGGGGGCACAACGCCGTGCTGGAGGGCAGTTCGATCGAATGGACCTTGTCACATACAGGGACGCAATATCTCTTATTGCAAGCCCTCTCAGAACTAGGTAGAGTATGTGATTTGGTCTCAGAATGATGACTGAAGTAAGTTCACCCGAAAGAAAAGGAGCTTATGGCCTCGAACACACGACCAGTTGAATTGTCTAATCATGAATACTCCCTCCGACGGCACGTCATGGTCGAGCTCAGTGTATACACTGTGCAAGCGTTACTTAATCCTCCAGCACAAGGGTGTATTTGAAGCTCATGTGACTGAGTAATGATGTGTCAAGGTCAGGTTGAAGGTTGGAGACCTTAGAGGTGTTGCCACTCCAACCTGCTGCATCAAGGTCTCAATCTTTTCTCCCCTTCTAGGAAGGTGGTCACGCGTGAGGCATATTCGACAAAATTATTTTGGGAGCCACGTTGATCTTACGTTTACTTAGTTCAATGACTCGAGGCCTCACGACTCTGAAAGACGTCTGAAGAGAAGCCTCGTGACACGGAAGCACGTCTGAGGCAAAGGGACGAATGGTGTCGCCCAGTCCTTGGCTTGTTCCCACCCATTCCTTCGCAGAAAGGGGTGGCAAGTGCAAATTCTCCCTCTCCACGGGCCACGGCCTCCCCGGTGTGGGCGTGGCCCGCTTGCTGTCACCTGCACCCCAGTTACATCGGTGGGCCTACCAACACTGGGATGTCGTGCAGGCGGCAGGAATGTCGTCTCTGCTGTGCCATTGGACCGTACGCTCGCCACGTGGAGTGTAGGATCGGGGGTTGCGGGGCGGCCCTTGCATTTCCTGGGGATGGCAGTTGGAGAAAAGCGGACGCCGGTGTCGCTGATGGCAACGACTACTGGAGGATTGTCGTCCAAGACGGCTTCGAGCAGCCAAGCGGGCTTGGGGAAAAAGCTTCCATAGCCCAATTAGCCGCCCTGCCGCCAATGTTTACTCGTCCATTTCTCGCCAATAACATCAGTAATGTCTATTTTTCTTTATATCAATCAATTCAGTAGTGCCAGCGCTTTCTTCCAGTATTGTTGAATTTATTTACTTCCCATCGCAATCGTAGGTGATGATTTCTATTACCATACCTTACGGCGGGCTATGGAAGGCTTATTCCCGAGCCCGCCTGGCGGGCATTGGTCAATCGCGAAGGCGCAGTGCGTCCACTTCCAGGATCTGGATCACTATACATAGTACCATGACAACCTTATAATGCGTCACGTCACGTCACGATAATCGAAACGACACCCCTGAAGCAGCCGAGTTTTTACATAAGAAGATCCGGATTAGGGTCCGTTGATCCACCCATTTGGGAAGCTCGCCTTATGAAACAGGTCTAGAAGCTTTGGGGAACCGATGTCAAATCTATTTTCGGCTTCGCAGGGGGTCTAATACCGGATCCCGTCCCAGGCCCAGGCCCGACATGTTGCATTACGCCTGCTAAGCGCTTCTCACCCCGGGTTTGGACCATATCCCACCAGACCAGCTTCTTGAATCAGGTCCCAAACAGTCGTTTCGGGCTTTGTACTCATTACCCACGCAGGCAGAGGCATTCAATCACATCTATGCAGGCAGACTGATTGGACAGACATGAGTTTCCGGGCCCATTTGATTCTCAAATGGACGGATTAGCGGTAGTAAGTGTGTCCTTACACAAAAGTGGACTTGAGAGTGTAATGCAAACTCGTATTCCATTACAATCCTGCTATTTTTGGTCATCTAGGGACAAATGACTGCCTAAAGCAGCCTAACTCTGAAATAAGCTGCCCCAATCCTCACCGCAGTAGCTGGCGAGTCAACTTTTGCTTACTGCTTAGCCAGCCCATCCACAATGGCCTGAACTTCAGCCTCGTCCATCCCCTTGAGCCCCAGCAAGTCGTTGTCCAGCTTCTGGAATTGCGAGCCGTAACCCTCGCCGAAGACGGCCGCGATGAGGAAGTTGCGGGAGGAGATGATCGGATCCGGCTTGTCCTTCTTTAGCTCCGCGAAACCTTGGTCGAGGAGGTCCTGGATGGATACCTGCTGTTCTTTCCAGCCCGCCGGTCCGGTGGCCTTCTTGCACATTTCGACCAGCGTCTTCTGGAAGATTGCAATGCCCTGGACATAGGCGGCCCGGTTCTTGGTCTGTTCAAGGTTCTTGAGCACACCAGAGACAGCCTTGCCGATGTTTGCGACGGTCGTGGCAGAGAAGAGGTTGTTTCCCCCGTCGTAAAGTTGGGCACTCTTGGCTTTCATGTCAACCAAGAAGCCACTGCTGATTCCCCAGTCAAGGAACGGCCCCGTGCAGATGATCGTGTAGGTGATACTCCCAGTGGCTGCTGCCTGCTCGAAGGCGCCCTGTGCCTTGACTTTCTTCTGGTAGAATGGAAGGCTGCCCGCCTTTGCGTTGCGGGTGTCGGAGCCATACTCAGAAGGGATGATGCGCTTGACTGCAGCATTTTGTGTCAGAATTTACCTTACAAGAAGAGAAGGCACTCGCTCTTTCAGTGTAGAAAGAGGGTATAAACCGAGTCAAGGAGTTGCTTACCCTTGGCATTGACCGCCGCCTCGAGCAGGATCGACTGTAGTCCGGCGAGACCTGGGCCGTGGCCCAGGGCGGACACCACTGCGTCCTGGCCGGTAAGAGCCTCGGTGACGGACGCAAGAGAGTCGTAGTCCACGATCTTCACAGCGACAGTCTCAGGAAAGTCGTGCTTGGTCGATCCCCGAGTCAGGGCGGTGACTTCGAAGCCAGCTAGAACCAGCTGTTCGACGAGCACGGGTCCAATTCTCCCGGTAGCCTGCGTCATGTCAGCACCCAGGGGCGTTCATACGTGGCGGTACAATCTGCTCGGTTACTTACGCCCGCCACTGCGATTTGTTGATTGCACTCATGTGAGGGAGAGGTAGCAGGTATAGTTCTGGTTGCTTGGGAAAAGGATCTGTTGGTTGCGATTGACTTTGGGAGGACGCTTGGATGACCCTTCAGAAGAAATGAAGAGGGTTGAGATGATTATATATCCGTTGACATGTACCGAGATGACAGATGGACGGGCTTTGCATGCTGTTGGATTCTGGGCTACGTTAGCCCATCCATAGTCATCCTTCAGGATCACCATCCCCATCTGTAACTCTGTCACAAACGTGGCCATATAAGGCCACGTATCCTTTCTTTTAGTATCTTGGATATATAGAACCACTCTGGCCGCTCCAGAGTAGCTGGAATTCCTCTCCTTAATAGAACACTTTGAAATCTCACACATGCAACCCATATCATCCATATCATTACAAACATATCTCGAGCAATGTGGAAGTGTGCGATGTTCCCACATCGACTATTCTCGATGATGATCAGCGGTGTCTGAAGCAGCGCACTGAGCACAGTAAATAACTATTTTGTGTCCCTTACCTTCGATGCGTATCAGAAACTTCATCATTGCCCGACAGGACACTCAAACATTGTACTAGGTGCCCTTCCAGTGAGTTTAAATGTTTCACGCTGTATTGGTACTTGCTGGCGATGGCACTGCCATCATCTCGTCTCCCGCTTGATTGATTGGTGATTGATTGATTGTATTTAACGTGGGGGGTAGCTCCTCAGTAGTGCAAACCACGCCTCCCAGAGCCTCTGCATCGCAGGGTTGTGGAGGTATCAAGATAATAAGTACAGTCAGTCCCGCTCACGGGCCCATCCCCGTTGTTGTGGCGGTATAACCTTTGGATCATCCATCTGGTCCTTGAAGAAAAGCTATCTATTGGGGGCAGATTATTGAAAAGAATTTGCTCTTCTCTACGAATTTTGTCTATTTTGTGCTCCTCTCCCCTAAGTATTGTAAATAAACTGTCCTAAACAAGTACCTAAACAGTAGCCAGTTTTTCCCTAGCCTCTTACAAAAAAAAATGTGTTGTGGTGTTTTCTCTTTACCACAGCTGCAGTGATTATTCAAGTCTGTAGGCCCAAAGCGTTCATGATATCTGGCAAAATCGCTATGTCCAGATCTGGCCATTAAAAGTCTATATAAAGTACTCCTCTTAAAAGATATGAGGTCTCTTTTAGTTACTATATATAAGTATATTTCTTAATATTTAGGTTCTAATTGGTCTTTTTATCATTAATTGAACTCTTTCTTGCCCTTTTTTTTAAGATCTTTCTTGACCCAAGAGATTATAAGAAGGTTTATTGTGTCTGTTTCTAGTATGACACCCTTTTTTGTTAATATATTGGCAGCTTTGTTGCCATTAATATCTCTGTGTCCAGGAATCCACTTGACGGTCACTCCAGGAGTGTGTGTTGTGGCAAGTTCTTGAAATTATGGAAAAATGTTCTGTGATATCTTGGATAGAGTCCCATTGAGTCTATCTACCACTGACGTGTTGTCCAGGCAGACATATAGCCGTTTTCTGTGTCCAATCGCCCTGGCTGCTGCGAGACCTTGGAGAGCGCCATGGACTTCAGCATCTACTACTTCTGCTTGAAGAAGTCTGTTCTTTCCCCGGTATACTTCTTGTGTAGTGCCGCCTTTCCTGATAATATAACCCCATCCAGTGCGGGTTATGCCTTTGTCGTCCAATTATGATCCATCTGAGTAGATGACAAGGTCGGTGTTCACATTTCTCTCCCGTAGCCATTGCTTGAAGAGCTCTGTTTCTTTTCTTTGTCTTTGCGGACTGGGGGCTTCTTCTATGATGGCCTGAAGATAGCCCTGATCGCCGTTCATAGTACGGCATCTATTGTTCCAAAAAGCCCCTTAATGCGACATGCTGATGTCCCACCTAAGCTCCTAACTTTCTCGATTCCTGGGTACCAGGCCTCCAGGCCGTGTATAAGAATAGGAATAACACAAGCTTTCACAGTCCTCCTGGTCGACTTTACTGGAAGTCTTTTAACTGTGTTACATACTCCTCAAAGGTGATTTGCTACCTTACTAGCTTCCTTGGCCCAGTGAGAAACATTAAAGAAGTATACCGGGGAAAAGGCAGACTTCTTCAAGCAGAAGTAGTAGATGCTGAAGTCCATAGCGCTCTCCAAGGTCTCGCAGCAGCCAGGGCGATTGGACACAGAAAACGGTTATATGTCTGCCTAGACAACACGTCAGTGGTAGATAGACTCAATGGGACTCTACCCAAGATATCACAGAACATTTTTCCATAATTTCAAGAACTTGCCACAACACACACTCCTGGAGTGACCGTCAAGTGGATTCCTGGACACAGAGATATTAATGGCAACAAAGCTGCCAATATATTAACAAAAAAGGGTGTCATACTAGAAACAGACACAATAAACCTTCTTATAATCTCTTGGGTCAAGAAAGATCTTAAAAAAAAGGGCAAGAAAGAGTTCAATTAATGATAAAAAGACCAATTAGAACCTAAATATTAAGAAATATACTTATATATAGTAACTAAAAGAGACCTCATATCTTTTAAGAGGAGTACTTTATATAGACTTTTAATGGCCAGATCTGGACATGGCGATTTTGCCAGATATCATGAACGCTTTGGGCCTACAGATTTGAATAATCACTACAGCTGTGGTAAGGAGAAAACACCACAACACATTTTTTTTTGTAAAAGGCTAGGGAAAAACTGGCTACTGCTTAGGTACTTGTTTAGGACAGTTTATTTACAATACTTAGGGGAAAGGAGCACAAAATAGACAAAATTCGTAAAGAAGAGCAAATTCTTTTCAATAATCTGCCCCCAATAGATAGCTTTTCTTCAAGGACCAGATGGATGATCCAAAGGTTATACCGCCACAACAACGGGGATGGGCCCGTGAGCGGGACTGACTGTACTTATTATCTTGATACCTCCACAACCCTGCGATGCAGAGGCTCTGGGAGGCGTGGTTTGCACTACTGAGGAGCTACCCCCCACGTTAAATACAATCAATCAATCAATCAATCAATCAAATCAATCAATCAATCAATTCTGGACCACCCCCCTTCTGTCCACTACCAAGAGATCTGCATCCCTCTTCCGAAATCACCCGAAATATGGGCCTCGGCGACCCAGGACGAAAGACGCCGTCTCCAATGGAATGAGCCGGCAGGTCGCGAGAAGGCCCTCTTCTCCTGCCTTATACGCGACGCGATGGACGAGAAGCGAGCCAGCCACCTGCCATACCGCCTAAGCGGTCTCGACTGCCACTTAGGCGTTTGTGCGACGCAGACCCAGGTATGGGAGATGGCCCGCGATGCGCACAGTCCATCATCAGAAGAGCTGGTCTCGCGAATGAATGTCGACAAGGTGCTACATCCGCAAGGCATTAATTCGGGCTTGTGGCACGACATGTTGCGCAGCGACTGCCAGATCCTGAAGCAGTTCGCGTACCCCTCCATCCGAAATATGGGCGACACGTTTTCCACTCTCACCGCCATGATGTGTTACATATCAGGGCTCAAGATACACGCTCCCCTCGACCTCCTGCGCGTTCAAGGCCATGACAACAAGTCTCAGCCGAGCTCGTCGATACCTACGCGAGCATCATTGGCCCACATGGGCTCTTGGATGCGCACCATGTGCCCACGTCTCGCGGTGTGGTTCGCCTCTCAGATCTCGCGCGTCTTCGCGCTGTTTGTTTGTTTGTTTGTTTGTTTGTTTGTTTTGTATTTAACGTGGGGGGTAGCTCCTCAGTAGTGCAAACCACGCCTCCCAGAGCCATTGCATCGCAAGGTTGTAGAGGTGTCAAATTAGATACATTCAGATCCGCGCACGAGCCTATCCTCGCTGTAGCGGTACCAATCTGGAGTGTTCAGATGGTTTTAGTCAATACCTAAGCACGATTCTGTCAGAAAAACCTCCTATCTAGTGACAAAGCGACCCAATGAACCTCAGTTCTCTGGTGTACATATCGTTCCAGTAGCCGTTCGATATATGTCGCATTGGTGGGTAGAATAGGTGTTTGTTATCTGCTGGCAAGGGAAACCACAAGGGGGAAAACCTCGCAGGAGTGGGTATTGTGGAGTCAAGCTGCTTGGCTATCAGGCTCTGCGATAAAATGGGGCCTCTCCACTGTCGTGTGCTGGTTATCGACTCGCACAAGCCGGGTCAGAAAGGGGCCATAGCAGGATTCGAACCCACTTGTTCTCGTCGCCCACCGCACAAACGAGAACACAACCAGGCGCATTTGACCATTGCGCCATACGGCCCGTCTTCGCGCTGGAGGCGGCGGATGCCACGTTGAAATCCAGGCTGGCGTTGAATCCGCTCGCCGTGCCCAGTGTGCTCATGAGCACCGTCGTCACGTGCTCGTACGCTTTCCACACCCGTGCATGTGCCGAGTGCACGGCAACCCAGCGGTGGTCGAGGTAGACTTGTTCGAAACCGCTGAAGACGATACGGCACTAGGGGATTGGAAGACCTCGGGGCAGGGGCTGGCGACTTGGGGCTCGGATAGAACTCCCGTGTGCAAGTGTCGGGTTGGGGAGCTGGCGGCTTGGTTTCGGAGGCGCTTGCGAGGGATAAGGCGGCTGAGATGGAGCTTGTGCTCTTCCTTGCTGAGCTAAGTCGCTGAGTTACCATCCAGTCTGGGCAATTTGTAATCTGACAGTGCTATTGTATAAATCCTGTATCCATTCACTCGCTGCTTGGCCAAGAAAGAGTTATCGTGTGCCTGGGCAGCATATAAGAAATCTAGCTACACCTCAACGATATCCAACTATCTCCAATGAGTTCTGCAATAAAGCTCCATGAACTAAATACCCAAACATACACTCCAGAGGCCACAAGTTATCACACGAGTGGATGATCCACAACAGTGGCACCGCCACCAAGCTCCGCTACCTCTGCGTATTTACGACCCTGTGCAATCGCGGCCATCTCAAGCGCATCTATTCGAACGGTTAGCTTGTTGACAATTGTAGCCTAAATTGAACCCTACCTATATCAGCAGGCATTTCAATCTTGCCCTGGGTATGAAGTGCTACCAGCACATCCTTAACCCAGGTGCGGCAGGTGAAAGCTTCACCGTCTCGGCGGGAGGGTGACCCATCCGCCGGCACCCCCTTTGCTATCTGAAGGGCACCATCATCATTGATTGGCCCTATGCGAATAAGCACAATCAACGACATCGATGATTGCGGCTTGATGACCCTTTCTTCGAACTTCAGGGTCCCCGGAGGTTCGAAGCATGGCTCATAGTTGCAACCCCGTTAGAGTCCGTGAACATCAGACCCCAATGCTAGCTTGATATCAGGAATAGCCCAGCAAGGATACGAAGTGGGCTAGGACTCACGTACTCGCCCTTCTTAGGACGGGAGTTGAAAGTGATATACAAGGTGTTCGGTTGGACACGCCCGGTGAGCGGCATGGCCATGGATTCGATAGGGAATAAGGATAATAGTTGGGAAATCAAACAGATCAAGAAGCTGAACGCTGAGGAAGTAACTACCAATAAGAAAATGTGACTGGATGGTTCAGAAATGTGTGAGATATCGGACCAGACGATATTTGTGCCTATATATATATGGACGGGCTCTATCTTTAGGACCCCCATCATGACTCTTTCAAACACAACGCAACCATCGGGTCTGTTGGCCACTCTGAAGACGAGCCAGCGCCTCGCCGCGCAGGGCTCTGAAGGCTGACTTCCACATTGGTGAGGTCTGGTTCGTCCATGGAGAGGCTTACTGGGTCCGAAGAGAGGCACCATGAACTGGAGCGAATCATCCAAAGAAACTTGCGACCAACATCCTGACAGCGGATCCTAGTATCGGGTATGGTGTGTCATAGGACAGGTCCTTCTCAGCAACCTATTCGCCTGTGTTTCTCGTGAATCTTCTCAGCTCTCGCTGTTGATGGTAGCGAACGTGGGCCGTGTTGCATACGGCCATGTCCCAGGGTGGAAATGTGGAATAACTGCCCACCGTGAAAGTTGCGTCAGCCAACACGGCGTCAAAGGCTAGCCGATGTGATGGTCGTCGATCTTGAGGGTCTGGTCACGCCTGGGGGCCCAATGAGAGATTGTTCTTAAGCGCGAGCCGCATACGACAGTGGGACAGCCATAGTACACTGTATGGGCATCTCCGGAACTCAGAAGCCAATACAGTCGACATAACGTGGTACGATCACTTAGCAAGAAAGGCGACTTCATCAAAAGCTGAGACGTGGTAGATCATCGAGCCACATTATAGTCTCGCGCAGGGGTCAAGGGAAGGGGGGCAGATGGTGTGCAGTAGAAGATCCATCAGCACGAACCACGCCACGCTGCAATAAATTGCCTCCATAAAACGCAGTGACCTCCCACAGTCGACGCCCGGGCAGTGCCCCTGCGGGGCAGTCCGGCTCGCGTTCTACTTTAAGTACCTGCTAACCACATTTATGTGGTGTGGGTACCTTTTCGCGTGCGACTGTGCCATTCGGCCTTTCGCGAGATAGATGGGCCGAACGGTGGTCTGTGCTTTCCTCAGGTAAGCAATAAAACGCCTGGCCCCGCCGATAATTACGGGCCATCGTTATAACGGGGCCTCGTACTGGGACAGGGGGACACCACCCATCCCTTCTTTCAATCAAGCAACTTCCAGAATACAGACCAATAGCCACCTATCGTGACCCTGGTCCTTATTCTGGATACCGCTACCACAAGGCACAAGTTCCTGTCGGTCGCCAACCAGGCCTTGGCCGGTCATCAACCAGTACAGCGTCGCCAGATAATGGACACGCCGAGCACCGCTGACTCGGTTCTGACCATCATTCGCCGTGCTAACCTCCCACATCCAGACGGAGAGTTACTAGAGCACTATATCGATGATTCCGTCGACCAGGATCAAGCCGCGAACTACGTGTTGAAGACCTACATGAGGGATGGGGTCGGCAAAGGCGATGGTGAAGCCCAACCTGGCATACGCGCCCTACTCAGCCATTGAAAAGAGCTAGTTACTGTCTGTTAGTATTGCCTCTCAAATACCTTCATTGAGCATGGGCTGACCATCTCCATAGTCGCTTCCGATCGGCCCACGCGACCCATTCGCGATCGGGATCTCGTGGACAAGATAACCAGGAGAGATCGTACGTGCCGACTTACGGGCCTACGAGGAACATTCTTGGACCCTCTGATAGTTGTTCCCATATTCCCAATACTAGACAATCCGCTACGCGAGGTCGGTACTCCTAATCCAGCACTAGGCCAAGCCATATTCGATGCTGACTGCGGTGTCTTTTAGCCATTGCGTGAGCTGCTATGCGCCTTCCTAAGCCCCACGCTTCGAGATTGGGTCGCGGCGAGTTCAAGCGCAGAGTTCCAACACAGCCCTGGGAATCTTTGGTTGCTCCGCAAGTCGGCCGCAGCGGCGTTTGCCCAAGGATATTATGAGTTGCTCATCAGGGAACACGAGGTAGGTCCTGGTTGACGATGATCGCCTCGTTCCGGCACCCAACCGTATCTGTATGTTGATATGTCAACAGTCTTTCGTCAGCACTACGTTCGTTGGGGGAGACGACTTCCCTCGTATCGTCGACCGAAGGGCAGCGTTACGCCTCATCTCCCTTGATGACCAATCTGGCTCAGGCAAACTTGCTCCAGACCGCTCGGCGCTAGAAGTCCTCTCTCGGTTTGCGAATTCAGTGCGTTGGAGCTATATCGCTCACAACCTCGCTGCGAACCCCTCGTCATCCAGCCGCGGGTTTCTCTTTCCCAATCCAGTCACTGGTTGAATCTGTTTCTTCAGGTTTGTGGACCCCGTGCAGTTTGGCCCTGCAGTGGGTATGGCTTCGCCTTCCAGCGAGAGCACGAATAACCACATACCGCGGCCTGGCCCGATTGGGGGCACTTTTCTTTGGGTTTTCTTCCAGTTTGCTAGTGCAACGCCTCCCATTCGGCATGTATCTCAAGGCCATAGACCGACACGACAGCTTACTCAACGAGTACGGCACTTTGGACCTTGTGAGGAGCCACACTATCGTACCAGTTCCTCGACCGATAGATCTGGTATCGGATACCACAGGTTCATACCTGTTAACATCACGATTACCCGGGAAACCTCTTGGACTATGTATCGACATTATGATAGACGAACAAATGAGCATCCTTGTCAAAGACCTTGTTTGCTGTCTGAAGCAGTTGCGATCAATACCTAAGACTGTGTCCCCAGAGTTTGAAATCACGGACACGTTGGGAAACGCATGTCACGATGCCCGAGTCAACGCTGCCAATGAATATGACCCGGAACGAGGCGACTTCATTGGGCCCTTTGCCACCAAAAAGGACTTCAACGACGTCCTCCGAGCCTACCATCTGCCCGAAGTAGTCCATCGGGAAGGGCACAGGATTGTTCTTAGGCATGGTGACCTCAACATGCGGAACATTCTCATCGAGAACGGACGCTTCTCTGGAATAGTGGATTGGGAGATGTCTGGCTGGTATCCGGAATATTGGGACTACACCAAAGCGCATTTCATAACGAAATACAAGTGGCGGTGGCTAAAGGCTGTGGATGAGGTCTTCGCTGAGCTGGGGGACTATAGCACCGAGCTTGAGATTGAACGGAAGCTGTGGTGGTATTGCTTTTGAGTGGCTTTGAAAGGAGCACTGCAGATACCTTCCTGCCCTGCGAAAGGAAATATTATACTCGTACTGCTCGAGTCCCGGAGGTCTCACCGTTAAGGGTCACAAGTGTGTATACATCGTGAAGCACGCTCACCTTTGGCATTAGGCGCATGGAGAGGCAGATCCAAGACGCCGCCCAGTCCAGAGGCCGCCGACTTAAGCAGCGAAGAACATCGAAGGTCTTGAGTCCAAATTCGAGGGAGGCTTAGCTAGATGGGAGCTAGAACTGGGTTGGCGAGCCTGCTAGGTCGTTGCGGTTGGTACCTTGTGCTAGTGTAGGCACCCAGAAGCAGCTGGTGCAAATACAGACAAGGGGTCGCCTACACAGTGTGATTTCACTTAGGTCGGGCGGAGTTAACAGCACCATCAACCCTTAAGTCCAGTATAGTGGACACACCGGACTCCGGAGTCGACTTCTAAGCCGACGTTATCAACACATTCAACTTCATGACAGCAATTACAGTCAGTACATCAATTTCAACGACGATCAACAGCCGCATATATGTCTCTGCAATTCATAGATAACGCGTCAATTGACCGACAAACGAGAAGGTTCATTCGCAGCCATGCGGCGAGGGGCAAGAATGTCGGGAGGGTACACCACCGACCGTCGAAACGCCAACAGTCCAAAGTCGCATCCAAGACACCACCTCCTAGGGGAACGCCAGATAGAGGGCAAGTTCTACCAGACACAGACACAAGCCAAGAGGATGTCATCGAAGTGATGCCATTGATTGACCGCCAGATCGGGAACGGGTTGTCCGCCTACAGCGTCCCGGCCGACTTGAGTATAACGTCCCGAGCTCTCTTCCACAAAGGTACGTCCAGCATTTCCTAGATACGACGTGTCTCGACTAATCAGAGTACAGTATACTCCTTTTTCACCGGGCCAATGTTCCCTCATCAGCTTCGTGACGCTGTCCGGTCTGTTGGCTCGGCTAGGATATGGGTTGGGTTTCTGTTTCAAGACGAAGCTTGTGAGCGACACCCGTCTACTAACAGCCCAGCGCATCACTGATACGGTGCAGTCTTCCACTGCGCCATCGCCATGGCTGCCGCAGCCTTTGATCCGTCGTGGTTAACCCAGCAGGAAACGGCACAAGCTATGGTCCACTTGTCACGCGGCATGCGCATCGTCAACGAAAGGCTTTCCGGAGACGATGCGCTGTCCGATCTGACACTCGGGGTTGTCTTGTCCATGTCTCAGCACGAGAGCCTTCGGAACCGCCACCACCAAGGATTGGTTCATCTCAATGGCCTGCTGAGGATGATCGAGCTGCGAGGCGGTATATCAGTCCTCGCAGCACACAATCCTGCGATAGCGCAGAAGGTCTTCCGAGCTGATGTCCAACTGGCGCTACAGCTAGGCACGCCGACGCGATATAGCGTCAATATCGTGCCGGGAGCCTTCACCATTGATTGGCTTCGCATGAGGTTTCAAAAGGACCGAAACAGTTCCCTTGGTCGCCCTGATATCAGCACCCATGTCAGCGCGGCTCTTTCGGAGATGCTGGAGGGAGTCATGAGCCTTGCATGGCTAGTAAACAATAGCCCGACGCATGGCATCACGCTGGACGGCTATGATTTCCACGACGTCCTCGTACTCTTTGGCTATCGCCTCGTTCACATGAGGCCACTAGGCGAGCCGCATACCTCCACCGACTGGGAGAACGTCCTGCACCTTGCCTTGGTAGCATTCATGTCGGAATTCTTCTTCAGTCTCGGTCTGAGGCGTCCGGAGATCCCTATCCTATCACGTGAGCTTCGTGCAGCTATTCAAGTGCATTGCTATGACGATAAACTCAGTGAGGAGATACTCCTCTGGGTTCTGTTCATCGGAAAAGCTTCGTTGTTCCGAAATCCGGGGGACGACGTGTGGCTGGTCCCGAAGATCGCAGCAACTGCTTCACAACTTAACCTGCACACCTGGCAAGATGTGTCTCGGACACTCTACAGGATGCCGTGGGTGCACGCATTTCAGGATGAGCCCTCTCAAGCGCTTTGGGAGCAGTCTCGTTCTTACAGCTCAGCACACAGCTCAGTATTTTCTGAAATTCAGAATGAGAATGGTTTCATGATGCTTTCATGACTCATGGTATCATCACGAAGCATATCAATCATTACCAGGAACCAGGACGAGTACCATTTCATTAGCTGCGTGTTGACCATCTGCAGACGAACGACCGAGAATTGTTGAAGCGGCCAATAACCATCTTTCACTTCACAAGGCCGTTGCTTGCCTGATGAATCGCCTCATATTTGAGTCCTCCTACCTACGCTGTCGTGTCCGAGGTAGAGGGCTTAGCAGTGACATGCGACGGATGCTGTGTGAGCCGGAGGTCTCCTTTGTCATCTCGGTAGATGCCTACGTTCGTAGTGCGGCGAACGTCCATAGTCTCGCGGTTCCAAACGTTGACGTATACCGGATATCTGGGGTTTTGATCAGCAGATCGTCTGATGTACAGCTAAGGGCATCGTCTTACATCCAAGCTAAGATATACCCAGCCATAGGGACTGCCATGGCAGCGTGCGCATTCCTGCGGTCAACAACGGCGCCGGTCGCTGCCGGGAAGACCATACCACCGCTGATCGCAGCGACCAGGAGACTGCCACCGATCTTGGTATGTCGCCCCAATCCGCGCAGGCCGAGGGTGAATATCGTCGCGAAACATGCCTGTAGACTGGTGTCAGCTGCCACGTGCTCCGAAGTCAGGTTTCGCGAAAACGGCTTGCTCACCGATTCGAAACTGCGTGTACGTTAAAATCTTGTCATTAAACCCGTACGGCCATTTTGGAGAAGGAAAAGGAATAATAAGGCTTCTTCTTGAAGGAAAGGCTCAGGGTCTTGGAATGGGATATTTTTATACGTACGACAAGACCAGCATCAACATCGCAATGGAACATGTGCCGCTGGTGGTTATTGCGGGCACAATGAACACGAAGCATAATCCCAAGTATACCCCGAGTATGTATCGAGGTTTGAACCGTGGCTTCATCATGAGGAACCCGGCTACGAATCTGTTCAGCGCATATAGTCCCTGACCAACAGCAAGAAGATCGGCTATGATGTGTCAGTATGATGTTCACTGGAAACGACAACGATGAACCTACAAGCTATGGCCTTGGACAGGCCAGTCTCCTGGACGAAATTGATGAAATAGTTCTCCACGAGAGCACCAACATCAGCACCTTGTCCAGGCAGCTTGGGGGTGGTACACTTACGGCAACGGCAACCTGTGCCCCCACATAGCAGAACTGCGACCAGACGGCGAGGAACAAGTTATACTGCTTCCGCAGCGGGCCAGGATCATATTCCCCGATCTCCCTTTCCTGGACGCCCATGTCGGCATCGGTGATCTCGGGCATCGGCGCAAAGAAGAAGAGCAGGATCAACAGGCCCACAAAGCATGCAACTCCCAAGTAGACCCATTGGACGTTCTTTAGCCCCTCGTTGGTGTTGAGCGTATTGGCAAAGAAGACCCGGCCGGCCAGGAGGGGCGCTACGAAGGACCCCACGCCCTGAATGGCTTGCGCGAGGTTGAGCCGGATCTCGGAGTACTTGGGTGGTCCACAGATGGCGAGGAAGCTGCACTCATGTCAGTAAGCTTTGATACGGCGGTGAACGCAATCGACATGCAACTCACGGGTCGGCAGCAGTTTCTAGAGTCGACAGGCCGGCACCAACGACGAACATCGAGCCGCAGAACCCGGCGAAGCTCTTCTCGAGCCCCGAAGGCCAGAACAGCAGACAGCCGACGGCAAGCACGGCCAGCCCCGTCATGAAGGTGACGCGGAATCCGCTTCGGCGCAGGATCCAGCCCGAGATCGTGGGCGGGCAGAAGAGATAGGCCCCGAAATAGGCAGTTGATAGCGCGGCCGACTGGGCGTGGGTGAGGTTGAGGGACTGCTGGAAGTGCGAATTGAGGACTGGCAAGGACGGAGAACAGTGTCAATTACTTTTGGACTCGTGACTAGTCGACCGATATGTACGTACCATCGAGAAGACCGTAGGCGAAGCCCCAGAGGAAGAAGAGGATGGTGACTGTATCGAGATTGATCAGCATCCACCCAACCGGTGATACAGGCGTTGGACTTTTCACCAAGCAAATTCGGCACCAGCGATCGCCTTGTGGTGAGCTGCCAGGCCGTCGTGACCGTATTGTCCGAGATGGCAATCTTGCGCTTCCAGATCGCCATCTTCACGATTTGAGGACTGAACGTTTGGGTTAGTCGGCACCGACGCCGTCAAACGTTATAGAGGAAGGAACCAGGTGAGGTCACAACGTGATGATATACGGCTCAGGGTGTGGCGCAAGAGCTCAAGTTGGATAGAATGTGCAGAAACTAATCTTGGACCCAAAGCTACACTTATACAGTCTCAACTCTCCTTTCCGGGGAGCGACGACTGCATACCTCAGAACCCGCCAACCCCGTACCGCATGTGCGACTTTCGCAGATGTATACCCCGAGATTTCGTACTCTGAGGTATGACAGACCCGTTTTCGCTGTACACAAGGTTCTCCGTGCCGGACCGTTGCAGCTCATGCTACCAAACGGCATCTTCTGCTTCGCCGCAGAGGTAGACTCGGTCTCACAAGCTCCAACTGTCAGGCAAACGTAGGTTCGGTAGTTCGTGCTAGTGGAAAGATGCTATAACAGTGGACGCGACTGGAGGTTGGTTTTGCACGCCTGGTGTGCTAGGTAGGTAGTGTGAACGATGGCTTAAAGGTCTAGTCGACCGCCGGCTGCCGAACAAGGACATGCATGGTTCCTGGAGAAACTGCTTCAGCGGCGGCATATTGCCTTCGAGTAGAGTGAGTGATTGGAATTGGGTGTAAAGGAGTGGCCACTGCATAGATCGATATCAAGCATCACCAGGGCTCAAACACCCCCCTATTACATTCAGCATAGGTTACCACAAGTATGGCAGGAGACCGTTATGTGCAACCCTTTAGATCAGCTTAGTGCGGCTATGCGATCATTCTCACGATTGCCCATGTGTCACATTTCCGAAAAGTCCCGATATTCCAAGCTCCGAAATGGCTCTCTATGTCTGGAATCTCATTTTTATCAAACAGTTGGACTGGACGATTCGAACGGCATCTGCGCATAAGATTGCATTATCCATCGCCGCCTAGCCTGAGCGCCGTTGTGTATGAGTGCCGCTGTGTATGAGCACACAACGCCTTGTCAGTCACAACTAGCATGAACTCAACTTCGCCTGGCAGTGGCAGTGGCAGACGCAGCGTACAGAGCATGGCGACTTGTCATCCGTGAAGAGACAAACAGCTTTCCGGGGACATTGAGCCAGATGGCTCTGGGGTCATCCGTGGTACCACGAATTCGGGTAACCAAGGATGGGGTAACCAGGGCAGATCAGATCAATAAGTTTATCCATCTCATCCTGGGTTTATGCGGTAGCAGGTGCTCACTGAATGTGTGGTACCGAGATTGATTTATCGATAGTATCTTCTTGACCAAGGACAGCCCCCGTCATATCCAGGTTGATGATGATCAGCAGGGATCAGAGAATGTCATGTATCATGGCGATTAGAATCATATTTGCATACGTCTCGTGTGAGCCATTATTTGCGAGAGTTAGAAGCTATCAAGGCTTCCGCCGCAAGGCGAGATGGGCACAAGTCAAAACTGATGGGGACATGCTTCCAACATTTTCCTGCGCTACTATAACAGACCGGTCTCTAAGAACGGAACGCTGATGTCCAACACGCCTTCAAGACACCAGAGTGAGTCCAAGGTTCATCGCTACCTAGTTGCAAGGATGGCCAGATGGCCGCTGAGAGAACGCCTGCAGACCCTCATTGTGACGAACCACAAGACGCCGTACCTGCCGCTGTAGAGCACCTATCTCCTCATCTAGCAATTGAACGAGGCCCACTCCAGATCACTGAGGCTCCTTTTCCAGAGTGTCGAGTTCCTTCACAATGCTTGACTTGGTCGCGATCTTCTTCATCTGCGTGTCCTCGAGCTTCTCACCACCTGCCAGGCGCATCTCAAGGTCCTCGATGGCGCGGATTTTCTTCTGCAAACCGCGTAATTTCTTGCTAGCGGGGTTCTGGCTGCCGGGCGATAGAAGCGCGTCAGCGGCAGGCGGCTGAGATGTTTGAATTTGAGGCGCAGGGGCAGCTACTTGTCCATTCTGTCCGGTATTGGCGCGATTACGTCCAGGGTTGTTACCACCCGGAAAGTTATGTCGCGAGCGACTTCGGTCATTTCGTCGCTGGTTCTGCTGCTGTCCACGGCGCTCAGGACTTCGCCCCTCATTTCCAGAGTATGGACCTTGTCCTTGAACTGGAGGAGTTAGGCTACCGTTAGCATCCTTGCTCTCCCCTTCCTTGGCCTTTTTGTTGTTTCTCTTCTTCTTGTTCTTCAGCGCAGCCTTGGACAGGTTCTCGTCACCGTCTACGCCCTGAACTTGGGCTGGAGCAGCACCTGGGACAGGACGTGTACCAGACTCGAGTAACTCGGCACCAGGCACCTGGCGGCGGGCCCTTCCGAATCCATTGGGGCCCACATTAGGGGCACCGTTGCTCATCACATGGGCGGCACCGCCTTCGTCCTCACGCCTGAAGTGGAGGGGTGTGACCATTCCCCGAGCTCCTGGAGGTCGGTATGCCCCCACAGGTTTCGACGGCGTCTTGACGGTGCCGAGATATGCAACAGCGGAAGAGTGCGGGGTGGGAACAGGGCTCAGTGGATCAGCATGAGGAAGGTTCTCAGGCAGCGCCGGCCTCCACGACACATTGTACAGCTCAACCATATCTTCGTTGTACATGACGCTCCCACCCACATGCCAGAGTTTGACACCATTATCTACCCGAAGGCGCGGCGAGGTGGTGGCAGTCATGAGGAATCGGCTGTCCGGGCTCCACTGGCACACACTCGGGTTGCCGCTTTGGATGGTGCAGATGTTTTGGTAGTCTTTCTCCAGGTCGTACACGTCGACCTGACCAGCCAGGTTACCAAAGCCTGCAACCAACAAAAATCGACCGGTGGGTGAGAAGATAAGGGTGTTGCGAGGCGAAAGGGCGAAGGAATGGGCGGCTACCGCACGGTGGTTGAAGATGGTCGTCTTCGCAGGCATGTAGCCATAGATGACAGCAAACTCCTTTCCGTTGGGCGACCACGAAACATCGTGAATAGGCCCTTCCTTGTCAAGCGCGACACGGGCATCAAGCGAGCCATTGGCACTGAGTAGGTACAGGTTCGTCTCGCCGTAGTAACTCTTGTTGGATTTATCCACGTCTGTCTGTGCCAGCACAATCAGGCTCGTACCTAAGCTGTTCCACTTTAGCTGTACTTTGTCGCCCTTGAAGAAGGTTTTCTGCGAGATCGGCGTCGTGAACTGAGGAACGTTGAAAATCTTGACCGCGGCGGGTTGGCCCTAGGATCGTGTTAAGCCAGATCTAGTGCGAAGTTTATCAGATATAGGTGACGAGAGTAAGGTGCTCACCTTGCGTTCAGGAACGAAGACTGCCACATTGTGGCTCTGGCCATGGGCAATGGCAAAGTCGGTGATGCCCTCGACCCGCAACTTGTTCCAGACTGTTCGAAGGTCGTTACTGTCGTAGAATTGTACCTCGTTGGTAACCATTCGGGCGCAAAACTTCTCATCGGAGGTGTACTGCAGGTTCCAGCCCGTATACGACTTCTGAACAAAACGTCCCAGGGGCTCTTTCTCGGCGCCTTCGGGGATATCCTCAACGGATTGCCAGACCTTGAGGTTCTTTGTTGCATCACCAGCTTCGTCCTTTGCCGGTCGTTCATAAGTGCTCACAAAGGAGCCTCGGGGCGAGAAGGCAACTTCGTAAACATTGGTGACGGGGAAGGTTGTGAGGACATTACCAGCGGAGGCGTCAACGATACAGACACGTTCGCTGGTTGCCCAGGCGAGGTACCGACCACAGGGCGAGTATACACAGCACCGCAAATTCCCTTCAGGCTTGGTGAAGCCAGAGAGAGGCTCATAAACAGGATCGGTGTTGGTGACGCCGATAGCCTTCTGGGTTCGATAAGCAAACTGCTGCAACGGGTTCGCCATGACTAGTCAAAGCCACAGAGTGAATTCGCTTGCAGGTTTGGGTATTGATCTTGTCGTTTGGTAGTAGATTCTTTGGGCCGCAAGGTGGGGCGCGGAAGCGGTAGCGGTGGACGTATCGATGGTATCGAGTCGGGTCAGATCCTGAGGGATGGTTCTCGGTCGAGCTGGCTGGGGCGGCGGACGATAAATGGGTTATCGGTCGGCTCGCGCAGTGTCTTGACAAAGAAGGATCTTTGTCTGGCTGTTTGGTTGCTTGCCGGCTGGCTTGACGATGTTGACTACGACTGGTGGATACGATGTCGCGATAGGTGACAAGAGGTGAGGAAGAATCTGTCGGGTGGACGTGCTACCGGAGTATTTCAGGTGCGCACACTTAATAGGTCGACGGCAAGAAGAATAGAAGGGAACTTCTGACAGGTCACCCAGGCCAAGGGGGGGGAATTGACTGAAGGCGGTGGGTGGACGTGACGAGACGGAGCGTGCAAGTGGGCTGGAGGAGAAAGGAAGAGAGGAGTGAAAGAAGACGCTCTGATTGTTGTCGTAGACTGAAATTTTTAGTCTCGACCGACTCAGGCCTGTCCAGCGGGTCTGTCTGGCTGGAGCCCAACGCCTGCGCCACGATTGAAGGACCCCCGAGCCCCCCAAATGCGCCATCAGCTGTGGCTGGCCGGCACTTGGATGTGTGAACAACGAATTCAGCTGCGGCTGTGCTGGCTGATAGCTGCATATGTTCAGTGCATGTAAGCTACGATGGCTTCTCCCCTCGCACTTCATTCACAATAAGCTCACAGATTATATATGATGACCATGGTGACAGACATTCAAGGTCACATGGGAATCTTACCGTATTTACTGGTACCATTCATTCCGAGTCCCCTCTGCTAGCGCGAGTGGCTTGCGTGCAGAAAAGAGCATCACCAGCCTCAGGTGGCTTCTTATCGTTGTTATCTCTTATAAAAGCTACAAGTAGATGCGGCTGGTGCTCTCTTTTCTGCACGCAAGCTACTCGCGCTAGCAGGGGAGACTCGGAATGAATGGTACCAGTAAATACGGTACATGCACAGACTTGAGAGGATAGATCCTTGCCAGGTCATTCAGGCAGGGAACAAACAACGCAACAAGGGAGGGAGCAGCCGCTTGCATGATCTTCATTTCCGCGCTTCAGACGTCATACCACGGAATGACAGCCTGCTTGGTTTGCTTCTTCAACCTGGGCGTATGCTGTCATATCGTCGTTGATATGATTGGGCCTCAGTTTGAGTCACTTCATGCCAACAACACAACCTCTGAAGCCAGCAATGGAAACACGTCAATCTGCTTTGTTACGAGAGGACACCTGTCAGGGCCAGTGCCAGGCCATCATCTCGACAAGGTGTGCTCATCGATGCGTCGGGTGTCTGATCAGGTCCCTGCATCTAACCTTAGTGAAATGCTCGCGGAACCGAGGTCATGTGAGATTGAGATTCCCTGGTAGCTTTCTACAATGCGCCTCCCTCTTACCAGCCTGCCACTCCAGCATCAAGCAACATGATATCGAGAGGCTCCTCGCCGTAAGACAAGCGCACACTGACGGCACCAACGGGCTGGTCTACAACAACGACCCCAGACCAGTATCTCACATCACCAAGGCTTCCACCAGCCGCCTCGAGCTGCACATCGCTGAAAGCCATTCTCGGTCCCAGAGTCAGCGGCTGCGTGATTGGCGTCGCAACCCTAACCGTCAACTTTGACGCGTCGAAGTCGTCCCGATTCGCATCCGCTGCAATGGTCACGAAGACCGTGTTGCCCGTGATCTCGGTCAGGCCTGGGACAATGAAGGCCCTGTCCTGTATGTCAAAAGCCGCCGTTTCGAGACCATCAGTCAAAACTGTGAAAGAAGATGCATCCGTAATCTTGGATCCGTCTATCGAGAACGGCGCATATTGCGTCACGCCGAATATTGAGACACCAGTCGCATTTTCGACCTTGACAACCTCGGAGTAGCCATTGGAAAACGAGATGGTGACGTTTCGGCCGGTCTCTGCCTCCGTATCGAGTATCTATCGCGCAAAGTCAGCATCGATATTAATGTATCAAGGAGCTCTCACTCATACGCGAATTTTGCCAGAAAGCACCAGCTGCTTCTCATCTATGATATCCCACGTCACATTGACCGGTTTGATAGCCACGGGCTGAATCGCATCTTGAAGCACAACCTGCGCAGGCACAGTGTTGAGCATCCGGCTCAAAAGTTCGACACAGGTATCCTGGAACCCATCGCCCTGTGCATACAGCTCCTCCATTGTCGCGTTGCCGTCGCTCTCGTAGAGTCGCAGGTCCGACCTACTGGTCTCGTTGAAGCTCGTCACCAGCGGTCCGCCCCTATTCCCAGTTCCGTCGATGTACTCATGCACGACGAGCGGATCGAACGCACCACGGCTTGTGTCAAAGTTGATACCGCCATTGGTATTATTCGCGGACAAGGTAGAGTTGTCTGACACCTCCGGAAAGCCACTGTGATGTGCAGATCTGTCCCTTCGTTAAACAGCATTCTCGACACGGGCAGGTATAACCCATGCACGAAGGGGGTTACGAGAGGAACACACGTACCCCATTGTATGACCACAGGCCGTTAAGCCGATCGAGTCTGCTTGGTTGAAGCCAGACCTCCCGAACTGCGCAAGGGTCTCTTCCAAGCTCGAGCCCGGTTCCGGAACACCGGTCGTAGGATCCGCACCGGTAGCATCGACGCGACCTGGCCTGAATGGTATATATTTCCCGCCGCAGAGATTGACTGACATGACTGTACCCAACGCCACCAAGTCGGCCACTTCACGAAATGGGAGGTCAACGTCATCCTATACTAGCGATGCTTACAGGCATTGAGCACTCACTAGGCACGAACTCGTTCACAAACGGCCTCCAGAACGTAAAGCTGTCATTGAAGGCGCTCCCCTTGTTCTCATCCCGGAATGTCTCGAACCCAATACTCGCATCGAGCCCCCCAGTGCCGGCCGCCACATCGGCCGTCACGAAGTCATGGAAGCCGACACGCAACCACTGTGCCGCCGTGGTGCGTCCAGAGTTGGGCGCCGCATCGCCAATCTCGGTCACGTAGTTCGTGCACGGCGTGATCGCAGCCGAGAAGTTCGAAGCGTATGCGCCCCAGTTGTCGACGAGGATATGCTCGAGGAGCGAGATCGCGGGGCTGGGGTAGTAGAACATGGCGCCAGTTGAGGGGACGCAGACTACTAGAAAGCAGAGGGCAGTGAGAGTGGCCATCATCATGGACTGGCTGTCACTAATTTCTACGCGATTTCGGCTCGAGGGCTCAAGAGTCCAGGAGCTGGTGTAGTGCACACCGAGTCTCTTATATCTCTTCGAGTATCGCCACCTCGTTCTAGTGCCGACCCTCGTCGCCGAGAGCTCAGTCATCAGGGTGGTATTGCAGCAAAGCTGAGGTGTGGTGGCGCACCCTAGAGGTCTAGACAATGGTCATCTGCGTAAACCCCTGTTCATGCATGATCTATTGAGACAATGGGGGACTCGAATTCTGACGAAGAGCTTATCGTTGATGGTGCAGCTGGAGATCGACGGAGGAGTTTCTCCAGTAGAGATATATCTATTCCCTTGACGCAGTCTACTGACGATTACTCATCGACTGTTGATCATACATAGGCGTCGTAGAGATATTGCAACAGCACTAGGTTCACCGCCATCACAGTCGCCATAGCTTCTTACCCAACACAGGTCATATGTCTCAGGGTGAGGAAGCCTATGACGAATGACGACCGAAAGATTTGAGAACACAGGCGTGTTCATGAGTCCGCTAACCAAGAAGCGTACGGCAAGGAGGTATCACCAAGGGCGTCAGCAGCCGCTATACATCACATCCCTATTCCAATATGACATCGTCTTCGCAGCGACTTACGCGACAGCATCCCATCCCATAGCCAAACTCGACAATTCTCAAGACTAACAGGCGCACCCTAAAATGCCGTCGCCCACTCCGGGTAAACCTCATCCTGTCGCGGCGTAGAAGCCACATTACGATCCCGAACATACGCCTCCAGGGGCAGATCCTCATGCTGGCTCCGCTCGCACATATCAACGCCCCTCTTCTGTACGAACCGCGCAAACCCCAGCGTCTGCCTCTTCCACTCCTCGCGCGAGACCCTGCCCGCAATATAATCCGCATAAATCATAGCGTCGAACGCCGCCTGGGACGTAGAAGCCACGGTATGCGGCCGGAACCCGGCCAAAGCGTCGCCGACCAGCACGACCTTGCCGCTCAGGTACTCGTGCTCCGGGCTGAGGACGTCGGTGACGGCCTGTACGAACGGCTTGCGCGTCGCGCACACGATCTCCGCGAACTGCGGCGGCAGGCGCTTGCGCGCGACGTGCCGCTGCTTCTCCCACGCCTCCGGCGCCGTCATCCCGGGGGGCATCGTGATCGCCCTCCTTCTCCCATTCATATCTGTCATGATCTCCTCCAGCTCAGCCGAGCACTCGGGGAAGTTGGCATAGTACACGAAATTAATCAGCCGCTGCCCGGGCTCCACGGTCCCGTCCCTGCCGGGGATCAGGTACGCGAGGATCTGGACCCCGGGGCCGTGGAAGAAGGTGAAGCGTCGCGAGAAGGCCTCGCACGCGGCGGGGCTGGCTTCGCTCTCCGGAAGCGTGCCGCGCAGCGCGCAGTAGCCGGCGTACTTCCGCTCGGCGTTCGGCTGGAGGATCTTGCGGATCCTGGAGCTCGGTCCATCGGCGCCGATTAGGATGTCGGCGTGGATGCTGCCTTCTTCCCCTTTGCTGCTGTGCCAGAAGACGCGGACGACGTCGTCTTCTTCTTTGATGTCAGTGACGTTACAGTCGTGGACGTGCGTCGCCTTGCCGTGTCCCGGCACGGGCTCCGGCGCATCGCAATAGGAACTCGCGACTCCATCATAATTAGCACGTATGAGGTAGTATGCCAGGTCCCAGGAAGTCATGTTCTGCACCATATCCTCCCTATGCACAATATTCCCCTCCTTGTCGAGATACTGCCGGCGCTCCGAGCTTACTGCGAGTGGCCGATCGCACCTGTTGTATCTCTTAAAGAACTCTAGGGTGTCGCCTTCGGCGACTATGCCAGCTCCTTGATCTTGGAGCAGGGGCGGCGGGTTCCGCTCCAGGATCGTCGTGTCATGGCCCAGGGCCTTGAGTGCAATGCCGGTTGCCAGTCCGCCTAGAAATCCTCCGACCTTCGACAGTTAGAGATAGGGTTATGCTTTGTTGTGGTGATGAACTCACTATCACGAACTGGAGCTTCCTGGACGGGTCGCCCGCCGGCTGTTCCGGCATGTTCTCTGACATAGTCTCTCGTCCACAAGATCGCACGTGCTAGTGTCACAAGTAGAAATTGGAATGTGAAATTGATATAACGTTCTACCGTTTTTAGAGAAATGGTGTTGGAGCGATAGAAAACCACCCAGCCGTCCTCTCAAATAGCCGGAGGGGCTATGTGACGTCACCGCAATCAACAGCACAGCCGGCAGACGGGATGGGACTGTAGGGTAAATCAGTAACTTAGTAACTGTGAAATCTTACCAGTCTTACCCATTATATAGGAGAAGCTCGTGGAGCTTGCTTTATATCAGCATATTGTGAGGTTTCCCTTCGATGCGTACAAGGCGTGACTCCGTTCTCGGAAGTCTAACCTAGGTACATTTACCTATCAGACGATCTTCGTATCGTTCTCTACTCCCAGTGACGAGGTTGATACATTGACACACTTTGACCACACTCATGGTTACTGACCCTCCAAAAGTCTCCGTATACCCCTCGTTCAGTCAGCGAGGAGCCACTGATTATATATGGTGTAATCACTCTGGAATAAGCATAAAATATGGCTCATTGCATTAGACTTGCTTGGTGCAAGGTGCTTATTCCATTAATATAAATGTAGCACTGATATTGAAGAGTTGACAGGGCCATGACGAACGGAGACTTATGAGTGGTGATTATATTGGGAAGAATAAGTTGTAATCTCATCGTACAAGATACCTCGTCACGACAGACCATTGCTCCACTCCTGAGTATAACTTGAGAGCATTGCGATGGTCTCGTCCCAATGACTCACGAGGTTAGGTCCATTAATGTCTCCCGTAGCGTGGACCTTTGCTCTTAAGATCACGTACTCCAAGGGCGTCAGCCCATCTCTTGGGACAAGTGGATCTACTTCCCGGCTTTGCATAAGTAAGCCTAGCGCCTTTCTAACAGCATCCAACCGGTAACCAACACCTGGGGTAGGGTTTGCACTAGATGCCATAAAGGCGTTAAACCTTCGGAGTCCCGAGCGTTGACGTTGACCCTACCAGTAGAAAGAAGACATCGGATATTGTCCGACTGGAGCGGTGAACGGCCGCATGCGTGGATTAGTGGCGTCATTCCAAGCGCGTCAGGCTCGTCAGGATCTAGATCTTTCATCTTCAGTATCTCCATAAGAACTTCGGTGTAAAAGCTGCACATAGCGTACGAAACCAAAGACCTTCTTCTGTGGCATAACACTGTTCAATCAGCCCGAGGGTCTTGCAGCAATGAAAACACCAAATCGGGAAGAGCTCGTTCCACAGCCCGAGACAAAGCTGCGCGTCAAGAAATATCGATTGAGTTGATCTCCGTTGAGGGGTGCCCAAGAAGGGCTCTTGCGGTCCCATCTTGTCCTGGTTGGCCAAAGGGAGCCACTGCCACCATGTGCAGAGGCGTCTGCCCCTTACCGTTCTGACAATTGGGATCCGAGCCACTGTCGAGTAGATACTGAACAATGGCGTGTTTGGACCCATGTGCCGCATAAAAGAAAGTATCGTATTACCATCGCCGTCGGCGCTATTGACATCGACACCTGCCTCGCACAAGAAGGTGACTGCGTCCAGATGACCCGTACTGGCCGCAAATGCCAATGCAATCTTTCCCCAAGCGGATTGCATCAATTCATGGTGTTCTTCGACGATTAGGGTAAGTAAAGACAATAGCACTGGGCTGAATGACTTTACTGCGGCCTGTGAAAAGGTACACCCCACAGAGTTTATAGTTGACAACAGTGAGTTTCTTTGGTCCATAGTGAGTCCGGCAAAAACGGACGCTACTAAATCGGATCGATTTTCGTTCATCGCTTTGAAAAGCACCTTGTCCCAATGGTCCGCAAAGCCGGGGCTAGCATCGTGCTCGAGAAAAAACTTGGCCATCTCGCTGATTCCCGCCAGTTCTGGCAAGCTGAGCACGATCTCACTAGTGCGATAGGAATTTGTGCCCAGGGACAGGAGGAGCCTTACTAGGTCGAGTCTCTCGCTTCCTACAGCCTCTCCTAGAATGTTCAGGCGGCTCGGTTGCCGTGGAACGTCGACCCGTGCCCCATTCTGGATCAAGCACTGGGAAAATGCAAAGGGCGCATCTATTGAAATCTTGGCGAGCGCGTCTTCCGGATTTCCAAGAACACCGTACCACAGAGCACCAACCAGAGACTGACTCCCAATACGTAGGAGACATTCGAGCAAGTCTATCGACCTCCAATGCTTCCCATCCAGATCAGACTTTAGATGAGACAAGTTGCTCAATTCTTCTCGTACACGGAATATGAGGTCCTTGTCACCTTCCGATGTGGCAGCGATGGCAGCTTCAAGGGTCAGACTGCGAATGGCGTCGTGCTGTCCCAATGCCATGGCCGCGCAGAGGGGCGACGGGTATCTTTCTGTCTTGGCCTCGATGACCAGAGTATGATGTCGCTCCGGGTGTATGCTGATCAGATTTGCCAAGTTCTGTTCCGCAAGGATGTAGAGTAGGTGTGCCTCTATGGAGTGGCGTCGAATTCGATACTTTTGCAGCATGTTGTCAAGCTTGATCCATGACCCTCTTGGGAATATCGACAGGAACTCTGCTTGGTCAAATGCTGCATTCTGGGCTGAGTCTGCATGGGCGAGCACATGATGAACAGCATATTCCAAGAAAGGGGGGTTAACTCGCACCCGCGGTATGCGTATAGGACTCGATCCCGGGAGAAGAAAGATACTGGCGCATCTGTGTGAGGCAGCTGTTTTTGAGGGCATCTTGGCTATATCCCTCGCCGAAACCGCGCACGTCTGTGCGGTGCTCAAGTAGGGTTTGGAGACCGTTGTCCCGCAGGAGGTAGTCGCGAACAGACTCATGGATGAACTGAACTACCGGCTTCTTCTTTGTTACTTCCGTAAGCCCTTTGGAGACGTCGAGGTTGAATCGATTGATTTGGCCCATTGAGATAGACCTCTCGTCCCAATCGGCGCTTGAGATAGGATCAATACCGAGATGCAAGGCGAAATACAGTTCTTCGGGCCGCAATGGTCTTTTCGCGTAGAGAACCCATTGGATACAGAGCACAAGCTGATCTAGGTTCTCGGTATCTCGAGTCAGGATATCCTGAAATAGCTCATGTAGCCCAGTCGGTATCTGCTTCAAGCGGCTCCATGCGTTGAGATTTCTGCCCTTGTCATGTTCCCTGTTAAGGATGTCGACAACCAATGCCGCCCAGAGGAAGATATTGAAAGATCGTTCGAAAATGTCGACCTCTATTGCTGGCCTGGCTGCTGGTAGACCTATTCTGAGCTTTGAAGAGATGTAGTGCCGGATATCATCAGCATGGTCGGTTTCGTCCTCCAGGACAATTTGCAGCCCTTTTCGAATAGCGATGTAGGGGTAGTGTCGACTAGAGAAGCACAGTCGAAAATGGGAGTTTGCTTGGGCTGCTTTCTCTCCAACGTCTTCGAAAAACAATATCATGTCGCGAATCTCGTCCTCCGGACATTCATCCAAGGCATCGATGAAGCAGCATAGTTGGCCTGTACCGAGGTGCTCCACTACCGACCCAATTGCTTCCTTTAAGGTCTCGATGGGCCAGGGCTTGTCATCCTCAAAGCCCAGCAGCAACTCCAGTAGATCTGGATCGATGTGTAGCTCATCTCCAAACCTGAGCAGCTGGGACAATAGTGACCGGTAAAGTCCTTTAACAGATCGTTCCAGGTTGCCCCCCCTTGCATTGAAGAAGAACGAGATGACGGCGCCCCTTTTCTTGGCCCTTCTGGCATTTTGAAGTAGGTACTTCATCATCACTGATTTTCCGGCTCCGGGCTTTCCTTTGATCCAGAGAAAGCCATGGTGGTCCTGCATTTGAGTCGGGTTCTGCCATGCCTTGTATTCGCTGTGCTTTGGGAGCCACTGGCAAGTTTTCGTCTGGGCGGTTCTCAGAGTCATGTACCTAGCGTCGATACCGTCGAAAGACAGCATCTCGATAAGTTTTTCTCTCTGCTCCGGTGTCGGGATTGACCTTTCTGGTTGTAACGTACCGTCAAAGGATCCATCAGCGCAAACGTCCTGAGCTGTTCCACTCTTCCTCGATAATAGAGATTCGTCGACCCTGCGGAGCTCTGCTGCAACCTTCCGAAACTCGGGATCATCGTTCCCGCTAAATCTGCACATGTCGACATGATCTGCGTGGATGTGGACCACCCTCTCCTGGCGGCGATCGTTGATGCAAGAAGATGAGTCTTCCACGATCTGAAATGAAGTTAGCACCCCGGTAACGTGGCTCCATGGCCCCAGCTACGCTGGTAACCACAGCACGAGATTTTGCTGACCTTGCGAGATAACACGGTGTGTGCAAGCTCTTCCTGGAATGTATGGACAACCCAGTCGTTCTCATTGATCATTGATTGGAAATCATCCCTCAAGAGGATCAATCGCTCAGCAGCGGGCATTAAAGTCTGTACGATCTCATGGTTGACCCTCAAACCGAGCACCTGCAATAGGTTGGTGAGAGCTCGGAATGTGCTGTTAAGAGGGTCTGCCCCTGCATGTGGTGTGCCAAAGAACAACAGGTTGGTCGTAGATTCGTATACTAACGAACGATCCGGTTGGTGTTGCGCATAGCCCTTCGAAAGTCTCAATGTATCCTTGACAAGCAGACCCCCTAGGCTATGGGCGACAAATATCAACGGGCGTGTTGGATCTCGTCTACAGGCTTCGAGAGCGGAAAGAAAGTCGTTGGCATGGTCGATTAGCCGATTCGCACTGTTTGGGCTGGAAAGGGAGTGTCGGATGTGAGTATCGTATCCAAAGGTCAGCACTCGGGCTTCGGGGACGATGTGTGGCACTAAATCTGCATGTTGTTCTTCAGCGTTGCTCAACTTCGTGGGAAAGGTATAATAAACCCTTCGAAGTCTCCGTACACGTCTCCTTCGCCAAGCGAAAGGTAGGTGTAATAGAAATGGAATAAGCACGCTGGAATAAGCATCGAAGATGACTTTGCAGCTATGAGCTACTTATTCCTGTCTTATTATTCCAATATCCCCAAATCTTCAGGTGTGAGATGGAATCCTTCCAACATGGCGCGCATAGAGACTTATGATGGCTGAGTGTAACGCGAAGAAGCTCACCTCTTGGCCAATAGACATGTCCAGGTCTCTCAGACGTTGCCTCTGGAACATCCAAGCTATCGCTGGTATTGCTTTGAGATTTCGGCCGAATGAACGAGTCGACGAGCCTGCGTTTGAAGGGATTACTGGATCCACTCGTCGGTGCTTGTCGTTTCGTTCGTTTCTTGGACTGCCAGGCGAGTTTGGGGTGACCGGTGAAGCCATGGACGAAGCAGATACTGAGGGAAGAGATCAGCTAAATTGACCAAGTCAGTCGAACGTAGGTATACTAGGCTATCGACCTACTCAGCAATTGGAGAAGAGGGGACATAGAGCTCCGTTATGCCGGTGGGATGAATCTCGACCATGCGGGTCGCGCCCGGCTCTGGAGAAGTCGGGTGTGCCATTTGGTGTTCCCGATAGAAAGCGCGGCATCAAAGTCAGAAGTTGAAAGTTGTATGCCCAGACCCCGGATGTTTGAGGAGGTCAATTCAAGCGTTGGCGGAACAGAGAAGAGCTCACAGCCTTACGTCGCCGATGAAGATGACAAGAGTAAGGTAAAGAACAACATCTGGTGGGGAAGAAATCGGATTGAGAGGCAGGAGCTACCTAGTAAACACACTGATGCAGTCGCTCCCTCGCTCTTTCTCGGTCTGCTCAACCAGTGATGAAGCAGGAGAGACGAGGGCTCCCATGGCTGCCTTGCGCGGAGTGTCTGTGTCATTGCAGCTGCATACTCAGCCCATATTTACCTTAGGTATGCATTATATTTTCCGCGAATGCAGCCAAGCTGGAGCCTCGCTTGGCTCATTGGGTCACAACCCCGGGGACAACCTGAGCCACAAATCCACGATTGGCCAGCCAGTCTGACCCCGCCATTGAAAAGTTCTGCTTCCCTGCCTCCTCACGCCCGACGGAATAGTGAGGAAGTGTTCGATCCCGGCAGTGAGTAGGCTGAGGCTGACTGCCCCTGAAGGAAATGATGAGAATAGTCCGGGGAGTCGCAGATATAGAGAGAGTGCACGGGAGCACGTCGGAGCAGCAACATCAAAGCGCCACCAGGAAAGGAGCTTATGTCTGGGGATTGATATAGAAGAGGTCTTGATACTCGAATCTAAGTATCGATCCTGATTCCTGACTCTCATAGTCTCTCATAGCTTGATGAATTTCGGTCCTCAGTGGTGGAGAGTAAAAGGGTCACGATGGAGACGGTCGGCGCGAGTTGAGAATGTGCCGAAGGCTGATTGACGAGCATCCCCTTACGACTGGTGACTATCGCAATACTTGGCTAGTATCTTGCCGGTATCGCGGTCCCCTGCATCCTTCTCATTTATCAGTGCAACAGCAACCGATAATATCGATGCGATCGGACAAGCTGTTGGTGATTTGTGGATCAGACTGGTGTTCGGCACCGATGAAGAAAGAATACAGATGGACAGAACAGAAAAGGGCAGGCCCCCGACACCGTGGATCAGGTTCGGTATCTATCATATTAATAGCAGTGCTCGAGTAAATGATGCACGATGAGCGAGCCGAACCAGACGTTATGAAGTCCTATGCTCGAATCTTCGAGTGAAGATCCATCCCGAGTTGAGAATTCGGGTACCAGATCTACCAAGCGAAGCTCTCATTATGCCACCAGACCTGCCTGCCCTTCTTGACCCAAACTCCAACATACGATCTCAGCTCGCGAGCCATCTCTTCTGGCCCACACACTAGAACCGCAACTCGGTCTTCGACGCCTTGTTTGAACACATCGTCCACGATCTTCTGTAGATTGGGCCGGTTACGGTTGTGGGTAGAAGCGGATTTGCCGTCCGTCCGGGCCTTGGATATTGTGTCCATCTCCACCCCTTCGCTTGCATCGCTAGGTCCGGCATTGCTGCTCCCGTCCTCGAGCAGGTTTCCGGTGAGGAACAGCTGGACATTGTTATCTTCGAGAATACTGGTCTCGCCTTTCCCAGGCATGGGCCATGTCGCGTCGCCGGCTCCTCGTACTGCCCAGACCATTTGCACCCTGGCTGCCGGGTTCTCGTGCAGGATCGAGCGGTAGATGGGCAGTATGAAGGTAGCACCGACGCCGCCGGCAACCAGCAAGACTCGATCGAATTCCGAGCTTGCGAGGCTTGGGAACCGAGTAGCACATCCATAGGGGCCTTCCAGAGTCAGTGGAACCTTGGTGTCCGCGGAGCTGGCGTTCGCAAAGTTGGCGAAAGCTCTGGTCATCGGGCCGTCGTGACACCGAGCCACTAATGTCAATTCGCCCGCCTCTTCATTAATCGACGCCACAGTAAACGGACTAAAGACAAACTCGAAGACCAAGTGCGCGGTCGCGAGAGGGTTCTGACTCGGTCGAGATGTTGTAGGGACATTGAGGTAGACGTGCGAGCCGGGAGTCTCGCGGAACCGGCTGGCCGTCTGAGCTGGAACGCTAGCCACGATCTTGATGAGGTCTGTCCCCGGAATGGCCTCTAACGACGTCTTGGCAGTGATAGAGTCGTACTTACGCTTCGCTAAATCCACGATGAATACCACTAGGGCTTCCGCGACATAGAATGACGATGAGCGTGCGTGGAAAAAGACGATTAGAGGGAGTGCAAAAGCGACTATGATATGTGTGATGAAGAATACTCGGTAGGAGTACTGCCGCACGAAGGAGAGAGCAGTAATGTTGAGCACACTCATGCCTGCGAACGCCGCAATACCAAGAAGTGGAACAAGTTGGACAAGCTTGTTGCTGAGGATCCCCTGTTGGATATAGAAATTGAGGTACAAGAAGGCATGAAGTGTCAGCAGGAGGTAGATGATAAGGCCGAGCACACGGTGCCAACGATTGACCTGCTCATGTGATGAGTTGAAGGCGAAGGCCAGCGGATTGAGATTCTTCAGGGCCATGAGGTATTGGATCGGGAACTGAGAGATGGCAACGAAGCCCAGTCGTTTGGTGAGATGAAGGTAGTCTGCATCGCGTCAGTCGTGCTCATCTAGAAGCTCTCGTGGCCCTTCCTGTCGCCGATAGAGGATCCCACGGACGGAAAGATGGGCTTGTACATACCACTACCCGTGCCGGCGACAGAGAGGAACAGCAACCAAAGCGTCCACGCAATCCCTGCAATCATCTGACCCCACTGGCCCCGGCGCTGTCCAAAGACCACAACATCGTCCCCGAGCCACCAGACGGCCTTCCGGATGCTCCGCGACCAAGAGCCCGCCAGGCTCACTCTGTGCTGTTTCTGGCGCGGAGAACCAGACACGGCAGCGTACGCCCCGCGCGATGAAGTCGCCGTCCTCACCAGCCGCGAGCCGAGTCGGAGGACCACGAACACGGCTACCGGGATCAGGGCCGAGACATGTGCGTACGTCGCATACCGGTCGATCGCCTGCCGCCTCGCGAGCTTCTCGGCCTCGGTGAGATCCAGGAAGTGGTACGGCCAGCCCATTGCTGACGGGTAAAGTCGCTGCAGCGTGGGATTGAGGAGTGACCACGCTTCTGGAGCCTCTTCTAGCTACGTACTTGCCGGAACTTAATCAATCAAGATGTTTTTGGCACTGCGCGATCAAAGAACATGGCATGGTTGACAGTCCGTCAGCACGTCGCGAGATGTGTCCGCTCGGTGTATGCCGACAAGCCCCTTGTTCGCAAGTTCGTGTCGCAGGTGTCTTGATTAGTCAACGTGGAACTTGTAGTACCCACAGTGGGTAGTCTCACTACTGTACACCCGACCTAGTGTGCCTTTGTGGTAGCGGAACCAGAACGGAGATCTATCACAAGTCTTGGTTGGGATGATCTGTATTCTGGTTGGTGCTTGGTTAAGTTCAGATGGGAAGGGATCCCATCCGAGAAGTATCTAAATACATAAATTACAGTGGGTTGGTACCTGTCACCTGGGGCAGCCGTCCCAGGTAACCTTATCGTAGAACGCCTTGGATGACAGGAGATCCGATAAGGTACTGGTGGCTGGATCAAGTGGCTGGGATCCACACTAGCAAGATCTCCAGGTTCTGGTTAACTGTCGCTCAACTATTTTATGGATTTTTACTCTTAACGTCATCTTTGAGCTATGGGTCTATAATCGGAGGGGAATTTTAAGGCTTAGGATTATTTCCTCTACCAATTAAAACTATCAAGTGGCCCGCGATTGATTGTCGCTTACCAGGTTGAAGTGTCCGTGAAGTTGGGGAGGTGCCGGGTATTAAACGACGGTACCGTCAGCGGATCCGTCAGGTCCTGTTGCCTGGTGCGGACCCTGACAGGTAAAGTTGGCTGCCCAGTCCCAAAGTTCCGCTAAGAAAAGCGCACGGTCGCTTTATATTTGTATAGGTGGCCAGAATGGTACATAGTTCCGTCTTCCACCACCCCAGTTATCTCAATATGTAAACACTAGCATAGCCATAATATTACTAGGTGTAGAAGCCTTCGGGATGCTGGTAAGTAGCGACGACAATAACAAGCATGTATAAATATATATTGTGAGGATTTGGGTAACTTACATGTCAGGTGTGGTGGCAGCTGACAGCAGTTGCGGCGGACCAGAAGGAGTGGTTAAAGGATGAAAGGGGGGGCGAAGGGATGTTTAGGAACTTGTTACCTATAGCAAACAGTAAAAGTTCTTTCATACCGCAGATCAACGGATAGGTCGGGCATTGCCTCCAGAGTGTGTATTTAGTACTAGATGACAGCCCCTGACCTGTGGGGCGATCATGCAATCAAGACACCAGCATCCTACCCCATAACTTGGTCCTTTTACACATAGAAAAATCTTGGCATGGCTGACCTTTTCATTGCCTGTTGGTTCAAACCCTGTCCCTGTGTGATCCTCTGTGGGTAGATGTCTGTGGGTAGATGTCTGTCGCCGTATGCAGTCATCTGCCTCTTCGTCAATAGTTCCATCTTTTAGCAAACATGATGTCGGGTGGCGACGAACTTTGCATTCCTGTCACAAGGAATGATGAGAATACCGGCTGTTGAGGAGGTAGGTAGAGCAAGGGTAATAGGGTATAAAGATACTCACCATGCATTCCGAACCAACCATTTCCGACAGATACTTGATAACCTGCAACCAACATCGCTCCAGGACCTCGACTGACAGTCTTGACGAGGTTCAACAACGGCCATGAGGTTCTCTTCTTCACTCGTCACCTTGACGCTAGGCCTCGCCTGTACGGTCGTCGGCAAAAGTGTCGAATCCGCACTACCCATAGCTCCAGACACGCAAACCAACAGCACCTCGCAAACCAATGGCGAGTATACAAGTGCATAGTATGTACCTAGCTAGGGCATCACCCGAGGCTCGTATCCGAACAGCCCACTGACAATGCCGCACCAGTGCTGGTGACCTTTACGGGAAGTCCATTTTGGCTTCTAGAGCTGCATACAAATGGCGCCGAGAAAACGCGGGCCAATGGTCTGAAAAGAACCTCAGATCGACGCTCTGCGATAAAGATCTCAAACCAACTTCATGGGACAAGCCGGTCTTGTCTTGGTCCAAAAAATCGCCGACATCGCCTAAGAATTACCTTCCTCGCATCAAAGCGGTGAACCCACGCAGTACCAAGGTGGATGACTGGTTGAAGAATTTCTACGCAGGTTCATATGACTGGTTGAAGAATTTCTACGGAGGCTCCTCAAGCGGCGAAAAATCCGAGAGCAAACATGACGACGAATCTCGAACAACAATTGTCACAGCACTTTACTCCGGCCCGGAAGAGGAATCCCACACCTCGATTGAAACGTACCTGAGGCGGCTCAATCGGCTTGTCGACACTGGCCAGCCGATGCTGGTATACTGCGAGCCATCGTTAAAACCTAAAATCGCATCAATGCGGGAAGAGGACAAGGACTTCCAAATCGTCACCGAGTTCGAGACGATCTGGGACGTACCAACCAACAAGGATCAGAAGGGGAATTTCAATGTCGAGCAGTGGAATATGTTTTGGAGCTTCAAACCTGCCAGTCATAAGAACTACCCTGACGAAGGGTTCAACTTCGCGTTCTTCAGTGCCGTTTATAACGCCAAGGCGTACTTCCTGTGGCATGCCGTGAACCAGAACCGTATCAGGTCCGACACGTGGATGTGGGTAGACGCGGGGCTGCTGGGCTTCGCGGGCGAGGACGACGGCACGGTGGACGAAGATCTCTGGAAGCCCCTGCAGAAGGACTTCATCGACCCGACTAAAGTCAAGAATGCCGTCGAAATAGTAGGGGATGGCGTCGTAATGAGCTTGTATCCCGACTGGAGTAGCCATCCACCCGCCAATTTCAACAATCCCTGCTGGGATCCGAGTCAAAAGACGGCCACCTGGCAATGCGTGCACTTTCTATCCGGCTTGGTACTCGGCACCTCGGTGGCAATGCTGGATTTCGCCGTCAAATACAGTGAGTAGCTGCTGTCGGAGTCATCTCGCCTCGTACCCCGGATGTGTGGGATACGTCATGTGTGCCCAACCCAGACCTTCCATGCGAACTTGGGCCGCCTGGTCCTTTCACTCTTCTTGTGCCTGCCGTTAGAAGCAATCTGCTAACTCTGGCCATTGTAGTGCAGACCTTCGACGAAATGGACGCCAATGGTCTCTACGTAGGCAGGGAGGAAGTGGTTTTGCCATTTCTCGCGGCGAGATATCCAGAATTCATATGGTATACTGCCTTATTACCTACCAGGAGTGTACCGGAAGAGATCAAGTTCATGAGGGTCCCGGGACTGGCAATTACGTGGTCGGGCTGGCCTAAGGAGTATATATGGCCCGGTCAGGCGGCGCCCAGGGATCCGATTAAAGAAGTGTTCTGCGATCAACGCTGAACGAAGCCTAAGCCCGAACACGTTATCGCGAAGGCGACGATATAACGTCTACCGGACGTCACGAGTACACAAGCCCGATAATTCTTAAAAGGAGTGGACACGGAGTCAAGAGATTGCCAGCCCTTGAGGTATGAAGATGACTTCGGAATAAAGGTTGTACATTCTTAGCTAGTCTCGTCCCAGTGGACCCTAGGGAGAGCCAGTGTAATAGATGGGAAACCAGCTGGTTGCTGGAGGACTGTTGATCAGTCGTTTTAATCTTAAGTTGATGATTACCCTGTTGATGAGCTATGTTCGAGACGAGCCTCAAGCCTCTCTCGGGAACCTTACCCCTCCCTACCACCTTCGTATTCGGTCAAGCAAATTGCCTTTTATCAATGTACTGTCCTGTGGCAAGTTAGTACCACCGACACCAAACCATCAAGACGCCTCCGCAGCGCGACCCGGAGTAGACTGTCACTTACCATCATGCCCTCCCACCCAACACAGCTCAAGATCCAAGCAACAGTCGACAAACCGCCCTTCCAGACAACATGTCTAACCGCCGGCCTCAACAGCTCATCCACCACATTCCTTGCATAAACCTCGACGTCCATAAACCGGGCGCTCTTCAGCATCTTCCTGCCCTCGATGAACTCCCTCGCGGGGCCGTACATGCTGTCGTCCGGCAGCCGCGTCGGCGGCGCATTGTCGAACAGCCCCGTCCTCACGCTGCCCGTCTTGACCGTGACGACCCGCACACCCAGCGGCGCCAGCTCGGTCCGGATGCTCGCGCCCAGACACTCGACAGCGGCCTTGGACGCGTTGTATGCGCCGAGGAAGGGCGGGCGCAAGACGGCGTTGACGCTGCCTAGGTTCGCCACGATGGCATCACTAGCCCCACCACCTCCTCCACCATTCCCCCCGCGCGCAGCCGCAGCCGCAGTAACCAGCAACGGCACGAAAGCCCGCGTCACGGCGAAAACCCCCAGCACATTGACCTCGAACACGCGCCGTGCGTCAGCGACGTCGGTGTCGGCGAATGGCATGATGTGCATGACGCCCGCATTATTGACCAGCATGTCGAGCGTGCCGCCCGTCGCTTTCTGGACGTGCGCCATGGCCGCCGCGATCGACGACGCGGACGTGACGTCCAGGACGAGGGTCTCGGTGCCCAGGGCGCGGAGGGGCTCGAGGTCGGTCTCCGAGAGGCCCGTGGCGAAGACGCGGTGGCCCCGCAGGTGGAACTCGGTCGCTAGGGCGGCGCCGATGCCGTGGGGGCTGCAGCCGGTTATGAGGACGGATTTGAGGGGCATCTGGGGTGAGAGGTTGGTTAGTTGGGGGATGGAAGTGCTTGAGATGAGTTTGAGACGTCTGCGATTGGGAAGAGACTGTATTTATGGTGAGCGCAATGGTGGCACATTAGATGACTGCCTAAGTTAGGTCAAGGATCATCGTGGGCACGACAACCGCGCCCATGTACGGCGCAGCACCCGTGCCGTAAAACAGGCGAATATCATTGGCAATCCGATGCTTCAGCAAATTGAATTGATTAGGAAGTACAGTTGGTCATCGTACTAAGGTTAGAGACAGCACCGTGCAGAATCATGGCTGCCCAAGTCAAGGATATGATCCTCCTCACTCCGAAACTTACATCGCTCCTACTTGTGCCCCGCACCATTTTCACCTCGCTATGTGGTGGTCCAACAACCATGAGGCGTTTCTGACGCTGCTATGCCTCATAGCCCACATGATGGGGGTTCTTCCCTCGGCATTTACGGCGTGGATGTCTGCACCGTTGTTTACCAGCTGGTTTATGATCTTTTCGTTATCCTTAACGGCCGCCGCGACGTGTAGCGGCTGCGCCGAGCAAAAACCAGGTGCCGGGTTCCTCGCGGTATATCCTCGCGATAGCAAGGTTTGGACGATGAAGATCGCCTTGCTCATGGCGCCAGATGGAGAGGGTTGACAAAGTGGCTCTCAATATACTGGCCGGTTGCAGGAAATTCGTAATTAGTGGCCGTGCTTTTTGCTAACAGGTTTGCAATGCGGTCGTGTCATGAAGTTATGGCGAGACTAAGCGCAGTCTTGTTAATATAACCTTTGGCCGCGAAAAGGATGGGGACAGATGCTGACTGGAGCGGAATACTAGCCATTGGTTGTATATATAGTGCGACCTAAGTTCTGTCGCCCATCAGAGGGTCTTTGACTGACACGACCGCGGATCGCAGCGTTGCGTCTACGAAGCATCCGCCGTCGATAAGTTCGCGAACAATCTCGACATGTTCCTTGTCTGTCGCCATGTGCAGGGGCGTTTAGCTTGCTGAACCTCTCGTGTCCATGTACGGTGGAAACACCTCGCGCGCTGCCTTAATGGCCTTCTGCGCCACCTTAAGGTCTCCGCGTCTGCGGGCCAACTGGAGCGCGGTGAACGTCATGGTGAGCATTATCTTGGAGTCTTCTGCAAATCTTTCTATACAGTTCAGGCTTTTGTACGAGTTCGCACAGAACGCTTTGCCTCGCTTCGTGGCGTGCTTGACCTGCATATCTCTTATCGTCTCTACATCGCGGCGATATAGGAAGGGCTCGACAAGTCCGTAGAGGTTTCGGCTAGCGAGTGACAGGCAGGCCAAGTTTCTAACCGGCAGCGCGAAATTCCGAGCCATGTACCATAGGATGCCATCCGGTAGTCGTTGATCATCGCTAACCGCGCGTCGAGAAAATTCGCCGTGCATGTTGAGGTCAATCGTTCCTTGTAGGACTATTGACGGGAGAGAGAGAAGTGAAGTGAGAAGTAGATGTACATGACTTGGGTGGGGGACGGGAGAGTTGGCGGTAGAAAATCTGAAATTGATTAAAAATTCAGAGATCTTCCTCGGACAAAAGCGCTGACTGCGAGAGAAATGATCCGGGATGAGAACGTAGCTGTACGTGAGCTGGCGGTGCAGACGTTCCTAGAAGGAAGAGCCGGCGGGTACAAAGTGATCCGTAGATGAAGAGCAAGCTGTACAAGAGCGCGCTGTATGAGCTGGTCGAACAGGGCAGGTCGTAGTCAAGATTGCCGTAGAAAAGCTGGTCAGGGTGAGAAACTGGTACATTGGCGAGTTGGGGATGGAGCGATGGTGAATGGGAGAATTGGTAGAAGGGAAAATGGGTAAAGGGGCACGGTCACCAGGAGCAGCAGAGGTACGTACTCTGATCAGAAAGTCCCGCGGGCTTTTCCGTCTGATCTGTAGCCCGTACACACTGGTTCAGGTTGTGCTGACTGTACCGCAGATGGCTCCTCTTCTCGATGAGCTCTCTGCGCCCGTAGTACCGGATGGATCGACGATCGATCTGGCTATTGTTGGATGAAGCTCTGAATGGTGTGTAGGTGTTGTACAAAGTTTCGTTCGTGCGAAAGCAGATGAGAAAGCCGAACTTAGGAAAGTGGGAGTTCAGATAATGAAAGCTATTTCCGACATTGACTATAACTCCAAATTCTCATCTCTATTACCGTATCCCGATGTGAGAACCGTTTCCCTCAAGCACTGAGTCCGTGCCCACCTTCCCTGACCTGCTCATGCTATTAGCAAAGCAAGTCTAATCGCACATCTACCAGTAGAACTTTCGTCTCGTCTCACCAAGATATAAGTCCCAGCTCACGATTCTCAACTGCTCGTGCGATTTGCGAGCAGGTTCAAACGGCCTCTGGTTTATATCTCTCCATCATGGTTGCGATATCCGGTGAACAGATCTTCGCGTGGTTGTACGCAGTAACACCAAGTGTGTCACAGGCGGTGAAGTATATGTTGTTTCTGTCCCGCTTGAGAAACGCCTCGACGATTCCTTCGTCGACCCCAGAAGTGATGGCGATATGTAGATAGGTTGCGGTATCCTGGTAGCTTGTGAGGGACGACGCGGTAGCCGCCGGTGCTGACTGGACTGAAAGGACGGATTGATGGCCGAATAGTTTATGTAGTAAAGGAGCGTCCGGCGCGCACTGCCGAACGTCGCGCGGGCGATGAACATTTATAAGACATAGTTTAAAACCCATAGGCGACCTTGAGACACGAAGCGCTCAATCAGCACCTTGGTAATAGGGAGGAGCGCATCGTGTTGACTCGCTTTGGCAAACAAGATGCGGATTGATCGTCCGATGTCCGCCGCGTCCTCGTGATCCAACAACCTGAACAGCAATACTGCTGGATATCTAAGTTTATAAGCAGGGTAATAGATATGACTAATTATCGCAGTTAGCGAAGCACCACGGGCATTACACGTCTTGAACCCATAGTCCGGACGGTTCTTGCTGTAAGGATACCGTTACTTATAGATACTTTCGTATTTACGTACATTCTAAGTCGCACAGCTTCGATCCAAGTTCACAAAGACGAGACAATGTTAGAAACACTGCAATTATGCCAAAAACAGCTATTTTTCTTGGCGCCCCGCTGTTAGGGCGCAGCCTTGATTCTTGCGCTAAAATAGGCACTTCTTTCAGTAACTGACTATCTTTGCCAATATATAAGAGACTTTTTTTCACAAGCCGGATGGCACCCTTTCACGACGGGCCCCCAAACACGCCCGTGGCCGTCCTAAAGACGACTACCGGCGGCATGCTCAAATCCCCGGCCCCTAGAAAGACATACAGCCCGGCAACTCCGAGCAGGCTCCGCCAAGCGCTGCTTGACGACACCAGCAGCAGCCCGTCACAGGTCTCCGAGGCTGACTTCACCGTTGTTTCCCCTCTGAAAGGAAAATCCCGAAATATCAATGACGGCAGCACCACTGGAATGAAACAACCTTAATTGAACAAAATCTCTACAGATCAAGCCTCTTCTTCAGAGTGCCAAGACCAAGTTGCCAAGATACTGGCTAAAGACAACACCTCTATGAAACCAGGATAACAATATTTCAGGAGTGTGCTGTAACAGTTGATAAGACACTTAAGAAAGCTGGAACCGAACTATACTCTCATGCCAAGGAGTTCAGCGCTTTTTTCTCTAAATGTCTGAACGAGTGGCTGGAAACCCGAGATCCGCCCAAAAGGAAGACCATTCCTGGGGGGATAGAGATAGTAAAGCTCACCACGACCTTCGCCCAAGCTGTCTCCTCTAGCCAGCGACAGCATCCACGGACAGTCAACACTACCATGAGGAAAACACAGCCTGGCGCCCTTATCACTGCCAACCAACTGACCCGGTGCCCCTCTGGATTTACCTTACACCCAAGGGACAAGCCAACTCAGGCTAAGCTTCTGGCTTTCCAAGAAGAAATTGCCGACATTCTCAAGGCACAAAAGATTGAGACCCACACAGTCTGGCATCATTACAAGGTCGATGGATGCCCAAGAAAGGTCATCAGTGCAGAAGGGTTCACAATTGATATTACCGACACTGTTGTTACTGATGAAGTTGAAGCACAAACAGGCGACAGACCTCTGAGGTGCATACTCTCAAAGAACACGATTGATTCTGATCTAGAAACCACGTGGATAATCTCTCTGCCCAGTGCAGCAAGGAAACCATTCACGCTTTTTGCCCACTCAATGACCTCAAGGCATATTCAACACACCCCCAAGGTTCACCAGTGTGCAAGCTGCTTCAGATACCATGGTAGGAATTACCGATGCGAAAAGCAAGTATGTGCACACTGCGCCAACACAGCACACCAGGGAGAGTGCGAAAAACCAATCCCAAAGTGTGTCAACTGCAAAGGACCTCATGCTGCCAATTTCAACAAATGCCCTGCCCGCCCCAAGATTGTGAAAGGTACCATCCATAAGCACACATGGGAGCAAATCCAGGAAATAAGGCTAGCCGGAGAAAGAGCCAGATCCAAGGCCTTTAACGAAGCAGGCAGAAACCAAGCTGGGTCAACACCCAGCAATAATAACAAAGACACCACAATGCAAATCGACACAACAGATACAACTCATCCCAGAGATGCCGATACCATTGTTGTCAGTCAATGTTAGGTACATCAAACAAAACACATCGACACAGGCACCTAGTCATCCATTCTATGAATACAGCAGGAGGACAAAAGAGTGCAGGCCCTACAGAGTTAGCCATCAACCTGGCTGACTACAAAGGAGAACAAGCAGACATCATTCTGATGCAAGAGCCCTGGGTCGGCATACCACCAAGCAGGAGAATGGGAGTAAAGACACACCCCAATTACAATATATACTCCCCAGTGGATTCCTGGGACAGCGACAGTACACGGCCCAGATCTCTCATCTATGTGAGAAAACACCTTCAAGCGGATCAACTTCGGCCCTATGTTACACGAGACATCACCTGGGTCAAGGTACAAGGCATCATTTTTGCCAGTGTCTACCGACCATGTGACAACCCACAGGAAGTGGATGACATTCTGGAAGTATGGACTCCACCTTTTGGCTGTGTTATCGCTGGAGATTTTAATGCTGGCGACACATCCTGGGACTCGAACAATCCAGGATATCATGGTGGTGTCATACTTGCACAGACTATGGCAGACCACGGACTGGATCTGATTTCTGAACCAGATGTCCCAACACATGACGATGGAAATGTACTGGATCTGGTGTTCTCAGATGTCCCCATGGCTGAAGCCTCAATCAATGATGCACTTCAGTGCACCTCAGATCACGAGACATTACGAATAGTCATTCCAATTCAGAGAGATCGGGACCGAGTTTCTAAGGCCAATCATTGGATAGTACCGGACGACAAACTACAAGAGCTGGCAGACAATGTCCAAACCAGGATTCATGAACTCCCCCAGCTAGGTGTATCCCCTGGCCAGGTGGATAGATTTACACAAAGCTTGAGCAACATGATTCAAGGCTGTATCAGGACAGTGGGCAAGAAGCCCGGTCAATCTAGGCCCACTGCTTGGTGGAATGATGACTGCAAAGCAGCTGCTCAGACATACAGGGCCCTTTCTAAACAGACCACAAGCCAAGAAGGGCGAAATTCAGCCCGACAGGAATTTCGCTGTGTGGTCCGAAAAGCTAAGAGAGAGTACTAGCAGACTCTAATTGATTCAGCGACTGAACCAAAAGACCTGTACAGAATTGTTTCCTGGCACAAGCTGTCAGCAGGATTACGTTCCCCACTAATCATTATTGGGGACCAAATCTATGAGTCACAAGAGAGCAAAGCAAATGCACTACGCTTAGCCACGCTTGAACGAAGCACCCCAGACAACGATATCACCGACCCCTGGTCTGTTCAGATCACACAAGCCAAGCCACACATCCCCCTCGAATACCATGTCGAACTAGAAGAGGCTGAAGGGTGCACTATAGGGACCAAGAGCAACTCCCCGGGAGTAGACACCCTCACAGTACGGATTCTGAAAGCTTGCTGGCCAGTCATTGGGGAGCATATCAGAGCCCTTTTCCAGACCTGTCTACAGATTGGACACCACCCTAAACCATTCAAAGTAACTGAGATAGTGATGATCCCAAAACCAGGAAAGAAAGACTATTCCAATCCCAGGGCCTACAGACCAATATCGCTATTATCATGTCTTGGCAAAGGCCTAGAATGACTCATCACAAAAAGAATTGCCTGGTTTGTTATCAAACTTGGAATCCTAGCTCCACAACATTTTGGAGCTCTACCAAAGCGTTCTGCCACCGACTTGGTAGCTGCACTCATACACGATATTGAGCAGGCCCTTGACCAAGGCCTTGTTGCAACGGTAGTCACAGCAGATGTGACAGGGGCCTTCGATGCTGCCCTAATGGGACGGCTGGTGGTTCGCATGAGAGAACAGGGCTGGCCAGGCTTTCTCATAAGATGGGTCCAGTCATTCATGTCTGAACGATCCGCAAGAGTTCGGTTTGAAGGTATTGTGACCGATATAAAAGCCCTCACTTATGGGCTACCACAAGGCTCACCAGCTTCTCCAATTCTTTATATGCTATATACAGAGCCAATCTGTGCCCGACTCGGGATGAAAAAAAGACGCTTTGGATATGCAGACGACCTAACAACTCTCTGCATTGGAAAGGACCTCAAAGAAACAGCCAAAGAGGCTTCTGAAAATCTTTACCTGCTTAATCAATAGGGACACGACAACGCTATTGAATTTGATCCCGACAAAACCGAGATCATGCATTTCTCACGGAAAAAGAACTCAGACAATCCTCCGGTCCGCCACAGGACAATGAACAGAACAGCAAAGAACTCCATGCGATGGCTGGGTGTCTTCCTGGATAGAAAACTGAACTTCAAAGATCATGTTTCCTACTGGGCCAAGAAAGCTAGTAGGGTAGCAAACCACATTCGAGGACTATGCAACACAGTCAAAGGACTTCCAGTAAAGTCAACCAAGAAGGCTGTGAAAACTTGTGTTATTCCTATTCTTACACACGGCCTGGAGGCCTGGTACCCAGGAATGGAAAAAATTGGGAGCTTAGGTGGGACATCAGCATGTCGCATTAAAAGGCTTCTTGGAATGATAGATGCTGTACTACGAACGGCAATCAGAGCTATCCTGCCGGTCTGGAAAACACACCCTGGGCATATCCTATACTTTGAATCACAGATTCCTCCAGCAGGAATTCTTGCAGAGTCAATAAGAAGACGTCACGGCTTCCGACTCGGAAGAGTAGACCAGAGACACCCTCTTGTTGGCAGGCTCCAAATACAAGCTCGCAAAGAACCAACAAGGCTACAAAGAAGCTTCCAACTAGTCCCTGACTTCCAGAGACCAATACTCACCAAGCCATCATGGAAGAAGGCCCCAGTCCGTAAAGACAAGGACAAAGAAACAGAGCTCTTCAAGCAATGGTTACAGGAGAAAAATGCGAACACTGACCTTGTCATCTACTCAGATAGATCACAATTGGATGACCAAGGCACAACCCGCACTGAATGGGGTTATACCATCAGGAAAGGCGGCACTGCACAAGAAGTATACCGGGGAAGGGGCAGACTTCTACAAGCAGAAGTAGTGGATGCTGAAGTCCATGATGCTCTCCAAGGTCTTGCAGCAGCCAGAGCAATTGGATACAGAAAACAGTTATATGTCTGCCTGGACAACACATCAGTGGTAGATGGGCTCAATGGGACTCCACCCGAGACATCACAGAACATTTTTCTACGGTTTCAAGAACTTGCCACAGCACACACTCCTGGAGTGACCGTCAAGTGGATTCCTGGACACAGAGATATTGATGGTAATGAGGCTGCTGACACACTAGCAAAAGAGGGCGCCATGCTAGAAACAGACACAACAAACCTTCCCACAATCTCTTGGGTCAAGAGAGATCTCAAGAAAAAGGGCAAGAAAGAGTTCAATCAATGGTAAAAAGACCAATCAGAACCTAGATATCAAGAAGTATACTCACATACAGTAACTAAAAGAGGCCTTATATCTTTTAAGAGGAGCACTCTACACAGACTTCTAGCGGCCAGATCTGGACATGGCGACTTTGCCAGATACCACGAACGCTTTGGGCATACAGACTCAAATAACCACTGCAGATGTGGTGAAAAGAAAACACCACAACATATTTTCTTTTGTAAGAGGCTGGGGAAAAATCGGTTATTGCCTAGGTACTCGCCTAGGACAGCCTGTTTACAATACTTGGGAGAGAGGAGCACAGAATGAGCAAAATTCGTAGAGAAGAGCAAGTTCTTTTCAACAATCTGTCTCCGATAGATAGCTGTTCCTGAAGGACCAGATGGATGACCCCAAGGTCATACCGCCGCAATAACGGGGATGGGCCCGTGAGCGGGACTGACTGTACTTATTTTCTTGAGACCTCCACAACCCTGCGATGCAGAGGCTCTGGGAGGCGTGGTCTGCACTACTGAGGAGCTACCCCCCACGTTAATACAAAACAAACAAACAAACAAACAAACATCCTGAACGTTCAATACGTGACCATAAATCTTCCTTCCCATGGGCCCAAAACGCTTTCAGAGACATGGAACGCTTGTCAGCAGGGTGCTGGGTTCGGTAGATCTCCGTCACATCCACGATCCTGGGCGAGTGGATTTGGCGTGTTCGAATGCTGTGACGCCAAGCGTGTCTCGCGTCGTGAAGTAGATGTCATCGGTTGCTTTATTGAGCAGCGCCTCAACAACGTCATCGCCTGCATCGGAAGTAATGGCGAGGTGGAGATATGTAGCAGTCGCATAGCGTTCTGAGGGGAGCTGCCAGTTTGTTGCAGGTCTTGCTCGTTGAGCTGAAAGAGCCGGGTAGATAGCCGGGTGATTGATCAAGTAGAAGACGGTCTGCGGCAAATCGGTGGCCTTCTTGGCACCGAGGAAACACTCCAAGAACCAGTCGAGAACCCAGAGGTCGCCTCGGGCCACAAAACGCTCGACCAGGCTCTTGGTGACAGGAAGGAAGAGATCCTTGAGAAAGGTCTGCGCCAACATATCGCAAAGTCGCTGTACGGTATCCGTCGGATCCTCTTGGTCGAGCAACCACTGTGCGTTTCTGACACAACCATGTTTGATAGCCCAAGTGAAAGGAGTTCTTCCTTTCGCATCAACAGCGTGAAGGTCCGCGCCACTACTCATCAATTGACTCATGATGCCTTCGTTGTTCTCGACGCGTGCTGCCACGTGGAGCGCTGACACATCTTCGAAGCCGCCTGCTTTGGTCGTTGCGTCGCATCCTCGAGCCAGTAAAACGCGGAGGACGGTAGAATTCCTGGTCATGGCTGCCATAAAGACCGGACCAACGAAGCGGTTCGCGATATATGAGCTGGTCAGAGGGAATTCGTGAGCAGTGACCGTGCGCTCTGCCAGTATCTTTGCAACGGAATGATGACCAGCTCTGATTGCGAGGCCAAGCGCATCCAGGAAGATCAATTCATCAGGCACAAACTGAATAGGGACCATTTCTGACTGGTACTTCTGGTTCGATCGCATTTGGCGGGCTGTCAGCGGAGTTCTGAGGTCCTTGATAGGCAAGGCCGTCACTCTCAACGGCGCTTCTGCGAAGGATCCAGCGTCGAGCAGTGCGCGAACAACATCAATGTTGCCATTCTGTGCAACAGTCTGCAGGGGGGTGATTCCCGCGAAGTCTCTCATATCGATGTAGTCCGGAAAGACCTCTAGTGCCGCCTTGATGGCTTTCTCCACCGTCAATCGGCTGTCGAATTTGCAACCCCATTGGAGAGCGTTATTGTTGCCAGACCGCGTCAAAGCCTTGTCTTTCTCGATACGCTTTGCGAATTCGGAACTCTCATCCGGGGCCGTGCCGGACAGTTGGCCACGTCTTCTCGCCTCATGCTTGGCCTGGTAACCCTTGAACAACTCGACATCGGAGCGGTAGAGGATGGGCTGGACGATTCCCTGCATGGTTCGGCAGGTGCGGGGCAGACATGCCATGTCTCCAAGTGGTAGGGTGAAGTTTCGGGCCATGTATCAGAAGAGATCATCCGGCAGTCGCTGTTCGCCATTCGCCTGTCGAGAAGATGTGGTATCCATGCTGACGTCGCTGTCTCGTACGAAAGATAGTGGTAGGAGAGATGAAGACAGGAAACTTCATAGTGGATGGAAGTTCTGTGGAAGGAGAGTTGGCGAGACGAAAGTAGGTAAGAAGAGAGCTGGCGAGAAGAGAGTAGGCGAGATGAGAGTAGGCGAGATGAGAGTAGGCGAGATGAGAGTAGGCGAGATGAGAGTAGGCGAGATGAGAGTAGGCGAGATGAGAGTTGGTGAGACGAAAGCTAGCAATGGAAGATTGGTCAGTGGGAAAGTGGTTGGTGGGAGATAGGTCACTGGGAGACTGTTCACTGGGAGATTTCACGGGTGGCCAAGTAGTCGGGTGGGTGACTAGTCAATGGGAGAGTGGGAGTGGTTGGAGAGCGAGGTGGTCAGGGGGGTTGTAGTAGATGGGGAGCGGGGAGCAGTGGCAGTAATGGGAATCACCAGGAGTACGTATCTCAGGTATCTAGTCGGATGGTTCAGATCAGCGAGATTCGCTGCCTTCGTCGACCTTCCCTGAAGCCTCAACGACGTAATTCAGGATGCAGTTGCTGCGCAGTAGGTGTGACTTCTTCTAGAGCTCTCCACAGTCGTCGCACGAGATGAGAGGTGAGAACCGTGATGCTGTTGCCAGACCAGGCTCCGAATGTTATCTCGTGGTTCCGTAGACTGTGGTTAGTATGGAAGATCATAAAGTTGAAGGTGGGAACCTGGTTGAGAGAAAGAGGGAGGAAAGGAAGTGGAAAAAGGGGAGAGGGGTGTCTTAAGTAGTAAAAAGAGAGGAATCTATTCCCAAGGCCCACTCAAGTCTTGCACTCACTCCTTATCTATCATAAATTATGGGACAGCGGGCTTATCTATCGTGATATAAATGGGTCTGCGAACACTGCGATTATATGGTGGTTGGCGGGTGTAAGAGGTGCAAGCTGAGTGAGGTGGTGGTGAGGGTGAGGTGACTGGGGTGACGTTCGGGTGAGGGTTGCATGCTTGCTACAAGATAGTTACTAGTTAGAGGGAATGTAGACCGTGCTTCCTTCGTGTGGGGCCACATCAAAAGAACCAGTCGATCCCAAGTTACCACAGCTCCTCCCACGGACAGCATCGCCAACAGGACTGTCGAATCACCGGTAGCATTAATCGGCTATACCACCTGTGGTTTCGGCTATAATCTTAGCTGGCACCGGCCTGCTGGCGGGCAACGCCATGTTCGGTAGCGGAGGAACCTGCAAAACAGGCACATATTATACATGGTCGAAGTGCGAATGAGTAATTACTACACCCCGTAGAGTTGGCCCAGGTAAAACAAGTCTTTTAAAGAACGCAAGGCCGCATGGGTATACGGAGAACGTATGAACTAATCTATACCGGACAGTAAAAATGGCATCGTAAATCATGCCGTATCATTCATGAGCCAGTGATCCCCTGTCTTTCCTCAGCCAGTGCTGGCAGCTCTCCGCGTCTAGTGGTAGGGGAGCAACCGCCTCACCTGGCAACAAGATGGAGAAGCGAAACCCAGAGATCCTAATACTAGGAGCACATGGACTTGAGCAGAAAGAAGCTGTGCTGGAGTTCTCAGGAGGAGGTCTGACTTACAAGATGATGTTGGTACACCGAAGTATCAAGAGGAGTCAGAAGATTGAAAGCGATGCTGCAAAAGGCGACTGCAGCCAAGCCATCATATGGACAAGTGGTGGTGTCTGGGCATCTCGAGGTCTTTGTTCACTCAGTAACCAACATCGCAGTAGGTTGGTTGGTTGGTTGGTCCGGCTGTGAATCATATCTACTCCACATGTGGGAGAGCTACATCCAAAAGTCAGACCAGGACTTTTGAGCTCTCTGAATCACCGCATCTCTTTCAGCAGTGCACAGCAAAGCCAGCATCAAACACCACGAGCCATACCTCTCTCAACTTGCATCTAGGTGTCAGATAGGCCAGCTGATTGGTCTTTTGTCTAGTTCGCCGGTGACATATCCGAGAATAATCCGTACCTGTACTGCCCTCCAAACAGCGCATGCATCTTCATGATCTGACCTGGTCGTCTTCGCCTTCGTCTCCAGTCCCCCACTCCAAGGTAAGGTGACACATAGACAACCACCCTTGCCAACTTCCATGATTGCTCAATCCCAGTACCAGCTGGCCGACATATTCTCAAAGGACATCCGTCTGCTTCGCCACCTCCAATATCGCACCGATCATTGGCTGTACATCCGTCGCCTTGAGCGGCACCCGATGCGCGCCATCCCACTCGATGACCGTTGCGGTCTCCTGATCACAGTAATGCTCCAGCAACTCGCGATGCAGATGCAACCCTGGGTCCGCCAGACCGTGCACATGGATCGTCGGCAGCCGCAGCACATGCTGCCCGCTCATCATCTCCATCAGGTCCGGCTGGCCACTCAACCCAATCTCCGACGCATCACTCAACATCGACGACTGGAACACGTCCGGATTCAGGTTAACCAGCGGCGCGCGCCCCGCCATCAGCACCGCAAACTTCCACTCCGTGCCCGCGGCAGCGGCGACAGCAGCAACACGCCCCATCTTAGCAACACGCACCTGCTGGCGAAACAGCAGACTCGCGCCCATCTTGGCGCCCTGGCTGAAACCCAGTAGCCCGACCCAAGGCCCTGTGGCGCCCGCGGCGTCGTCGTCGCGCATCGCCTGCGCAAGCGAGTCGTCGAGGGCGCGGATCGCGCTCGCGTCGTCGACGGGCGCGTGGTCCGGCAGCCACCGCAGCCAGCGCTTGAAGGGCCCGTCGTTGGCGTACACCGTGACGACGTCCGGGCCGGGCGCCGACGCGAAGGGCGCCTCGGCGTAGGCGAGGTGGAAGTAAGGCTCTAGCATCCGCTGGACGACGCGGCATTGGGCGCGGAAGATGCGCGCGTTGGTGCCGCCGCCGTGGAGGCAGAGGATGCGTGGGAGGTGTAACGTTGGGTCGGGCCGGGGGGCGCCGAAGCGGTTGGGGGTTGTGCTGCCCATGGCTGGGTGGTGGTTGTGATGAGATCCGGAGATGGAGGTTTGGTCTTGATGTTGACTTGCGTGTTTAATCCCTCGAGCTGGGCTTCACTGCCCAATGGAGCGGTCACCGTGGTGGAGGAGTAAACTCTGACAGCCGGGACCTTGGTGCACGACGGGGGCCTCAGATCAAAGTCGGACGTTGCTGATCAGTTGAAGTGGAGAGCAGTTCCCTCTCATTCCATGTCAGAGTTCAACGGAAATCCAGAGTCTGGATTCCAGACTCATGCATGTCAGCGATAAGGAAGTCGCAAGCCGAAATCCCTTGGGGGTCGAAGGCACGGCCAATCATGGCGTCAGAGATGCTGCCATGGCCGGACTTCGCCAACTTTTGGTTAGTGACGTAAGCAGGATCAACGTACAGTCAGCCTCAATTGACCGGGATGTCACATGCGTAAAGTTCGAGGCTGCATTTGACTGGTGGTTTTGTCTCATTTGATTAATTATCTAGTCGGAAGACCGTTCGCTGGTGAATTTTAACGACTGCGTCTAACGACGCCGAGTCCACATTGATCTGTGATGGAACCTGACATTCATTGCCGGTCTCGATGAAATACGTAAAAAGAGTTCGGCGAGGAAAACATCATACCCAAAGAGTAAACCGCTTATTGTTGTATTTTAGGGCATTTGGGTGCGGCTCTCCCCTTGCGGTCGAGGAGCTTAGTAATAAAATATATCATAAATAATCCAGTAAACTTCTCCGGGCAACCCAACGGAAATCAGTAGATTCCTTATTTGTGAACAGGAATACAATGTGGTAGCTGCACCACGGGAACGAGATTGAGGAGCCAGAGGTTCCCAGTCGCCGTGAAACAGCTCCGGCTCATTAAAAGCGGACCGACTCTTGGAAGTCGATAGTCCCGTGTCAAAAGAACAAACGCTATGCCGATCTGGATGATCTAGGTAGCTTGAGCAAGAGCGTGTCCTGGGAGGCAACGGTATTTCAGGCCCATGTATTCTGGTTTCAAGAACAGATGCAGCCTCCATAGCTCTTGTAGCATGGAGAATAGAATCACTAGAAGCCCGAGTGCCTTGCTAGCTTTCCTGGTGAGCAGCCTGTGGGTTACCGGACGTTTTAGGTCGCGGCAGACCAACAGCTTTACATATGCTGATGACCCTAAACCTCGTAGCAGCTGAAGCACCTAGAAGGCCGGGCCTCAGGTGTGGTATCGTGAGTCATGGGCTGCTTTATTTGCCCCAAACTTCTTCTGTTCCCCCGATGCATGCGACTGCGTCATGCGCCTGGTTATTCTTTGAAAAGGAAAAAGAAACAGGCTTTGGCTGCCGCGCCGTAAAAGTTCCACAATCGAAACGTCTTAAGGTGCTCTATTTGCCACGCAATGCCACCAATTTGAACCTGTGCGGTGGTCTCCCTGCTACTCTCCCCGACGTCGTGATATCTCTGATCTTCTCCACCCTGTGCATACCACAAAAGGAACGTACCTGCGACATGAAGTACTTCTATCTATTGACTACCCCCAGTCGTCCGCTTGCTTCTTGTTACAGAGGTCCGTACCCTCAAAGAAGTTCTATCAAGTTGCATGTTCAAGCAGGACAAAAGTGTGGAGAATATAGTTCGTTTAGAGGAAAGGATGTTCACAAGCAGACCACAACGAATAATTTATCAACCTAAAGCCTTAAAAGCCATCATAAAATTGATCATGATTGAGAACTACCCCCCCTCGACTCTATTCTATGAGTCCTTATATAATTTATTGCATTAAGTTACAGGCTTATGTTATTGAATCAATTTAGGCTCTGCCGCAGCTTACCTTGAGCAAATTACTGATTTTTGTGGTGGCTCATGGCTGGTCTCTGCTCGTCTTCTCACTCAACCTCAACGCCAATATGGCTCCAGCGAAACCTTAGTCTGCTCCGGCACCGTGTTAGTCTGGCATAGCCACGCACTCGCCCTATATGAAGACGAATCCTCCCACGGGAATTTCGCGATGATATTCTTCACCCACCACACACAGATTATCATGCAAATATGGCTTTCTTACCAGGCGAACTTCTTCGCATCATTTTCACAGACGCCGCAATCGACCACGAGGATCTCAAGTCTGCACGACAGGTCTGTAAGACGTGGTATGACCATGCGACGAATCTTCTCTTCCACAGGGTTTGCCTGTTCAAGTTAAAGACTGACCGTGATGCCTTCCTCAACATTGCCGCACATCCACACCTCGCTGCTCGCGTCCGAGTGCTCGTATGGTACGAGCTTGCCGAAGACGAACGGAGCTTCTCGATACCCGATTTGGGGCCCACCACTGAACTTCCCGATGTTGAAGGCCGTTACCTACAGCCCGGTGAAGACCCTACAATGGACGACTTCTTTGCGGACCTACGTTACCAAGTCCGGCATCTTTTCTGGCTTCCGAGAATTGCTTCGCCCGGAAACAAGATTGAGGCTCGGGCGCGATCCATCATCACTCACGCTTTTCAAGTCCAATTGAATTCCGCCTTAGATGCCACGGCTGGCTTGCAGACAATCGCGACACAGCCTATGTCTCCGTACCGAGTACTCACAAAATCTGCAGACGCATATCCTCTGACTGCCCAACTCGTGCAGCGCGGAATGTGTTGGATGGCGCACAAGCCACCGTGGCGTTCAGGGAGGTGGCAGTGCACCAACAAGGCCAATAGGTCATTTTTAGGCCACCGAGCCCACAGACGGATTTTCACAGAAACACAACACTCAAATCAGAATCACCAGAATACACGTTATCAACCAGATCAACCATAACACACGCTGTTTTACAGAATGTACTTCTATCAGCTCAAGATGAACGAAGGCTTCCACAGTATCCTAGCACCGGTAATGACGGAAAGGGCAGCACAGGGCAAGCGATCAGTTAAGCGTCTCTACTTCGCAGACGAGGGCAAACTCTGGTCTAACAAGTCCCTATCTTTATATAAGTCTCTGACTCATGTCGATCTCTGCGTCAGTGCCATCATATCATTGACGGACATGTGGAACTTCGCCGTACGCCTGAGAGCAACATCACAGCTCACCCACCTTCGACTATGCTTTGAGAATCAGAATCTAGGTATCAAGAAGTATACTCACATGCAGTAACTGAAAGAGACCTTATATCTTTTAAGAGGAGTACTTTACACAGACTTCTAGCGGCCAGATCTGGACATGGCGACTTTGCCAGATACCACGAACGCTTTGGGCACACAGACTCGAATGATCACTGCAGCTGTGGTGAGAAGAAAACACCATAACACATTTTCTTTTGTAAGAGGCTGGGGAAAAATCGGCTACTGGCTAGGCATTCGCTTAGGGCAGCTTGTTTACAATACTTAGGGGAGAGGAGCACAGAATGGGCAAAATTCGTGGAGAAGAGCAAGTTCTTTTTAACAATCTGCCCCTGATAGATAGCCTTCCTTGAAGGACCAGATGGATGACCCCAAGGTCATACCGCCGCAACAACGGGGATGGGCCCGTGAGCGGGACTGACTGTACTTATTATCTTGAGACCTCCACAACCCTGCGATGCAGAGGCTCTGGGAGGCGTGGTTTGCACTACTGAGGAGCTACCCCCCACGTTAAATACAAAACAAACAAAACAAACAGACTATGCTTTGAGAGAAGTAATCCCATTGGAGTGCAAGACGAAGTGTTATCTGACCCTAGTGAAGTTGCCGGCTTACTGCTTCCCACCAAAAAAGTGAAAGCGTACTGGGAGAAGCTTCACAGCATCCACATTGTGGACTTACCAGTTTCGCCGGTGGATTTGGCAGGGTTCTTGGCGAAGCACATCCAGTCGCTGAGACGTGTCGTCCTTAACACCCCTATCTGCATCAAACACCTCAAGGCACTTGTCCGGGCAGCAAAGGATGAGGACTTCGGACTGGGTAGTTTGGAGCACTTCGTAGTTCTCCAATCATCTGAGGACGTCGACGATGGTGAGGCCGAGTGCGGCTGCGGACAAGGGGACCTCGACAGCGATCTGTGCATCTGCGAGAAAGAGGGTATCGACGAGGTCTGCGAAGTAGACGAAGATGATCTATTGCAGCTTATGAATCGCGGTACTGTATCGACTGCTTTGAGGAGACAACTGAAGCAGGATGACAGGACGGCGGTTCGAACGCACCGAGCAACTTTCGACATGGACGGATGGACGACTGCAGCAATCTGCGACAGCCGAAGTCCTGACGCACTGGACAATGGATACTCGCAAGAAGAAGTTGACTTGATGGATGGGGAAAATGGCGATACGAGGGACCGAAAAAACGTTGCACGAGAAGACATTAGCCGCCATCAGGACATCAGCGTTTACCTCCCAGCCGCAGACGCCGAAGGATATCAGAACAGATATGCCCGAGAACAAGTCTCGCACCAGAAACGTCTACTGGAGGGCCCAAACTGGGAGTTGTGCAAGTACGGCGGAGAGGATCCCAGATGGTACTACTGCAAGCAGCCACCCGATGATTACCCCTTGGACGACTCTGAACCTATGGTCACTGCTGAGGGCTTGGGTCCTGATGTCATACGATACAGGTGGGAAGATGACCCGATGGAAGAAAAGGGTGAGAATGGGGTGCTCCTGTGGAGGTCGGCACTTCCCCATCAATATTTTACGGACTTCGACCAGTAAACGGTGGAGTGAGCCTCAGGTCAAGTTGCTCAGGGAGAAAATGTAGCGAGTGAGCTTGACCACCCCTGGTGATCTACTTTAGAGCTTACCGTGCCATTATGTCTATGGAGTTTAATACAAGCTTTGAGAAAAACCTTCTACTTGGAAAGCATTGTTCTATATCATCGGGAAAGTTCTACATTATGGGGAAAGGACCGAAGATATTCCTCGCAGGACTCACATTCCATGCGCATCACACCGAAGTGCGTCCGGATCTGCAAGTTCGGACAGTATTCGGTGGCAGCTAACTCATCGTCACAGGTACTATACCATTTCCTCACGTAGAAGAAAAACATTTTGCAGTAAGGATACCAAAGATCTGTTTGGTCAGCCTCGCACGTCTTGTCTAAGGTCAAGTGAGATCTGGAACCGCTGGACAGGAAATGGGCTGAGGTCTTGATGTGTCGCTGTGGTTCTCTGGGTCAGTTGCTTTTCATCACAGATCCGAATCTCTCATCATATCCTGGATATTTGTACTTGACCTCATCAAGTGCAGCCCTAGAGCAGCCTTGCGGTATCACAAAAAGCCATTGTGAGTTCTTTATCACACAATTGCATTGTATCCTGGGGCACATATCTCCAGGTTACTTCAACCATGCTTTGTGCGAAGGGAAAAGGAAATCGTCTGCCTTTAACCTGTCGACTGTCATGGGGCAAAGAAAGTGACAATGACTGCGCTTCCATGAATCGTCAGGTTTACACTACTGCTCAATGTTCTCTTTGTTGAGGATAGTGGACCTGAATTACCAGTCTTCCTCAATCGTGTGTTGAATGGATGAACTTGCTCACGAAAGCCAGAGGTATGGCGCTGGTTAGGCTTGCCGTGAGTAATTGGAGCTTGCAGGAAGTAAGAGATCTGAAAGAGCCATTCCAATTCAAAAGTGGCCGAAGAGAATGATCCCGTATGTAGGTATGTAGGTGCATCAGGGGCAATTGTAGCCTGATCTAACACATCACGGAGCCCCGCCCGTCCTCCGCACCCGAGCACGGTCTCCACCCGACTATCTCCAACACCTCAAAAGACCCGGCGTCATCTAGCCTCATGATGGCAGACGCTGTTAGATCGAGGCGCATCAGATGAGAGAGACGTGATAAAGCGCCACCGCCCCCCAATATATATAGTAAGCCCCAAGGTCCACAATCATACGGGCTACCCGAGTCAGGCCTTAACTCCGCCATTAGCCGCCAATAGTGGGAAGCCATCCTTATCGTCGCCGAGGCCTTTTTCCCCAGCTTCCTTTGGCTCTCCATCTCGCATTCGACGATTAGAGTGTTCATTGTTCTGAGAGATCGTTCTTCAAGCTTTCGCTTGCCATTGCCTGGGCTTGTCCTGCTCTCCCCCTGAGCTGACGTGAGGTTCCCTCTTGTCATCCAGTTAAGCTTCTGTTACCCGCCCGGGCCGCGACTGCGGGGAGACCGACCAGGGGTTGAGCCGTGCCAATCAACTGCGGTCATGTCGCATCGGAACGAACCCTCCAGCGCGATGGCAGGCCAGCCCTCGATGTCGGAAAGTGACGACGCCGCGGCACCTCGCGACGATGGCCCGCGGCCTCGAAGTGCGCCCGATGTTGCCCGGAGCGAGGCGGGTACCGGTAGTTCGGTGGCCTCGTTGGACAGCTTTTCTATTGGCTTGAGTGTGAGTGGTGTCTTGCTGCAGTTGAATGAGTAGAGTGGCGGCTGACAGAGAGTAGGTTGATCCTGACGATAGCGATGCCGATTCGGCCATGTTTGATATGGATAGGGCGTGAGTAGAGCTCATAAGCATCTACCCGAAAAGGCCCCTCCGACTGATGAAACTGGCATAGACCATCGACCGCATCTGTGTCATCAAGTGTTTATGATTTCGTCGAAGAGCACGGGAGAACATACCACAAGTACAAAGAAGGGAGTAGGCTGCTAATGACTTTCTATCCTTTGCCATTATGGACAGCGCTGACCCTCATCTCTCAGGGTATTGGATGCTCAATGATGAGGTAAGTACTGTCATAGGCATTGTGATCGACGTGCTAATGTTCCGGTAGCAAGAGCAACAACGATTAGGTAGGAAATAATGAGCAAGGTACCCCCAGAAGTCAAACACCCCTGACAGAGATCTCAGATCTTCAGCATATGATGTGTCGCAAGGTGTTCAGAGGCCATTTGGCCTTGGCCCCAATAGATCGACCACGGAGAGTACTGGACTTCGGGACCGGAACAGGCAATTGGGCGATAGACTTTGGTATGATCCGTGTCAGAGATGGCAATGTAGTGAGATGGTCGCTGACAGACGTCAGCTACCAAGCACCCCGAGTCCGACGTCCTCGGGACGGATCTAAGTCCCATACAGCCCGAGTTGTAAGTGGCCTCTGCCAAAGCAGGGCTATACACGACTGATTTCCCCACAGTGTCCCTCCAAACTGCCACTTCGAAGTCGACGACATCGAAGACGAGTGGGTATTCTCGCACAAATTCGACTACATCCACGCGCGCCACATGGTGGGCTCCATGACCGACTTCCCCAAGCTCTTCCGGGCCATCTACGACAACTTGACGCCGGGCGGCTGGGTCGAGATGCAGGACTACTACGTCAAGCTGCAGTCGATCGACGGCAGCCTCGACGGCACGGCGCTGCAGCGCTGGAACGACATGCTCAACCACGCGCTGTCGTTCACCGGGCGCAGCGGCCTGGCCGCCCCCAAGTACAAGCGCTGGATGCGGGAGGTCGGCCTTGTGGATATCGGGGAGGAAGTGTTTGCCGTTCCCGGGAATACCTGGGCTAAGGGCCGTGACGAGAAAGAGCTCGGCGCTATGCAGATGGAGAATATCCTTGAGGGCATACATGGCATCAGCATGACGCTGTTCACCAAGTTCCTGGGCATGCGGTCTGAGGAGGTCGAGGTATTGCTCGTAGATGTGAGGAAAGATTTGCGGAATCGCGATATCCACTTTTATTACCCCATGTGAGTCCCTTGTCAGTCGTTTCTCTTGGTGTCGGTGCTGATCGTTGTAGAATGTCTGTATATGCTAGGAAGCCTGAATGAAACCGCTTCTTGATGCTCACGCCAATGACGTGTTTGATGACATATGACTCCAACTCGAAACTACAAGCTCAGGTTGGGAAACTGGCTCATGCCGCCTCCACACAAAAGGCCCGACCTCGTTCGAGAACTGATATAGCGCCTTGCGAGCCTCCTGTCCCCTTTTGCGTTGGATGAGTCAATGTCACACACCCGTCCGCTGACCAAATACTTAGGAAATCCTACCAGTGGTGAGCGCCGGAGCAGAGCGATGTGGCTTAACTTCGAGGCCCCGGCGGCCATTCGGAGATATCCAAACTATAGACAGCACTCAACTTCGACATCACTCCAGTCCCCACCTCCTATAGAACCTGAAGAGGACCTCTGCTTCTATTTCGAACAATGAATACCTAGGCACTCAGAACTAGCGATTACCCATAGTCATCTATGACAGACCCATGCAAGAGCTGCCAAATGACATCAAACAGCACCTTTGCCGCGGCATCTGCGGCGTCGCCACCTGCCACCCGTCCGAGCTCAGCACCGAGCGGGCGCCAAGGCGGGAGGCAATAAGAGGATGCCATGGTACTCACCGACCCCGACGGACTCGGGACGAAAGGGAAATACTACCACGGGGGCAGGAAGCCCAATGCGCCGCGGCTGGACTACCAAGCCTGTGCGGGGACCCGCGGTGTTTCGCATCTTCACCTCTGCAGGGAGTCAATGCATCGATGGCGGCGGAGCCAACAGCGAAGGTGGAAATGGAGTCGGGCATACACTCGGGGCTGACCCCCCTCCGCCCAGAGTTTCAGGAGAACGTCCCCGGGCTGCGTGGGCACATCAACTGGGAGCCGATACCGTGACTACCTGGATTGCGACGCGCGCGACCTATGTTGCTATTGCCGAACAGGTATCTCAGCGTTCGATCAGCGGCGATCTCTGCGTCGCATCGGCTGCGCATGTACTTCGATACGCTCCATGGGCCCGATAGACCGTTGAGCTTAGGCGTTGGTTTGGGTCGGCCCTTCTCTGTCTTGGTGTCATCTGTTCATAAATATACATTCGCAGTAGTTACTTGCATAGCTAGGTACAGGATGTCACTGACGTAAGACATCTCCCTAGGCTGGTTAGGACGGTACTTCAGGATTTTGAGGGCCCGCCATAGCAGAGACCTCTGGAACTGAGATTCCAGGCTTCCAGTGCAGCTGCTGGTACTGGCTGGCTGAGCTGAGAGAGGATATGCTAGGTTTCTTCTAATTAGATTTACCGTGCTGCTCTTACAGGAGAATTAAAAAGACAAGCTGCTTAAAGGTTGAAAGCCTATAAAACAATAGCATTACTATGAAAATACTTAAAAGCTTAAAAACTATAAACGCATATAACAGCTGGTTAAAAAGATATATATAAACAGCATATTACTTGAACATTATATATTAAAGCCTGCCACTTGAACTTTTCTAATATTTAAAAACTAACACTGTTAAGTACTTAAATCGATATAGCAAGTTAATCCTTTTAATAGTTAAATTAATCGTAGAGCCGTACTATTTATTAGCTACAGGTAAAGATATAGTATACCTATAATTTCACAAGAAGTGCTACAGCTTATTAAACATACGTTAACAATTCCCTTTTACCTATACACTTACAATGTAAGACAAAGAGGCTATAGGTTAAGAATAATCTCAAAGTTACTACAATACTAAAGTTATAGAAATCTGCTATAGAAAATGATCATATATCGGGCTGATAAGCTATACTGGATGAAGGTTGATTAAGGCTTCTCCAGCTAATAGCACAGCCCATTTTATTTTAAACTTGGTCATGGGTGGTGCGGTTGCCCGGTGGTTTTTTCCCCATGTACGTGGTGTGGCCGGAAGAGGCAGCCCAAGGACCGGCGCAGATGGGGTCTTATGTCCTCTTGTCTAACAGAGCATGCGGGCTTTTAGATGGGTGAAAACATATATTCTGGTGTAATCAGCCTTGTTGCTGTGTCTGTGTGAAAATCCTGCTGTGGGCTAAGTGGCCTAAAAATGCCCTATTGGCCTTGTTGGTGCACTGCCACCTCCCTGAACGCCAGCCACGGTGGCTTGCGCGCCATTCAACACCTCTTCCGTTGGTAGGCGGCTTTTTATCGTCGATGCCCGGGACGTCCCGCGTTGGCGTAGATTCTCGGGCATTCGCGTTGGCGTTGGTGCTCGGGCACCCGAGGCGTTCCAAAGCTCTTCGTGGGACCGCCGGGCTTTATTGGCTAGGAACAGTCTCGTCGATGTGGCGTACCCAGTGTCGTGTCGGCGTCGCGGTGAGTTTGCGGGCTCAGCGTCTCGGAGGACCCCGTCGGGGGTAGGCATTTTTCCTCGTCTATTCCCAGGACGATTGGACGTAGAAGGGAAGCCAACTGGTGGATGGAGTGGCTTGTCAGACAAGGGGATCCAGAAGATGGAAAAGATGGAGATGGGGACTGTGATTGGGATGTGGAGCGATGGAGAGGGTGCGAGATTGGTGGAAGAGAAAGTTTTCGCGGGACGAAAGATGCCTCAGGAATGGTGAAGGTGGCAGATGGCGAAGGTGGCAGATGGCGAAGGTGGCAGATGGGAAGATGGGAAGTGGTTGCTTACCTGATAGCATGTGCAGCAGCATGTGCGCAGTGAAGGGGATTGGAGATCTTGTCGGAAAATATGGTGAAGATGGAAGGAGAGAAAGGGTCTTAGGGCAGATGGGTAGAGATGTTTATGGCTGCAGGAGAGGCGTGTGGAGGACTGGCTGATTGTGCGCTGCCTGCTTGGGCTAACCCCGATTCGGATGTATGTGGCAAGTGGTGCTTGGGGGAGTCAAACTCTCCAATCGAATCGACCCGGGTAAAAAGTGTGCAGCCAACTTTCTGATCTGGTTGCTGTGCCTGCTGTGGTTCTGATATTGAGGCTCTGTCAGGGACCCGGCAAGTGGGTCTTGGCCGTTGCGATCATTTTTGACAGCGGCCCCTTCCCCAGACAGGGTCGATCAATGCAGACCGGCCAATCAGAATTGTCCGTCACGATCACTGGCACCTGCAAGTACCCAAGTCTAAAATTCTTGAATTCTTGATTGGCTCGATTCGGCTACCCAGCATGCCGGGTCATTGGATCAGTATGACTTCCCTGATTGCACTGCCCAGTGATCTCTACCATTAGATGCTTGCGATGCTGGCGAGTCCCTTTCTCGTCTTTGCATCGTAGGGCTGGAGGACATTGAGCTCATATCGAGGTAACTATCGACAGACTTGCACATGCATTGAGATTACCTCTGCAATTAACCTTTGAGGCTTTGCGCATTTGTCAAGCCCTTGTTCAGACATGAGAATCACGTATATAGACGAAGGTACTCCTCGTCGCAGAATCACTAAGCATCAGGGATTCGTCTGTGTATCGGGCTCTCAGTAACGCGCTCCGCATTGATCTACTGGGTCGTATGCAACGTGTATTTCTCAACCATATTTCTTGACCAGAGCAATTCCCAACGCATGTGCGATTTCACGTTCTATGGTTATCCCAAGCCACCACTCCCGACCTCCCTGAGACCAAGCATCATGCTCCGAAGTATCTTCAGCTGACAGGCAAACCCGTTGAACCTCAGTAAGCCGTCCGTCGAGCTCGTTGATTTTCTTCGTGCCGACACACTTGTTAGTATCAGCCAGCGACTCCATCATATGAGGGTGGCGCAGTTGATCTTGTTAGCGGGACAGGTGGCAGCTGCAGTTGGCATCCATGGCCCGCTGCAGGGCGTCGCCCTTCCAGCCGAATATCTACACAGTCGCCGTGAATGCCGTAGCCGGTCCTGGCGTCAAATGAGCAGACGAACGGCTAGCTGCCGTCGATCGGCCGTCACGACTTGTCGTCGGAAGGCCGCTTGTCTCAGTACGTCTCCAAGCGAGAATAAGACACGCTCATCCGCGTGAATCCCACTGACTGACAGGCTCTAGGTGCAGGACCCTAAACCTACTCGCGGTCGACTGCGATGACCGCGATGATCCGCGCCATCTGGCCCTCCTACCTCGACATTACAAATCACGTTCAAGCATCCGCGGGCATCACAACTCAGGGATTGATGCCCCGCGTCCTCTTCTGGTCTGTCCAGATCACGATCCAGGCTCCAGCTGCCCCCACCGCACAATCTGCGCTGGCGCTTCGTCGTGAAAGCCTCCATCATCATCACCACGACCGCGACGGGAATGGCAATCGGCATGAGCGGCATGGTCAATGGCACTGGGATATCTGGGACAAACAATTCACCGTGTCGTCCGCCACCAAGTGTGACTGATCGTCTCCTTCATCAGCTCTGTGATGGGCGTCTGAGTGACCGTGGCGACCAACGTGGTGGACTTGGAGAGGGTCATGAACAAGCCCAAGGGCGTCTACTGGCAAGTGCTTCCCGTGCCGCTGAACCCGACCGTGTTCCGCGTCTTCGGCATCATGGGCACCTCCTGCGCCACGGAAGGTCGTGTACGGGGAGTACACCTGAGGTCCGCAGGAGCTGGCGTCGCGACGGGAGAGGCCTGGGGCACCCGATGGCAGTGGTCTTTTTCGTCGGCGCTCACTGGAGCGACGCGCGGATCGGGAACAACCTCTCCTCCAACATTATCTCGTGCGCCAATGACACGACCAGTCAGTATCCCAGTTGGGTCAGCATCCGCCGCGGCGTCACCACAATCATCACCATTACCTCCCGCCGGATCATGGTGCCCTTGAAGATCTTTCAGCTCAGCGCACTCGCTGTGGTAGCCAATGTTGGGATCACATGATCCGGTCGCGACCAAGGGCACGAGTTTCAAGAAGACCCCGATTTGATGTAGCGGTTGGGTGGAGGTAGTGACTGTGCTGTGATCTATATATCTATGTCTACAATGATTGAATGAATGTTTGTTTGTTTGTTTGTTTGTTTTGTATTTAACGTGGGGGGTAGCTCCTCAGTAGTGCAAACCACGCCTCCCAGAGCCTCTGCATCGCAGGGTTGTGGAGGTCTCAAGATAATAAGTACAGTTAGTCCCGCTCACGGGCCGATCCCCGTTGTTGCGGCGATATGACCTTGGGGTCATCCATCTGGTCCTTCAAGAAAGGTTATCTATCGGGGGAAGATTGTTGAAAAGAACTTGCTCTTCTCCACGAATTTTTCCCATTCTGTGCTCCTCTCCCCCAAATATTGTAAACAAGCTGTCCTAGGCAAATGCCTAGGCAGTAGCCGATTTTTCCCCAACCTCTTACAAAAGAAAATATGTTGTGGTGTTTTCTTCTCACCATAGTTGCAGTGATCATTCGAGTCTGTGTGCCCAAAGCGTTCATAATAGCTGGCAAAGTCGCCATGTCCAGATCTAGCCGCTAGAAGTCTGTGTAAAGTACTCCTCTTAAAAGATATAAGGTCTCTTTTAGTTACTGTGTGTGAGTATACTTCTTGATACCTAGATTCTGATTAGTCTTTTTACCATTGATTGAACTCCTTTCTGTCCTTTCTTTTGAGATCTCTCTTGACCCAAGAGATTGTAGGAAGGCTTGTTATGTCTGTTTTTAGCATGGCACCCTCTTTTATTAATATGTCGGCAGCTTTATTGCCATCAATATCTCTGTGTCCAGGAATCCACTTGACGGTCACTCCAGGAGTGTGTGCTGTGGCAAGTTCTTGAAATCGTAGAAAAATATTCTGTGATGTCTCGGGTGGAGTCCCATTGAGCCCATCAATCACTGACGTGTTGTCCAGGCAGACATATAGCTGTTTTCTGTGTCCAATTGCCCTGGCTGCTGCAAGACCTTGGAGAGCGCCATGGACTTCAGCATCTACTACTTCTGCTTGAAGAAGTCTGTTCTTTCCCCGGTATACTTCTTGTGTAGTGCCGCCTTTCCTGATGGTGTAACCCCATCCAGTGCGGGTTGTACCTTGGTCAACCAATTGTGATCCATCTGAGTAGATAACAAGGTCACTGTTCACATTTCTCTCCCATAGCCATTGCTTGAAGAGCTTTATTTCTTTGTCTTTGTTTCTGCGGACTGGGGGCTTCTTCCATGATGGCCTGGTAAGTGTTGGTCTCTGAAAGTCAGGGACTAGCTGGAAGCTCCTTTGTAGCCTTATTGGTTCTTTGCGAGCTTATATTTGGAGCCTGCCAACAAGAGGGTGTCTCTGGTCTATTCGTCCTAGTCGAAGGCCGTGACGTCGTCGTATTGACTCTGTAAGAACTCCAGCTGGGGGAATCTGCGATTCAAAATATAGGATATGCCCAGGGTGTGTTTTCCAGACTGGCAAGATAGCCCTGATTGCCGTTCGTAGTACAGCATCTATTGTCCCAAGAAGCCCCTTAATGCGACATGCTAATGTCTCACCTGAGCTCCTGATTTTTTTGATTCCTGGGTACCAGGTCTCCAGGCCGTGTGTAAGAATAAGAATAACATAAGCTTTCACAGCCTTCTTGGTTGACTTTACTGGAAGTCCTTTGACTGTGTTGTATACTCCTTGAAGGTGATTTGTTACCTTACTAGCTTTCTTGGCCCAGTGAGAAACATGAATTTTGAAGTTTAGTTTTCTATCCAGAAGGACACCTAGCCATCGCATAGAATGCTTAGCTATTTTGTTCATTGTCCTGTGGCGGACTGGAAGGTTATTTGAGTTCTTTTTCTGTAAGAAGTACATAATCTCGGTTTTGTCGGGATCAAACTCAATAATATTACTATGTCCCCATTGATTAAGTAAATAAAGGTTTTCAGAAGCCTCTGTAGCTATTTCTTTAAGGTTCTTTCCAATACAGAGAGTTGCTAGGTCGTCTGTATATCCAAAGTGTCTTCTTTTCATGCCAAGTTGGGCACAGATTGGCTCGATATACAGCATGTAAAGGATTGGAGAGGCTGGTGAACCTTGTGGTAGCCCACAAGTTTGAGCTTTTATATCGGTCATAATACCTTCAAACCGAACCCTTGCGGACCGCTCGGACATGAATGACTGGACCCATCTTATGAGAAAGCCCGGCCAGCCCTGTTCTCTCATGCGAACCACCAGCCGTCCCATTAAGGCAGCATCAAAGGCCCCTTTCATATCTGACGTGACTACTGTTGCAACGAGGCCTTGGTCAAGGGCCTGCTCAATATTGTGTATGAGTGCAGCTACCAGGTCAGTGGCAGAGCGCTTTAGTAGAGCTCCAAAATGTTGTGGAGCTAGAATTCCATATTTGACAACAAACCAGGTAATTCTTTTTGTGATGAGTTGTTCTAGGCCTTTGCCAAGACATGACAGTAGCGATATTGGTCTGTAGGCCCTGGGATTGGAGTAGTCTTTCTTTCCTGGTTTTGGGATCATCACCACCTCAGCTACTTTGAATGATTTAGGGTGGTGTCCAATCTGTAGGCAGGTCTGGAAAAGGGCTCTGATATGTTCACCAATGACTGGCCAGCAAGCTTTCAGGATCCGTACTGTGAGGGTGTCTATTCCCGGGGAGTTGCTCTTGGTTCCAAGAGTGCACCCTTCAGATTGAATGAATGAATGGTCGGTAGCTCTCTTGAGAGGTGTCCCACTCCAGATACCCCTTCCCAGCTCGTGATACCGCGCTCGATCGGGTCTTCAGCTAGGTAGTTATGTCTTCAGCCTTCTTGGGAGAGATTGTCTCACAATAGGACTCAGTGCCAAAGACTCTAGTCGCCAAACCCTCAATCTGAATCACTCATCCCACTGGAATATTCCATCATGCTCTATCAAAATCTTTCGCAGCTCCTCCCGCATAATTTGACTTGTCATGACCCCAACTTTGTTATGGGCGGCTGTGACCGCTTCCCTGTCCGGCTTCTCTTCAAAGCACTGTCGGTACCACTCGGCAGCATCGCTCGTGATGAGGCCCCCTTCAAGGACGAGAAGTAACATCTCCTCTTTCCAATCCCTAGAAAACTTCTCTTTTTCAAGAGAATACATGGCTAGTACAGCCTTAGCATAGTCAAGGTCTTTTGTTACTCTATCCTGACAACCCTTGTTGTCGCGGATGGAATGGTGTCCCCAGAATGTAAAAGGATTGTGGCTCGCCTCTAGGCCCCTGACTATACGTGATGAGCCACGTGAGACCACGGCGCCGATAGCGCTGCTGGCACAGAGGAGGACAGCAAAGAGCTGGGAGAAGTGCATGCTGTAGGAACCCGGCCTGGGACAGCTTTTTTGCGTGTTTTGTGCTTTTCGATCGGATCGCGGGTGCTTCTTCCTGGGTTGTTGCTGACTGTGGTGGTCGGTGGTGCTTATGAACTGTGGTTGCGGTCGTATGACTGTCTATTACTCGACATTGACGGCCTCTTGAAGACGCGACAAGCCACACATATACCGGTTTGTGTGAAGAAAAGTACGTGCACCTACCTGCAAAGGTGGTCATTGACATCGGCCCATACGAGACCACCGCCGTCGTGTTGTGGCAGGATGCTAAAAATAGAGGGGCCACAGAAGAGCGAAAATCCATCCCGTGAGTGCATGCGGCGGTGAATCCTTCACCGAGTTATTCTGCTCGGTGACCACACGTCACCTAGCCAGTCACCTATGGTGGGACCAGCGGTCCAGTTCAACTGGGAAGTGAATCCTCCATGCTCGGTGTGGCAACAGGTACGGCACGGTAAACAAGGACTAGGGTCTAGAGTAGGCAAAGTTCCAGAAAGGAGACATGGGAGCCCGAGCAAAAGCAAGTGCTGGCAGGAATCGAACCTGTTCCCATACATATGTCCATGTTTACATAAATACTTGAAACTTGTAAACACCTCACGGCACCGCCGAGCATCACTCGCCAAGTCGCCACTGCTCTGACGCTTCATGATGACCACCAGCTGGGTATGCTTCCAGGGATAGATGGCGACAAGCTGTTGGTGCTGGTGTCCGACTATGTGGGGTTCAGCCGGGGGTGAGAAGGGCTTGCAAAGCAGGAGGAGGCAGAGAAAAAAGTTCCATGGGCAACAGCATGGTATTCATTGCAATGGACCACCACGGTGAGATGATATCCTAAACACTGGACGATGCCGATCATCACGTGTGCTCATGGGTTGCTCGCAATTGTACCTGCAGGGTCAGAAGGCCATGCTGTGAACGCTCCTTGCGTGTATGAGACATTCTCTGAAAGCACCGGGGTTGGCTGGAAGGCCGACAAGAACCCCCCCGGCTTTGATGTCCAATTGGTCCACATCTATGAGGGAGGGGTTGGATAACGGTAGTCTGGGTGTTCTCCTGGTAGGTGCAGTTGCGTTAATATCGGCCCCCTGAAAAGACGTTTGAAGCTCTCACAGCACTGAGTGGGGGGACGGAGGCAAAGTACAAGTAACTCACACCAGCACTGTTACCGACTGCAGTGGTGTGGTGGACGGAGATGAGAGCATAATATGCAAATGGGCAGGCGACCGTGCACCTAGCTAGCTCCCTCGAGGCGCGTACATTCATACTTTCAGAGCCGTAAGCACCTCGGTGTTCGTGAGGTCAGGATAGAAGAAAAGCATGGGCGCGCGAAGACGACCGCGCGCCATTGTTGCTGGATCCGTGGTTGAGGCGCGTGCGGCTCGTTCTATGCGTGTGTTGGTGACGGGGTGGTGTTGCCGGTTGCGGCGCGGAGGGACGGGCAGACGGGGTAGATCGGTGGGGGCCGTGACGGACGGTTGGATGATCTGGTGGTGCTGACGGAGGTCGCGTGGGAGGTTAGCTAGTTCCTTGTTTGCCACTACATGGTGGCCGTGGTCGAGAGGTTGATGATGTATCTGAGGGGGTGTTGAGAGAGCTGTGTGTAGCGCGTTGGGCGTCGAGATTCAGGGGCCAAGGCAGGAGACGGAGCTGCCGTCGTCGGATTAGTCGGAACTGCCAACGGCAGTTAGCAAGCAGATTGTTCAGCTAATAGAACAAGACTTCAGACGGAACCGCGATGTTGCAGAATACATATCAATTCTCGCTCGCTCGTGGTATCACCATTGCTCATCTCCGCCAAACATCGAATAGCATACATCGTCATCTCCGGCGGCGGAACTTGCTCCCAAACCCAGGTCCGCCCTTTGCTCCGTTGTTCCTCAGCTTCAGCCTCTTGAAGTTCGCATGAGCCAGTTCGTTGACTTTCTTAGCGGCCTTCTGTACCTTGCCTTCTTTCTTCTCCTTGTCTGCCGGCTTCTTGGATGCCTTCTTCGCCTTCGTCTTCTTGGGCGCTGCTTCATCATCATCTTCAGAATCATTGAGCTCAAAATCAGAACCTAGATCAAGTGGTTCTTGATCGGCTTTCGTGGCGTCGAATTGCGTCTCGGGGACGACTTTGTCGTCATCATCAGCCGTCCGCTCCTCTGTGGATTCCAATGGCCGCTTGGCCCTCGTGGGTCGCACGTTGACTTTGCGAGTGGTGCGCTTTTGGCCCTTCTTCTTGTAGACCCTGAGAGGTTGACCATCACGACCAACTGCCGCCTCCTCCGTTGGGCTGTCATAAAGGCCGTCGTCGTCGAACCCGCCGAGTAATTGTTGACCTTGACTGTCCGGTTCAAGTACTTCGTCCTGTGGTTTCGGCGCGGGCTTCGCAGGATTTGCGGGTTTCGATCCACTTTCCTCGTCCTCCATCTCGTGCAATGCCTCCAGATCATCATCCAGTTTCTCCTCCTCCAGCTTCCGTAGGCCGGCCACCACACTACTCAAGCTGCGGCCCATGGGCTTCCTAGGTAGGCGCAGCGGCGCGGGAGATTTGAACTCGCCATTCTCGTCTAATGCTGGTAGCGGAGCCCTTCGGAGGAATGACGGCGTGGATAGTTGCAGCTTGCTAACAGAATTGGGAGTCCTGCCGCCGAGTGGGTTTCCCTCCCTTCGTTTCAAAGGTGTCATGAAGGCGTCCAGCATGGTGCGCTTACTCGCCGACATTGGAGTCCTTCCCAGCCGGGATTCTTCCATTTCGTCAGCGGGCTTCTTGCTAGGAGTGGCTTGGATCGTGGCGTCTTTGGCAGATGGCTCTTCGTTCGTCCCTTTCAACGGAGTATTCTCGACATCATCGACTAGTAGGTCGAACAGGCCCAATACGCGCCCGTCTTTCTGGGGAGTCGGCCCAATGGAGGTGGGCACGGCCGGGCTAAATAGCCTTCGCGCGGACGGAGTCTCAAAGGTCGGGTCTTCAATGGCAATGTGTCGAGACTTGGAGGGTGTTTGGGCAGGTCTGGTCCGTTTCGATTGGGTTTGAGCATGGCTATCTTCCGACCTGCGCTTACGGGATTTGGACGGTTCCTTGTGTTGTTTCGGGAGCTGCTTTCCAGAGAGGATATCGCGGACCTGGTTGTATTCCTTGTACTTCCGGGCTGCAGTTGAGGGTGTCAGATTGGGTGACTGAGAGACGGAGGACGGGGAGGACGGGGAGGACCTGGACAATGGGAGTGCATACCTATATCGGGATTCTGCTTGATGTCTTCACGACCAGGTTTCTTGCCAGCATTGTTCCTCGACCAGTCGGCCTCGAAGCGCTTCAAGTCGGCACGCAATTGGACAGACGTTGCCTCATACTTATGTCTTTCTGTCTCGTCCATCTCTTGGAGAGTTCGATATTTGATGGCGCGGATGTTCGCCACTTCTCTCGGGCAGTTCAGGTGCGGGCCAAGATGTGACAAAAGCAATGGTGGGATGATGGATGCAGGGTATTGAAGATGGGGCAGTTAGACGCGGTGCGACATGGAGGAACGCGCAACGCGACTTGGAAACCGCGACGAGCCAGCCAAGAGATTGTACCAGTATGCGTTGGTGGGAAAGGCGGGTGGGGTAGCCGCCCTGTTGGTGGGGTCGTCCCTTCCGTCGCAACTGCCAACCACCGACAGAGACCCTGTCGGCCTGTTAGGTAAGCAGGTCATCCAGTGGTTGTCCATGCCATTTCTCCCGCCCTCCTCGTCATCTTCCAGTCTGCTCGGACATCTTCACTCTTTCACCACGGCCGATGACCTTGTCTATGGACTCTGACTCCGATGACATCCAGTCCAGAGTTCTCCAGAGTACCCTCGCCGAAGTAGCGACGCGACATACGCCTGGGGTCAACGGGGACCCCGACGAGAAAAGCGAAGCTTGGTGCGTCATATGCCTCGATAGCATCACCGAGCCCTGCGAGGCTAGACCTTGCCACCATAGCCACTTCGACTACCTCTGCCTCATCAGCTGGCTCGAGCGGTCGTCGAAATGCCCACTGTGCAAGGGCCCCGTCCACGAGGTCCTACACGACTTCGGCCATGATGGGTCCGGTACGAGTAGAACCTACCCAGTCCCTCAAGTGGCAGATGTGATCCAGCAAGCGCGACCGATCAGCCGACACCAGCCATCGCGTCCAGGCGACCGAGAGCATGCTATACGTCAACAAGACCGAGTGCGACAGCGACCAGGCACAGATGATGAAGCCATTCTCCGCCGACAACAAGTGTATCGCGACCAGCTCTACTCATTGCATGTTGGGTCGAATCCAAGGTCACGGTACCGGGAGATCACGCCAGCTCTGTTCGAATCCGAACCCGAGATGGTTTCACGGGCGCGAACATGGCTCAGGAGAGAACTTCGGGTGTTTGAATTTCTCGGCACTCCGAGTAGTGCACAAGGCAGCGGAGATGTGATGACGAGGCGCCGTGCGAATAATGCCGAGTTTCTGCTCGAGTACGTCATTGCCATACTGAAGACGGTGGATATACAAGGGAGCCAGGGTCAAGCCATAGACATGCTCGTGGGGTTCATAGGTCGCGAGAATAGCACATTGTTGCTTCATGAGCTGCGGAACTTCTTGCGGAGCCCGTTGTCGCTCGAGGCCTGGGACCGTGAGGTACAGTACCCCCCGGGTCAGAGACGACATGTCGAAAGCCAAGACCAGAGTGGGGATGAGGGGGATTACCCTCGAGGTTATATGCGCCAACAGAGACCTTCCCCAGACAGAATTGCGACGGGTCGGAGATGGAAGATGGGAGACTCATACCGACCCGTCTACTCGAGACTCGGCGGTCAACAACCCAATTCCCGCAATCCACGTGATCCCCATTGATATATCACATGCACCGCACGTGTTCCATCAATCGGTGTCTGAGAGTCATTACTTGTGGCTGCGGGCTCACTGAGTCTGACATTGCCTTGAGTATGTTTTTGTTATCAGTCAGGTCGGTCTGTGTCCAAAGCTTATGCGAGCGCGTTTTAGGGCTGCTCATCAGGGTACCGTGGATGATGGCTGAGCCCGCGCGCGCAAATTCGTGGATGGCCCTTTTACTTAACCAACCAATGAAGCAAGTCATTGATGCGTGGTGTTACGTCTCTTGCGTGTTTTGATTTTGTCGTCCGCGTTTTGAACAATGATAACACCGCCACTTTCAATCTTGCTTGGGCTAACGAGAGGATAACAGACCATTTGGGTTGAGCAGTTTTAGTGTGGAAGTCGAAAACGGAGCAGGAAACCTGCCTATACATACCTACCTTTGCGAAAAAGAGCAGGAACTCTCAAGGTCTGCAAGTATTTAATATCCCACACGACTCTTCTCTATGCAAAATATTGCCATCCCCTTCTACTTTTGATCATACGCACTTGTCATCTCAGCTGTCAACCAAGCTCGTCGACGATGCTGCCCCCAGCACCAACCCGAACTGCACCTAGGCCTGCCGACCAGGCCCTGCCCACCCCCAGCGCTAGACCAACCACTCTCTCTGGTCTCATCGAGGGAACGTCCCATGCCGAAGTCGAAATTGGGGAGGACGAGGGGCTTCTATGAAAGTTGATGCTCATACTCGGTCAGGACCTCGAATCTACTGTCTCTAAGTTAGGCGATATAACCACAGGTGCGATCAAGGACCTGTCGGACTTGGTCCGGAGCATGTCACTCGACGTCTTTACCATCAATGATACACAGCAGCAGCAATCCGCCGAATGCAAGCGAGAAACCCAGGAGTTGAAGAAAAAGGTAACCGCTATCCTTTCCGAGCTCGAATATCAAAAGCTGCAGGACAAGGCCGCAACTCCGAAGGAGGTCCAGCCGAGAAGCTTGAACGACCTTGGCCTTTCCCCCATCAGCAGTCGTACCCGCCGTCGGAGAGTGCAGGGCAATGCTCCAACTCCAAGGGAAGTCGAGCCGAAAAAGGTGAAGATCACTGCCGTTCCATACATCGGGAAATTCAACACTCAGTATAAGGCTGCTGCAGCTCCCAAGGCAAACGAGTCAAAGAAGATGAAGATTACTGCCAACTCCAAGCGCAAGGTCCAAGATACGAAGGACCCTGCCACCGCCACCCCCAAGCGCCTCAGCAGAAGCAGCCGAAGGAGACTGACTTCGATCTCATGACCGACAAGGATCTCGACCACTTGGACGGTGAGATCGACTTAGAAGTGGGGAGAGGCGAGGCGAAGAAGCCTCGACTGTCTTCTGGACAGGGCATTCGCCATCTGGTCGACACTTTCGACTCCTTCCCCTTCCAACATCGGCACGTCTACTTCCCCGACTCCTACGACCGTCACCGCACTGGGAACTCGGTCGCCAACCATTATCCCCTGCCGGCCCCTATCAACCGTAACCCCCTTCTGCACCCGTACGATTATCGCCCCCAGCTCAATCCTTCCAACACCGACCCAGCTCGAAATGCGGGTCTGCATGTCCCAGCGTCGGACTATCAGCCCCTCAGATATCTGACAACGATGCGTCGCACAGGAGGTTTTGGTGTGCGGGAGTACCACTCCCGGCCAGAACATGGACAAGATCATCCCACGCATGACTCGAACTGTCTGCCACAGGAGCCTGACTTGCAGCGTGACTCTGAGGCAACGTATGACGCTCTGCCCTCGGAAAAAGACGAGCCCGAGCACTTGCAGCTTGACCCTGAGGAAACGGAGAATGACGTCTTCCCGGAAGATGACTAGCCCGATCAGGTGGCTGATTGTGACTAGGGGTTCCACTGAGTGGTGCCCTCGTCCTAGGTATACAGCTGCGATGGATGTGCGACGGATCGTGTTGCTTGTGGTGTTCGGTGCTGTGGAGACGATGGTGTGCCTTGAGGCATGAGACGGAGCTTTTCCGCAGCCGTACGTCGGTCTGCGGACTCTGTAGTGAGTGTGGCAAGGGAGATTCGGGGCCTATAAAGAGATCGTCAGCGGTATTACTGCTTCTTGACCAGATGAAAGCCGACTGCTACCTATTCAAGTAGCTTCAACTAGGAAGAGCGCCACTGAGGTTAAGTAGATGAGGAAATACAGTATGTTCTTTTTTTCCTTTTCCCCCTTCTTTTCCCGCTTTTTTCTTCTCCTTTTTTGTGCCGGGATTGCCGATCAGTGTGCTCATGACCACGCGCGCGGTGATGTGATGTCTTTTCGAACAATTTCACGCAATTTTATAGAATTGTAACATGCCACCTAGCATGAGGGTCGATGTGCTCAAGTTTAAAAAGAACTACGTGTGGCGCCTCTAGGACGCTCTCAGTGTGATTGGAAGGTCTCACGCGGTCCTGTCGTTTGAGATGCAGATTGCGTATTAAGCTACTGTTTTGGGGTTCAAGTGAGTCCAGCGGCTTGATGGGCTGCCACGTCACTGCCTTTGTAGGTATGTTGGAGGAGTCTTGTTGATCAACGTGGTCTGATGATGGCTAGCCGGTATGTATAGCATACGTGTTTGGTGACGACACCCCGGACCAGTGGAATGGGCGAGGGCATGAGATTATGGATACCTGGGATAATCTGCTTTCTGCTTCGTTCACATGATACGTGAGCTCTCCTTGTGGCTTTCCTCGTCATGTCCTCGAAGATAGGGGTGTGGATGGAGGTTTCACTCGAGTCGTGACGAGCAGGGCCGTTGGGATCTGAAAAACTCATAATCGCATACTATGAAGTCTCATCCTTAACCCGTAATTTTACATTTAGAACCTCTGGGCACCATGTGCTGATAAGTCGCCTGCACTGGCACGACCACCCCCTTGAAGAAGTCCAACCGGAATTGCTCGTACTCAAAGCTGTGCGTGGCGTCACTGCCCGGGAAGCTGCACTTGAGGCATCTTTGCACCGCATCTCCGTATGTGTACCCCAGCTCGTCGTAGACCTTCTGGGCCTGCTCGTTTAGAGTTGCGTCGTTTCCAAACGTTGAGCCAGCTGGGGCTTTTCCGTAAATCTTGGGGCGAAGATCTTCAAGGGAAACACCGAGAGAAAGCTCGACCAAGAGTGAGCCGAATGTGAACAGCAAATTCCGCGTAAGTTGAGGGTTCTGGCATTGCGCTTGGTTATGCTGCTTCGTGCTTTGGAACTCCCCAGCAAGTGCCGGGCAATGCAAGTCTGGGGTGTCTTTGTTCCATAGGACATTGATCTCATCTATCCACTCCCAGCTCGTAGGAGGCAGCCAGGGTGAACCACTGAGGAACAAGATAGCCCAGCACAGACCTGCGCAAAGAGCCAACCAGTCCACCTTCGGTAGCCTTTTCCTAGTGACTAAAGTCTGCTGTGCGGTATACCTCTCGGCCAGCAGTGATCGAAGGGTCTCGTCTTTGGTTTGTGTCTCTGTAGCTCCGTCATGCCTGATAAGTACATATACTTTCTCATTGGGCTCGATGAGCTGCAGAGGGTCCCAAGTTGGATTGGTGCTCAAAAGGACACATAAGCTTGCTGGTTGAGAGGACATGCTGAGTGGCAGAGAAGACTCAGGTGCCGAACGGTCTATTAACATTGTCCTCAGTCAATTCCCCTGATATTTAAGATTTTCAGCGACTTTATCTTACCGCTCAGGTCTGATTCTGTTGTGTTCGGCTTCTTCTTCGATTTGTATTGTAATGTAAATCGCTTCGTGTGGACTTCCATCGCCTGAACAGTCTTTGATTTTTTTTGCGAGAGTTTGTGGGGATCAATTTGCTTTCGCTTATCTTGGATTCTGTCGTTTCGGCGTAGAAGTGTTGCCAAAGAGTGTCTTCGGATGTGTCGCAAGCCGTCTCGAAGGCAAGTCTCATCGTGTTGGGCTTGAACTCGTCTTCTTTATGCCATAGGATCTTGAGCTTTCCTCGATGAGGATCGAGGCATTTGCACCCATCCGCGCTCGAAATTGCGTTGTGCACCAGCGCGGCGTTCTTTCTCATCATGTTGCATTGTTTCCAGTCGAATCGTGCCCTGACACGAGCAAGTGATGGTCTGTCGTCGTCCTGACGTGGAACCTCATTATGTTCGAGGCATCTTCGCAACGCATCGTTCCATCTTTGGAGATCATCCGTGACTTTCTCGATATAGCCTCATTTGAAGCTACGCTTGACTCTTGCCCATTCCTATCGCGCTCTTTCTGGTGGCTCTGTCGTCCATCGTGGCTTTCGTTGAGAAGTCAGTCGGAGGTCAACCAGATTTCGTGCTCACATAGTTCCACTATAACTCACCTTGCCAGCTGTGTCGACTTGGAGTATGACCAGTAGACCTCGTATGGAATTATCCATGTGTTTGATAACGCCCAAGAATTCTAGATACCGGGATGGAAATCGAGGTTGAACAGTAGCCAGTAACTGTTCGGATGTTGGGTCTATGAGATCAAGATTACGGAGCGTTATATCAAGCTGCTGCTGCTGGACGAAGATACGCAGGCGAAGGTCTTGGACGGCGGATTGATTCAAATAGTCATGGAGCACTTGGACTGCCCTGTCGTAGTATTCCACTGCTGCCAGGGCCAGAGAGATCCCTCCCAATGCCAGGCCCACCGCTTCCATGGATAAACGAAAGACACTATACAACTCGTCCTTTTCCTAGAAATAACACACTTGTTGTCGGTCGAAAAGCTGCGTATAGGAGTTGAACGTGCTCTTCTTCAGAAGACGAAGTGAGGGGTATCATGAGTATCCAGCCGCGGCAGCCCTCGAAGTTAGCTGGGTTACATCCGACGAAACATGCAGCTGTCCGACGTGCTGTGTTTCCCTGGACAGCGATAATCAGCTGCTTTCTGACGCAATTGTACTTCCATCGCGTTCGCCGGCTGGACTATTGGGCCGGTGCGGGGAGTGAAAGTCGCTCGCCATTCCACACTTGCCATACTCTCAGGAACGGAAGATTCGCCATTTCACAAGTGAATCGAATACAACGAGAGTTTATCAAGTCAGTTGCGATTCCCGGAGATATCAGGGACTGATTCCAATGGCTTATGCAGGACAATAACCCTTGACCAAGTATGACGACCGCTCCCCCGCAAGAGCCCGACCCGTCTGTCGCCCAGCTTTCCTCAAGTTGTTTAAGCTTGTTTCGGGAATTATCAGATGTATTTGACCCCGCAACTTGTCATGTTCCTGACAACCCCCTCGACATAACGCGAATATTGGAGGAATATGGAAGGGTGAAGATATGGTGCGACGAGAATGGTGCCGAGCTGCCTGTCGGCGAAGCAGGGTCACTGACAGCTTCTCATCAAGACAAGGAGAAACTTCAGCAAGGGATTACCGAGGTGTTGTGTCAAATGCAGACGTTCCTGCAGCTGGGTAAGTATCCACGCAGCCATTATGATACCCTTGACTCTCTTGAGAAAGCGTGGCTAAAGACAGGCATTCGTGATATCAGAGTATAAGGTAAACGTGGATAGAAATTCGGACGACCAGCGTACGAATAAAGTACGAAATAACGCACAGGAAGATTTATGTTGCCCAAAGTCGACAACCCACTTGCCACAAGCGATGATGAAGAGGGGGGTCCTTTGGTTGCCCCATATATGAGCCATGCTTTCGGTAAGATTAAGCTGTTATATAAGCTTAATGGCCTGCTTAGCCGGCGGGGGCTCTATCCGCAACGCCACCGAACAGTCCAAATTCCGCCGATGACGCCAGGGACAGTCCCACAGCACAGTCGGTTGAACGCTCAGGCCGTGTTCCAGGACCCGGAAGCAGCCAAGGCACGACCAAAACAGCCTACGACCTCCTCGTCTAGACCAGGGAATACATTAAGTCACGATGTTCATCGCTCATCTCGTACGGCTGCAGCCTTGCAAGGAACAAGTCTACAGACACGCCCAGAGGCGGCCCCCCGTCAAGGATCGAAGGCTACCATAGGCAGAGCTGCGGCACAAGGTCAAGATTCAAGGACTCCCCCGGTCACAGGTCACATCGACCTCATGGCATACGCCTCCGGGACGTCGTCTACTGCACGAGGTAACAGTACCGGGGGCAAGTCGGGGCCCAAAGCAAACTGGCGTTGGAGCTACGTGTGTGCCTTCTCACTTCATTGAGGCACAACTGGACATATCTTACACTTTGAATCGCAGATTCCCCCAGCAGGAGTTCTTGCAGAGTCAATAAGACGACGTCACGGCCTCCGACTAGGACGAATAGATCAGAGACACCCTCTGGTTGGCAGGCTCCAAATACAAGCTCGCAAGGATCCAACAAGGCTACAAAGGAGCTTCCAGCTAGTCCCTGACTTCCAGAGACCAATACTTACCAGGCCATCATGGAAGAAGCGCCCAATCCGCAAAGACAAAGACAAAGAAACAGAGCTCTTCAAGCAATGGTTACAAGAGAGAAACGTGAACACTGACCTTGTCATCTACTCAGATGGATCACAGTTGGATGACCAAGGCACAATCCGCACTGGATGGGGTTATACCATCAGGAAAGGCGGCACTACACAAGAAGTATACCAGGAAAAGGGCAGACTTCTCCAAGCAGAAGTAGTAGATACTGAAGTCCATAGTGCTCTCCAAGGTCTTGCAGCAGCCAGGGCAATTGGACACGGAAAACAGCTATATGTCTGCCTGGACAACACGTCAGTGATAGATGGGCTCAATGGGACTCCACCCGAGACATCACAGAATATTTTTCTACGATTTCAAGAACTTGCCACAGCACACACTCCTGGAGTGACCGTTAAGAGGATTCCTGGACACAGAGATATTGATGGCAATAAAGCTGCCGACATATTAATAAAAGAGGGTGCCATGCTAGAAACAGACATAACAAGCCTTCCTATAATCTCTTGGGTCAAGAGAGATCTCAAAAGAAAGGACAGAAAGGAGTTCAATCAATGGTAAAAAGACTAATCAGAATCTAGGTATCAAGAAGTATACTCACACACAGTAACTAAAAGAGACCTTATATCTTTTAAGAGGAGTACTTTACACAGACTTCTAGCGGCTAGATCTGGACATGGCGACTTTGCCAGATACCACGAACGCTTTGGGCACACAGACTCGAATGATCACTGCAACTGTGGTGAGAAGAAAACACCACAACACATTTTCTTTTGTAAGAGGCTGGGGAAAAATCGGCTACTGCCTAGGCATTCGCCTAGGGCAGCTTGTTTACAATACTTAGGGGAGAGGAGCACAGAATGGGCAAAATTCGTGGAGAAGAGCAAGTTCTTTTCAACAATCTGCCCCTGATAGATAGCCTTCCTTGAAGGACCAGATAGATGACCCCAAGGTCATACCGCCGCAACAACGGGGATGGGCCCGTGAGCGGGACTGACTGTACTTATTATCTTGAGACCTCCACAACCCTGCGATGCAGAGGCTCTGGGAGGCGTGGTTTGCACTACTGAGGAGCTACCCCCACGTTAAATACAAAACAAAAAAACAAACAAATTGAGGCACAACTAACAGTCCCAGTGCCACTGCAGTCAATCCAATATGTCCTACTTGTACGATAAAACGTGCACCGATTGCGACAAGGGCCGGTGTTCAGGTTGTAGCGTATGGCCCACGCAGTGAACTGTCAGTGCCTCAAGTACATGGCTTGTTGACCGGGAACTTGGAAGCCGGCATACAACACGCCAAAAGTTAGCCGGCCCGGTGTAGGTGGGTAGGGCAGTGGTAACCTAACGTGTCGGTGAATTGCACGGAGAATCTAGTAGAACTATGTATAGCAAAGAAGCTGCCGAGTTGACGAAGAACTGGTAAGCTTGGATAGGTAGATGGACCTCATACATTGAATCGATGGCATTATTTACTGAGAATTACTACAACAGCTGATGAAAATCTCTTGGAAGTGTTTAAAAGCTATCAAAGTGACTCAGGGTAGAATTATGGGGTGCTGCTGAGAGGATACCGCATGAATGTTTGTGGTCAGACTGTGCTTGCTACGGGGGCATTTGCACCATATGAACTAAATGGCTGGGTGATATTGGTCATGATGAACGAACTTGCTTTTGGAGGCAGTATATAGCCCCATCCAGTGGGCATCCTGTAACTTACTTACTCGAAGCCTTACTAATGGGTTCAGAAGTTGCAATGCTAAATGTGCGGAGAAAATGTCACGGGAGAGTAAGGCACAAGACCTACTGTGTGATTTTAGCCGTGCACTCTGTCACGGTCCATTCTTACAAGTTACATATAGTAACCTCGACGCCTCCAGGAACGAGCTATGATGCATTGAAGGAGGAATAGTTATGGAGTGAGCCAATAATGATATTTGCACACAAAATAGGGTGATCACTGCTTATGGTCTCCTTGATGATGGATAACTTAGATAACTCGTGCATTGACGACAGAAATTTTCACCCATTGTTGTTCCCGAGCAACGAATTTTCCTTTACATTCATAGCTCCAATTAATCCCCTTCGCCACAATTTCCTTTTCCGTGTTCCATGTAACCACGACTCCGCCCACCACCACTCCAACACTCTGGCTCGGACTTCGCACCTCTCAACACAACAAATTTCATCAGCTACACAAATCTGCATCATACATGAGCATTGCCTAGCACTTGCTCGCCCACCATGGAGTCTACAGGAAACGACGGAGAATCTTCTGTCCCTAGCCGCGGGCTTGACCTCACCAATACCCAGCTGGAAGAACTACCGCTAGACATCCTGTAAGAGATGATACGACGATTGAAGCAGGGTCACGCCGAACTTAAGGACCACATCAACGAGGTCGCCTTTACCATCGGCACTCTGCCGACACCTTCCACCGACGAACAGAACCAGGGCCAAGCAAAGCTTGAAAAAGCCTCGAGGAGCGCTTCGCTGAGATGGAGGAGAGAGTGCAGGGACTTGAGCACGTATGTCGTGTCTCGTCCATCTTCCTGGCGAACCGAAATGAATGCATGGCTGACTTGCTCAACATCAGATCTTCCATACAAGACTCGAGGCGATGCTGGAGGAACGCAAGGTTGCCGGTGAGCAGGCTCCCATGGAGAATCCCGCCGAGGAGGACCAGCGATAGTCATGAGATCAACGAAAAACAGAGGTACATGGCGGATGGTAGCTGGTGAAGACATAATTGACACTCTTGCCGTATATGTGGACTCCAAAACACGCACGTGGAACTCTCAATGCCAGACGAAAGCTTGAATATGGACTGGCCACCTAATTAATACGTGAAGGTGTGGGAATGCATCTTCAGTTTGGCCTGGCAGCCAAGCATGTCTCATTTCAGCAGTACGTGCTGTTTGAAAAGGGCTCTCGAAGACCGCACGGCTGCACCGCGCCTGGACTACACCAGTACGTATTGGCTGACGGGGCCGTATGGCGCAATGGTCAAATGCGCCGGGTTGTGTTCTCGTTTGTGCGGTGGGCGACGAGAACAAGTGGGTTCGAATCCTGCTATGGCCCCCTTCTGACCCGGCTTGTGCGAGTCGACAACCAGGAACGGCTACTGGGACGATGTGTACACCAGAGGACTGAGATTCACTGGGTCGCTTTGTCACTGGACAGGAGGTTTTTCTGACGGAATCGTGCTTGGGTATTGACTAAAACTATCTGGTCACTCCAGGTTGGTACCGTTATAGCGAGGATAGGCTCGTGCGCGGATCTGAATGTATCTAGACTGACACCTTTACAACCTTGCGATGCAATGGCTCTGGGAGGCGTGGTTTGCCCTATGGAGGGACTGTATCCACGATAAATACAATCAATCAAACTATTGGCTGACGGCTGCTCAAGACGTGAAGCCGGGGGTTTAATGGTGTCACCAAGGTCAGGCGGTGAAGGTGTGACGCTTTGGGTACTTTAAACAAGTGCAGGGGACAAGTATCGCGGGTTTTTTGCTTCTTCCCGCACCCCATCGGAGAGTGCCAGCCAATATCAGCAAGGAACACCAATTGTGGTTGCTCGATATGGAGTGCAGAAGCCAGTGCCTTGCGTGTTCCAGTCACAGTCATGACCTGCAAGGCGCGACCTATGACAGTGGTGCCCTCACGGCCTTGAAGCAAGGGATGAACGCAAGGGATATAGACCCGGCGCAAGTCCGCATACGAGCCTACCGATAAGAAGGCACGCTTCCGCACGCAGACCGCCCAGTTTCATCATTCCGACCTTGCGGAGTAATTCAAACTCTCACAATATGCCCGTCCACGGGTATAACACGGGCTCGAGTACGGGCCTTCCCACGGCGTTGAGTACGATGTCAGGGCCAGCCTCGTTGACCCAGTTCAACAGCTTGCCACCAGAGATTCGACAAATGATCTGAGAATTGCATTTCGACGCCTTTTTCGAGCCCCCGCGCATGCAGCCTATCAATGGGGGCTACCCATACAAGTGTGCGCACCCAGCTTGTTTCGAGGAGCTGCCCTTCCAGTCGGCGTCGTCATTTGACAACCATATTATAGCGTATGTCACTCGCCCGAGAATGTAGAGACGAGATATTGATGGATATTCAGCGCGCAAGAGACGAGCCCAGCTGGCCAGTGTAAATTCTGCGCCAAAGCATTCAACAGAAGAGACAACTTCCTCGCCCATACGCGGCGCCACACGAGGCTGATGACACCACTCTCTAGAATCGAATATCACCCAGCAGCTGCGGAACTCCTGAGAAGAATGTCAGCCGGGTCGCGTCAGCGGGGGGAAGCAGTCATGGGACGCTGGCCCAGCATTCGGCCATTGATCAACCAAGAAGCCGTGCAGGTTGCTCGAACACTCTGTCGACGGTACAAGAACGTCAACATTCAACCTGGCCTGCTTCGAAGCCACGGTTACCTGGAGGGCAATACCCGCATCCTGCTTAACACAGAGTTTGACCTGGTACAGGTCGACGCCAGCACCGACAGTATGCTGGAGAACGTACAGGGGCTTCCATGGCTTGCACATGTCCGCAGACTGGCTATCTCGAAGACAGGGGTCAGATTTGCGCCATTTGAGTCACTCTTGCAACTTGTCGACTCTCTCCCACATCTCAAGGAACTATCGGTGTTGGTGCCTCTGGAAGACCCCAACCTGCCGGCCCAGGGTACCCGTTCGACGCTACCCCTGGACGAGTTTGGCTTTCACCAGTTCGAGGTCGCTGGGGACATGGACGTCCGGGCCTTCTCTGAGAAAGCTGAAGTCAGCGGCGGTATAATGGTGCCCAGTTAGTGGCTGATGTATCTGATCAGATGGATCGGAGGCCTAATCGCTGCACTGGGGGAAAGAAGACATGCTGCTAAGGTTGTGGTTCGATTCTGTTGCAATGATGCGGATTGTGGGTGTAAAAGCGGCACGGGCTAAGTTAGCACACGTATTTCTCATGACTGACCATCTCCTTGAACCCGAAGACGACGTGTCCAGCATGGGTGTCTACGTGAAGCAACGCAACGGCTATCTGTATCTGCAACACTCGCTTCTTTCTCATTGGTCTTGTGAAACGTGAAGATGGCTGGCTATGACCCGTATCTCGCAGACGTGGTCGTGATGATGGAGGAGATCGCATGTATTCAGGAGTACTCTTCTCGCGCCACCACGGCCTGACTGCGCAGTGGATGACCCAGTCTTCGGACAAATCATGAGAAAGAATCCGGAGATCGAAGCGTGTACCTGGGTTTAGGACGTCCTGCCAAGAAACCGTATGACCAGTCGCTTGATGTGAATATCTCAGCATGCCGGGCACTAAGATACATCGAGACGTATGTCGACAGCCACGAACCCGATTCTAACACCCTAAGCTAGGCACGATCCCCTTCCAAACCCTAGCACATATTGAAGTCACATACATCTTGGAACCGTTCTAACAACCCAGGATTTTTCTTATATCTCCTTTAAAACGATTCCTTTATATCGTTAAACTCTTTGACCTGGAGGACAGTGCGAATCCCACATGCTCTGATATGTATTAAAAAGCTCAGCCCCTTCGCTACACGCAAAGTCTAACATCATAAAATCCCCCTTGTTATCTTTAACGAATCCCATTCCCGCTCGGTCGATTCCGTCAGGGAGTGGCGCATTTTTGATCACGTCTTTGCTAATTAGTCAAGGCTTGGATAAACAGGCATGTGAGGTGGTTCGCGGCGTACTTTTGATCCAGTCGGCTGCCTTGATGTAGTACTCCGTAGACAGCCACGTCGCCCCCATGTTCACGCTGACGTACGCGCGGCTAGGCTTGTAATCTGGCCTGTCATCAAGGTAGACGAAGACTGCGTCAGGCGTGTTTTTCAGGAAGCCAGATTGTTCTCGGAACCAGGTCTCCAGCGTCGCCAGCGACTGGTTGGGCCTCATCTTTTCGGGAACCTGGCAGCGGGTCAGCATAAGCCGTGCCCATGGTGATGAGTGAGCGGCTCACTTGTGTGACCTCGGCGATGTAGATGTTGGTGCCGATGATATTATCCATCTTGGGAAATGGGCGGGACTGGTGGTGGTAGATATGGCCCGTCAGCAGCGGGACCGGTGGTGGCGGATACGGGCTGTCAGCAGCGGTGTCTTCAAGTGAAGCACTGGAGCCATCACTGGCATCTTCGGTGGAGCCGTCACTGCCATCGTCACTGGCATGACCACTGGCATGATCACTGGCATGATCGCTGGCATGGTCGATGGAGCTGTCAGAGGAGCTTTCGGTAGAGTCCGGGGTAGACATCGTGGAAAGTTTCTGGAATACTATATCCGGATGCGTGCTTGACAGGACAGAGCAATGGGTAAGTTGAAATCAGAGGGCTGAGGGCAAGTCTGGAGCTATTTATGGTGATTTAGAGCGGTCGATGACCTACCTAACTTAGGATGCCTTGACTAGTCGGAGAACGATTTGAGCCACAGGCATATTATGTGTCGACAGAAATATTGGATGATCCTTTGTTCTCGTTTGGCCGAATTGTTGGCGGTGACTCGAGGTTGTTGGTGTCACCTCCCGCTCCTTTTTCTTTGTTCGTGATCTCGGGTCTGTCAAACAGCGAGCACACATGGCACCTGTGAGTAGTACCAGACCTGCTTCATTCCAACGAGTGCTGTATGTACCCTGATTCAACTAGACTCATCTTTCGGACTAAACCACCGGGGTAATGGAAAATCAGCCTGGGCCCATCGTGACAGAGTGTCTTTGAAGCGTGAATCAGCAGATCGAACCCAAACTTCGGCGTCACGGAGTTGTCCATCATTCAGCGATGAACCGCCATCGTCATCTAAGCATCCCACTCGCCCGAGGCGACCTGAGTCCGACTAGCTAGTCTAGCTATCGCACAAGGCCTGATAATAAGGTAGGTACAAGACGGAGGCATGAGTTGTGATCATGGTAGGGGTAGCTGGATTTCTCCATTTGAACACCGAAGACATATTCAGACAGGTGAGTCGACCGATGATGTATCTGTTGTCGTGGAAAGGTGAGGATGGAGAAGGCAGATGCAGGTGTGGGCCTCGACAGCGGATACCTTCAGTCTGGCAACATATTCTCTCGAACCCAACCGACGCCTTCACGTATGGTGGCTGCCAAGGTCTATTCTTTGCTGGCCATGTATCACAAACTGACGAGCAAGGACGATTTCTCAACAGGCAGATCACCCGGTTGGAGGTATTCCAGCCGGGCACGCACTGCATGGAGATGAGTCTCAAGGTAACCTGAAGATAGCAAATGGGAACAAGCGGCTTGCTCGTGTCTGGGCGCTGCTACCAGCATAGAAAGGCGGGCTTGAAGCGTGTGTACGTAATCAACAGACTGTTTCACATCAGTGCGAGACACCCTGGTATGAACACCACCGGCGGGAATCGTGAGCGCATTTGGCGGCGGAGTAGGATATTGTCATGCCTGATTGTGAAGCAGCAGTAGAGCTTGCTGAACTGCCCCTTGGAGATGCGACTGACCCAAGAAGCCGTGGCCCACAGACGACATGACATGCTGCTTCAGAAGTCAATTTCACTTCTTGCATCCCCTCGAACGAAAACACAGGGCTGATCTGGTTTGAAAGGGTGAGTTGACCATAATTTCCTGAAGTCGGGGCCATCATCTGACTAGACGTCGCAGCTCTGCTGGAACAGCTTCGAATACGTCCTTCATGGAAGCACGATCCGCGGCCAGTTGCCGAGTTCGGCGGCGTGCAGATGGCCAGATTGCGCCGGCCGGCATGACTGATATATGGACCCATATCTGCAAGTGCATGCTGGAGAGACTTTGGACTTCATCTCTGGAAACATGTAGGTTGTTCTCCATCACATCGACACGATTGGTAAGCTGAGGAAGTGACTGGTGAGTTGAGATCGGCTGGGATAGCTGTACTCAGTGGTCAATGTTGGCTGGCGTCTTCGAGATCCTTGCTCAAGAATCTACCTGGTCTCGAGACAGACGTCGATGCGAGCCCATCGTCGCAGATAACAGCCAGCCATTGACCGCTTTGGCGTGGTATTTTAGGCTAGATAATCAGGTGATGCGTAGACAATGTCCTGAGGGAGGTTGTTTCTTGGTACCGAACTGGCATAAACGAGGCGAGAGCTTGACATGATAGGGAGCGATGGCGATCTGCGAGATGAGCCTTGTGAGGAATGATGTACTACTCCACCTTATGTCCAGGCGTATCAGAGACAGGCCGGACATGCGACAGGTCATATTGCGGCCCTATTGAAGGATCAGAAATGCCAATCCCAAGAAGAAGGCTGGTGCATGCAGCGACCTGCAGTGAGAACCAGATCCTCGATCATACCGGGTGGGGGATACGCCTTAGGTTGCTCTGCATGGAAGCGCCAGACGTGGATAGGAGCCCAACTCGTCAATATCGTCTCGATTCCTGGAGCCTAATTTGTCGAGAAAAGGTTGCGGTGCATGTGTGAGGGGACGTTGTGAAATCGAGGAGAGCGCGCAAAGGGGAACTGCTACACCCCACCCTCTGTGCGCCCCGACACGGCACAGACATTGGAGCGATGCAACCAACAGTGACATTGGAATGATGGGAACTTTGAAGCAGCCAAACAGCCACAATCACATGCACGAGTTCGACGAGACGCTTAGAGAATCAGGGATCTCTGCGGTGCTCTCGGCAGCGGACATTTTGCGCGGGATGTGACGCACCTATCTTCACGAGGCACAGACCTGATGCGCGCCAGGCCTGGACGTCGTCTTGATATCTCGCTTTTATCAGGAGGCTAGGTGTGTAAGAGACGGTTGCTTAATGTCGGTCTATTATCACGTTACATACTTCAATGAAAGGGTACCTTAGGTAGACCGTAGACGTGGGCCAGGTTGATGTAGGGTGCATGGTGCAAGGTGCAGGTACAGAGACCAGGGTACGACCGGCAATCGATCCGTACCTATCAGACGCGATAGCAACGCAACATCGTCAACTACCACTGCGTCAATGAACATCCAATGGACAAGGGAGAGGCTTTCATACCAATCTGACTTCGTGTCCAGGCTCTGGTTACTGGACTGGGCCAGAGGACCCGGGACCGGTCTGCCTGGATAGGTAGTCATTACAAATCTGGCGTTGGGTATCGTGCATGAAATCTCACCATCTGTGAGATTCTTGTCGTGTCCCCCGTGTGGATGCTTGAACATCTGCCGTCGTGTTTTTGATGTTTTCAGCTCTCTCCCCTCATGACCCCCACGTGCGTCTCTGAAACGATCATCTCCGGGCTCGACTGCGATATCAAAATAAGAAAGGAATAAGAAGGGAATAAGAAAATACATGCATCATACTGATCATGAACCGCGTTCAGTGAACCCTGGCCATTTTGCCGATATTGTCTTGTCGTATTACTTGCGGGAATATCGACAGCAGTGGTTTCGAAGCTTGGGCGCTTCCCAATCCCAACGCAATGCGGATTGGGTACCAGCGTTGAGTGACGCGGGCAAAAATAAGGTAAGGTATCTCTCCAGGGTCGAGGGAACGACAAATAGGTTGCGTGACCGTCACAGTGAAAGGTGTAGGCCGGCCCCACCCAACCCCGGAGCCTGGCCCTGCCCTGGCCTGCCCTGGCCCAGCTGCCAGGCACCCTGCCAGGGTGTCATGGGTGCCTCCCGTCCACGATGTCTGCATCAAATCCCATCTCAATTCCATTGTGATAAATCGAATCCAATCCCTCGTCTCCCAGGTCCTCCTCTTTCTTTTCTCCCTTGTGACACTTGCTATCCGAGCGCGCGTTTCGAGTGACATTAAATTTCCCGACTACCATAAGTCTACCTGATTTGACATTCCAGCACCCCGCATACGCGCTCAAACCGTCATTACCGCACAACCCCAAGAAAACTACCGATTCACAACATCGCATTGTTTTTCCTGTCTTCGGGCGCCCCATCCTTATTTATATAATAAGTGTTGGAACCCGTCGGCTATTACCACTGCCGGACAACTAGCACGTGCCAGTGGCTGGGAGCAGGACTAGACGTGTTTTGGTAGTGGAGCAACCGTCATCAGCGAAGCGAGAGAAATCATCACTGTCGATCATCCTGGCCCGAGCTGTTCTCTACCCGATCCTAATAATAATAAACGTGGCGGCAAGCCGACCTTTGCCACTGGCTTTGGGCTGGCCAGATTCCTTCGAGTCCACCCGTTCGCCGAGGCTATAACTGCCCACCGCTCCAACTTACGGCAATCACGACTCATCTACGAAGAGCACCGACCGACGCAACACCAACACCAAACACATACACGCGCGCACGATGCATCCTCAACAGCCTCACTCCCAGCCCGCCACCCAACCACCCGTCCCCATCTCCATAACCATCTGCGGCGATGGCGGTTGCGGCAAATCCTCCATAACCCTACGGCTCGTGCGCTCGCAGTGGACGTCCGAGTACGACCCGACAATCGAAGACAGCTACAGCATCACGCGGCGAATTGACGGGTCGACCTACCACCTCTCGCTGACCGACACCGCGGGGCAGGAAGAATACCGCGGCATGTGGGCCTCGTCGAACCTGGGCGCGGACGCCTTCCTTCTCGTCTACGACATCACGTCGCACGACAGCCTCGACGCCCTGAACTACTTCAACGACCTGATCGACATGGAGGCCGAGACGCGCCTGGACAACGCGACGCGGGCCAAGCGCGCGGGGCTGTCGCCCAACGCCTACGGCAACAACAGCGGTAGTGGCGGCGCGGGCGCGGGCAGCGGCGGGCGCACCATCCCGCCCGTCAAGATCGTGGCCGGCAACAAGTGCGACCTGCAGGAGTCGCGGCAGGTGTCGGCCGCGTCGGGGCTCGACTGGGCGCGCAAGCGCGGCTGCGGCTTCATGGAGACGAGCGCGCGGCTCGAGGTCAACATCGAGGAGACCTTTGCGCTCATCGTGCGCCGCGTTGCCGAGGGCCGCCGCCTGGCTGAGATGGGCGTCCTCGACAACACCGAGATGGACCGCCGTGGCACCACGAAGCCGCTTACGCCGCTGGGCAGCGACAGTAGGGACCACGATGGCGGGGACGAGAAGAGGGATGTGGGGACGAGGGGCCCGAGGCTGGGCGATGGCCAGAGACTTGGGAGGGGCGGCGAGTTTTGGAAGAGCTTGAGGTGCTGGTGAATGATTGGAGGTTGTGCTGATGATTATGCTTGATGTCATGGAGACGAAGGCAGTTCGATGTCTGGTGTACGTTTGGGGGCACGACGGGGACAAGAAGGCGGAGGAGAGAACGGTCTTTGGACCACGAGCGATGATCTCTGCCTCGGTCCGGCCATGAACACTTTACTGAGCTTCTTGGCCCCATGATCTGGGCGGCTTGAACGCTCATGTATCCAGCAGCAGAACCGGCCGTGGGCAGACGCCACTGATACGCTAGGGTCGGAGAAGGCGAGGTCGGACATGGCGACCCATGTTTCTTGTTTGCTTGTTTGAAGACCATGACATTATATCCCGTGATGACCATCGGCGTTTTGAGGGGTTTAGGGACTGACTGGGTTGCAGAGGACGGATTTGTTGGTTTGCTGGTTTTGGGGTTATAAGCTGGCTTTTATCAGATACGTAGTGACACATATATACCGACTGTATGAAGACTAGGAGCTTTGATATGCTTGCTTGCCTGCTCTGGGGCCTGTGTTCTTAAAGATCGTAGTCTTGATCATGTGTATGATGGTTGGCCCCTTTATGTGTACTTATGTGGGGCTGGAGATAGTCAAGTGGGTATAGGGGTCAGCCTTACGAACTATCCCAGTGGGGCTCGGAGGACTACAAACATGTATGCAGCAACGACTCACGACAGGTACGATTGGTTGGTTAACTACTGAGTCACACGATACCTGTCGGTCACTGTGACCTGCGTTGCTCGTTGGTGGTGTTTCCTTACAAGATGTGTGTTGTGCAATGCTGTGGTCATGTTCCATGTTTTCTATCCCTGATTTGATGAGCAAACACGGCAGGAAAAACGTGAAGCTCCCCAAGCTTGCCTCAGCTGGTAATACTCTCACTCATGTCGTAGTATATATATTCCTTGTGCCTGACCTGAGGTGCGGTTGCGTCCATAATCCGAGCTCGCGTTGACCGCCCCCCTGGTCTCTCCTTGGACTGCAGCTGGCAGTGACATCAAAATCTGGGCAGGATAGTATAGAACCCCCTCTGGGTTAATAAAAGCTCATAGTATCTACATTTAATCACCCTATGAGCTCCAATCCCCTTCCCAATCAGGCATCAACCCTGGGGTGGAACGACGAACCTTGGGCCATGAACGTTACCCACAAGTCCCACGACCTTCGTGATAGACAACGTCAGTCCGGACGGTCGAATAATGATGGATCCAAAGGCCGGCGGCATCCCAGGACCACAGTGACCCCGACCGAACTCCTACAGAACCTAGAGCACAATCACAAGGGACATTACCGCCAGCACCGAGCCCAAGACACCCGGCGTGAAGCAGCCCGTCTGGCCCCTCCACCCGACAGACATCGTGCATCCCAGCCCAGGCAGGATGAAGATGAGCAGAGACACCTCAGTCGGCCACCCGAAGCGAAGCGCAGATATTGGAATGCGACAGGACAACCGCAGTTCAAGCCGTCTCAGCCACCGTCCAACAGATGGAGCGAGGGAGAAGGAGCAGGGCCCGCGAGACCATCATCGGAACCGATACTCCAGTGCAGAAGCTCCCCGCAATAGGGAAAATCAGCGCCAAGCGCACCAGACCAGGCGCAAGCAAAGCCAAGTACAGTTCCGATACCCAGAGGTTGTGCACCAGTATGGAGAGCGAGAGCTCGCCGCTGATCGATGGCTGCAGAAGGGCAGGGAGCGTAGAGAGGACTTGGAGCATCAGCGAGCAGGTTGCTGCGTGATGATGTGAAGTGCCTGATGATATGGGTGGCGAACAATGGACAGCAGACTATCGCTGGGTAATAGGCTGCTCTGGCGAAGACTTTGGTGCAGTCGATATGGATGGCAGGGGGGGGGATTCTGTGCAGTCAAGATGGATGGCAGGGGACGTGATGGAGGGACTAGATTCCCTTTCCATTCGCTTGCCATGGTGGTCATTCAATGCTGGAAACAAGAGAAGCAAATTGAGCATCAATGAACGGGCAGTCAGTCTGCACAAGGGGAGCAGCTGATGAGGACAACTTATCACAAACACTGACTCAGGAATGCTTCTCGTTACATCCAACATGTGATACAAAGCCTGAAGAGGTGTCGGCTATCAGCAAATGTAGCCCTAAACTGTACACAAAAGGCTTGCTCCAATGCAACCGTTTCTCTGATGATTCTGCGATGTGTGTGCTTCCCTGGCGTTAATTCCTGGCGTGAATGCTTGGACAACTGAGGCGTGCCGATCGGTTCGCAGTAGCTGTGAGACTTGTCCTCCGTCTCACTACCCAGTGATGATCCAGCTCATTGAACCTGGACACTTTGATCCTGCTCCATGTCCCTTCCTCCCGAAATAACCGGACTGAGTCCTAATTCCCTTCGGCGTTCAGCCCATCGGACAACGAAAGCGATATCTCTGTCGTGGAAATCGGAAGGCAGATACGCCCAGCGTGATCTCATTACATTCCATCCTCTGTTCGGTGCGTAGGCTTCAAGCATGTAGTAGTTGTCCCTGTGGTATGGGAAGTCGAGTGAAGCAGGACCACTCCGAGACAGGAAACCATCAGTTCCTGAGTCGACGTCTGCTCGAGTCATTCGAAAACGTGGTCGCTGATTGCCCTTGTTTGCTGCATGGCGACTGATGGATTTTGTTATCGAGTCAAGGTGAGCCTCTAGCAATAGCGCGTGCCACAGAGGACTGTGCATTGCTCTGCGGACGATGGACGCATTGTCGGCTATGAGCGCTTGGTTCCACTCCGGATTCTTACCCCGCGGGATGATTGGGATTGGCTCGCCACGCTCCAGATGATCTTGCCAGTGCGCGAAGTCGACAATGAGACAAAGTGCTGACCAGCGTAGCACACAGGTGAGACATGTGCAGACCTCGGTGGGGTCCGGAGGTAGGATGTGCTGGTAGGGTTTCTTGTGAATGGCGAGAAGACTGTCGCGCTCGGGGATCTGCAGCAGAGATAGTATGTCTGGATCTATGTCGGAGACAAGAGCTGGAAGGCGAAAGCATTGCCCGAGGCACTCGTAGCGCAAGCTGCTGACAGCCTTAGCGAGCTTGCTCTCCTCTAGGGCGATGGAGACGTGGAAGAACTTGTTGGTTCGTTGAAGTCGGAACAAGTCGCTGGGCCTGAGCAGCTCGATAACGTCGAGGATGAGCTCGTATGGCAGATTTAGGAGATCCCGCAGCTGGTTGTTGGTTTTCTTGGCCTTCTTTGCGCCCTGCTTCTTGCGTGAGCGCTCGGTCCGCTTCGAGTGAAGAGTGAGGGCCTCCGTCTTGTCTTCCAATGCCCCCAACTCCTCGTCCTCAAGCAGCTCAGCTCTCTTCGTGACGGGCATTGTCCTTGTCTTCGCCTTGTAATGAGATATAGTATTGCGCGAGGGGTGGTTGACTTGCTTCACCTACGTAGTGGCAAAACGAAGATGGATTTGGGGGGCGGATCGGGTTCGGAATTAAGCTTTGCAAGGTTTCTGGCGCAATCGGCTAATATTCGGCGAAGCTGCACCAGCGTTTATCGCATAATATTCACACAGCGAGGCCTGCAGTCTGGATTGGCTCCCCTCGGACTGTATTCATAAGGGGTTCCCTATGCCTTACCGCCCTGCGCATCTCACCTAGAGCAGCATGTTCGGGATTGCACAACGTCACATTAACCCAGGAGGCTTTTCCTGCATAACCATTGATCAACATCCAACATTGAAATGACCATTCCATTAGCCTAGAGGATTAAGCCACACCCAGTAAGAAAGAAAGGGGCATAGAAATATGGTAAAGAAGCCCCTGGCCCGCCAGGAGATGTACTTGTAGAAATAATGTTGCCATGGGCCGTCAACACCAACCAAAGGGTGTCTCTGTGCCTACCCATGAGTTTCACGCTGTTCTCCGTGATCTCGGGTGCTAGCTGTCCAATTGCCCACTGAGTGCATGTGTTGCCGAGGGGTCGTCGGTACATCATGATCGATTCCATGAGGTTGTTGCTCATGGGATCTCGGACTGAGTTGATTGAGGCCGCGTTGCTGCGTCTGGGGACTGGCACATAATGGCGCCTGTAGTTGCGGGCTCGGCAAAGACTGATATGGCAAGCTCCCCTCGATCCCAGTCCGCTGGTCTCGGGACGATCTTGGATGGTCTCTTGGTGTGTGGTTGTAGTAAGGGTCGCTCTGATAATGCGCATTCATATTGGTTGGTTGATAGTGGTCGTATCTCAGCTTCGCTTCCTCGGCCAAGAACGCGTCGTCTCTGCCTGCCTGGGTCTGCAATAAGTAGTCATCGATATCGCCTTGTCTCTGTCGAGTCCTGGATAGTACAAGCTGAGGTGAACGCGGGAGCGAAAAGCAGGGTCGAAAGAACCAACTCGGTTCGTCGTCAGGAGGAGAATCCCCGGGTAGTACTCCAAGACGCGGAGGAAGACTATCGCCTATGAGCAGGCGTCTCCATCATAAGGTTTTGACGAAAATAAGTACCTGAAACGACGCCATTGCGTTCAAGCTCAGCTTTCTGTTCCATGTAAGCTTATTATCTTGCACTAATTTGTTGTCTAAAGCCTACGTTCCGCTCCATGAGAAACACGTCAGCTTCGTCCAGAAGTAGGACTGCTCCCCATTTATGGGCCAGGTCAAAGCTACTACGCAAGCTCTCTTCGACCTCCTTGGCACTGGAGCCGAGATCACCTTGGAGAGGATGTCTGTCAGCATGGCGGAAGTTGTGATGAAGTTCTCAAGTGGGACATACCACATGTAATTGGAAACAAGGGTCGACCAGTATGAGAGGCTACGCATTCTGTACGAACCGGGTCAGTAACAGATCGGATGAGCTAGAAGGAATAGCAGGAGACTTACCAGCGGTAGACGTTTTACCGACGCCAGGCGGCCCCTGTAGAAGGATGATCGTACCCCTCCCTAGAACCAGTCAATTGCAGGCTTCCAAGGACTAGAGTCACACCAACCTTTTCCATGAACGAGATCAATCTCAAGGCTATCTTGGATGTATTTAGCTCCTGGGTTTGCCCTCAGACTGTGGCTCTGGACCAAAGCCAGGACCATCTTCCGGTGTCCGTCGGGAAGCACCAGATCGTTGAACCCTGTCTGATCCCCAAACTCACGAATGTTCAAAACGTCAAGGGAAACTGTACGCATAAATTTCTGGTCAGCTCTTTTGGACCATGACAATAGCGTGAAAACCTGTACTCACACCACTTCCGTTCTCATAACGCAAATGCGTAGGCCACCCCTGGCAATAGCATTATGTTGTTGCAAGCCATCATCTTTTCCTTCAGCAGCGTCATCTTGGCTCCGTCGTCCCTTGTTCCGGTGAGTTTGTAATGTTCTTCGACATCCTTCATGCGGCGCACAGCTTCCACAAGGCAAGCTTTCTGGTAGCTGATATAGCTATGCTCGCGGTGGACGGATTTCGGGTTCGGAGATGCAATGCCAGGTATCTCATTGATTTCCAGGGAGGATTTCCTGATGTTCTGGGCGCTTGGGTGTACAAACTCGGGACGGAACAGTGGCTTGTGTTGATAGGCTAAGGCAAAGTCTATCACCACTGGGCTGTTGATCTTCCTTGGAGTCAGCTCAGCTGGATATGCTAGTGCGTTTGTAAGAGTACTTACCTCTTCCCAGGTGCTCCCGGCGGTTTTGCCTTCGTATCTCTTGTGCGCCATCTTCCAATAGTCCAGGTACTTGAGTCCCCGGTCGATGAAGTAGTCTGAGGTTAATTTCGGGTTGAAGTCGACCGGGTAAACATCGAGGCTCGTGATCTCAACAACGTCCTCGAATGGTCGCAAGAAAAACCTGTCGGGCACGTAGCTGTACCTGTGTCCGTCGAAGTCGAGGAAGTAGCACATGATGATGATGATGATGATGATGATGATTGTATTTATCGTGGGTGCAGTCCCTCAACAGGGCAAACCACGCCTCCCAGAGCCATTGCATCGTAAGGTTATAGAGGTGTCAGTCTAGATACATTCAGATCCGCGCACGAGCCTATCCTCGCTATAGCGGTACCAACCTGGAATAACCAGATGGTTTTAGTCAATACCCAAGCACGATTCCGTCAGAAAAACCTCCTGTCTAGTGACTAAGCGACCCAGTGAACCTCAGTCCTCTGGTGTACACATCGTTCCAGTAGCCGTTCCTGGTTGTCGACTCGCACAAGCCGGGTCAGAAGGGGGCCATAGCAGGATTCGAACCCACTTGTTCTCGTTGCCCACCGCACAAACAAGAACACAACCAGGCGCATTTGACCATTGCGCCATACGGCCAATACTGCCCTAATGGGACGGCTGGTGGTTCGCATGAGAGAACAGGGCTGGCCGGGCTTTCTTATAAGATGGGTCCAGTCATTCATGTCCGAGCGGTCCGCAAGAGTTCGGTTTGAAGGTATTGTGACTGATATAAAAGCTCTCACTTGTGGGCTACCACAAGGCTCACCAGCCTCTTTAATCCTTTACATGCTGTATACAGAGCCAATCTGTGCCCAACTTGGTATAAAAAAAAGACGTTTTGGATATACAGACGAACCAATGACTCTCTGTATTAAAAAGAACCTTAAAAAAACAGCTATAGAGGCTTCTAAAAATCTTTATTTGCTCAATTAATAGGGACATAACAACGCTATTGAATTTGATCCTAATAAAACTGAGATCATGCACTTCTCAAGGAAAAAGAACTCAGACAACCCTCCAGTCCGTCACAGAACAATGAATAAAACAGCAAAGGACTCCATGCGATGGCTGGATGTCTTTCTGGATAGAAAACTAAACTTTAAAAATCACGTTTCCTACTGGGCCAAGAAAGCTAGTAGGGTAACAAATCACCATCAAGGACTATGTAACACAATCAAAAGATTTCTAATAAAGTCAACCAAGAGGGCTGTGAAAGCTTGTGTTATTCCTATTCTTACACACGGCCTGGAGGCCTGGTACCCAGGAATCAAGAAAATTAGGAGCTTAGGTGGGACATTAGCATGTCACATTAAGGGGCTTCTTAGAACAATAGATGCCGTACTACGAACAGCGATCAGGGCTATCTTGCCAGTCTGGAAAACACACCCTGGACATATCCTATACTTTGAATCGCAGATTCCCCCAGCAAGAGTTCTTACAGAATCAATAAGACGACGTCACGTCCTCTGACTAGGACGAATAGACCAGAGACACCCTCTTGTTGGCAGGCTCCAAATACAAGCTCGCAAAAATCCAACAAGGCTACAAAGGAGCTTCCAGCTAGTCCCTGACTTCCAGAGACCAACACTTACCAGGCCATTATAGAAAAAGCCCCCAATCCGTAAAGACAAAGACAAAGAAATAGAGCTCTTCAAGCAATGGCTATAGGAGAGAAACGTGACTAACCTTGTCATCTATTCAGATGGATCACAGTTAGACGACCAAGGCACAATCCGCACTGGATGGGGTTATACCATCAGGAAAGGCGGCACTACACAAGAAGTATACCAGGAAAAGGGCAGACTTCTCCAAGCAGAAGTAGTAGATACTGAAGTCCATAGTGCTCTCCAAGGTCTTGCAGCAGCCAGGGCAATTGGACACGGAAAACAGCTATATGTCTGCCTGGACAACACGTCAGTGGTAGATGGGCTCAATGGGACTCCACCCGAGACATCACAGATTATTTTTCTACGATTCCAAGAACTCGCCACAGCACACACTCCTGGAGTGACTGTTAAGAGGATTATTAGACACAGAGATCTCGATAACAACAAAGTTGCTAATATATTAACAAAAAAGGGTGACATGCTAGAAACGGACGCAACGAATCTTCCCACAATCTCTTGGGTAAAGAGAGATCTCAAAACAAAGGGCAAGAAAGAATTCGATCAATGGTGAAAAGACCAATCAGAACTTAGGTATCAAGAAATATACTCGCATATAGTAACTAAAAAGGACCTTATATCTTTTGAAAGGAGCACTCTGCACAGATTTCTAGCAACCAGATCTGGACATGGCGATTTTGCTAGATATCACAAACGTTTTGGGCATACAGACTCGAATGACCACTGCAACTGCGGTGAGAAAAAAACACCATAACACTTTTTTTTTTGTAAGAGGCTTGGGAAAAACTGACTGCTGCCCAGGTATTTACCTAGGGCAGCCTGTTTACAATACTTGGGGAGAGGAGCGCGGAATAGGCAAGATTTATTAAGAAAAACAAGTTCTTTTTATCAATCTGCCCCTGATAGATAGCTGTTCTTAAAGAACCAGATAGATGACCCAAGGTCATACCGCCGCAACAACGGGGATGGGCTCGTGAGCGGGACTGACTGTACTTATTATCTTGATACCTCCACAACCCTGCGATGCAGAGGCTCTGGGAGGCGTGGTTTGCACTACTGAGGAGCGATCCCCCACGTTAAATACAATCAATCAATCAATCAATTAATCAATCAATCAATACAGAGACTGCAGGAGCGACATCAAAATGTTGAAGGACGCAACAAGTTTGTGGCCTGTATGCACAGAAGCCTTCGGTGGCTGGGCGATAACTCTTCAGGACTGAGAACAATCCTCAGGTTCATTCCGGAGCCACCGTACACGTCGATCGTGTACGGCGTGTTCAGCATGGCATTTATGGTATAATCACTGATCACTCCTCACAACCCGTTTCCAACTTCCTCCGTCCTAATACAGGTAGAGGCTGGCGAAGCTCTTTCCGCAATGCGGGAAGACGTGTGCGATACTCTCCACGATATTCCCGACGCGCTAGAAGAGATTTCCCAGTTCCGGTCCATCAATAGGTGGTCGGCGGACCTTCTGCGGTGTGGAAACAAGATATACACTGCATTGTTCACGGTATTCGAAGAGATCATCAAGCAGCTTCTACAGAACCTACTCAGTAAGCGTAAATTCCGCTGAAAGTGATTGGAGACTGACTCCTTTGAAGAGAAATACACGAAGGCAGTCTGGAAGAGGGAAGACTATGGGAAGAATCTGAGGAGTGAGGTACAGGACCTTCAGAAATGCATCGAGGCCTTCCGATGGGCTGCCGCATATTGCGACTCAAAGAAGATAGAGTTTACAGCTCAGTCTGTTGTCCAAGTGCAAGCCCAACTTAAGGAGTACACCAAAGCAACGAGGCAAAGCATGTCAGGTTGTTTCCCCCTCCAACTCACTTATTGAGGTCGTAACATTGACGGATCTAGGAATATCCCAATTGCTGGAGCAGCAAGGACACCCACCTCCCGCCACTCTATGTATTGCCCCTATACCTAACCGAACGGGGGAGGATGAAGTAACTCGGTCAATCGATTACGACAGGAGCATACGTGAACTCCGATCTGGTACAATTCAAGACCCATACAAAGAAGCCCAAGTATTGACAAATCTGTAGACTTAGAGCATCTGCATTCGGCCGTGGCGGGCACTCGTTCTGATAACATGTCCATGCCATCGGTATCCTATCTCATGGAGCTAGAGAACAGATTGGCCTCCACGATTCAAGGGACAATGACAGTTCAATACCAGTATCTTGCCAACATGGTAAACCAGAACATCTTGCAGTTCTTGGAAAGTTCTTCACTCTACGATAGAGGTACGGGGACTGTGGACCCACATGCAGTCCAGCGAAAGCTTCATGAAGAGCGAGACCCACCGACTTACCAGACTCCTGCGAGGTCTACAGGGCTCTCCCTGGACCATTATGAACAGCATCGGCTCAGTCAACGGCAAGGCAGATATCCCTCTGACCAAGAAATCCTGGACACGTGGCAGATGGAGCTGAACGGCTCCAGTCAAGCTAGGAACCAGGATGCCGCGACCAGTGCTAGGTGGCTGGCACGCGCAGATCTCAAACAACAGGACGAAGTGAAGATGATTTTTTTCTTCTAGACAGCTGCAATTCTGGCTGTGCTATGATCGATCTTCCATCCTTCTGATCACCGCCGAGACGCCGAGAGACGCCGAGGAGACCATCTCGTGTGCACTGTCTTTGTTGACACAAAGTCTGTCTGGTTACACGAGTTTCCCGGTTATTGCATACTTCTGCACCAGTCTTACGATTCGTGGAAGAAATCAGCCTGGCGCAGCCAATTCGATGGTGAACAGTCTCACCGGACAGCTTCTCACTTTCCTGCAGAAGCAGGGCACTCAATTGGATGTCACCGCCTTCCGGAACTCCAGGTTCAGTGCGGCACACGCCGATCTCCTTTCAGCAATGGAGCTCTTCCAGGGCATACTCAAACAACTACCCAGCGGCTTTACGTTATTCATCATAATCGACAGCTTGTCCAGTCTAGAGTATGCTGGTGGACAGGATGCTGCTATCGCTCTGGAAGAGATCCTGGAGATGACCACACGCACCGGAGTAATCATCAAGATCCTCCTGTGCCAGCCACTGAGGTTTCGGATTTCGAACCAGCACAAGGGTAGATGCGATGAGCTGCACCTTCCGGATTATGTGGATGGGGACAGGAACGGATTCAATGTTGGTTTCACACACATGGAGACTGCGAAGCTGATGCGAGCGGATCAGTAATAGAGACTAGCATGGACCTGCAAACCTTCTGTAGAGGAGGACAGATGGGAGGCAAACACATCTGCTCAAAACTGTTGAGTAGGGGCGCAGTCTATATCAATCAGGGGGGTAAGGGTAGGTATCAGATCTATATTAGTCTGGGCGGGTACGACTGGGTATCTTTATACCAGAGGATGGGCGGGTACGACTGGGTATCTTTATACCAGAGGATGGGCGGGTACGACTGGGTATCTTTATACGCGACGACCCACGGATCAGCAGTATTCACCTCTCGGGGCGTCCGTCTTCTGCATTCGTAGCGACTGAGAGGATCGACGTAGCTACAGAATACATCACGGGCAATGAGGATCATGGCAGATGGGTCACCATCCTGGCTACCTTACGGGCCAGCCCACAAATAGGCTACTCTAAGAATAATTATGGATTAAAACTTATCATCCTTCATTTTTAGAGCCCTCGTCACGTAAGAGGATTCACACTCGGTCAAGCTGCCCCAGTACTACGAAACGTCGAGGCCACCTGTAGACTTTTGCCTCATGACGGGCAACACTTTATTAAAGTGGTGGAATGCACAGGTTAATGGTCATACTTTTGAGGAGGTTTCAACTCATCCACTACTGTCTTTCATACCACCAAGATGCTCATCAAGTCCTATTCTTTGCTGCTCATCTCAGCGGCTACCTTCGGGGCAGCCTGGCCAGCTCCTCTGATGCCGACCCCGAACCAGAAACGCGACTCCTACACCTTGAACATTCTTCACGTCAACGATGTGCATTCTCATCTCGTCCCATTTGACCCAGGTACTGGACTTGAATGTCCGCTCGAAGAGACACCATCGTTATCATCTCAATCTGCTGGGTTGGGAATACGAAGTCCGTCCGAAGGGGACCTCGAAGGGGATCCCGAAGGGGAGAGTTGCGTCGGGGGTTGGGGGCGAAGTGAGTCGCCTTCCAGAATCCTAACACACTGCGATTGAAAGGTTGACAGTTGCATTCATTCAGTCGCCGGGGAAGTGGGAAGACGGCGAGACTCAGACCCCGATCGCACCATATTCCTAAATTCGGGCGATGATGCACAAGGCACATGGTTTTGGAAAGAATACGGATTCAAAATTATTCCCGAATACCTCAATCTGGTGAAGCCTGTGGCGTGGACTCCAGGCAACCACGACTTCGATGGTGGCGAGGACAATCTGACCAAAGGCATCGGCCAATTCGAGTTTCCCGCCTTGGCTGCGAACATCGAGCCCGCGACTGACCTCAAGAAACGGCTGAAGCCTTATGTTGTGCTCGAGGAACATAAGCTTGTCATTATCGGCCTTTCGACAGTCGATACAAAGGGAAGGAGCAAGGCACACCCAAACACTAAATTCAACGACCCGATTCGCACGGCCCAGAAGCTTGTAAAAAAGATCCGCGAGAAATACCCGAAGGAGTATCGGATAATAGCACTGTCGCACATTGGTTACGAACGTAAGCAGCCCTTCTCGCGCCTTTCGGACCATCTCCGGAGTCCAAGCTAGCCGCTACGTTACCCTGGCAAACATGCACACACCATTTCGAGGCTGGCTTTGTCACGTCCAGAGCAAAGTGCTGACCACGCCTCATCTAGTCGACCAGCGACTGGCTAAAGAAACCACGGACATATCGGTGATTGTGGGGGGACATTCTCATACCGGCTTAGGCGGGATGATAGGGCATACTGGAAGATCCGAAGGTCCTTACCCGACGATGGTGAAGAAAAAAAATGGCGACGATGTTTGCGTCTTACAAGCGGCTATGTTGTAAGACTTCAAAGGCGTACCAGCAGCACGGTTGAGAGGCTAATTGTGATGGTGCGCAGTGGACGCTATCTCGGGGCTTTCACCGCAACGTGGAAAGACGACAACAAGCTGGAAGGATGCACTTCTAAATGGGTGGAGCTCGACAACAAGATCAAGCCAGACCCTAAGATGAATGACTTGATTAAACCATTGTTCGACCCGCTTGCGAAAATAGCTTTCAAGGTTGTTGGCCATGCTGCAAACGATATTACCATGGGCGATCCGTACAATGGAAAGTCGCTCATGGGTAACTTCCTCGCCGAGTAAGTCCCGACACCTCTTTCATTTTCGGGAATCATATGCTAACTGCCTGTGTCTGAACAGTGTCATGCTCGAAGCATCGCAGAACTCCGCGCAGAAGGACGGAATGAAAGCAGATTTTGCATTTAGCACAAGCGGCAGCATAAGGTTTGGCATCCCGAAGGGGAAAATCACTGCTGGACGAGTGAACCTCATTGAGCCTTTCGGCAACTTGGTGGTCAACTGGAAGATGAAAGGGAAGGATATCTGGAAAATGCTTGAGGGCGTGTATTCTCTGCAGAACCAGTATGTCGACGGCATCGAGGGCAAGATGCACAGGTCCTTTTTGCATTACAGCAAAGGCGTCCAAGTCAAGTACGATCGTTCATCAGATTCCAAGGATGGATTACGCTTGAAGGAACTCAATATCAACGGCATAAATGTGAGAGAGGACGAGAACATGGACAAGGAGTTCACGTTCGCGACGAGTTCCTGGGTCATGCATGGAAAAGAGTCCATCTTGTTGGGGTTGAAGGAAAAAGAGTGGAACAAGGAACCTAATGTGGTCGGGCGAATGGACACCGCTATCCTCAAGTACCTGAAGGAGCATGATCCGGTCGAAGTGGATGATGAAGACAGGATTGAGGGCAAAAACCGCGAGTCGGTGTCATGACGAGACAGCTATTAACTTACTATTGGGACGCCTCGGGCGCAACACATGTTAGCTAGCCAATAAGACCTGTCACTACCTACGAAAATAGAAGACCTCGAATCCAAGTCCTTCTTCCTCACTGCTATGTTAGCCCGACAAGCCTAGATCGCTGGGAGATAGGGATCTGATATCAAATAGTAGGGCTTGCTGTTGATTTGCTTCTTTCGTTATGAAATCGGCCGCTAGAGGGAAACATATCACGCCACATACGCCCATCAGTGCATGTAATGAAGCTTTTCCTGTCATTCGCATTCGAAGTGGTGAGCTACGGCAATCTCTTTCGGCACCCTACTAGCGGGGATGTTGCGTGGTATCCCAGAACATATTCATGCGGTGCATAATACCATTGCCACTTGAGGAAACCTCTTCATGGGGTACAGGTTTATATACGATAACCTTCAGGCTGACCCCTAATGAGAAGACGTACAGGAGAGGTTACCGTCCTTAAGTTACATCAGACTGAAGCCTGTTCGGGTATCACTACTTGAATCACTACGCAGACTATGCGAGTGCCAGGGTATGCGAACCAAACAAGTCAACCGCATAGCCGAATGACGTGATGAGAAACCCCAAGCTTTGGTGCTGACTCCCGTCCTGAGTGGTTCGTCGTCGATGAGGGGGAAGCTCCAAGCTACCGGCCGGTAAATGCGGAGAAAGGGGTACTAATAAGCCCCGCTGCATCTTTGCCAGTGAAGTAGCATTGGACTGACCACATGACCACAGCCTCTAACGTCACCCTTGACAATTTAGTTTCTCACCTTCTTCTCACTCAAGAAAGAACAGACAAGTCGTTGAAAATGGCCATCTTACACGTTGTGATGTTCCAGTTCAAAGCCCTCATCCCGCTGGAAGAGGTCGCGGCTGTGAGGAGCCCCAAGTCGATGGATGCATTATCACCGAGTCGGCAGTGTGGTAGACTGACTCAGACAAAAGGGTTGCGATCGCATGCTTGTTCTTGGAGACAAATGTATCCACCCAACGACACAAGCGCCATACGTCAAAGTGTTGGGCGGAGGTAAGGACAACAGCCCAGAGGGACTACAGGTCAGTATTCGGCATGTAACTACGGTCGAGACTTGACATAGGTGGAAGCTGACTCGCTCGCCCTCCTATAGAATGGCATCACGCACACGTTCGTGTTCCAGTTTGAGAACGAGGACGACAGAAAACACTACATCGAAAAGGACGCAGCGCATCTCGAGTTTATTGCGAGCATCAAGAACCTTGTTCAGAAGGTGCAAGTTGTCGACTTCACACCCGGAGTCTACTAAGCTAGGCTGCCTCGGTTAAGGCACAGTACTTGGTGTCTATATGGAGAACTAGATGAAATTGAAAGTGAAAAGGATAATGGAACGGATCAGGGGGAAAAGAGAACCCAGTTACAACAACACTGGCCATAAGTGTGCCTTTTGGTAGCTTTCCCAGATGCTGACAAATCGAAAGTCTTGTTGTAATCTATCAGTGGTCTGGGTGGTGCTTGATTAAAAAGGTCGGATGGAAAGGATTCCATCCGAGATGTATCTAAATACCTAAATTACAGTGGTGAGGTACCTGGGGCAACAAAGGGTTGCCAGGCAGCCTTCATCAGGTAACCTCCAACATATCTGGTGGGGTTCCAGAATACTCCGTATGGGTCCATGCATTGGATCCACATAAGTATCTCTAGTCATCAGAATCTGCATTCAATATGAGAACCGCCCTATTATGATTGGGCCCGTTTGTTGCATCTCCCCTCGTAATGAGATACCCCTTCTACCCCACAAACTGCACAGTGTGGAGCCGAGCAGATCAAACGTGCTAGACCCACTGGGAGGAGAGCTAGACCACGATGGGAATGATGTATCTACGTCATACCCCACCTGAGCTATCCCTGGTTCTGGGGTGGACCCCTTCTGCCTTTTGTCTGCCTTTCTGCTGAGCTTCGGGTCTTTCAGCCCAACCAACGACGAGATGACAGGCCCGCAGGACACATGTGAAATGGACCTTGGAAGTGTGCCATCTGCCATCTGCCATCTCAACATCCACCATCATCTAAAGACTTAAACCGCATGTCTGGATGATCGATCGACTGCATTCTTAATTAATTCGTTCTCTATCGTCTGATACACCTCTGAACACTCCTGTACCCGACCTCGTCCTCCAATATCTCTCGTTTTTCCGCCCATCCGAGCACCTACCCACGACCCTCTGCGCCCGCGCCAGCGACACCGCAGTTCCCATCGCGTTCACCACAGTATCCCGAGTCCTAGCTGGACCACGGCAAGCCGTACTCATATCTGGTCTGCTCGTCTGTTCGAACAGACCAATCGATCGATCCGTCAACATGTCGCAACAACCGGCAACCCCGATGTTCATCAATATTCCTCCTACGCCCTCCAATCCCGACACCCCAAGCGACATGCCGTGCGTTTCTCTGTCTCGTCTGCCCCTCCAACACGACTAACAATTCATTTTAACGATAGCGGTACTCCGAACAGCAGCACCACCTCCATGTCCGCGCTGTCCACCACCGCCATCAAAGACGGCCACCGCGGCCATGCCCACCTCGCATTGGGCGGTCCAAGAGGCCATGCCCATCATCCCTCCACCAACAGCCTAGATGCCGAGCGCGCAGATCGCATCAGTCGCCTTGCCGGTCTCGAGCGCGTCTCTACCCTGCGCGCGACAAACCAGCAGCAAAGCGGAAATTCTGCTTCTCCACAGACCACTCCGACTTCGACGGGCTTGCCCCCTCATAATCTACCCACCAACCTTACACCGGCTTACTTTGACCAGAACGGCCAGCCCACTGCTATAACCAAAATGAGCACCGTCGGCACCGCGTCCGCCACAGGTAGTGTCGGCGCGCGGACCACCACCGAAGCCGGCGAACAGTTCGAGATGGATGCCGAGATGACGGAGGTCGACGAGGATGGCATGAGCATGGACACCAACTACCGCACAATGGATGTGGACTCCACCTCGGGTGCCATGGATGACGAGATGGCAAGCCGTTCTGTTGGAGGTTTTGAGGATCGCATGAGCGACGATGGAACCGCTAGCTTGGTAGGCTTCGGCGAAGGCGCAAACAGTACCGTCAGTGGCCCCATTTACCAGCGACGACCCTTACCGGGGACTGCTGGTGCAAGTGGCGTGTGGGGCCTCGAGAGGAGCAGCTCTGGGCTTAGCCAGGATGCTACAATGAGAAATCGAGAGATGCGGGACCCGACTGGCAATGACACTCCTCACAGCTCAACTGCTGCTGCCGAGAGACGGACAGCCAAATACCTCGACGGTATCGCAGATGGCGGTGGTCGTGTTAGTACCACGGATGACGATATGTTCGTCGACACTACCTCCCGAGGGCCCGTTCCTGTGCAGCCTGGCCAGCCACAAACGAGTGACCTCCGAGAAGGTGTTGGGGGTCCAGCCTCGCGCCAAGCTGCCGAGCGTATCGTCCGGGAGCGTCTAGACAGTGGCGAGGGCCAGTCACCTATCCTGAGCGTGCCGAAAACCCATGATAACTTGGGTAAGTTCTACTTCGAGGACAAGATATAGCCGGATAGGCTAGTTGATTACGTTATGTCATTGGGCATTGCTTGATTAGCCGGGCATCTGCAATGGGTTGTTTGGAGTTCCTCTGGTGTTGTGGAGAAAACTCGGTTGGCGGGGCTTGTTTCTCTGTCTGTGGACTTGGGATGATAGCAAGGGGGCATACTCACTATGCAACAGTTCCTTGGGGCCTGCTGTGCGTTACTTCTGTTCTTGTATGCTCATACCAATCCAACCAATGAATCCTGTATGGAAAACGGCTGTCCTACTGGGACAGGCGTCTCAAGGCTAATGACTAGTTCTTCAAGATATATTTTCTAGATCGTAGATACGGATAGTACCCATGCTTTTCTCAGGTGTCGACGTTAAAGTTTTCATCTTTTGGTATAGCGATGACCGGCTGCTTTTAATGGAAGGTGTTATATTAAGACTACATATATTATCGTTCTGAGTACCCGAATTAGCACCATAGCTGCAAAGGAGTAGAAACGTGTCGAGTTTGCCGCCGTCTCTTCTTACTTTATTCTACGACTAAAATGCCCCCTTTAAAACCAATATGCTTAGAATTTAGCCGACCTTAGAGTATTACTATAAAGAGCAAGTATACATGCAAGACCGCCTTTTTTAAGCAATACTTTATTAATATATACAGGCCAACTTATACCTTTGTGATTGTGGCATTAAAACGTCAATTAGTTATAAGTTTAATTATAACTAGTTTATATTTTAATATGTTGGAACAGGCTTGGCCGATCAATCATAATACTCGAATATGGATTAAAGTCATGATGTTGCTGATAGGTTGGATTGGGAGGTCTAGCTGGACCTGAAGGTCTGGCTAAATAACCTTGCAACCTGGTATCTAATCTCTGATGTAACCATACATATGGGTCCTGGTATAGATGGTTTGCAGGCTGAAATTGCATGGATCCAACAATACTATTATCATACTATTTTATTAATAAACATAACTACGTTATTATGAACAGTATCCATCTGTATATATAAGCGGTATGTGGGGATCAGCCACGCTGTCGGTGTTAAATACACGGATGTTGACTGATCCTATTGATTGTTCTGCTCTGTGTGCAGAGATTGATCATCTGTCTTCTTGGTGGGTCAGATGCCCTGGGCGTCTCTGCCCCATTGGAGATCTTCCGGTGTCTATCTCCGGCTCCCATTCAATAGTCGGGTTGTACAAGGACCCACAGGTCATCTAAGTGTATTCTATCACTAACAAACAGTCGATAGACCTTTTCCTGAAACAACAACGCTGTCACGCTCATACTGCACTTATCGTTTCACGGATAATGCTCTCAATTACTATTAATTTATTTGAATAGAATATTACATATACTATAATATTTTTTATAAAAATAATAATAATAATAATAATAATAATAATAATAATAATAATAATAATAATAATAATAATAATAATAATAATAATAATAATAATAATAATAATAATAATAATAATAATAATAATAATAATAATAATAATAATAATAATAATAATAATAATAATAATAATAATAATAATAATAATAATAATAATAATAATAATAATAATAATAATAATAATAATAATAATAATAATTAACTTAATAAAAATTTAATGTTACTGAAAAAGCTCTTTTCTTGTAAAGTTAACATTTAAATAACCTAGTTCATAGAATATTAAATATGTCTTAATATATGTATTTTTTTAATACTTTTTAAATTGTCATAATATCTATGGCTGTATTTATTTTATATAAAGGTTTTTTAAATGCTTATAAATAATATAAAATATAATATAACTTTTTGAAAATTGAAATAAAAAAAGTGCTTTAAAAATAAAATAAAGCTCAATAATAGCTTTTTACTGAATATTAATGATTTATAAATAACTTATAAGTTTAATATATTTAGTTACACTCCACGACCAGAAGTCTCCGAGCCAACTTTTCGAGCAGCTCTACACGCATACACCCTCCAACTTTCAGCATTCACCACGCACCCATCTCTCAGTGTAATAATATGAAAAAACTGCATTGTATAAGCTATTCAATAGTGTGTGTACCAACCACCTGCCCTTTTCACTGCGGCAATTCGGTTGCCAAGAGATTCAACGAGAACGCGTATATCCTCAGGATTGATCTCTGACCACACCCTTTTGATTAACCATCTGGTATATGCCTTATGAGCAATATTAGCCTTCAAATCAGCAAAACCAGGCTTGATTCTCTGTATCTGCTTCTTTAGAAGTGCCCAAACATGCTCGATCGGGTTCAAATCAGGGCTGTGAGCAGGCCAGTCGATCGTTCAGATGCCGTGCTTCTCTAGCCACTCTTGAGTGCCTCTAAATCGATGGATGCGAGCGTTATCCTGCAAAAAAGGATCCCCAGCCTTGTAGAACGGAAGGAGCCCTTTCTTAGAGACGTCTTGATATGAAGCTGAAGATACTCCTCCGCGAAGAGCATCCTTATTAGGCTTGTAGAAGATGATTTTGCCTAGGCCACTTTCTCCGCCGCGTAACCAGATCAAGGCCCAACACATGATGGAGATACAGGGTCTCTCATGGCTCTAAGGGTTCACGAGATCCTGTCTGTAATGTTCAGAAGAGAGGTGGATGACCCAATCGTCCGGATTATCAGATGAATTCTGGACTGTGACTTTGTCTGAGAAGAGCGTTCGTATCAGCTCCTCAAGATCCTCTTGAGAGTTATATTTATTGCAAAAAGCGAGCCTCTCTCGTGCGTCATCTTCCGTAAGCTCGATCCGCTTTGCCGCCTTTCATTTGCGAAGCCCGTGAGCGCAAAGAACGCGCTTGATAGTGGTATAGGAGCTGAGGACCCTGCTCTCCTTGAGCTCGTTGTAGGTGGCCCTGGGGTACTTTTATGCTGTTTCAACTAGCTGAGCTTCTTTGCGCTTGTTTAGAGTCCTTGTGGTTCCCTCTCAAGGTTGAGAGACCATGGTGTTATGCTCTCTAGCTGTGTTGATAATGTTGGTCACGGTTTGAGGCCGATCTAGATGGAATGCGCTCGCGACATCGTCGCGCCTTGCGCCTACGGCCCTGGCAGCCACAATAGCTGCACGAGCTTTAAAAGTAAATTCCTGGTGTGGCCTGCGATTTGCGGTCAGAATTGTACCAACCTTTTGTAAATCCATCGTTTTGCTGTTGAGTAAATAAAAGGTAAAGAAGGAAGGGGGTTGCGAGCGCATAGACGCATTTTGAAACTAGCGTGGTGGGTGTTTGGAGACTTTTGCAGGGTCAGTGTACCATAAATATTGAATTTTATATATTTTACGATCTTTTTATTAAAATTGATTGAACTCATAATTTTTACCTTTGAAAATACTATATTTTTAATGGTTAAAAAATTAACCAATATATAAACCTTATTAAGTCAATAAAAAGTTTAAGTATCACGGTGAGTGTCACGATGAGCATACTGGGGAGCTGGGACATTGTCACGGCAAGCGTACTGAGGAGCTGGGACATGGCCGGCAGCAAGCAGCTATTACTCTATTGACGAGAATACCAAGACTAGAGAGGAAAGGAAGAGAGAGAGAGATAGCTACAGTGGGAGGTTGCCCCTTTAAGGGGATCCTCTGGTCAGATCCTTCCCCTATTAGGAAGTATCCACTTGTCATGTGAGAAGGTCTGTGCAGGCCGTCACAAATTAATTATAAGTCCAGTTATAATTAGTTTATATTTTAATAAACATTTAATTAAGTTTAAATAAACAAGGCTCTTATCCGAGATATATTTAAATACTTAAATTATAATGGGGTGGTACTTGTTACTTAAAGTAGCTATCGCAAGTAACCTTATCGTATCTGTCCTTAAAAGATAATGGATACGATAAGCTACCAGGTGGTTGATCCAGTGGCTGGGATCTACATTATTGCAAGTGGGGATCACCATTGACTGATCGATGCATGCAAGGGAATGGATGACTGATCTGATTGTGGGCTTCGGCAGGTCAGCCGAGCTTCTCCGACCGAGAGGCTTGATGAATTTACCGTAGGCATTCCCCGGCCTCAATCGGTCTCGCAGCCTAGATGGACGACGACGACGACGACGACATCCCACAGGCTGCTGGTCCCTTACTCGTGGATGGCAGTGCTGGCGAATATGTAGCGCGTGGTGAGCGACGGACCAAATCGCCAATTTGGCCTCTGCTTGCACTCTTGCTCTTGGTGAACCTCACCACGAGCATTCAAAACCTCCCGCTGAATAGGCTCCTTGAACGGCGGCTGTGTCGCGATTACTACGGCCCCGATAAAGATGTCAGCGAGGAACTCTGCAAGATAGACGAGATCCAGCAGGATCTGGCGTGGACAATTGGCTGTCTGGAAACTTTGTGGGTTTTGGGAGGTATGCGAATCCTCCATCAGAATGCGCGATCTTCATGCATCGGCTGACACGATTGAAAGACTTTGCCATGACCATACCGCTGGGCTTCCTGGCAGAGAAGTATGGACGGCGAGCCATTCTCTGGTTGAACCTAGTGTCTAGGCTCTTCCTGCTGTCGTGGGCACTCATCGTGGGATACCTGAGTCTACCGCCGCAAGCACTCATCGCAGGCTCCGCCCTTTCAGTGCTCGGTGGCGATACTGTGTTTAACTCCCTCGTATACGTCCTAGCAGCCAAAGTCACAGATGACAATGTGACCCGAGCGACGTACTTCAGCTGGATGACAGCGTTGTCGTCTGTCATCAACTTCTTGGGACCGGCAGTCGCAGCAGCGACAATGTCCCTTCGACTATTCCTTCCCTTCTGGCTCGGGATCGGCCTACTTATTCTGGCCATCCCTACAATTTCCCTGCTGCCGAGAGTGGCCAGTACTATGTTGGTTGCGGACGATGAGAATCAACGGCCGCTCATCTCATCCCCAACTCTGAAGGCCCAAGCTTCCAACTCTACACTGCTCAGCCCGATCGTCGAACGTGTTCGCACCCTTGTATCTGTTGTCAGGAGCCATCCGAGGAACCTCACGCTTCTCTTGATCAGCTTCTTCCTCACCTCCCTCGCGAGCTCCGACACCAAGCTCCTTGCCCAGTACATCTCGAAACGGTACCAGTGGACGTTTGCCTCGGCCGGCTATCTGTTGTCGTTGAAAGCAGTGGTCAACTTTGTGCTCCTCAGCATAGCCGTTCCTTTTCTACTCAAGGCTCGAAGATCAAACACCCAGTCGCAATCCCAGTCCTTATCCGACCGAGGCAACCTGCGCTATTCAAGTTTATGTCTGACTGTTTCGGTCTTGGGCGCCATAGCCATCAGCATATCAGGCAGAGTGTGGATGCTATTCCCGAGCCTGCTGCTATATGCACTTGGGAGTCCGCTCCCAGTGTTCACATTGGGGTTGTTGAAGTCCCCCGCGGTGTCGCCACAGGACGAGGGCAACCCGGCCGGCTCGACGGATCCTGATGCGCACATTTTCTCGATCGTCATGATGTCGAAGAGTCTGGGCTCTGTTCTGGGTGCCCCATTGATGGCGACCTTGTGGTTTTACGGGATCCGGACTGCGATCTTTGGGTTGCCATTCTTCGCGTCAACTCTGGTCTATTTGGCCGCTATCGCTGTCTTCTCCGGTATCAAGTTGGGATGAATCCGGTGTCGGTCTGCCGGAAGCATGCCCTGTTGGGTGTCATATTGAACTCGCCTTGCCTGTGCGAGGCTATGTCAAAGCCACAGCTCCTGGGATATGTGCATGTTTTGGGTGACGAGAATGGCTTTTTCCTGGGCAATCAGTGGAGCAAAAATAATCTTCATGCACCACGACTCATGTGAGCACTCGCACGGAAAGCCCATGCCTTCTGTGGTGTTGATATACCCACTCCCTGTCGACGCAGTTGGGAGCTCGAAGGGTCATATCCCTACCAGGGTTCGATGGTCCTGATGTCTCCGTGAAATGGTCCCTATTATTGAGCCGGTACCATTCTGAGTGCGAGTAGATGGTAGTGTGTCTTGTGGAATATTGAAAATGCTGGGTTCGGGACAGTTGTAGGTGCAGTCACATTCACCCACCCCCTTTGCTGCACGAGCCAAGTCTCACCTCTAATAAGGCAGCTTGTGAAGTTCGTGAGACCAGCTTTGAGATGGGGTAATTTCACATGGCTGTCGCTTGCCGTCTAGTGACGTTATGACGGCGCCGGAGCAGCCAATAGCACTGGCGCCAGATGCTTGGCCTCGCACGGAATGGGGAAAGCGGAAAGCCACAGATGTTGTGAGTCCCAGCTGTCGCAGCTGCCATGCTTCCATTGGAACTTTGCAAATGAGCAGCAGTCCGGTCCAAACTGGCTTGGCAAACCTTCCGCTAGCGTCATCGGTGATTTGGTCCTGACTCTTGGGGCTTCCCAAAGCTTTTGCAGCTTTCTGCAGAGCCTAGACCCAACGTGCCAAGCTGGCTGCCAGGTCCGAAAAACAACATCATCATCGACCTCCCACATTCCACGCGAAACATCATCAAAACATTCGGTTTTCCATCGCCCTCGGTTATCTCCTTGCATCTGTTACCGGGTCTATCGCATAGTCACGGTCGCAGTCACCTGGTGCCTTGGCGTCTACATAGACTGACCAGGTGCTGAAGCTGTATCCCTCATGGCGAACAACCAACCCCGCGGTGAGGCGGCATCCTACTACGCGAACCAGCCGCAGTATGGTCAATCCCAGTACGACCAACCGGGACCTCCTGGCCCCCCTGGCTCAGGCCCCGTCCCTGGAGGCTACGCGAATGGATATGGCGACGAGAAGGCCACCTTCGATCAGGCCTTCAAGGTCGACAAGCCCAAGTACAATGACTGGTGGGCAGGCATTCTGTTCCTCCTGGTGATGGCTGGCTTTGTCGTCGTCTCGGGTCTCGCCATCCAAGGCTATTCTGCGACGAAGAATTCGCAAGGCGATGGCATATATGACGGAAGCCGCGCTGTCGGACTCAACACCAACACCATCATCCTCTTGTCAGTCTCAAGTCATCCACGACATTCCGACGTCGCTTCCATACCCCCTTGGTCACGTATGAGCAAGGGCATGGGGCTTAGTGTTTGACTTCTTATGGAATGCAACTGACTCTGTACCCATTGCAGCGTTTTCTGCCTGGGCGCCGCTGTCGTCCTCAGCACTGTCTATCTACTACTGATCCGATTCTTCCCGAAGCAGTTGATATGGATTACCGGTATTCTCAACATCGTATTCGGGCTGGGTACGGCGATCTACATGCTCTATCGTCACTACTGGTCTGGCGGCATCGTCTTCTTGATCTTCACTGTATTCCTGGCATTTTGCTTCTATACATGGATCCCACGCATCCCCTTTAGTGCTCTCATGCTCAAGACCGCCGTCGATATTTCGAAGCGCTACGGCCATGTCTACATCGTCAGCGCACTGGGTGCGCTGATCGGCGCAGCCTTTGCGGCTTACTTTTCGGTCACGTTCGTGGCGGTTTACTCCAAGTATTCGCCCTCAAACCCAGCCTGTACCCAAGGCGCTGGCAGCTGTAGTAGCGCGAAGGTCATCGGCCTTCTGGTCTTCATCACCTTCGCCAGCTACTGGTTTAGTGAGTGGCTGAAGAATACAATTCACACGACCATATCGGGTGTTTACGGGTGCTGGTACTTCCACCCGAACAACTTACCACGGGCTGCCACAAGAGGTGCTCTCCGCCGAAGCCTGACGTACTCGTTTGGATCGATATCACTCGGCTCGCTGATCGTCGCGATCATCAATCTCTTGAGACAGATCTGTTCCATCGCTCGGCAAAATGAGGCAGCTCAAGGTGACATCATCGGCTCTATCCTTTTCTGCGTATTGGGCTGCATCATAGGCCTCATCGACTGGGCGGTGCAGTTCTTGAACCGATACGCGTTCTCGTATATCGCGCTCTATGGCTATTCTTACGTTCGTGCGGCCAAGGACACATGGAAGTAAGTTTGCCTGTGTCAAGTATGCATGGAGCTCGTACTGATCGTCTACAGGATGATCAAGCAACGCGGCATCGATGCTTTGATCAATGAATGCCTCATTGGACCAGTCCTGAGCTTTGGAAGTACGTTCGTGGGCTATGCCTGCGCTCTGCTAGCGTACTTGTATCTTGTGAGTGCAGTCTAGTCTGTAACATATTTGTAGTCTTCGCAACTGACGATATCTAGTCATTCACGCACCCTGCATACAACTCGGATGGCTCTTATACCCCAGGTACGTTTTCCCGGTAGCCACCTGGTATTCTGGCGACAGACCGCTATATGACCCCCACAATTTCTACTTGCTGACTGAATCGATCAATAGTGGTTGTCGCCTTCGCATTCCTGATCGGTCTGCAGATTTGCAACGTGGTCACAGTCCCGATTTCCTCGGGTATAGACACAATCTTTGTGGCGATGGCATACCAGCCCGAAGTGTTGATGCGAGAACACCCAGAGCTATATGACGCCATGGTTCGCGTCTATCCGAAAGTTCAATCGGCTATCCACGCCTAGGATCGAGCGGGATCATGGGCGGGTTGTGGCTAGAGAGCCGGGCCTGGTGGGGGAGTATGGAGCATACAAGACTCATGGATACACAGACGAGCACTGGACAGACGCGCCACAGAGGTGTGGAGGTCTGTCAGGTCTCGGTGGATTGAGCAAACTAATTTCAGGGGCAATGGTGCGTCGTATACGATACCTCTCATCAAACAGCAGAGCAAACTGAGCAGTCATGCGCGGGGTTCGTCGTAATAATAAGCATCGGAGAGTTTCATCGGAAGAAGGACCCGAGAGATTGTAACATGACGATTGTGGAGGCCGCAATTACGCTTATGTGACTCCTCATGATGCCAGTGGGCAATCGCGTAGACTCGATCCTATTTCAGAGTACCGCAAGTGTCCGTTCATGAACCGCGCCAGCCTCCATCCCGTCAGAGCGTTGCCGGGACGCTGCGTGATGTCTCAGTGCTAGGACACCGATTCCTTTGACCGCCCCAACGCTCGGGCTGGTGGACGCGGAAGGCTGCATTCGTCAATCGTCAGTCATTAGGTCGTGTATATGAAGTCCGAGGGTGAACCAGTGTGTCGGGTCCTTCCCAGCCCCGACACACTGGGAAGGAGTGTTCGATTTGAAATCGGCATGGCAGCCGGGGGGGCAGGGCAGGGTCTGTTTTATTAGAGCAAACTGGCCAAGTAGGTAGGTTGACTGATCCCTACCAGGTTTGGTGAAGGGCGGACGATTATTGTATGTCGGTAGATGAGGTTGGAAAGCCGTCGCCTTCGCGGTCGACTGTGGGGATCGACCTGCCCGCCGCCCCCCTTTGTGGTTCCCTGGGGAAGGACTGAGCTTGGGCTTGTCTCGGTTTCGTGCTGCCCGCAACGGTTTTGCGGACGCCCGCTGTGACTTTCCGAGTGCGCATTTGATACAAAGGGCAGGTTAACCCCTGAATTGCAAGACCACTAGGAAGCGACGCCGCTCTGCCGCTTGCGACGCCGTCTTGGATGTCAGGGCTGTCGGCGCGCTTTCAGCAGATACCATTAATTGCGCCGGAATTACGTAGTTACCATGAGAGCTTGATCGGACGTTTTGGAACTTGAAGCGATGGTGAGCCTTGCGTGCTGAGATGGACGGTTCACTATTCGCCGCCTGGCAAGCTGAATTGCCAACGGTCTGAGTTCATTTGATATGGGTCATCGCAACAGCAGATAGCAATTTCCGTTGCCAGCCGTTGCCAAGGACAAGTCTGTGTGCTTCATGACAGCTCAGAAACGACGCCTTCAAAGCTCACTCCTTGCCTCATACTTGGTGTCACCACTCCAGACGACAAGCAGGGATACCCCTCACCCGGGGGTGTTCCATCTGTGCCACCGCTGTCGTGTAACTGACGATCTCTACACGCTCTGGCTGCTGACATAGCGAAGTCGATCGGAACCGTCCTGATGGTAATGGGCCGGTGTTTGTTCGGTTTTCCTGATTCAGCGAAAGGTAGTACCGGTAAGATGGTTACGAAGAGATGGTCGGCGATGTCGGGCACTGCCATGACAAGCATTGGGAAGTAACATGTGGACTTGAAGGTCACGGAGCCTGTTCATTGCTCATCCTTGATGTTCGGCAGGCTTGCCCTCCTGTAAGTCATTCTGACAAATGACGGCGGCGATTGAGAAGCACTCGAAAATCGTTGTTGGCTTGACGCATTGACGTGCTCGGGGTTGAGTCTCGATTTCTGCCCTGAGTCTCGAAAACGAGATGGCCCTAGGACACGCTCTATCCCAAGAGTACAAGTTCGAAGATATCGTCTTGCGATACATCACCTCCTCCGCAACGTCTCTGGACTCGCCGTGGCGTCATTGACCAATTGCATCATGAGTGCAAGCCGTTGCGCAGTACGCGCACCGTTTTCTGACAGATACCACCCCTTCAAGCCCAACGGCCTGCATCCGGATGTCTGGTCCGCCAGATTGAGATATGACTGTCGTATTGGTGGCAGGGAGACAACCCTGGGCGAACGACAACCAACATCGGACAGTGCATCAAAGCGGCATGAGTTTTGGAAAAGTCTAAAAGGACGACATGATCTCGTCGAGGCTGCGACCCCAAAGTCATCTAGTTCTCACCCAGATATACGCACCGGCTTCCTTCCTCTTCGACATCGGCACCATGGGCGTCTCCGATATCTTGAAGCAGCGCGCTCTCGAGTCCGGCTCTAGACAGGGGTCCGTGTGGGCGGTGGCGCTCTCGTTCATCGTCTTTACGATGTTCGTCATGGCCGTTCGCATCCATGTGCGGCTGGCTGTGATCAAGTCGGTTGGTGTGGATGACGGTCAGTACGGGTTCCTCCGAGATGATCGTTGATGATGCTAATGAGATCGGATCACTAGTTTTCATGATCATCGGAACGGTTTGTCTCGACGGGGGAGACCTTTCTGGCCCCAGCCACTGACCCTTTGTAGGTATTCGCTTTCGGTCTTTCGGCAGCGTCTATGATCTCCGCGTGGTACGGTATCGGATGCCATGGCAAGTGCATCTCTATTCATCAAGCTGTCTTGGCAGGTAGATCTGACCAGTCGAAGAGGACCAGCTCATCCTGGAAGAAATGACGCCGATGCTCCAGGCTGTCTATTCGACCCGTCTCTTATACGTGGTGTCCGTCATGTTTGTCAAATTGTCCTTGTTGGTGTTCTACCTCCGGCTCGACAGACGGCCATGCATGCGGTACACTGTCTACTTCCTCATGTTCGTCGTGGTTGGGTTCTCGATCGCGAGCTTCTTCATCTTGACTTTTACATGTTACCCACCTGAGATGTGAGTCGATACCTTCCCAATATGTTGCGACCCCCTTATCTTGCCATCCGGAACCGAGTGCAGGATGATTATTAACACGATGGGTGGCAGGTTCTGGGACATGACGGGCACTGTGAAAGGTACTGCATGACAAACTGTTTCTGCCAACAACGCGATCTTCCCATTAACTTGGATCAGGGTCGTGCATCAACGCCAAGAGCCAGCAGGCTTTCTACGATGCAAATGGGGTGGGTGGATGCCCACAGTGCCAGCAACGCCATGACGCTGATAGGAACGCAGGTCTTGAACATCATCATAGATCTAGCAATCTACGTGACCCCGATGCCGATGTTCTGGAACATCCAGATATCGCTTCGCCAGAAGCTTGCCCTGACTGCCATCTTCGGTCTGGGAATCGTCGCCGTCGCTGGTGAGATCTGCCAATCTACCTACCTACCGATGCGTCGTTCGCGATAGCTGACAGCATGACTAGCCGGCTGCGTGAGATTCGCTTACGTGCGGCTCCTGTCGAACACGACTGACATGTACTTCTACCTCGCGGACAGCCTCTCGTGGTGCGAGATCGAGATCTACGTCGGTACGTGCCGGCCGCGTCCCATGCCCAGCTCTGCCGTTTAAAGCTGACATCAGCCACCCCACAGCCATCTTCTGCGGAAGCGCATCTACGTACGTGCCGCCCTATCCTCCCTCTGCTCCCTGGATATCAATAGCTCACATCAGCACAGGTTCAAGATCCTGCTACGCAACTACCTCCCGAGCATCCTGGGAAGCTCCGCCATGAAGAACAACAAGTACGATAACAAGTACGGCAAGGCGGCCTCCGGCAGCGGCCAGAGCCGCGGGTACCAGGGCCTCGGCGGCAAGGATAAGACGGGTCGGACGACGATCAGTGGCGGTACTACCGATGTTCCGAGGAACGACAGCGAGGAGTTCATTATTCAGAATCCTTCGGCGGGCCGGATTCGCGTTGAGACGGAGTTTCGGCTCGAGGCTATGCATCGGGATGACGAGAGACGGGGGAGTGAGTCGAGTGAGGTTTAATGTGTTGAAGAAGTGGGGGGCGGGTGGGAGGGTGCTTGTTGGAAAAATGTATGATGAGATGGGGTTATGTCGGGTTTGTTGGACATGATCTCGTTGTTGGAGGCATGGGGAATTGCGCTGGAGGCTGGGATTCTGGTTTGGGGAGTGAGATTAGTTTGTAGAGTTAATTGTCCACGATTACGCTGGGCTGCAATGAAAATATCGATAGGGTTGTACGCTTGTAAGGGTTAGAGAGGTCTGCACAGAGAGGTGTATGTGTGTGATGCTTTGAGAAACTCGCCACAGCGACTGAAGAATATCCGCATTCTTCATCACCACATGAGTCCACATGCTGAACTGGCACGTTGAAGTGTTCCGCCAGGTGACATGCTGGATCCCGCGATGCTTGCTATCGCCCAGCTGACCTGAGCCCGAAGTTCACGACACGCAGGGAGAAACTGCTTGCTTTCGAACCGCCTCTGTAGCTGACCTCGTCGAGGTCTGTCCTTGCCCCGAAGCTCTGTGGGCGCAGGCAGACATGGCCGATGCGGGTTGTTGACCGTCGGGTGAAAGGAAAGAGAACTGGGATGAATACCTGGAAGATGCAGCAGAAAATCGCGCTCAGTATTGTCGCTATCTATAAAGACCGCCGTGGTGTCATGCCAAGCTCGAAGGATCAGATACGAGTTGGCAATCTCACCTATCCTTCTAGCATACCCGTTGCAACATAGGACGAAGTTCGGTCACTTTTATGGGGAATGTGGTCGTGTCCTCGGTTTGTGCCGGTTAGGCCGAGTCGATACTCCCTGTCAATAACCTGTCAAGCCTCGGCTGTGCGCCCACATCTGCTGGAGCCTGGGGGTTCCCTACTAACTTGGTGTCGCTTTTCCCATATCGTGACCCGATAGGGCTGGTTCAGCTCGTGCCTTACCACCATGTCTGGTGTGAGTTTTCCGGATACTGGTCGGTATTCTGGAAGTTGAAATTAGCTGCGTGGGGCAGTTGGCCTAGAATGCCCAGCGGTCTCGGCGAGATGTGTTGACCATCCACCGAGCATGGAAACCAGAATCGCGAATCCTAGACGCGAATTGACTTTGATATGGTAGGTAATTGCAAGAACCCCATCTTCAACCGAAAGCCCAGCTCTTCAGACCTTCATTGTAGCATCAGGAAGCTAGTTTCTGCGTCGTGTTATCTACTGGAAGTTATGGCGTATGGTTCTATTCGGGTTATAAATACATGAGCGGGTGCTTGTCATCTGAAGCGAGGCGACGGCACAGCGAGACCGTCAGCAACTTGACTGTCACGACTCACAACTTCGGCCTGTGGCAACCCCGCCGTTTATACCAGAAGTGGTCCCAATAAGCTCAACGTACTTGCAGGGGTTTGTGGGCGGAGAGCCTGTTGTTGGCAGCCGGGACTAGTCTAGAAAAGGGTTCCATGCCGCGAGGTGACAGGACTTCTGCCAATCATGATTGGTGTTTTGACCCATTTCGGGCAGTTCGGCTTTCAACGCCAAGGTGGTCGAGCTAAGATGACGCTGGTGCTGACTTTTACGGGCTTCAATTTCTAAAAATGTGCCCACAAGGAGACTAGCAGCATCTCAGCTCTCGTATCTGCCCCATTTCGCTGACTCTTTGGGTCGGAGCACTGCCGTATTGGCCTTGTGACGTGACAGGGAGCCCGCCGTCGCCTCATCGAACGTTACATGCGAACATGTCGGACACATACATACATAAGAGATGTCTGTTCCTGCATTGGAAGCCTCTTCTCTTGCTCACCAACCACCAATAATAACCTCACCTTAATACCAGGTCAAGTCACTCGTTACCGCTTGCACCACCCACCAGTCTCTCGCTCACTCAGCCGGACACTCATATACCTAATACTTAATAATCTCTCGCCATGCAGGCCGCCGCCTTGACGCTCGCCCTTGCCGGGCTTGTCTCTGCCGGCTACCCGGGCGGCTACCCGGGCTACCCCATGGCGTCTTCGGTCACCACGACCTCCACTGCGCCGGCCTACCCGGTTGAGACCTACCCCGGCGAGTCTTCATCCGAGTCGTCTCCGACTGTGGCCACTACGACCTCCGTTGTGCCGACCTATCCGGCGGAGACCTACCCGGTCAGCTCTTCTACCGAGTCTTTGACTGCCTCCAGCTCGACCCCTACTATACCGGGCTACCCCGTCGGCTCGTCGTCCGAGTCTTCGACTGTTGTTAGCTCGACTTCCGTTGTGCCCGGTTACCCCGTCGGGTCTTCATCCGAGTCTTCCACTACCGCTAGCTCGACCTCCGTTGTGCCTGGCTACCCCGTCGGGTCGTCATCCGAGTCTTCGACTGTTGTCAGCTCGACTTCCGTTGTGCCGACCTACCCGGGTGAGACCTACCCGGGTGAGACCTACCCGGGTGAGACCTACCCGGCGTCCAGCACCTCCGTTGTGCCCACCTACCCTGCGTCGTCCTACCCGGCTTCGTCCTACCCGATATCATCCAGCACCCCGGTGACCTCTACCTGGGGCACGATGACCTACCCGGTCGTCAACACGACCACCATCGGGTTCCCAACCACCTTCCCCGCATACCCGACCGTGACCACTTCAACCGCCACGAGCACCTACGTCAGCACCATCATCTCATGTGCTCCCACCGTCACCAACTGCCCGGCTCGCCCTGGAGTCCCTTACGTGACCACGGTGACCACCGAGTACGTGACCACTTGCCCCGTTACGGAAATCCCAACCATCGCCATCACCACTTCAACCGCCACGAGCACTTACGTCAGCACCATCACCTCGTGTGCCCCCGAGGTCACGAACTGCCCCGGTAGCCCCAGCACCCCCTACGAGACTACGGTGACCACCGAGTACCTCACCACCTGCCCGGTCACCGTATACCCTACCACCACTCCGGTGGCCGTCAGCCCGGTCACCAGCCCGGTCAACGTCTACCCGACCACCACCCCGGTGAGCGTCGTCTACCCTACCACCACCCCGGTGAGCGTCGTCTACCCTACCACCACCCCGGTGACCCTGTCCACCGGCACCGGCTACCCCTCCGTCTCGTGCCCCGAGACCACCATCACCTCGACCCTGTACGCCACGTCCAGCTACCCCGTCACCTCGTGCCCCGGCACCGGTCCTGACTGCACCGTCGGCTCCACCACCTCGACCGTGTACCCCACGGGCACGACCTGCTACACGTCGACTCTGTCCAGCATGACCACCATCGTGCCATACCCGACCGCTCCCGGCGGCTCCCCCAGTGAGACTACTTCTGTGGTTGGCTCTGGTGTCCTGCCCCCCAAGCCTACCACCAGCGCCGCTGGCTACCCCACTGGCCCGGCCTCCACGCCTATCCCTACTGCTGCCGCTGGCCAGCTGGAGCGCGGCATGGAGATGATGGTTGGTGTGGCTGGTGTTCTGGCTGTTGCTTTGTTGTAAGCGAATGCTGATGATGTGATGAGATTGATGAGATTTGGGATGAGATTGTGATGTCGAATGAGTGAGCAGTATGCCTTGCAGTTGGCTTGGCGGTGTTGTATATGTGTGTATATGGCGATAGAAAAATCAGTTTAATACCACTAGACTTAAACCTTTACAATTACAATAGACAAGTTGATTACCAGTATGAGTTCTCTGTGCAGACAGTCTCGCCATGTAGGCACATGCTACTTTATTCATCCTGACCGCTTCTCAATGTTCTGAGCCTGGTGCAGGACATTCGATTGAAAGTTGATCCATTTCCACCGAAGCAGCACGCTGGCTGGCGACCATTTGATGGTCGCCGTATGCAGGTGGTTCGGGCTGCTCATGCAAGTGGGCAGCATGCATGCTCGCGGCTACATGAAGATTACATCCATTCATCGTTGGATGGTGATCGGTAGAGTGGACGCCGTAGGAGATTCTCGGGGGTATATATATGATAATGCGACCGTTCATGTTTCTGCATGCAGTAACTACATGTGTTCATGTCTGCATCTGGGAGCGGGGGTCCGGATAGCAGCGCATCTTGAGATATTCTGCCATGTAGCGTTTGGTGGTTATCAGGATATGGAAGGCACGAGCGGCGCATATGAATCTCAGATATATTGACGTCAAAGCGGGTGTGTGATTTTCTGGGAAAGCTACCTAATTGATCAACCAGAGTCGTATACATAACCCGCTAGGTTGCGATATAGGTTTGCCTTCGGAAACAAATGTCAGGCAGGCGCAACGCTTCCCCTCCTAAAGCCAACCTTGCATGCGTGTGCAGCTATCCCACGAACGTTTCAACGCTGAATTGTTCGTGCCTTAGGCTTCTTGGTTTCCAACACAGCAGATTGCTTGTGGAAGATGACAACAACCTTTTCGTAAGTTCAGGCTCTCTCTGCCACAACCTTGATGACGGGAAGTCGTTGTTGCCTTGGGAACAAACGCGTGCTCAAAGTACGTAAGCAACCACACCTGAGGTCGAGTACGATTGCGCTCCTTCCATCTAGTTACTGCGCTGAAACATCGCTCCTACCAGTACCTTGGTATCTTTCCTTCACCACCCGCCTCACCACCTCTTCTTTCCCACAATCTGCACACAGATCCGCCTGCCTTCCCGCAACCACCACAGGCAGCCGCACAGTCACCCTGCTGCGTCGCGTACTTGTTCATGTACCATACCTTGGACCACAGGCATCTGTTCACACTGCTTTACCCCTCCATCTCTCGGGAGAACGCGTCCACCACGTTCCTTGTCAGTCATTCTTTGAACTTACCATCTCGTCTGCCCGCGCGAGGCCACGAGTATCATCGCGAGCAGAAAACGTATGTCTATCACTCTCTTATCCACGTACTCGCCCAAGAGTAGCCGGATCGCTGACCTCAAGGCAGTCACAGAAAGCCTCCCTCTCGCTTCGGCGATTCCTGCTAGTTCACCCTGCATCGGGTAGGCCGCGAACATGGCGCACACCGAGCCTCCACGCCCCGAGCCCACCGCGAACGAGCTTCGCTTCTACAAATGGCGACGTCTGATCCCGAATCAGCCATTCGAGCCTTACGGCTATAAGCTGGACCAGTTCTTCCAAACCGGTCGTAGCCTGGTCCAGGGCGACCTCGACGGCCTACAGGACACAATCAAGATGCTGGCCAGCGAGCATGGCTGTCACTCAATACGAGAGTTGGTCGAGCAGCGCATTCAACAATGCCAGTCCCCGCAGGCCCGCCTTGATCTCTGGATATCTTGTGTCCGACCTTTATTTGATATGCTTACAGAGCCCAGAGTCACGCGGTCTACTATTCTGGAGACGTACGTTGGTACCATATTCAACGCGTTTCTAGGCTACGGTGCAGCTCGACTGGGTCATTTGTATGGCTTTCTGGACCATCTTGCCAGGCATTGGCCACCTCCCGGGTTGACCAGCGATGGCCCCAAAAGCACCTTCTTGGAACTTTGCACCACCATATTGGCGAAGGTCATCGAGTGCAACTCCCTTGCGTTGCTCGGCGACGTCGCACCACCAATCGTGGGGCGCTTCGAGGCATTGGTCGACAGCCTCGGTTCCAACGACCGCAACTTCTCATACTTGCAAGCCAGCAAGAATATAGAGTACATCCAGAGACGCCTGGCAAGTGTGAAGAGGGTCGATGGCCAGTCTAGCGTGGCACCCGAGCCCGTCGCAATTGCCACGTTCGAGCTGCGTCGCGATCTTCCGGGGAAGCTCTCTGCTGAAGGGATTCGCCACGACAACGACAGTGACGTGGTGGTGCGCTCAGCTCTTCTCGCGTGGTTAGATTGTCTCTGATGTAAGTTTCTGGGGGCAGTTATCGTCTGGTCCTTATACTGACTGGGGCTCCGATCATAGCATATGTTTCGGCAGCGGCCTGAGGATGTTCCGTGGATGGCGGGAGCCAGGCGTCCTTGATCAGCTGAAACTCCCTATTCTTGAGACGTTCGTCGTCTGCTCCCTTGATACGGTCTTGAGGACGGCGGGACAGGAAGTCGGGCTTCCCTGAGTCTTTCCCGGCCCAGAAAATGAAATGGAAGTTGTACTGGGAAAGGATCTCTGACCATCGGACTTGGCGTTCTGTGAGTTTCTGGACTGTCATGAAGTAACGGAGGTTTTTATGATCAGATAGCACAGAGAACTTTGTTGCCACACTGTGTAGTTCATCTCTGAAATGGACCATGGCGGCGACAATAGAGAGCAGTTCCTTGTCGTGTATTTCGTAGTTTGCTTCTACTGGTGTCAATTTGCGGGAGAAAAAACCAACTGGGCGAAGGCGTCCTTGAGCATCGACCTAGGATAGGGAAGCGCCGACAGCGTACCCCAACGCGTCTGCCTCGAGGATTATTTCAAGGTCAGGGTCGAACATTATTAGTAATGGGGTGCTTGTAAGGTGGTCTTGGAGGGTCCGGAATGCTTTCTTCTCGTCGTGTCCCCAGGTGAAGGCCGTGCCATGTCTAGTTAGCCGATTGAGAGGCGCGGCAATGGTGGCAAAAAGAGGGATAAATTCTCTGTAGAAATTGGCAAAACCAAGGAATGAGCGGACGGCAGAGGCATTCTTGGATTCTTCCTATTGCTTGATAGCTGCAACCTTCTCGGGGTCGACACTAATGCCGTCGCCTGTTCAGATCACGAATCCAAGGTACTTGATTTCGTGTACAGCAAAGGCGCATTTCTCGATATCGATTTGAAGGCCTGCCTTGCCTAGCCTCTGGACAACGGTTTTAACCTTGTCCATGTAGTCCTCATATATCCCGTCGTTATAAATGATAACGTCGTCCATATATGCCGATGCATAGACATCAAGCAGGTCTTGAAACATAGAGTTGATATAACGTTGGAAGGTTACTGGTGCACCGCAGAGGCCGAAAGGGGTAACCAGCCACTCAAATTGGCCGTACCTTGTCCGGAACGCCGTCTTCCACTCGTCTCCTTCCCGTATTCTCAGCCTGTGAAATGCTGCGCGAACGTCCACCTTGGTAACCCATTTTGCCTTGGTCAGCTGGCGGAGCGTTTCTCATATCAAGGGCAAGGGGTACCGATCGGACTGCGTTATGGCGTTCAGGGCTCTATAGTCGACGCAAAAGCGCAGATCACTGCCTGGCTTGTGTGCAAAAAGCACTGGGGCGCCTGCTAACAACGCGCTTGCTCTGATCCATCCCTTGTCAAGGTAGTTAGTTAGTGTCTTCCGTAACACAAGGAGCTCCTCCCTGGACATGTCGTAAAGCGGTCCGTAAGGCACCCGTTTTGGTCGCCCTTGGTCGTCGACCTCGATATTGATAGCGTGATCCCATCCGGTTCAGTGGGGAGGCACCACGTCGTTGTCATCGTCCATGAAATACTGGGCCTCGTCTCACAGGGCTTCTGGGAATTGGTTCTTGAGTGAGCGGAGCGTAGGCTTATCCTTCCTCTTGTTTAGTTTTTTTAATGCTTTGTTGATGTCTTTAATAGTAATAGAGCCGATCAAAATGGGGTTTTTGTTGCTCTTTGCCCTCTTAATTTCAGCATTGAAGATTCTTGCTGTTACAAGGTGTGCGGTTTTAATTGACTTGGTCCTCTCAACGATGTGTGGATTATTTATCCAACTGTTCTTGTAAATCTTTACCCTGTTGTTTGGCGGCCCGATGCGTAGCTGGCGCTTCTTGGCTCTGTAGTGAACATTATTACGTTCACACCATCCCTTGCCAAGAATAATATCGAAATGGAGGCCCGGGATGATATATCCATAGATCCGCTCCTGCCTGCCATTGATGTCGATAGTAGCGTAAGTCATCTGGTTGATATTGCAGGTAGGCTTTGGCCTGTCCCTGCGGAACTTGAAGTCGTCGCCGTCTGTAGCAAGCTTAAGCTCCTGCTGGCTGATCTGTTTGCATGGGAGATGTCTTTGATTTATAAAGCTTTCGCTAAATGCGGTATAGGGCAAGCAGCCCGTGTCGAAAAGAGCAGAGGTATAGAATGTGTTGTCTATCAGCGTATCTATGAGAAACAGAACGCTGTCTAACCTCTCCTCCGCTGCTTCCATCTGTTCTTGTGACAGTGACTGGTGCAGATTCTCTCTGAAAATATCCGTGTTTGGCCTCTGAGCTCGACTTCGCTCAGAGGCTAGTCTTTTGACAAACCGGATGACGTGCTGTCATTGCTGCTGACAGCCAGAGGGTGGTGAGCAAAGCCTGTATAATCACAGTCACTAAACCTATGCAATGGATTCTTGCCGCAGCGGATATATCGTCCAGCAGATTCGCGGTTGCGATACTCTGTAGCCGTGATAGGTGGTGCCTTTGGACGTGTGTCCCTCGTGCGCCCGTGTCCTTGTCGTCCTCCGATGCGGTGCTCGATGTTGAACAGCCTGGTCTCGAGGTTCCCGACAACGCCCGGCGTCCCGCCCATGTACATGTTGCCACTGGCGTCGACAGCCCCTGCGGGAACGCCTCCAGGGTCTGCCTGATTCGGTATGCCTCCTTGAGTTGGGGCCATGATGTTGGGGTTGATTTTGTCGGTAATATACCACTCCTTCTGCGCGCCCTTAGAGGAGTGGAATTCTGGCAGTGCCTCTAGGTTATTGGCTAGAGCCTGTGCCTTGGCGATGAACGGCTCGTATTCCGTGCGGGAAATTTCGAGCTGGTTGGCCAGAGCCCTGCACAGGTAGGGGGCGAATGCCTCCGTGGCTGTGTGGACCTTGGCTGGCCCGGTCAGGGCTAACTTGCGGGCTTATGAACAAAGGGCATCAAAGGCAGCCAGAAACTCGGCTAGCGGTTGGGCGTGTCCTTGGCGAACGGTATACAACTGGCGAAAGGCGCGTTCCTGGGCATCCCGAGGCAGGAAGGCCGCCTCCAGGACGGTAAGCCAATCCTCGATATTCCATGCAAGGGACGGGTTTTCGAGGCGGTCTTGAATCCAGCCGGTAACTCTGACCTTGTGTGTCTCAGGGATGCTGCGGTATACGGAATTGTATACGTGTTGGTTGTTCCCGAGAGTATCGTGGAGTTCCTCATTAAAGATGATGCTCCTCAGTGTGAGGTGGTGTGTGAGGTAGGTGGCGCGATCGCCAGACCAGGCTGGCCAGTCTCCGAACAGTCTGGCGCCGGCGGCGCGCTTCAGGACAAGAGGTGGTCCCATGGTAGGGATGGCAGGTGGGTTTGCGTGGGGGCCGTGATATGGCTGTGTGGGGCCTGGTGACGCGTCAAGGCCAATAGACCATTGATAGCTGTCAGACAGTGCCGAGACAGAAGCAGATTCTTTGTGCGCGGTGATATTTGTACCTGTATTGGTGCTTTGGCGCTCTCTTCCTGTCTCGCGTGGGAGTCTCTCGGTAGAGGTGATATCGAACTGGGAAACAGAGTCGGCGAGGCCTTCGATCTGGTCGTTGGACATCTATAGCACGGGCGTCCAGGTCGCGTTGCTTTAGAGCCAGGGGTATGATATACTACGGTAGCATAGTAAGAAAAGAGATATTATTGAATCTATGTGACAATCAGGCCTGCAGCTGCGCTGGTCAGGGCTGATGGTATGAAATATCTAGATTCAACAATATCTAAGGAAGAAGAGGCAAGGTCAGAAGAGAACGGGGAAGCTAGGGGTATATATGTACATGAATATGTGGAGGTATTACGTAATACCGTAACACATTGGTGAACGCAACGATCAATTGATGGCCATCCACCACTGGGTGGGGTACAACCGGTATTCGCCACTAGTTGAACTCTACCACGCCTTCGCAAGACGCGTCGGAAATGTCTCCCTCGAGGAGATGAATTTCCAGCGCGTCCTCGACGCTACGAAGCGCGACCCGCGCTATGCAGAGGGAGCAGTGCATGACCCCGACACGTCCAATGTTCGAACCCGTGGGCTTATCGGGGCTGGAAGCATTCTCCTACGTTGTTACGTGATGATGCTAACAGACTTCATGCAACTTCGTCAGAAGGCAGCACACCATATGACGAACATAACGTTGGACCTTTCAAGCGCACTGGAAGATTGCGTTAAGCTGATTCGATTGGCTGAAGAGAATAAGTACATTCGTGAGAGGGTTGAGGGCCACATCTTCTATGTGCAACTAGTAGCACTTACAAGATTGGCTCACCCCTTCTCTGAAGAGACTCCCGCTAATGGATCAAACACGACGGATCAGCTTGTGGAACAGGCGAGGGAACACGTCTTCCTGGCCGAGTCGTTGGTGGACTACTATCCGACAGCAAAGCATCTGCGTGAGGACTTAAAGCTTTCTCAAGGGATGCTGCAGACTCCTCCCGTACACGATCCCAACAAAGCCCACGAGAGACGCAGAGCGTGGATAGCAACGGAAGCCATGACCTATGGCAAGGATACCTGGTATACTTGTAAGAACGGACACCCTTTCACCGCGGCGGGTCGCGGTGCCTCGGACCCTACGAGTAAGGCGACCACCGAGTGTCCGGAGTGCCGCATCCCGATCGGAGGCGGATGCGATGAGAATTCGGAGAATGACGAGAGCGAGGAAGATCTGATGTGAGACCTTTGAATCTTGGGGTCTAGGGCTTCCTGATTTGAGATGACAACGTCATGGGGTGAAGACAATGTTTGCTATAAAGCGCGAGATCACTTGCAGTAGAGACAAATCTGCTTCGCGACAATGTGGGATTAGAGAAACGAAAAATAGACTGTAGTGAGAGCTAAGAATTGGTGTGCTGAGACTGACTGGGAACGGATAAGCCAGTGATTAATATGTGTTGATTGATGCCAAGGGGATTGGACTGAAATAGGGGCAGGGGGCTTAGTCTTGTTTCACCGCTGCCCTTTACCCCTGTGATGGTCTTGTCCGTCTGAAATACCGTATTCGAGACTTCCTTCCATTTAAATAAGACGTAGTGTTCAATATAGACTGGCTCATCCTCTATCTGGTTGCTGATTGCCCTCAAAGTAAGGTACTGCGAAGGCACTTGCGAGCTTCGGGTATTGCCTCGCGTTAGAGACTCGGGCATGTGAGCCGCGCACCTGGCTCGAGTTCTAGTTCTGAAGAGACATGGTGTAGACTATATGGAAGTACTTGGAAAACGTCAGTGGATGTCTGAGTACGGTACGAGAGCCTTCTCACGGCGGCCTGGTGGGTGTTCGATCGGGGTCGCTTTCGGCCTCCCGCTGACTTGTGTTGGGTTCGGGGATCGGCTCTGGGAATGGGACGCGGGCTCTTCTCTTTGGTGTCGTGGACTTCGACTTCATGAGCGGGATGTGGTCATACATCATGTACAAGTGCCCGGTAGGAAATCGTCAATAAACTCGCATGCTCAGCCGGCGGTTCTTGGATCGCGATGTGCACGCGTTCAGGGAGAAAGCTGCACACGTCCGCGGTGAGGATTATGGGCTGATATGCTAACTCATGCGCGGCGCAAACAGAATTGCGAGGCTCACTAGGGGTTGGGGCGGAGTGCCTCAGGTCAGGTCAGGTCAGGTCCCAGTTCCCTAGGTAGCAACCACATCCCCAGCCCTGGAGGCTATATGTACCGTAAAAAAAGCCAAGTCTTTCATCCTCCCCCATACCACTTGCCGACCCCATCCGGCCAACTGGTGTAGCGGGGAATGAGACAAACCCCTTCACGGGGGTTTTCGTAGGTTTACTGTTCGATCCTGGGCTGTGGTGGCGGTCTCCATGTATGTGGGGAAACTCAGGTCGAGTCCGCCTATATGGATCGAATGGTAGGTAGATTGAGCTTTTTGTAGTTATGTATGTTTTTCTATTTTTTAAATCTATTGGTAGATCTGATCTGGTGCAGTGCATATGGGTGGTAGCTATGATCGGCATCCCGTCCCACCTTCACAGCTTGACATCTTTCTTTTAGGTATTTAACCTACTCTCGGGCATACATGGATTTATGCGACCTTGCTTTAAAGTGTCCGGCTAAGTTGGTCTCTTCTGGTACGTTCTGTCGACTTGCTGTAGATACATGCACGTTCGCCGCTGTTTGAATTTCAATAGTCGATATGTTCTCATGCACAGCCCCCACTCTGTTTCGCGTGGGGCAAGATACGAAAGAAACCACACAAGATGAAGCAAGCTCGCTAGCGAAGCAAAGCTGGGCTACTGTACAACCACCATTTCACGTTTGCGAATGTCACCACGAGCCGAGCATACGGGGGGATTACCAGGTCAAGAAGGTAGAAGCGAATCCAGAGATGTATTATGCTGGTGTTTGAACCATCGATGTATGTACTTGCCACAAGCCATGGCACATGTCGCATCTACTCTATTACCAGTTTGCCATGCAAGTATCGTTTCCTATCGCCTCCTTCCAGTCTACCATTGTATCCTCATTGCAAACCATCATACTCAAACATGTGTATTCATTCGTCAATCATCGAAACTCGTTGCGCGTGCCATCCAGAACCCCAAGATCACCGATCTCCACCAAAGAGGCTGAACCGGAACCGGTTCGGCTTCCCCTTCTGCGACGTCCTGCCGAACGACTGCTGTGAGTGGATCCGCCGGTTGTGGTTGTACGGCGGACTCATATCATCCTCAAGGTCGTCCTCGTCATCATCTTCCTCGTGGTGAATGGGGATCTGTCGTTGCTGCGTCTGCGGTCGCGACGTCGGCTCTCTCTGCAGGGGCGCCGCGCCCCGCATCGCCTGCTCGACGTCCTGGTACTGGCGGCGGTAGTCGTCGTGCTTGCTCTTGGCCTCGATGAAGCGCACCTCGGCCTCGGCGCGGCGGTCCTGCAGCGCGCGGATCTCCTCGTCCAGGCGCGACATCTGGTCCTGCTCCTGGTGCATCAGGATCTCGTACTCGTGCACCTTCTGGCCGAGCGGCTGCAGCACCGAGTCCATAACGCTAGGGCTCTTGAGCCGCTGGATCGACGCCGCGGCGTCCAGAGCCTTGGCATCGTCGGAGGAGACGGGGCGACTGTGCTGGTTGCCCGACTGGTTGGGTGAGGAGCCGCCTGACCATTGCGACGGTCCGGGTGGCGAGCCGGCTCGCGTAGTGGGGCGCGGCGCTGATGAGGGCTTGTTTCCAGTCGTGCGCCGGCCGTTCTGGCGCGCGACCTTGGCACCGGGGTTCTTGTCCACGAGCATCTCCTCAGACCGACTGCCGGTGTTGGAAGGGGGTCGCGACCGCTCAGGGAACGAGTTTGTCACGGGCGGTCTGCTCTGGTTGGCCTGCGGCACGGGCGGCAAACGCTGCCCCTGCTGCATCTGATTCTGGGCTGATTGATGAGGCATTGGCGCTTGCATTGGCGGCTGCATCGGCGCTCCGGAATTGGGATTGGTGGCGCCGGGGGGAGGAGGCCCTCTGTTGCTGTCCAGGAAGGCGTAGAAGTCGTCGTGGCTGTCGAAGCGGGAGGAGTCGTTTCTGCGGTGGCCACCGTGCCCCGGGTCGATGTCGCGCGGGGATTGTGGTTGTTGTTGTTGGCGCGGGCGGGTGGGCGAGTTCATGGCGGCTGAGTAGGGGTCCATGAGATGAGACAGACAAGTCGCACAAGATGCACAAAGAGATGATGAGATAAGATAATATGATTGATGCCTGAGGCCTGAGTCACTGGAATGTGAGATGAGAGGGAGAATTGTGAGAAGCGACAGGTCGTCTCAATTGATGCCTTAAGTTTCGCTGAGGTGGTTGGTTTGCCGGCCCAGCAGCCCAGCCTCCACGTTGGAAAATTCAAGTGGCTGAGATGCAGGAACCCGCACCGCGCGAGGCCATCCATGCAGCGCATCGATCGGCGGATCGACCACCGCATTTTCTTATTAGATGGATCGCGCGTCCTGGTCATGCCAGTTTCATAATTCAAATAGCCATTACATCGTCAAGGGAATGGTGGCACGATGCTGCCCGCCCAACCTTCCGATTCTTTGCGACCCGAACGCTTGGGCCAGCTGCGTGCCATTTAAGTGGAACCCATGCTTCCGGCCGAGTACCCCGCATCTGGCCGCGAAAAGGGGGGGGAGCTTCGGGGGGCCGACGACAATCCAAACCAGCCCGTTGGTGTTCCTATCTCAATGACTCAGCAGAGGGTTGCTCTTCCTGATGGTAGAGAATATAGTCTTGTGTTCTGGTCAGCTTATTCTTGAGTTGTCCTATACGTCTATGTTGACTAATGTTGTTTGGGGCTGGTATAAGAGGTGGTCGAGCCATTCGCACTGGCTGAGGAGCATCGCCTCCTCACCCCCCACCTTCTCCATCGGTTTGTTCGCAATGACCTCGTATCTATTAATCAGGTCAGATTCATTTCATGGAGGTGATCAGGACTACTCGGGCGCGTGTCATCATGTTTATTCCTTTTATGTTTGTTTGTTTGTTTTGTATTTAACGTGTGGGATTGCTCCTCAGTAGTGCAAACCACGCCTCCCAGAGCCTCTGCATCGCAGGGTTGTGGAGGTATCAAGATAATAAGTACAGTCAGTCCCGCTCACGAGCCCATCCCCGTTGTTGCGGCGGTATGACCTTGGGTCATCTATCTGGTCCTTCAAGAACAGCTATCTATTGAGGGCAGATTGATGAAAAGAATTTGCTCCTCTCCACGAATTTTGCCTATTTTGTGCTCCTCTCCCTAAGTATTGTAAACAAGCTGCCCTAGGCGAGTACCTGGGCAGCAGCCGATTTTTCCCCAGCCTCTTACAAAAGAAAATGTGTTGCGGTGTTTTCTTCTCACCACAACTGCAGTGATCATTCGAGTCTGTATGCCCAAAGCGTTCGTGGTATCTTGCAAAGTCGCCATGTCTTATGACTATATGGAACTGTGGTCCTGTGTCTCAAGAGACTAATTGAAGCTAGAGAGCCCTGAATCATCACTCTGCGACATTAGACATTAGCTGTTTCCTATCCCGATCTCCTCGACCGGATTTTAAGTGTTACTGTTGAGGTATTCTGCAGATGACGTTGGCTTTACACTTTGCATCGAGCGTCACGTAGTCTACACGGGGTACCAATGTCCAGGGGCAGGGGATTGTCCAGAATATTTTCGATACGGCGTATCGCCAGGCTCTACATGAGTAGCATGGCCATGACTTGGTGTATAACGTTTTCGCTGTCATAAATCTCGCGTGTTGTACCTTCACTCTCTTGACTTATGAACCCCGTGGTCTATGCTCAAGAGACCGTTGTAGCCTTCTAATAAGTGAAGTCGCACACTTGAGTCTTTCCCATCAATGACGCCCTTTGCAGTCTGGGGCTCGATTAGAGTCCTGATTAAACCGTGGAAACCTGAAAGTCACGTCGCTCGGGCTTTTGGCTTGGGCTATTTCCATACGAAACGCAGGCCTACAGCCGCCATTCCCCTTCGGCTCCGCTCGGCTACTTTCTCCTTCGTCTTCATCTTCTTCCCAAGCGGTCATATCTGGCGTTCGGGCTTCCGGGTGCTCTACGTAAGAAGCCTCTTTTTCTTCAGGCGTACGCCCGGCATATAGACGTTCCAACTCGGCAGTTGCATCGATGTCCTTGCCCTTGAGAGCCAGGATCTCGCTCAATGGCACGCCGAAAATGTGCTGGATCTGGCATAAAACGGTAAGTGGAAACTTTTGGTCACACAGCGCCAGTCCCTCTTGCTCAGTATAGTCGCGATCTTTACAGGTCTCGAGGTAATCATCCCTTTCTCTTTTCTCCTCCCTAGCTTGGCCTCAGCCTTGCTGCGCTCATCTATACCATCAACTATCTTCTTGATTTCCTCATCAAAAACACCGTCCTGGATGGCTTTCAAGATGGCACGACCCTTTTCGTTCCCACATACAGACGGATCAGCTCCGTTCTTGAGAAAATGGGTGACCTTCTCGGACCTGTATTTCGGGCAATGGCCAAGCACCAACGAAGCAGGAGTCTCACCATTCCAGCTTTTGATATTTACATCCCCGATGCGTTTCTGTAGAAGCGAGGCCAACAGCTCAATAGGCATATCGTCGTTATCAGCTGCGCTATGGAGGGCTGACCGAGCGGTCATCTGGTCATCTGAATCTTCCCGGCTTCGTAGACCAAGGCCAATGTCATTTGCAATGAGATACTCATCAGTCAACAATTGACATCTACAGCTACCACTTAGTGCAATCTGCACGCTCTCTTTAATAAAATCCTGGTCCAGTTCAGGGTGATTCTGGAAGATGAGCTTGGTGCACTCCAGAAACTTGTCCCACCTCAGACTAAGAGACAGACGCAGCAGTTGTGGATGCAGTGCACCCACTCGTCGACAGGAAGGCCTTTTGAGATGAGGAAACAAGCGTGCTCTGGCTGGAAGAACTCGAATGCATGGATCAAGGCACTGCATCGCTGCGAGTCTTTGAGCGTGACGTCAGCTCCGTGATCCATCAGGATATCCACGACCTCTTTGTTTTCTTCGTGAGCGAATGCCAACATAAGAGGGGTGACTCTTTGGATCTGTGAGCGGGCCATGTTGACGTCTGCGCCCTTTTCTAGTAGCGTCCTGACAATATCCGCCATTCCCATGAGGGCTGCTAGATGAAGGGTGGGACGATGTGCTCCACGGAGATATCGTCGTCCTCTGGATCGTCAGTTTTCTAAACCCCGCCCTCTGCACCGCCGTCCTCTTGGTCGTTGTTCCCGAGGCGCTCGGCCTTAACACTTTCCTCTAAATCCTCACTTTCTGTGTCGTAATCATCGTCTAATGATCCAACTTTGGAGTCGCCGTAGAGCTCGACCAGAAACCGAGCAGGCTGCACGTGCCCTCGCAGGATTGCAAGGCCCAACGCGTTGAGGGCAAATGGCCTGCGCGGGTCGAACAAGTATAAGCCATCGTGTATGTAGACGATATCAGGGTTGATGTGTTGAAGGACATTTCTCAAATGTCGCATGGCCATGCATGGATAGCCACTGACGGCCTGCATGTCACACCCGCTATCTTTCAAAAATCGGAGTATCTCGGTATGGCCGTACATGGCCGCAAGATGAACGCTTCCATGCAAATTGATCGGATTCTGGAGATCGAGGTACTCCATCGAGACATGCTTTGCCACCTCAACGACCTTGGTTGCTGTGGAAGTCATGCCATAGACGGCTGCGAGTTGCAGGATCGTCTGGTTGTTGGGTGGTGGCAAGCGTTCTGTTGGGGATTGTATGGTTTCGTCATCGGAATCTTGAATCCACGGGTGCGCCCAACCTTCTTCATCGGGGAAGCTTCCACCATCAGGATCGAAATCTCCTGCCCATGATCTGTAAATTCTTTCACACCTCAGCATGAACTCGTGTTTCACGCTGGTGTTGTCTTCCGTGTATCGCTTCGCCCGTAGGACGTCTGTTCTATATACTTCGTTCTCGAGGTTTACCCAGAGGCTCCGACTGCCTATAGCAAGCGCAAATGCATATCTGGCATCTACAAGGTTGTCTTTGGCCACGTTCCAGAAGACATCATCCGAGAGTTTCTATTATCAGCAATGTCAGCGACGCCGCTCGATAAAGATTCATACGCCACTGTTACCTGGCCTTCTTCCGCCACCCCGTGATCAAAATCGCTTTCGGCGGTCGTCATAGGGAACATGGCTTTGGCTTCTGTCATACGCGAATTTCCGTGGCGCTATGTGTGTTCAACTTTCGGAATCCACAAGCCGTAGGTGATCTGGAGTGGCTGACGATAATGCAGACCACTCTTGATCTCTTTGAGGTGCGCTCCAGTGGAAAGACTCCTGACAAGCATCATCTCAGACCGTTTTCTTTGTTACCCGCGTCTTTTGGCAAGGTTCTACCGATGATTCAGCGTGGAGCCAGAAGTGGCAAAGGCTTAGTCTTTTGTAGCCGGGATTCTCCTCAGTCCTGTCATCAGGCTTGTGTTTGCTCTCGATACAGGGCAAGGCAAGTGTTCTCTTCAACTACAGAAATCCATTGCTGGTCAATCGCTTTTCATTCAGCTGCTTAATGGGCGGGAAGTTAGTCACTATCTGCAGCAACGCGAGTTCTAGGCGGCTATGAGGTGATTTTTTCGTGTTGGGTATCCGGTTTCGTCATGTCTAGCTACTCGTCCGTAAGCTCCTTCTGTCATGGGGTCCCCTCAAACTCCGTCATCACTGAGAAGCGGCGGTACAGCTGCCTGTATCTTGGTACTGGTTCGGACCGGCCAAGGCATCTCTATATCCCAAGAGTGGATATGGTTCGATCATACGACGGGTGTCCGGAGTGAATACTAGCATGACCAGTGGTTGGATAGCGCTTACCGGGGCTATTCCGAAGCGGACTCTCCCACGGTGATGTCACGGGCAAATTGACGATATATAATGTCTATCTATGGGAAGAATAGCAGACTGCGTCAAGATATCAGCTAGCTCTAGTCGGACATGGCGCACACTTTGAGCCACAATATTCGGACTACCCAGTATGATCGATAATGCCGAGTACATACTGACAAGTAGTGACACCGCGGAGTGAAAGCGAAATGAGAGCGAAATTAAACGAAATGAAAGCGAAATAAAAGCGAAATCTGCAGCAGGCGGTACGGTAAGGCTGCGAGGGAGCCACGCGCGATCATGTCATCGGTAACTCTCACTCCATTTTGCGGTAGTGCCGGCATTGATCATAATGATTCATAGGATGTCAGAGTTCGGGACGAGATGAAACGATAGTTGAGTAAGCCTCTGCGTGCCCTCAGCTCTGCCGGGTTGCGTAGGATTTCACGACAGGGGTCACGTCTGACCAGCATCTTTAATTCTCCGAGTCCGACTTTCCTCAATTATCATTCGTCCCAGAGCGCTGGGCTCAGCTGGTTGTGCTTTGAAGAGGCCGCCTTGTAGTCGTGATTGGCTAGGGCTTACGACCAGCTAGGGGTGCTCCACGCTGATAGGCTGGCCTTGGGCCAGGGCTGACCTCTTCTCCTAGCATACCATCAGCGACGGAAGCACTATAGTGCACTTTCAGACCGCGGGCCGAGCCAATGACGGCATGGCGTAACACAGAGCCCTGGAGCCCTGGAGGCATGATCGCTGTCCAGTCCTACTGCTGCCTCACAGGAGTACGATACTTCGACATACTGATACTGTTTTACGACGAAGCTTCACCTCATGGTTCTCAACGCAGATCAACTTGGCGCCCTTCCGACTGCATCAAATCCAGACAAGGCAGCCGTGGGGGCTAAGCGGAGCAGTCTCATTGCATGAGTGTATAAGTTGGATACAGAAGACTAGGAATCATGGCAACATCCAGAGACATATATTCATCCAAAGGAGGGCCTTCATCAAAATCCATCACCGACCACATCCGAGATATCTTCACTGGCAGGGACGAGCCTCCAGACCGCAGAGGTAACCGAAACCCCAAAGGCAAGATGAGTCGATCACAGAGTCAGCCAACTACATTTGCGGACATCGCCGTATCATACCGCGTCTACATTCTAGACGACCTCCTCGCGGAGCCGCAAGAGATTGTCCACGACTGGTACCGAAACCTGCTCTACGTATGCCAAAGACACCGGCAAGGCAACGCGTTTGCACCGGTAGAGCTCGGCCAGGAGATATCCGTCCTCGACCTCTCGGTAGGGGACATCGTCTCCTCTATCGACATCACTCCGTACACCGGTCCTCACTGTCTCGAGCTAGCAGACTCCTGCGCCTACCTACACGGATGCGTCGACGGCGGCAGTATCTGGGTCGACCCAGAGACAAGAGCCCTCTCCAACTTCGAGCCCCTCGAGAAAAGGAGAAGGGCAACAAGGACAAGCGAAGACTTCATAGCCGAGATCGACCTTCGGAGCGGCAAGATGCGGCAGCGAGTCAATATGCCGGAACAGAACGATCGAAATGCCACTGATGGGCGACATGTGGCCTTTTCGGCTCCTGGCCTACGCTTCGCAAGCCGTTCTTCGAGCAGCGGCCTGCCAGTGGTTGACGTTTCGGCCGACCCCATCATCGAGGTCATCAAGGCCAAGTTTGCTGTTCGGACCATCTACGTCACATCTCGGAACGTCATGTTGGTGTAGACACTAGGAAGGAAAGGGCTGTACGACTAAGACCCTGGCTGGTTATCACAATTTTCTACTACTTCTTGGGCTTGTCAATAATTGGAAGACCTGGTGTCCATCGTGCTGGCATGATGGAGAGGACGATGGGGGGGAGGAACAGCTCAGATAGACCAGGGGCCTACAGCAATGTACCATTTCACCTGTGTTTCTAATTTAGACAATAGAAAGGCAGCCAACGTGGCAGTGGGTACTTAATCACACATCAAACATCCCAACGAATGGGTCTGCTACTTTGCAAGGGACCCTGCAGAGAACAACTGGCACGTTCGATCAAAAGGGGCTGCGCGAGAAGCTTCTTCGAACAACTAATTTTCTACAGGGCGCATCCAGGGCGCATCAAGGGCGCATCAAGGGGTAGTGCCAGGGACCAGACTAGGGTTCCCGTTCAGTTACTATACCCGTGATCCAAACGGTCGACGACAGCCAATAGGGGTAACCTTGGCGCTGTGGGGGGCCTAAGTCCCACGTTCAGCCCTACGGGTCTCGAAATCCAGACCCCCGGTACCGTCATCTAATTGGTATGTCTACACCGGGTCTGCTTCGGGCGTGGAAATGAGGCTAGTAAACACGTGGCCGGCCAAGTCATAGTTACTGTGCAAATGCGGTGAGATGGATAGGAATACTCCATGCCAAGTTCTAGACGCTGGGCCAGGCAGAATTTTATCCCGCGAAGTATCTTGTAAAAGTGAAGAGAGGTGGGTCACTATAAACTGCACCCACCACACCACACACGTATTTAAGTCAGCAAAGCAAGCAACTCAACGTGATTCCAGAACTCCTTAAACTATCTGGGGCTCTATGGATCATCAACAAGCAAGTGCTGACGGACAAGCTCATTTCGAAGCCTTTCCTGCAACCCCTGATTCATCTTAGACGTCGCGAAGTTCTCGCAGACACGCCTCGACATAGCCTGAATATCCGCCAACTGCAACTTCCTCCGGGTAATTCCGTAGCGGGTCCCTTCGCCCTTTCTCACCTCAATGATACCGTTAATACCGTCAAAGCTGATGCCCCTTGGCGCTGTCACGAGCGGCTGCCCACGCGATACCTTGTCGACAGCCTCAACGACGATTTTGGTGGCCAGGTCATGGCAATCGAAGAGCGCGCTGCAGACACATGTGGCGTCAGTGATAGTCCGTTCTCGTGCCAGGGCCAGGCGGTCGTCTGTGGGTGCGGCACCCAGGTACTCGAGAGCGTAGCCGTATTTGGTCCCGCCGGAAGCGAGTATCTTGTCGATGGACCTGTATTCGGGGTAGAGACCCGGTTTGAGGTGATACAAGGAGCATGCCCCTCGTGCGTCGGCTGGCATCGAGACCTCGGTGCCGATGAGGATTCCGACGTCGATGTGATACCGGCGGATATTGTCGGCGATGGCCAAGCCGCGGACTTCTACCGTTTCCTGGGTCAACACCCCAAAGGGGTCTCTTCTGACCCGTCGACGAGGGACAATGTTGACATTCCGCCGGCACTCCGATAGTGAGGTTCGATGACGTGTCGGAGCACGGAATGCTCGAAGAATCTATAGACGGGGTCGTCGGACTTGACCTGTGGTTTGTTCAGGATGAAGATGAACGGCATATGGCCAGCTGCGAGGAGCAGAGGAACACTCTGCATCATGATATACTTGGAGAAAATATCCGGGCCGACGAATAGTGATACCTGTCGCGGTTGACTTGGTGCCAATCCAACTAGGGTATCCGTGAGTCTCACCGCGTGACAAGCAAGTCGGTCGACGTCTTCCACCAGCATATGCGTCCCTTTCGTCAGGGAGCCAATGGCGTACAGGCCGTCTCGTATCTTGAGGTCGTCAAAGCCGACGTCGAGGCCGCCGAAAGCATTGGGCTTGAGCATCTTCTTCCGGAGTATCCGCTCAAGGAGAGGAGAACGCATGCGTTCCACATCGTACTGGAGCCCCGTAGCTTCGACGATGTAATCAACATAGACTCTGCTGTCACCGCTGCCCATCGACATGATACCGTTATTGCAACTCGCTTCTTCACCTTTGATGACTTCGAGCTGTGCCCCCTTCATGAGCGATTCCAGTATGACGGCATTCTCTATCGGCATCAGGTTCCGGCAGATAGACCGAAGATAATGGTACCTCTGAAGAAGATCCTCTTTCTCTTCGTGCGTTAGAGAGTTCCAGTATCTTTCAGTGACCGTCTTGAAGGCATGCATGACTTCCTGCCAGTTTGCATTACCAGATTTAGCTTGGTGGATATCCTCGCTCAGACGCGCCAGGGGATCCATTCCCTCCTCTAGGATGTCCAGGGCATTGAGCTCGATGCCGGCATGCTCACGTATCTCGATCTTGAGGTAGCTCACAGCTTCGTCGAACGATATCTCTCTTTTCTCTAGCTGGCGTGCGATAGTATGCAGCGCATGCAAGCGGAGGTACGGGCGCACATGCGCCGCCTCCACGCGGGGCAAAAGACCGTTTCTGCTCATCATATGGATAGGGCCTCGATGGTGCTGCTGTGACAGTATCCTCACGACATCGATAGCCGATGCATTGGTGCCGATCACTCCAACGGAGGCATCGCTCGGGATTTTCTGCAGCTTGCTGGTAGGCCATGGATTCGGAAAGTAGTTCGGGCTGTCCAGATGCTTGTACTGCGCCCTGGCGTAGTTGCCCAAGGCGAGAACCACATTCTTCGAGTAGATTGCCGACCCGTCCTCCAAGTTGACGCGGTATAACGTGCCGCTCCGCTGCTCGAACTGCTCGATATCGATGACTTCTTCGCGGAGAAGTCGGAACCCTATCTGAAGATCCCATGCCCATTGGTTTACAGAGCGCAGCAAGTACTTCAGATACCGGCCGTATTCCGTTCTATCTGGGTATTCGGTGTCGCGCTCGTCTTCGCCTCTGCGCCTCGATAACCACTCCCCGAACTGTCGCGGCTGTCCGTGGATAACCGGCATCATCGAGACCTGTCGGTTCAATATCGTGTTGGCGGACTCGGCGGAATATGCAAGGCCTGCGGCCGGCTCGTCGCCTTTTTCGATGATCGTCAGTCGTCGTATGGAACTCCAGCCTTCGCGAGCTTTTTGGATGAGGCTCAGAGCTACAGCGACACCAGCTGCGCCACCGCCGACGATGGTGACAGATTCTTTGTGCCACTTCTGGAGGCATTCGTGACAGATTTCTGTCTTATTGGCAGGGCCGAACGTGTGGCGGTTCGTTTGGATGATTGGGGGGCTTGCGCGATCGGACATCTTGTCGGAGAGCGTAAGCCGAGATCAACCAGTGGACGTTTGCAGGGTTGCTTGGAGGATCAGTCCTGTTTGGGGCTCGTTTGTCCATGATAAAGATGTGAAGCTCCAGATACACATTCTAAAATTCTTCATTTGGGGATGTCCCGATTGACAGTACGAGGTCTAGTCAGGGGTCTTCGATGACTCTGTCGTCAACTACGGTCATACACATTGTAACATATGCAAAGTCGAAACATGGACAGTGACACACTCAATGCTTTGGTTAACAAAGCACCCAGGCAGGTGTCACATCAGTATGAATTCAAGAGGGTACGAAGCCATGTCAGACATTCACCGAAAGGAGTCAGCATTGGCATACATGAAATATAACCACAGGCAGACGATAATGGGAGGGTAAATTGAATTGATCACATCTGTGACTAAAGACATACACATCTATGAAAATGACTTACTTGTACTCATCTTCCCCTGCTAGATTGCCATATCGTGAGGCCTGCTCAAACGGTCAATACGGCAGTGAGAGTTGCAGCTACCAACACAGCCAAGACAATCTTCTCAGCGAAAGCATCGTTCGAAGCACGATTCCTGAAGACTGGCCCTTTAGGTCTGAACTTGAATCATGACCCTTTCTTCATAGTAGTGTCATTCCCGTCAGAGGTTGTCGTGTTCATCTGTTGACCAACGAAACCTGAGACTTCGTCCGCTTTTCCGACGGCTTCCGTCAGATTATAGCTCGTACCATTCTTGACCCGATGGCAGCAAGGGCAGTTGCAGTGGTGGGGATGCTTAGGTTCGTGGCCGGTCGAGTTCGACGTGTGCACGGTGTGGTTGCTAGTGACATTGTGGTGATTACCATGAAGGGAGCAGCAACGATGACGACTAAGGCCACCGGTGGTGTTAGTAGGGAGACTTACCACAGCCGAGGCGAGGAGGATGATGATGATGGATACCATCATGAGGCGGGAGCCAATAGCTGAAGCAAACATCTTGATTAGATTGTCTGCCGGTGAATGTGATGTATGATGTTGAGTTGCAGTTTTCGAGATGCTCAATCCTGGGTCTGGTCTGCTCCTTAAATAGGGGCCGCAGCCTATTGTGTTCAATGATGTTGATTGACGCTTAGGATGACTGAAGGTTGACAAGAAGGGAGCCCTTGTCGCGTATGAACAATGGACTTGCCTTGAGCGCACGGAGGTACAAAAGTATTGTTCCTCATGACGATATAATACATTCTCTTTGACTGAACCTCAAAGTTAATGAGCAACACAAGGAACGAAGCCAGCAATCGATTGTGATCCCTCAAACGCGGGACAAAGTGAGTTGTATGATTCTGGGCCTGTGTGATTATCATGGTACCTAGAGATTGGGACCATCGCTGAAAATTGCCTCCTGAGGTGCCAAGTCGGTTCTGGCCTAGCAGAATTGTAAGGTAAGTTCTTCTAGCATTTTTGTCAAGACTAAAATGAGAGGTTCTGAAAGAGCGTCGGAACAGCTGGCAGGTCTTGCAGCATGGAAGTGCAATGTCATCGTCTGATCTACTCCTGTGCAACTCGTGTCCCCAACAACGTACTGACCTCCATGCCCCTAGACCAAGATGACGGAAATCATCAAATCATTGTCAACCCGACAGAGACGCCGGCCGAGAGGGCCAGGAACGTTACCCAGTACCTATACCCTGACTTACTCCTCTTCGTCATCCTGGTATTCTCTGCCCTCTATTCCGTACACAGTGCCGGACGTAAGGAGGACACTATTGTACCCCCGATCACAGCTGTGCCGTTGCAGTAAATCATAAACTTTTTGGACTGCATTGAAGTAATGCGTGTTAGCTTATCGGTAGTCAGTACAGTCTCTGTTCCGTCTTGAAGTACTTTGGTAGACCGAAACTGGGTGCATTGTGATTGAATGTTGATCTATGTAGGTCTACTTGTCTGGCCGATCAGAATGGTCTGCCAGATAGGGTGTCTGTGTGGCCGAGCCACGCCCAGCCACAGACATAGCCACAGAGAGTTTATAGTCCTTGCTGCTCCCATAGTATCAGAATACTCTTGCATCTGTAACATCCGGGTTGGCGAAGGTTGGCGAGGTGTCGGATGCCAGTCGTAAAAAGAAACCGAGTCTCTTGCGTCCATGCGAAATGATCTGCACTTGAAGTACACATAGTTTGAGTAAACGGCGCATAAATAGCCGCGGTCGGAGGAGGAGCAGTCATCTTGAGGGTGTGAACAAGCTGTCGCGAGATTGGTCAGAGACTGTATTGAGTTATGGGAGGGAAAGCAACAGGATCTTCGTACCTCGTTCACACCTCAGGCCGCCGGGTCCTTGAGGTACTTGACTGACACCGAGTTTGAGAAATCTCGGATCAGCCTCGAGTAGATACGCTCGGACTGGCCTCTGACGCTGCCGAACACGTATACAACTCGGCTACTGCTGGTGCCAGGTGTGTGCAGCACCATATCGACGTCGTACTTTATCCCCCACTTCTCTCGGAATAGCCAGTCCAGGAACTTCGGGTCGGCGACGTAGGGGTGTCCCGTGATGCAGAGAGCTCTCGACTGGCTGTTGGTGCGCACAGCCTCCGTGAAAATTCTGTGTATACGCACGGAAACCTCGTGGTGACCGAGCATCAGTGGCGTCGACTGGCATCGCTCAATGAATGCATTCGCATCGGTCTCGGAGAAGAACGTCATAGAAGCAGCCGAGGTGGGAATGTTGTCGTTCGGATCGACAACATGGGTAGCATAAACGCGCCCACCGCCTCGGATTGCCATGAAGAATTGGTGGTAGGTGCAGAATGCAGGCAGTCCAGTCAGCCATAGTCTTGTGCTCATCTCAGCTGGGATGTTCGCGCTGGTGTTTCGGTAAAGGCGGAGATCCCCTAGGTAACGGTTTTCGCCCTCGATCACCGGGTTTTCATCTCTTGCTGCCATCTTGGTGTACGAACCGATGCTATATGAGCAGAGCGTCAGCAGCGAGCGAGAACAAATCAGGAGTGAGGGATGGAGGAACGAGTGTTGTCTGTACCTTGCCGTTTCGATGGAAGGGGGGTCACTTGTTGACGGTAGGAGGTGCTGCCGATTTCAGAGCGGCGGTAGGGTTAGGACGCGGAGAAATGGTTGTGATATTGAGTGGTAAAGTAAAGAACAGGAAACCGATGCAGGAAAACTTCATAGCAGTGTAAGCTACGACAAGAGACGCACCAGGGGCTTGCCCGTTCGTGCGGTACACTTTGCAGTGTCGTGGTGAAGGAAATGTACGAGCTTATCGGCGCGAAGGAAACGTGCGAGGTTGTTGGCAAATGCGTCTAGGCGAGTGACTTTCAGCTGGAAAGTTCACAGGTAGCGAGTGACCGGAATCATTCATGAGCCAGGCATGCCTAAGGTGGACGGGGTTGTGGTGGGCAACGGGGGGCTCCGCGTAAAATTTGACACTACGGCAACCGATGGCATGGTGTTTTGTGAGTCTGGTGCCCATCGTTATATACGAAGCTCTGCAGCCTCGTTCCGATTAGCGAAGCAGAAGCCTGAAGGGGGATCTCCTCTGCAGTCCTTATATATCTGCCTTGGGCAGTGACTCGCAGCCGACTTATGTATGTGGTTTGATCTGGTTGGTGTGCAAACATGATTTGCCACGACGCGTCGATGTCTCCTAGGAAGTTTTCATGGTCACAGCGGATGTCAGTACGCGGTAAGATGGTAGCGACTTTGCTGAGATATCATAGAAATATGTACAAAGCTCTTCTCATGGTCAAGAAGTTTGGGAATATGACGCAATATCACTAAACACACAAGTCCTCCCTTATTTCTCTGCAGATACCCATCAAGTTCATAGAAACTTGTGAGTAATGCTGCCCAGGATCATATTCCGCTTCTGCCGGTTGGCGAACTTCGCAGCATCCTCTGCCCATTTCTGACTACTCGTCGCCACGGAGTCCATGTTGTCATTCATCATATTCAGCTTCTCCGTGCGCTCGTTCAGTTGCCTCGTGAGGTAGTCGCCCCAGCCCTCCTGGCTTCCGGCAGCGCCGCCTGGACTTGAAGGCCCTCCCCCGCGAGCATCCCGTTCCATGGCAGTTGTCGCGGCCATCATCCTCTTACTCGGAGGTCTGTCGGGACCGCCAATCAAGAGATCCAGGTCCGTCGGCGAGACGTACTGTGTTCCGGAAATCCAGGCCATGTTGGAAATCGTAGGTCGTGGTGGTGTGACGAGGGCGGGATTTACTAGAACATCAGCTGAGTTCTCCAGCTTTTTCTCGGTCCCCCAAGCTTGAAGCACTGCAAACTCAGATGGCGACGTCCAACAGAATAGTCCACCGTCTTCAGTGACGAGCGAATCCTGGACCCGGCTGCTGTCCATCATTGGAAGCGGAGCACTCCCGAGTTCTTTGAGGCCGGGTAAGCTGAAGGCTCTCGTCTGCCCGTCATTGAAGATCCCAACCAACGCAAAGCCGTGCAATTCAAAATCGGTCACTTTGGCCGCGTGACAGAGGTAATCATCAAATGACTTCGATGCACCTTTGGAGGTGGCGGGCTTGAAGATGCGAGCTTCGGATTGTGTGACTGGTAACATTAGCGCTTGTACAGTTGATGTTGGAGAACGGGTTGTTAGCCTTACCAGCTACGAGTACGCCATTGACATGTCTCCCTTCCTTCAATGCCGCGACCGCGTGGCCTGTTGCTAGAGCAGGTTTTCCAGTTTCTGCAACTATCGGACATATGGATACGACCTTATCGTTGAGACTGGTGACACCAGCGAACGCGGCATTGTAGCCTCCGCCCTTGGGTAGCAACTTGAATGTAAAGACCTTACCCAGGTGTGTGCCAACAAAACAACAGATACTGGAATACTTGTCGTCGTCAAGTGTCATCACACCAAACTCGATTGCCACTGCCCAGTCCTTGCTAACTGAGGCGCTAGACCGGCTCTTGAGGAAGGAAGTACGCTTCTCGGGCTTCGCAAAGTCGGCCATCGAAGCCTGCAACATCACCGTTGGCCCTCGAAGGTCAATGATGCTGAGAAAGCCATTCTCGGATCCAGCAGCAACAAAGCCCACATCAGACGTAGTGAGAGCGCTAATGGGACCTTCGTGCAGTTCGTAGAGCGAGAACGGCTGGAGGCCACTTTTCAGGTCCGGCTCCGTTCTCACGCTGATGTCCGTCAAACCCCCGCCATTTTTAGAGTCGAGCTTCTGGTTAACATTCTGGCCGTGAAGCCTATTCCCTCCCCAACGGTAGATTACTACTTCACCTCTGCTTGTGCCTACGGATAGTTCTCCAGTCGCAAGTGCCATGCTCATGGCTGTGATGTTAATGTCCTCATATCGGTCGAGAGATCTGGCAACGTCGACTTGCAGTTGCGATGGATTCTCGATCTCGTCACCATGTCCTACGTCCCAGATGCGCACCGTACCATCAGCATGTGCAACCTGGACGATGGTACGACCCTCGAAACGTCGTCGTGGGCGGGCTGCTTCAGCTCCACCCTTGAGCAAAAGCTCCCCCTTTGACCGAGTTTCAACCATTCCAAGCCACCTATCACGGTCGAGTGTGGCGACAGTAAGCTTGGTAGCAAATGGATGGACGAGAGATAGAGACGGATGAAGCTGATTGGTGGGTGAGATATGATACCCACTGGGGAAACTCATAGTGATAACTTCTCCCGAAGACAGTTGCGTCAGGATGGCTAAGGGGTCTTGACCTCCCGCAAAATGAGGCGATGATCTCGGAACCATGGTGAAGTTCGCAACTTCAGCGCCAATAGGCGTTTCTAATGTGCTCTTCCGCTTCCCCTTGAGGTAGTCGGTGAGAATTTGCCAGGAACTTGTCGCGTAGTTGGGAGTCAGACCGAGCTCGATGAAAGTCAAGCCATCCGCTTCCAAGGTCTGGCCGCCAGCGATTAAGAGTGCAGTATCTTCGGGATTCTGTTTGCAACACCACGCAATCTTTAGGAATGGCTTTTTGGGTTGGGACGTTCCAGGATGTGGACCGGGATGATCAATGTTCACATCGTACAAGGTTCGTGCCATGACCACACGACCATCTTTCGCATCAAAGAACACGAGGCTACCGTCATCATAGGCGCCTAATATGAAGGTACCCGTGGGATGCCATATGGCTTGAACGAGTTTGGGCTTCCTCAGGGAGTCGGCGGCCAGGCTGTTGCCACCAGGAGCTCCCGGTGGGATGGAATATTCGTAAAACTTGGTTGGCTGATTTTGTTTGAATGAGTAAACGGCGGCCCCGTGTGTATACCCAACCAGTAGCTTGCCAATATCCCGGGGGTGAAGCTGCATGGAAACCAGTCCCACAGCAGTCGCTCTCGGGTCTTTGTCGACCCAGAAGTTGGGCAAGCGAAATTTTGACAGACGCTCTCGATCCAAATCATAGGCGAAGACTTCCCCCGTTTGCATACCCAGGAAACACCAATCCAACATAGGATCGGTAGTCATAGCAGTAACGATACCGGGGGCATGGAAGCCAGTGATCTGCTGCCCCCGGTCCAGGTCCCAGATTATAACTTCGTTCTTCGTGTCGAGGCTGATGAGTCTGTTGGCGCAGAACTGCAAATCTGCGAAGGAGGTCGTCCGCGGGGGGACGAAGAACTTGTGGACTCGGTTTTGGCCAAAGACGTCTATTCGCCCGGTGCCAAACTTGGATTCGGTGGTGCCGACGGCCAGAAGGGACTGGACTGGCTCAAAGGCCATACAGCTACAGGAAACGAGGCATTAGCTCGCGCCCTCTGTGTTATCCCCAAGTGCACGCCTACCTGATTTTGGAATTGATGCCATAGCGAGAACGGTCGTCTGGACCGAACAGTCCTGGCAGGATATTCTCAGACAGATCTGGTATACCTGCCTGCCTTCCTCTGAGGAAGCTCGCCATGGCTTTGGGCGGGGTGGCCGAACGCTGCCGCTGCTGCTGTTGCTGCTGTAGAGAGGTACCCAATCCGGACTCGTCTCAGGCGCATTCAAGGGCGCGTTCAGCGTCAACTTGGGAGATAGCTGTGCTCCAGTATGTATTCTGCATGTGTTTGTTGTTGACTTGTAGGCTCCAGCTGGGTCGGGTCGCAATGTCGCATCTGTCATCTTAGATCAATGATGGGTCGACGTCATTTGCCCAAGCTCAGTTGCCAACTTGCCATTGGTTTGTGAAGGGAGACTGCTGCCCCGCCAGCCCCACTTCTGAACAGCCCCCCACAGTTGACTTCAGGCTTCAGTTCCTTCGAATGCATAGCATGAATACATTTGATCTTGCAACCGTCACCTTACCTGAGGTAGGTAGGCATTGTGAGGAAGACTCCATCTCTGCCAGACGTTGATGAAAATCGATTGCATTCACTCATTTCCCGTTCATCGAAAGCCGTGAACCACACATGGGTATTTGAGCTTGATGTGTTGCAGTTGAAGCATCAGGCAGAAGACAGATCAGCTTCAACTCTTCTCGCTCGATGCAGCCAACCGCCTTTTTTTGCGTTCAATGTTACTGAGCTCTTCGCCTCGGTTCACAGTGAGCTCAGGTATTACATGTATCCTGTTCTTGCCTGCAGACTCGAACTGCTTCGGCAGAGAAGCATGGTTCATGGCACAATGCCACCAGTTGGGTTTTCCAATCGTCGCCTTTCCGGCCCCTCTCTTCTTATACCCAACTCACCTAGGCCGTAGATAGGGGAGCAGCCCTTCACAGATGCAGCCTTGGCTTTTCTGTGATTTGATTGGTTAAGATAACTCACAATTGTGGCTTCCAATGTGAGATGTGATACGAAACTGACGGCCTGTCACTACATTTGCCAGCGGCCGGGAGGGCCAACCTACCTTGTTTACGGCCAAGGCGTATTTCAGGTCGCATAGCTGCCTGGGCTGCCCGGTGCCTGACAGCCAAACACCAACCGCCGACCTGTCTCGGGACCCCGGGAGCAAGCAAACGCGGCCAGACTCCGGACAGCTGCCACGCTACAACTGCGTCTCTTCCGACACCCTCATACAAATCATAGTTTTGAAAGTTTTGAAAGCTAGGAGGCTCTTTACCCTGCCAGTCTCTTCTTGGCCGTGGTGGTCAGTCTGGTACCTTGAGTTCATACACGTGCGGGCATTGATCACGGCACTCTCATTCAATGTTTTGTTTCTTCCCGGCTCCAACGCCACTCTCTACTCTCATTGGCCGGTGGTGACTGTATAAAGCTTCTTCCACGCCTGGGCAGGCTCTACCTACATAAGGTACCTACATACCTGCTCAACTACTACATCTGGGCAGGTACGGGCAATTACCACCATCCACGTTCATTCCTGCAGATATTTTTGAACTTTGGGAACATACCACGTTATCTGAGGTACCTACCCACCTTAACTACCCCGATACCTTATTCACGGCCACCATTCTTGACCTTCAGCTGCCTCGTCGACAGTTCATGGACACCCCCCAGCAGCATTCATTTCATGCCCGTACCTCAAATCTTACAGAGAATCAACAGCAGTATCGTACTACTCAATGTAACAGCTTCAGGTTCGTCATTTGTATCATAGCACTTCACTTCTCAGCATCAAACCCTCCAGTACACAACAACTACGGCTGGGTGTCTCTATGCCCATAGCACGTGGTGGCTCGGTACCGGCGAGCTCTGCTCCAACTATTTATATTCCAGCGTCTCTCTATGTGTCGGGCCACCACCCATGCTAGCAGGTTACATCAGGCAGCTTCTCGCAAGACCAGCTACCACGATGGCAGGTCGATCCACACCCAGCAAGGTGGATAAGGATATCAAAGCCGATGTAAGAGCACGCAACCAACAAATCGTGATTGACGCTGACTGTTTTAGACCGATACCCCTCGCACCACCAGTGACCGACAAATGGCAGATAGAATCGTGATCAACCTAATGAGTGACGATGAGGATGAAGTCCCGACTGTCCCGACGAGCAGTGAGAAGCGAAAGGACCCGCCCGGTCCGCCTTCTTCAAAGCCTCCGCCATCAAAAAAGCTTAACCCTGGCCTCTTCGAACCATCGGGCGCCCGATCTAATGGAACGCGCCAAGCGGACCAGGACAAAGTGAGGCTCATGCGAGAAGTTGCGGACCTCAAGACTGCTTTACTAGTAGCGGATGGGAAGTTGACAGAGAGCCGAGAGTACAAGTCGAAATTCGAAGAGGCCGAGGCGTCACTCAACCAGTTCCGAGAAGAGAGAAGCAGACTCGAGGACCAGGTCGATGCGCAACTCGCGTCGCAACAGTTGCAGCTCAAGGAACGATCGGGCCTTGAGTCAGAGCTTGCTGAAAAAATTCACCTGTTCGGAAAGGGTTTCGAAACTGCCCGATCAGACGGTTCCTCGCAGACGGACGACCTGGGACTAGCCGACGAAGAGAAGACTATCCTCCAAGATGAACTTGCGGCCATCAGAAAAACGTGCGAGTCGCAGAAGGCTAAGATCCGGGCGACAAACAAGGCCTTGGAGGAATCAAATTTACTTGCCTGGCAGAAGAAGGAAGCGGATGCGTTGGTCACTCAACTTACCGCCCAAGTATCGCTAAGCAAAGCCGACTGCTCCAACGCGCAATCCCAGATCAGCAAGTTGCAAAAGAACCTCAGGGACTCACAAGACGAGTCCCACAAGGCCAAAGACGACGTTAAAGACATGGACCAAATTCTATCAAAGAATGCGGCATGCATCAAGGCGCTTGAAGATGAAAAGGCACGACTGCGCAATCAAGTCCAGGTGCTCGAATCCCAAAAATACGAGCTCGAGTCTGCCGCCACCTCGTTGTCAAACAAAGCCGAGGAAGCCGCGAAGGCTCAGATCAGCGAATTGCAGCGAGAACTTGGAAAGGAAAAGACCGCGGTCACGGCCCTTAAGAAGGAAAGCGATGAGTTTTGCCAAAAGCTTGCCTCCATTACGGTCCTGGAACTGGAGCGTAAGGCCCTTCAGGGTCGCATGACTACCATGGAAGGCGAGTTTGGGGACAAAGCCAAGATGGAAGGCTTGCAACAAAAGCTCAACACTGCAGAAGGCCGCCTTCGGGAGCTTGAGAATGAACTTGAGGTCAGTACCATATCAACGCTTTATTTGTCCCGGTTTCGAGTCGTACATGACGGAATGCCGAGCGGTTTCGCTCCGGTTCTCGCTGTACGGTACGCAATGCTAACTCCTGACTGAACAGGCGGAGAAGCAGTCCAGCGAGGAGGCAAGAGCCCATTTTGGCGCATGCGGACTTGCGCATAAGGGTCCCGAGTTCTTCGATTGGATAGCAAAAGAAACGAAGGAGATCGACGAAGCCTTGACCGCAGCCGACGAAAGACTGGCGGCAGGGTTGGCGGTTGCCAAGGCAGAGGCAGGGGAATACGCTTTCTGAGATAAGTTAGATGAGATGAGCTGTGTGTGATGTACCGGGAGGGGAACACGGTATTTAAGATACGTCGGATGAGATGATAATCCATGCTGTATCTATTCATTTATACCGGCATCACACTTACATGGCACCTAGAAAGAAGGGAGGAAGGAGAGGTCTTTGCTTTGACATTAGCTTGCAAAGATTAATTAGCATTAGTTAAAAAAAGTCACCGTAAACGGCGCCACCTCGGGGCAGATTTCCATGTCCTCCCATCCCTCCCTCCCTCCCTCCTCCTTTTGCATTGGGGGAGCAAAAATAAAATACAAGTAAAGTAAAATACCAAAAAGCTCACTTGCCAGGATGGTTGAACCCCCTAGCTGCTACGAAAACCATCTTCCTTTTTGAGGGTAGTTGTTCTGGCCAGTTGTACACGTAGATCGATGCGGAGCACATTGGTCATTTGACCCCTGCGCCATTACGCCTTGCTGGTTACGAATCTGGTATTTGTTTGCATACTTGTAGCCTTGCGCCCCAGTGTTGGCTACCACTCGCCCCCCGTCATCTGGTTGCTGCTGGGCAACAGGTGTGCTGTCTATACCCTACCTAGGTAACTGTGTGAGGGATGGAGGAGGCGCACAGACGAGGTGTCGAAGCACCACCATTCCTTGAGACGAGTCGGAATCAAACCAAAGTCGAATATCACATCCGAAAGAATAATCTACACTGAATCACCTTTCATATTGGCTCCTTATCCCTACGTCTACCCTGTCCCAGCTCCAGCATAATCCACTCATACACCGCCCACTGCACCGCATTCACGATGAAAGCCCTCACACTACACACCGTGAGGCCCCTGAAGAACACTCTTGCGCCGCCCTCCCGGTACGCCTCCCTCGCGATCTCGACCGCACCACGGCGTTTGTGCGCAGTCCCCAGCAGCGGTCTCCTTGCCTCATCTAAAATCTGTGTCTGCATCTGTGTCTGTGACAGCGTCTGCGTCTGCACGCGTGTCTTCACCACATCTAGGGGGAAGATACTCGCCCACGTCACGACGCCCGCCAGGCCACCGCACAGCAGGACCTTAGCCGCCTCGTGCGCAAAGACCGAGTCCGCGACACCCACTCCTCCTTCTCCTCCGGAGTCTGCTAACTGACGGTTCCCAGCAGAACCCTCCATCCACCGACTCCCCAGCTCATACGACCAGAAGTAAAACCCGTAGCCGATGCTATCCCGCAGCGCCGTGACGGCACCGCCGAAATACAGACCCCGGATCCCCTCGGAGCGGAGGACGTCCCGCGCTATGCGCCAGCTGCTGGTACTGGTGCTAACCTGCGTTGAAGTTGACACAGACGTAGGTATAGTCGCACCATGATCAGGCGCAAGCTGCGCCCGACACTTGATCAACTCCGTCGGCGTGCTGACGACCCAAGTCGCCAGGCCACCAATAGCGCCCGCGAGCCACGTCGTCCAGAGATTGCTCCCGGTACCATGCTGGCCGTCGAGGGCGGCGTTGAGCAGGGCCTCGCTGCGGTTGTAGGATACGAAGAGCAGGGCGTTGAGCGCGCCGTAGCCTAGGACTGGCGCGGCGGTGCCGGCGATGAGGGAGGATTTGCTTTGGAAGTGGTGCCGTATGGTAGACGTTGACGAGCTGGAGTTGGGACTCGGGGCGGAGGTGGAGATGGGGGTGGATGAGGCTTCCAATTGTAGACGCACTTTGAGCACGTCTAGGGGGTTGCCGATGAGGATGCCGACGGCGCCGCTGATGTAGCCGGCCCAGAAGTCGGCGGACATGGCTTGGTTTGGTGTGTGGGATGATAACTTAGAGCTTTCGGTGCTCTATCATGTCTCCAACTTGTACGCGTAGCCGCTCGGTATGGATGGATATGGGGCCCTCAAGACCTTCGATCCGAAACCTGGTATATTGGATGGGCTGTTATCAGGGGTAAGGCTTGAACAAAGACGACCGACCGTTTGAGAGCTCGTAGTGGTCTGACGTGGTCAATCTGTTGTTAACTAGGGGTTGTAACAAGGCACAGCTGTATACCTAGGGGATCTCCTCACGATATAGGTAGGGAGTCGTCAGCATAGCAGTCGATGAGAGTCAGTTACCCCTCTACGAGCTATAGGGACGCGGGGCAAGACGTTGTGGAGCACTGGAGCCAAAAGCAGAAGCGTCATCGTCGGGTGGTCTAGACTACTGTACCTTAGCTACATGTAGCTGACAGCTTCACTTTGCCGAGTCGTGATGCTGCCGGGACAAACATCGACATTGTATGGCATACTCCTACAGTGCAAAGTATCATCGAGGGACGCAGTTTGATGTTGTTCTGTTGGGAACGTCTGTCAGGGGCAGCTGCGGCCCGGTGAAGTGCCCACTGAATGTCATGTGACTTGGTGTCAATCCCCCGCTAGGCAGTCGCCCCCGGTGCTCCAGACGCGTCTTCGCGCTTTCCAAAGTCATCAAGTGCAATTGGTTAGGTGGACTCACTCTAATTGATTTCCAACCCGCCGTCACCTGGTGGCAAATCCGAGCTTCAGACACCTTCAACTCTGTTCTCGGAACTCTTCGCGCTGCTTGGTGAATTTCGCGATATACGCGCAGTATGTACGTATTATGTTCTACGCAATTACAATATCACCGCTATGGATATTAACTTGAGTCTGTCGTGCAGGGCCACTCCGTCTACGCCACTGGTGGTGAAGTCGACGCCCAACAAGACCCCCGGAAAGCGCCTACTTTCGCAGAAGTCTGTCGATCAATTGTACAAGCCCTTCAAGTGTCCGGGTTCTGCGACGAGAACTCCAGCATCCGACAAGCCGGTTCGAAAACGCAAGAAGGTTGACTACAGAGGAGCAGGAGGTGACGATGAGGCCGACAAGCCATATACGAATGCCGACCGCCTGGCTCTTGCAAACCGGGATGCCAACCGATTTCCCGTCTTCCAACCAAAGGACAAGGACAAGGTCTTTAGAAAAGCCTTCGCCATTCCCTTGATCAATAAGGACTCAACAGCTTACAATCCGAATCGCCCCCCTCCTACTCTTGGCCTTCGACAGGGAGCTTCATTTGTCGCGAAGGCGCTCCACGACCCCAGCGCCGAGTTCGCAATCGTGCTATACGACCCAACAGTTGATGACAAGCCGAAAGAAGGTTCCACGCCCAAAGGAGACAAGGCGAAGGAGGAAGCAGAAGAGAAGCTGGATGCCCCTCTCGTGCACAAGAGTCTGTCAGAGATCTTGGGCATTCGGAAGAAGGTCGAGGGAGAGCGTCCCAGGGTACCTGTTGTGATCGATCCGCGCCTTGCCAAAGTCCTGCGACCCCATCAGGTTGAGGGTGTCAAGTTCATGTACCAGTGTGTGACGGGCATGATCGATGAAGCAGCCAATGGCTGCATCATGGCCGACGAGATGGGTCTGGGAAAAACGCTGCAATGCATCACGCTCCTCTGGACACTGCTCAAACAATCACCCGACGCCGGCAAGCCAACCATTCAGAAAGCCATCGTCGCTTGCCCGTCCAGTTTGGTCCGCAACTGGGCCAATGAGCTCGTGAAGTGGCTTGGACCGGATGCGATCACCCCTTTCGCCATCGATGGCAAGGCATCCAAAGAAGAGCTGACTCGGCAGTTACGACAGTGGGCGATTAGTACCGGCCGTGCTGTCACTCGCCCCGTCATCATCGTCTCGTATGAGACACTACGACTGAACGTGGAGGAGCTCAAGAACACGGACATCGGCCTGATGCTGTGCGACGAAGGCCATCGATTGAAGAATGGAGACAGTCAGACCTTCACTGCTCTAAACAACCTCAGAGTTAGTCGGAGAGTTATCCTTTCAGGCACACCCATCCAGAACGATCTTTCCGAATACTTCTCCTTGATCAGCTTCGCAAATCCCGGATTGCTCGGCACCCGACTCGAATTCCGGAAGAGGTTCGAAATACCAATTTTACGAGGCCGCGATGCCGACGCGACTGATAAGGACCGTGCGAGAGGCGACGAATGTCTGCGTGGGCTTCTTGATATTGTCAACAAGTTCATTATCCGCCGTACCAACGATATCCTTTCGAAATATCTTCCGGTCAAGTACGAACACGTCGTCTTCTGCAACCTCGCTCCCTTCCAGCTGGACCTATACAACTACTTCATCAAGAGTCCCGATATCCAGGCGCTCTTACGTGGCAAGGGAAGTCAACCGCTCAAAGCTATTGGCATGCTCAAGAAGCTTTGCAACCATCCAGATCTGCTCAACCTTGCGGAAGATCTACCTGGAAGCGAACAGTTCTGGCCAGATGATTATGTACCAAAGGACGCACGCGGTCGTGATCGAGATATCAAGCCATGGTATTCTGGTAAGATGCAAGTACTCGACCGCATGCTTGCACGGATCCGACAAGACACGAACGACAAGATCGTGCTTATCAGCAATTACACCCAGACCCTTGACCTCTTCGAGAAGCTCTGTCGCCACCGCGGATATGGCTCCTTCCGTCTGGATGGTACCATGAACGTGAACAAGCGCCAGAAGCTTGTTGACAAGTTCAATGATCCTGAAGGCCCCGAAACCGTGTTTCTGCTCTCCAGCAAGGCGGGTGGCTGTGGTCTCAATCTCATTGGCGCGAATCGTCTCATCCTCTTCGACCCCGACTGGAATCCTGCTGCTGATCAGCAGGCTCTGGCACGTGTGTGGCGTGACGGGCAGAAGAAGGACTGTTTCGTATATCGGTTCATCGCAACCGGTTCTATCGAGGAAAAGATCTTTCAACGCCAGAGTCACAAGCAGTCTCTTTCATCTTGCGTCGTCGATTCGGCCGAAGACGTGGAACGCCACTTCTCACTGGACAGCTTGCGAGAGCTGTTCCAATACAGAGGCAACACAAGAAGCGACACGCACGACACCTTCAAGTGCAAGAGGTGCAAGCCGGACGGCAAGCAATACATCCGAGCGCCGGCGTTGCTATATGGTGACACGAGCACCTGGAACCATTTCAGCAACGAGGGCTTGAAGCCCATCCAGGACCTGTTGCTGCGGCAGGAGTGCGGAGAGAAGGAAGTCTCTGCCGTGTTCCAGTATATATCGCATTAAGATGCTTTCATTGCAACCGGACAAAGACTGGTAGACGTGGTTGTACTACCTAGACTAGACATGGCATGAGCGTCGAGCGTGTTGTATTTCATACACCTGGCGAGCGGAATGACTGATAAGCATTGCAAGGGCGTTCAGGGGTTTATAGGTGCTGAGGCTTGCGCTTTGCTTTACGAATATCATATTTGCATGGCGTACTACGTATGGAGCTTATGTTGACGGAGAGCTCAGTAACAATCGAACAATATCACGCTTCATTTACACTGACTTTCTGCTTCGAGAAAAGTGATGAGCGCGTTGTTCCGACTGACGTGCTCCCTGATCATGGCTCTCCAGCACCACTATCTACAACCGTAAACTACGTGATGCGCGTCCAGTCTCCATTGAACTCACTCGTGGAGGGATGTGTGGCAGGGACAGGGAAAGAGACGACTTGGCTGGCATCTCTATTGTCTCGCTCAGGTGCATGAGTTACGCTGTTGAACAAGTGCAGCTTCATGTATCACATCGGAGACCTAGTGGGTTATCAAATCGCGATAACCAGACTCCGAGCAGCAGCAGCAGCAGCAGCATCGACCATATCTCCATGTTCAGCAGCAGAGACATTAAATAGGACTTTGGGTACCTACCTGCTTGCATTGCCTGGATCTGTGAATCGAAAACCTCCAGGCCCCTGTTCCGATGCCGTGGAGCCGCAGTCATGAGGGAGAGGATCTTAGCTGTGTCACGTTCCTCACTCACTTTGGCTAAACCTGGGTCATGTGAAATGCTGTTCTCGATTCATCAATTCAACGTCTGCGGTCTTGCAAACACTCAACCTGCGATCAACCCTAATAGTGGTAGCATCGAAGGACGGCGCAGGGAGTGAACCCTAGAAGGCATAACCCCATTAAGGATATCCCCTCAATCTCCTATCCTCTGAATGCCACTATCCACTCCGTCTACCAGCCGTGCACCCAGTCAGTTCAGGCCCCAAGTCAGTTCTTTCTTCGGTCAATCCGCCAGGATGTACCGTAGTTCACTCCTTACGCTCCAGCGTCCCCGGGTTATGCGCAACACCATGCCCATGCTGGTCCTTGAACAAGACCTATATGTTCCCAAACCCTGTCAGCGATCACAGTAAGTACATCCAACCCACCCATCCCCTAACTCAAATGCCCTCTCGCCATGAGACAGACGGCAAGCACACAGGATTCGCAAGAAAAAAGAAAAAAGAAAAAGGAAGAGCAAAAAGAGGGAAAACACACCTTAGGCGGGTTCTTCACCCCCTCCTCCCGCGCCTCCGCCTCCGACGTCACGACCGCGTCGACGGCCCCCTCGTGCCGCCCGCCGCGCATCTTGGTCCAGACGGCGTCGCCCTCGCGGATCGGCTCGCCGTGCTTGTCTTTGATGTCTGCTTGCTTGTCCTGGGACTGCGGCATCTTGGTTTCTTCGTTCGGGGGTATGTTGTTTGGAGTTTGTAGTTGTGTGGTGTTGGGGTGTTTGCCTGGTTGTTGCTTACTGGCAAGTGAGGGTGAGTTTGTGTGACCTTTGGCCCTGTAGGTGTAAAGTGGCGGCTGGGGAGGGACTTGATAGAGGGGGGCGAGCAAGATCGGTGAAGGATGTGGGAGGATGTGGGTTGGGACGGAGAAACGTGTATGAGGGGAGGAGTCTCGGAAGACGAATGGATCTGGTTGACAATTCTGAGCGACGTGATGAGGGTAGGTAGACCCCATCTCGTTTACAGGTAGGTTGCCGATGTCCGGGGAAAGGGATGATGAAACACTGACGTTACGAACACTCAATGCCACCTGCAGTGACCTAACAACCACCTGCACGGCCTCGACCGTTCTGACTACCAAACACCTTAATTCGACAGCGAGGGTCATGGAATAGAGAAGCCGCGCATATATAACCGATACCTACATTATCTGTGTTGAAGACTAAGTAGGTAGGTAGTGATGTACAACCCGGCGCAAACGAACAATTGGGCATAGACGATGGTCATCATCATTATACCTTACGTTCACGGTAATACCACGCCTACGCATAGTAAGTTCCATGGAATGACCATGCTTTGCCATGCAACGTCGCTATTCCTACATACAGACAGTTACCCTATGTATCAGAACCAGGTAGACCAAGTAGTCCTCTATCCACACGGGTGCCACGTCTTCTTGGCGTGCTTTTCCGCCTGTCTACTTACGCCTGGGTAGATGGAAGCAATGTCTCCCATCAGAACCTCATTTTCCCTTGGCTATGCGTCGCTCAATTCTAGTCGGTAATTCCTGCAGGTAGATGAATCAACGTGTTGTCCGTTTAGCCTGGCCCAGCCAGCATCCCATGCGAAACCAATGCAAAGCTCTAATCGATTGTTGCGAGAGAAGCGGACCGTTCATTCATCCAGGTAGCTCGTTTCGTGTCAACGGCAGATTGGTGCCAAGTGAGAAGCAGTGCCCCAAACCTTGCCATTGATACACCAATCGCGCTGATATGTTCGGTGTTATTCGCTTACATCACAACCTAAAGACTGGGTTAGCAAAATGAGTTGATTCAAAGAGTAAATGCCAAATACTTACGCAATCGTCGTCTTTCTTAGCTTGAGGGATACCCATCTGCTCAAAAGTGGCAGGTCCTGCCTTGGGTGGCGGCCTCGCTGCGGGTGCAGATGCAACCGAGTTGTTTGTAGCAGTACTGGGTGCCGGGCTGGCCATGCCTGGTCGTGCCTGCGACGGAGGTGCACTTGAGCGCCCGCCATGGTCGTCCATCGGCATTGGCCGGTCCGTGAGGGATACTCCAGGCCGTCCTCCGCCTCCCATTCTCTGGCCCCCTGGGCCGCCTTGGGGGAGGCCTTGCTGTGGTATAGAACTTGTTCGGGTTCCGAGGCCCCCGCTCATTGTAGGCGAAGATGCAGCTGGAGCAGCGGAACTCCGACCACCAGACGAGTCGTATGGTGCCGCGCCGCTCGAGGCTCGTGGGCCAGGAGCATGGGGCATCGGCAGAGACGATTCTCTTGCACCATAACCAGACGGCCGTGGCCCTCCTCTACCAGCGCTGGGGCCGGTTTTGGCGAGTCGGTTCGGTGCAGGGTTGTTCGGGCCTGGACCGCCTCCAGACCGTCCGTCATATCCAGACTGTGGTCTCTGATCATACTGTCCGGTGGGAGCGCGATAGTCCTGAGCCCGAGGCCCTGGGCTAGGTTGCCGGTAGCCTCCGGGAGCTTGAGATTGCCATCCCGCCGATGCGGGACGACCACGGCCCGAGTCCATGCCTGATGGAACGGGAAGCTGACCTGCCGACTGGGAAGGGCGCATGGCACCCCCTGGACGTCCACCGGGAGACTGCGAACGAATGACAAGTGAACTTCCGGGGCGATCCGCGGCAGGTGCCCCCGATGACCGGATGTTCGGGTTGTAGTGTGGAGAGAGCTGAGGCTTGGAACCGATCATATCATCTTCGGGGTAGGGCGCCGCAGATGTCGGTCTCGAGTTCGATAGGTTTAGAGGTGCTGGCCTGTCATCCTCAGGATAAGGGACTGCCGATCTGGGGCGCTCGGCGAGATTGACTGTGAAAGGCGGTGCTCGGTTGTTTTTCGCCATGTTACCCGGCCTCGAGGGATCAGGCATGTTGGTGTGGTCGAAATTCGGATTCCTGGGAGACGGATTGGGAGAGACCCTGGGCGATGAGCGGTCTTCGGATACTGTGGGCATCGAGCTGTTGATCTGCTTAAACCGTTCTGGTCGCTGGCCCCGTTGCGACCCGTGTTTTGACTTGATTCTTCCCAAGGTCGAGGTCTCGTGATCCTTCTTCGACAGGGACTGAGAGTGTGACAGACCGTCCAGTCGTCCTACCGCATCCTTGTTACCGTGCTCTGCAGCTAGCTCGTACCATTTCCGGGCCTCGCGCAGGTCTTTCTCGACGAAAATCCCGATTTCGTAATAATAGCCCATTGCGAACTCGCCTGTCGGCAGTTTCGTCTTGGCGGCAAGCTGCGCATATTTGAAGGCGAGCTGCTCGTTCTTCGCAAACGTGCCCTCGTATCCGAACAAGAACCATCTGCTGACGCCGAGGCATGCTTCAGGCTGGCCTTGTCTTGCCGCAAGACCGTAGTAGTGCAATGAGAGAGCTGGGTCGAAGTCACACCCAAGCTGGCACAGCTCATATGCCTGGCCCATCTTCAACTGCGCCTTGGCAAAACCGAGATACGCGGCCTTCTCAATGTACTGTCTGGCAACGGCGATATCCAACGAGACCATACCTTCGGGAATATTCACGTCCGGTAGGTCCCGCGCTATGAGCATACCGTATACGAAGGCTCCTTGCGGCGCATCTTCATCAGCCGTGTCGGCCGCCTGGTGTATGAGATCCAAGCCTTTGGGAATGTCTTTTGGCAGGCCGCGCTGGCCCAAAAGGTTAACCATGCCCAGGCGATACGATGCGGCCGAATCCTTGGCTTCCAAGCCCATGTGATAATGCCGCATCGCCTTCTCCGTATCGTTGGAGTTCTCGTATAGCATGCCGATTCGGTAGTCGGCGCGGCCCCATCCCTGCTGCGCAGCAGCCATGTAGCCGCTGTAGGCCTCCTTCTTGTCTTGCCGCTTGCCGAACTTGCCAAACTCTACCCACTTACTCCGTATGAAGATGGCCTCGGGGTGACCTTGGTCAGCGAGATACGATACGATGTTCATTGCGTCAACTCGCAACTCGTGTTCAATCTTGGGGGTCGCGGGCCGTGACGACGACTGATCCCTAGAATCGCGAGCGGCATCGGCTTCTCGAATGGCAGCTTCGGCTGCAGTCTCGACGTACGACAGGACATCACGGGCCCAACAGATCTGCATGTTTGGATCATTGGAGTGCAGGACAAGTTGGCGGCTCTCGGCAAGGACGGTCTCTTTCTCCTCATCGCTCGGTGGGATGTGCTCGCCCTGCACCTTGGGGAAGGGCGAGAAGGAGGGAAGTTCGCGCATGTCTCGGAGGTTCTTCTCGAATTTCTGGTCGGTATCTTGGGTCTCGTGAAACGGGCTAAAATTGGATGCGGGACTGTAGTTGTTGGACTCCTTTCCACCTTGCTGATATTGCTGGCCAAAGCCACCTACTCGTGTATTCAAGACGTTGGATAACGAGGCGTCGCGGCTGTGCTGGGGGACTTCTCGGGCTTCAAGCTCCATTCGCTGGAGGCCTTGTTGCATGTTCTGGGGGACTTCTGGCATAATCCTGCAGATGGGCGTACTTATGTCAGCTCAGTGCCCAATACGACTGCGACCTGCCATGTAGCAGGTAGAGCCACAGGTCTCAAGATGTCTGAATAGATGTATACCTTTGCGGTGCGGGTGCTACTACTTCAGGCGGCATATAGAAGTCGTCCATACCACCGGGATAGAAGGTTGCACCGAAATTGGGCATATCGTCGAGCGAATCGTCCTTGAAAAAGGGCGGCTGAGAACCTGCATAAATTGCGACACCGACTTGTCAGCCCAAATGTGCAGTACCAACAGTCGATGCTGACCCGGTTGGGTGTCGAGCTGGCAGGCTGACCGTCGGTCAGAAGTGCAGCTGGGTTTGCTGCAGCGCAAAGGAGGGAATGGCTGTGGCGGGGTTGTTTTTTCTGGCGCGGGCTGGCCGTCGTCTCTCTCTCCCCTCTCTCTAATCAATCCGGGACCTCTAGGCTCTCTTGACAGGGGGGGGCAAGAATCATGTATCCAACTGATCGGACAATCGGGAGGATGGTTGGTGATGGAGTCAGTCGCAAGAGGTCTCAGAACCTTCAGTATCCGTGTCCGGCGAAAGAAAGACAAGACAATCGGGGGATTGTGGTCTCAGTCTGGGTCAGGTTCCTTTAACAACACACAACAACTGGATGACTGATGACTACTACGCAGGCAGACAAAGTGCTTGGCTAGCGGGTGAAGGCGCTGGAGGGAACCCACACGGGCGATGCTGCGCATGGATGATGGAGGACTCAGGGCTCTTTGTATTGACGAGTGTGGAGCAGAGAGCGTGGCGTATTGCCGGCACTGCATTGATTTGCGAGCAGCTTGCATGGATGCTTGCATGGATGCTGACAATGGAACTTGGAAGAGACCCAATTCTGCCAATGTCGAGAGAGAAAACCTGATGACTTTCTGGCCGGTCTTATTGGTGAATCCGATGTTGGCCCGGGGCTGGGTTGATGACGACCGAGCAGCGAGTGATCAGCCACAACGGATGCGGATGCGGGACAGTGAACTATTTCGGTACCAAGGGCTTATTCTTCCCTCAGTAGACATCAACTCCAAGTCACGTACGGCTGTCTCTGTGGGTTCTCTGTGATGCCAACGTGACAGCAGGACACGACCTGGTGAGTCGTGACGCGAACTGGCCCAGGCCGGCAGTTACAGACTTTCGTGATGCGACTCTAAAGATATCCAGTGCCCAGTGCCCAGGCGTGGGGTTCCTGCATGGTCGATCGAGCTATCCGGAAACGGGGTTGATGGGTTGCTGAAGGTTGCCAAGGTTGCTTTTTCCCTTGCTTCCCGAGAGAGGATCCATCCGAACTGGCAACTTTATTTGCAGTGCTTTGCATTGCTTGCTCGTGTGTGATTCGGGAGAGAGGGAGATATAGACCAGAGCCAAGCCCGCCATGTGCGCATCATTCCGTTTATCTATCGTGTATTCGTCGATCCAGCCGTAGGTCATATAGTAAGTAGTGAAAGAATGGCGCTTACCTGCAGGGCGCTTCTTGGGCCGCGCATAGGCCTGTGGGCTGTAACCGGTCGTCATCTCGTTGCTTCTTTCTGATTCATTAGGTTGTGAGACCATTCGGGGTGTTGGTTCGGTAGGTCAGGCAGGTGCGCATGTGGTCGATTGCTGTGGTGTGAAATGTTTGTGGTGAGGCTTGGTTGACGGTCAAGGCAGCATGCAACCTGGGTGAAGGTCTGATGGTTAAATGAAGTTGGAGATGGGCGAGACCAGTGACCACCTCAGCAACTGAAGCACATGAACAAGATGCCTTATCTGAGTGAGTAATAAGGTGCGTAGGTCGGTGACTGACAGTGGCAGTGGCAGGCACCGTCCATCTCTCGAGGAAGCTACGATCGATCATGCACGCGGGCGGTTGCCAGGCAGGCGGAGGCGGGTACATGAATCTATTCCAGGTCGTCCCTTTTAACCTCAAATATTCACATTTGTTTGCTCCTCGGTACCGCCCAGCATGCGCCTTGTACGCCGGTGCCATGAGGTTACCCGTCGCCTATGTATGGACATACCTAATAAGGAACAACTGCCTATTCTCTACCTACCTAATCGGCGCCATGTTGGGTACGAAGCCAACGAACACGGCCCAAGTTGGTCCACCAGTCAGTCACCAGCCGGTGGTCAAGTGAAACGATGCGAGATTTCCGGAGCGTGCAAGTAGATCCTTCAAGAGAAAACGCATGCCCAACTCGATCAAGTTCACGAGAGGAAGACACGGGAGTTGTCTCACGTCACTGATTGATGTCGCTACCCGACTCTGCCACAGTCCACAGAGCCTACAGGAAGGGGGCACGGGGGGCACGGGGGGCACGACCCTAGGGTCGGACAGCACTCACAGCCTCATCGTGTTGCTATTTCAGTCTTTCTGGCAGATAGCCCTTCTCTGAAGGCCAAGAGCTGTCACGACTGTAAACTGGAAACATCACTTTGCCCACTGCGGATAGAGGGATCTGGGCTTTCGAGTGCGGACTCTGCCACAACATAATCTATATCTGCCTATTCGATGTTTCAAGTCTTGTTGGTGTGAGGGTGCATCGCTGCTATCCCGGCGATCCGCTGTCAACCTGTTTCAGTTGACAACCAGTGTTCACTGATAGCCGCCAAGGTTGACTGTCTTGTGATATGCTCACAAGCACCTCCGCTGGTGGTCACGCTGCTGGGAGTGGCCCTCAAGGCAGACGTAGAGTATAATCGCAGAGCAGGTAGTACGAGATGCTTCAATATATAGGAAAGAAGACGAGCTCTGCCTCTGAGTCGAGATGTCATTCAAGATGCAACTGTGAACATGAACAAGACGAAGGAGCATGAATGGGCGGCGACTGGCACTTCAGCCACAGGCGGCCATGGCTGGAGCTCGGGCCACCGACGGCATCTCCCGGGAACCTTAGCAGGAGAAAGTGGGACCGGGCCTGAAGCTGTTCAACCCGTTCTCGTTCGTCAGCCTTTCAGCCTGCTTGCCTTGCCTCGCCAAATCCGACCAGACGTCAACGTATTCCGCATCGCCACGAAACCAACAGCCGTCGTTACCTCCAATTTATCCCACGGAGCTGCCTGTGGATAAAAATCAGGAAGAGGCAGCTGCACGTGAAGTTACAGAGCCGCCAACGACGCAACCGGGAGCAACGTACCCAAGCAACAAGCTTGCCATCCCATCACCTCCATCACCTCTCACACCACCGCAACCTCCGAACCCACGCACACAACCGCCCAAGATGGCCGACCGCACACTACAGCAGATCCTCAACCAGCTGAAGTCGAATCCCAGCCTCCCCTACAGCGAAGCCTCTTCCCTCCTCTCCAAAGCCAAGATCGCCCTGCTGCAGCTCAAGGCCGTGACACCAACCCCCAACACATCATCCGCGCACCTCGCCGTGGCGCGGGACGTCTACGAGGCCGGCGCCCTCTTCAGCATCCGGGCGCGCGACCCGGCGGCCTTCACGCGCTACGTGTCGCAGCTGCAGCCCTTCTACGAGCTGGCGGCCTCGGCGCTGCCGCCGAACCACGCCGAGCGCAACAAGGTCACCGGCTTGTATTTGTTGTACCTGCTGACCGAGAGCGACTACGCCCAGTTCCACTCGGAGCTCGAGGCCCTGGGTACCCGCGATGTTGGTGGTGTTGAGACCGAGAACGACCGCTTCCTCGGGTACCCCATCAAGCTCGAGCGGTGGCTCATGGAGGGCAGCTATGACCGCGTGTGGAAGGCTATGAAGAGCCGCGAGGTGCCCAGCGAGGAGTACGGTGTCTTTACGGATGTGAGTTTACTACCGCATCTCTGTCATCCGCATACGCCATCCCCCATACTACCTCTCACTTACCAGCCTACCCACGCTATATTCGCAGGCAACAGCAGCATCATCCCCCAATCCCCCGCTCCCCAACCCCAACCCTCATCGTATCCCGATCCCAGACCAATCAACTAACCACCATCCTCCCCCCAAACAGATCCTAACCTCGCAAATCCGCTCCGAGATCGCCTCCAGCAGCGAGCGCGCCTACCCGTCGCTGCCGCTCTCCAGCACCAAGTCGCTGCTCTTCCTGGACTCCGAGGGCGCCGTGGTCGACTTCGCGCGCGAGCGCGGCTGGGTCATCCGCGACGGCCAGATCTACTTTCCCTCCACATCTGGTGCGCCCGGCGAGGACGGCGCCGAGACCGGGACCGAGCAGGAGTTTAGCCAGATGGTCATCCAGAATACGCTGGGCTATGCGCGGGAGCTGGAGACTATTGTTTAGGGGTTGCTGTGAGAAGAGTGAAGGCGGTGTGGTGACTGAGATAGGCGTAAGGCAGGGCCGCATGCCTAAACTGCAATCAAGCATGCGGACAGACTGTATCGCCTGGTTGTATGAATATGGAATCAAAAACCACCATTAGATGGAGCACGATGGCGTTAATGAACCAGAAGTTGCTATCCGCGTCAATATGCCGGGTGGCTTACATCAAATACCTCTCGTGGAAACCGGTTTCAAACTAGTAACATGTAGTAGTGAATCGTACGCCGCATTAATTCATCGATCGACCTTTTCTTTATTCCACTGGCCACAACTACATGTTCTGATCAAACCGGATATTGGGGGTCATCTCAGACAACGTCAAACTCCTATTTCAGGCTGTCTAATATAGTCTTCTGTGCCAGTCCGACCTTCCCGGCCCGAGAAGTAGCCACTAAGTCACTTCACCCAGTCGCCGTGTAGCCCTTCCTTGGTCAACAAGCGGTGATATGTTGGCACCCTCTATGCAAACAATTTCAGCCCACTGCCATGCTTACCGACCTCGCATACCTCACAAACGGTGCACACCATGCCCTTGTACTTTGTGTGGTACTTGGTTCCGTCCAAGGCGCACTCTTCGTAGGGAGTGCCGCTGTAGATGGGCGTATAGCTAGCGGCGCAGATATCGAACTCGGCAAATTGGTCGTACTCAATCTCCACAGCATCGTGGGGATTCCGCTCGCATTGTGTCTTGGTCCTCCGGGCCTATTCATAAATGTCAGTATCACCCAAACGGATATAGGGTGGGCTGGCTAGAAGGGGAACTCACATTCTCAAGGATTCTATTAGCTCCGCCGTTGGCCAGGATACGGTTGGCAAAGCTCGAAGCCGAGCTGTAGTTTTTGCTTCTTGCCGCCAAGTTCATTGCGTTCAGTAGTGCGAGCTGGCGGTGCGGCACCTCAATCTTGGGAATCGTGAAGTATGCTGACAGCTCAAGACTTCGTTTGAGCAGCTCCGGGTTGCCATTCACCGCTTCTGGTGTGCCGAGTCTTCTTCGGGCAAGCTCGATCGACATGGCCAAAGCATACTCGCCGGCCGAGGTGGCAAGTTTCTTCGCATCAGTCGCCTCGCTCTCACTGGATGCAGCATTGGCGATAATGGCGTGTAGGATACCCTTGAAAAGTCTGACGCCATCCTCGAGCTTGTTTGACCTCATCGTGTCGTAACCTTGTTGGAGGTCATTGGACGCGAGGTGCTCAAGGTCTCGAGGGATTATTGGGAGAACCTTTCTAGGATCCGTCTCATCCAAGGTTCGGCGGACGTAGTTGACAAGGGGCGGCAATCCAGCAGACGCGGGAAGATAGGTTTTCGTAGCCGAGTAAATCTCCAAGAATCGAGGCTTCAGCGGCGCGAAGTTGACAGCTCCCACTTGACGGTTCAGCAGGTTCATGGCTGATTCGAAAGACCCAGCGGCGATATGATCTGCCGCTATTGGCGAGTTGCGAGCCCACATGTCAGCCTCGCTGCTGCCAGCACCTCCCGCATCGGTACTTTCGACATTGACAAAGTCGCTGTCAGCTTCTGGAACGATGTCGTCACCCATGTCCCAGCCAGCTGCATCCTCGTCCTCATCCACGTCCATCGCGCCGTTGGCCTTAGCAGCGATGTCGTCGTCACCTGCATCATCGCGCCCGAGTCCATTAGTGGCTGCGGCTGGTGCGTCCTCTAGGCTCAGGCCTTCTAATTGACCCGAAAGAGCCTTCTCGAAGATGGACTGCGACGTCGCCTTGGTAGGCCAGTTTGCCTTGTAGGTGGGCACAACTGGCCTTGGCGGCGTGGCAGTCTGTCCAAACTTGGGTGTAGTCAGTTGATCTTCCGTGACACCCGTGACCTCCAGAATCGACTGGCATTCCTCCTCGAGACCGTGAGACTTGGCAGTCATATAAGCAAGGGGATCTGATTATCCGTTAGCGAGACACTTCCACCTCATAATCTTGGACACTCACATAGATCAGCCTCCTTGAACATCTGTATCCTATCCTCGACTTCGCCCAAGTAAAGAGCATTCTGGAATCTTGCTGTAAAGTCGCCTCGATGCTCGGCGATCTTGGCCATTCTGGCGAGTTTTGAGTGGTCGCCGGTCGAAAGATACAAGAACGACAGCTTATCAAACTGCTTGAGTTTCTGGTACGCCATCTCAACGACTTGGTGGTTTCCGTGCGCCAGGGCTTCGGTCCCCAGTCTGGTCCACAGCTTCGGTCGGTCCAATTCCTTGGCCATCTCCACGGCCACTTCCAGATTACCGCATTCTATTGCGAGCTCGAAGCGAGTTGTCGGGTCTTGCACGAACTGCAGGGCAATCTCGGGGTATCCCTTCTTCTGCAGATATGAAATGATGGACTGGCCGACTAGGCTCGAGTTACGTATGATGTGAAGCATTTCCTCGTAGTTTCTCTTCACCAAAGCAAGCTTGAAGCGGTACTCGGTGGGGTCAATGTGGAGGACCTTGGGTTTTGCGGCGCGATCAAGTGAGTATACATATCTGCCCTTGACTCTCACAAGGTATACTGTCTGGTCGAGTGTCCTGACGATACCATTGTCGCCATTCATCAGAGTATACTTGATGTGGTTGAGGGTAGAGTACAGCAGAACGCCGGCGTCGTCCCAGGTCGCGCTCTTGATCCGGATTGTCTCGTGCAACGTGCTGACTTGTTCAAGCGTCTTAGTCACAATAGTGACATTGTGTTTACTCAGGAGAGCCGCGTGAAGACCGTCATTAGACCAGATGACGTATTTGACACCATTGACAGTCAACTCGGCTATGCTCTTCTTCTGCTGGATATCATAGAGATAGACGGCGGTCGGGGTAATTATAAGCAAGTTGCCAGTGCCACCAAAGTAGATGTCGGTGGTCCCAATAGGGGGCTTGAATGATCTCGCAGTGTTGTTGGACAGATCCTTGATGTCAATAGTCTGGGTAGATGTGTTCAGAACAGCAAAGCGATTGCGGGCCACAAAAATCGCAGAGTTCCCCTGTCCGCGTTTCGAGTCCGTGGAATCCAATGCACCAGAGCCATCCCGAGGTAGATTGATAAGTTCGTAGGAGCCGCCCTCCGAGGGTGATGTGACAAGGACAGACCGCTCCGCTGGGTTGTATGACAAGGTCCGTGGAGGTACCCAGGCACTGCCCAGTCGCTTCAGAGACAATAATGTCGGGCTCTCGGCATTCTTCTGGAAATCGTATGAGCGAACGTGCTTCTCCTTCGTAATGAAGAACAGGTTGTTCTGGTGAACGGTAGATGCCGGGCGTTCTCGTTCCAACTTGAATACCATGACACCGTTGTCGTGTCCAGCAGCAAACAGGTTGATCTCGGGATGGGCAGCGATGACCCAGAATCGGTCGTTTTCCCGCTTGAATGACTGGACGGCCGTACGCTTCTGAGAGTCCCATACCCGAATTGTCTTGTCCTCACCACAAGACAGGATCAAGTCTTGGTGGGGGTGGAACAAGCAACCGGAAGCATTTTGGAAATGGCCGCGGCATGTGTCGACTTCCCAGGCTTTCGTTTCGCTGAATCGCCACAGCTTTACCAGTCGATCATCGCCAGCCGAGACAATATGGGGAGCGGTGGGGTGGAAGGACACCCAGTTAACGCCGCGGTCGTGGCCCTCTAGTACGAATTTGACCATAGCATCGGTATTACCGAACATGTCTGCCTGTTGCGCATTCGATCGAGCGACTTGGTCCTCGAAGGACATCGAGGTCGGGGCCGAGTGTTTCTTTCGTAGGCCCGAGATATCCCAGACTCGTACAGACTGGTCGAGAGAGGCGGATACTACCAGGTCGTCCTTGGGGTGGAACTGGGCGCACATTACGTAGTGGTTGTGGCCCGTCATGGTGCAAACTAGGTTCGCGTCAGTATCTGTTGCCCCTGGTTGTTCTATGTCAGTCTCTGAGCCGTACTTAGCGAGCGGTTCTGCCAATTCCATATCCGAATGGTCTGGTCGTCGGATGCGGATATGATCCACGGCAGCTCGTGGTGAAAGAAGACGGTTCGAACGTAATCGAGATGCCCGTTCAGGGTGAACAGACATCGCCTCGTCTGGTAGGACCAGACCTTGATCTTGTAATCATCACCACCGGAAACGAAGAGGGGTTGGGTCTTGTGGAAATCGATGCCCCGAACGGGACCGTCGTGCTCTTCGAACCGGTCTATCAGAGTTCCCATGCGGTAATCCCATAGTTGGATAGTCGAAGAGTGGAGGGAGACGAGAATCCATGGTCTGGTGATCTCGAGTCAGCACCGCCATGAGGACAGATAGTGGAGGAGTGGTGTCGTAGGGGGTAGCAACCTCTTTGGGTGGAAGGCAATGCCCTTCGCTCTCGAAGACTTGGACTCGAACTGTAGTGACGGCATCAGCGTTGGCTCCAACATCATGCGCGCAGCACTGGACGGGTCAATGGGTGTGCACCTTCGTCAACATTCCGGAGGCCTGCATCTTGGACAGCGGTGGGAGGCGCAGGAAGCCCCTAAGCTTGGGTCATGAATGAGGTGGGCGAATTGCAGGTTCACTGGACCTGGAATTGACGATAGGAGGTGCTATTAGATGACCGTAATAGGGAGTAAATGAGCGGCCGAGACAGGGACGTCGGCGACAGGTGCGCGGAGGGGAGGCTCTGGCAGGCTGGGATATCGACACTGCTGTTGCTGTCCTTTCCACATTTCAGACGAGGTCCCAAAAGTGACGGTGGGTTTTGGTGCCGTGCGCTCCTGCGCGCCCCTGCTCCTGCGGCTGGCGCTGTCCACTCCCGACTGCTGTGCTGGCCTGATCCATCCTGCCCCGGAGCGGAATAACCCCGGGCCATTGTTTCGATGCCACCCCCGGCCGTTTATGTAAGCCCCACTCCAGCTGGAGGGGTGAGCTAACGCGCCACTATTCCCCTATCTAGGCCTATTGAACCCCTGATAGCCCCCCATGACGCGCCCTGGAGCTTGAATACCCGCTTTCATTGGCCGAGCCCCGTCATTTGTCGATGTGTTCAATTGCTGCGACATGCAGCCATTCATCCATGACCTCGGGCTGGCACTTACACCAACTTTGACGGTTACGTAGACGAGCTTTCTGTATGTCACGACCAGGCAAAGAGGCCACTTTGTATTCTTCGCGGTCTTGATTTCCTCCTGTTAACCACCATTCTCTCATTAGTTTCTCACATTCATCTTGTGTCATATGCCAGGGGGAGTTTAGGTACCCAAGCTGGTATCTAGCTTGGAGCTTTGTGACAGAGCTCTTGGTCGTCTGCCCCTCCAGTGCGATCCGTGCTCGATTTGGAAGAAAGACGCGACGACAGCCTCAACTTCGACAATTGGAGTCATATACCTTCTCTGCAATCATGAATCGTTTCCTCAAGTTGCCGTGTGGCTTAGCTGCCTCTCTGCTCGCCACTGCCTGGCTCAACCCTGGCCATGTCGTCGCAGGACCTTCAGTCAATGTGGCTATGAAGGCAGCCTTCCCAGCTCCGCCCTACCTTGTCGAGCTTCTGTGAGCCTGCACGAATTTATCATGCCTTACCTCCAAGCTAATTCGGTCCAGAGAGACGGCTGCCGGAGAGAATGCGACCTCCTACTTCCCTTTGCTCGATCGGATCGCCGACGGCTCTTTTGCGAAGGCCACGACCGATAAGGCCCTGTTCGACCGCTTCCTCGAGGTTCTGCAGGAGGATGGCTATATGGATAGCCCCGAGGCACTGTCGACTTTCAAGCTGGCTCTCTCCTTGAGGACTGCTGCTCCGAGGATAGAGGCCCATTACCAATATTACGACACAGCTGTGGTACCCGCCCTGGAGGAGGCCAAGGAGAACTGCGAAGAATGGATATTGTTCGGCTATAAGCAATACTGCTCGCCGGCCATGGTGCTGCCTGACGCTGATGGTGATGTTTCGGGGGACTTGTAAGTATTGCACAGTACGTCTCGAAAGACCTCCACTTACACAATTGCAGACAGCTCCGATGGCTGCCATTCGACCGCGCCCTAGGCAGTGGACCGGACGCCGTTCTATATGCCGACATCACCAAACCTTCGTTTGGGTCTTTCCATAAGGCACTGGTAGACAGGGCTCGCAAAGGGGAAGTCTCTTACCGACTGCGACATCGTGCCAACCAGAGAGGCGAGCTCGAACCACTACCGGTTAGTGGGTATGGCGTGGAGCTCCAGCTCAAGCGGACAGATTACATCGTGATTGATGATCGTGAAGCCGAAGAAGCTGGGGCTAGTGAGGCCCATAAGTCATTGCCAGTCGAAGTGGTTCTTGATGAGGAAGAGGAGGTCTCTGATCTGAAACCCCTTTCCAGTTCCGAGCTGGCCTCATTAGGACTCAAAGCTGGTTCCTTCATCATGCAGAGCGAAGACCCTTTGCAGACCTTGATCAAGTTAACCCAAGACTTTCCCAAGTTCTCGACATCCATTGCTGCCCACAATGCGTCGGATGCTTTCATAGCCGAACACCACCAGAATCGAGCTCAAAGTGTTCCTGCTGGCATGAACCTTCTGTGGATGAACGGAGTGCAGTTGATAGAGCGCCAAGTTGACCCTTTCACGCTCATTGACAGCATTCGCCGTGAGAGAAAGCTCATCAAGGGCGTGACAGAACTCGGTCTCACTGGAAAGGAGGCTGTTTCCTTGCTTGGTAACCACGAGGTGACCATGGCCAAGCCCGATGATGACCCTCGGCGATTCGACTGGAGGGACGAAATTGAGGAAGGCCGGGTCATTATCTGGCTTAACAACATCGAGAAAGATAAGCGATATGCTGAGTATCCCACAAGTCTCATGGCGGTAAGCACACATTTGTTCGTCCACACTTCGCCTTTGCTAACCTGCCGCTTAGCTTATGCAAAGGACGTACCCTGGCCAGATTCCCCCCGTTCGGAAAGACCTGTTTAACTTGATTCTGCCCGTCGACTTCGCCAGCCCCGAAGACTTGAATGTGGTAGTTGGCCAGCTCCAGGGTTTCATCAAGAGGCTTCTCCCTATCCGGTTTGGCCTAGTGCCGTTGACTCGTACAAAAGAGGCAGACAATCGGGCAAAAGTAGTATACCACCTGCTTGAAAATTATGGTCTCGCTAGCCTCATGTCTTATCTGGAATCTTGCAGTACGGGTAAGCCGTCGACCCAGTTCGACGCGGCCAACTTCGATAAAGCCATCAAGGATCGCACTGCAAGGGCGGAAGCGACACCTCTTCCTTTCAAGGAGATACTTGAATCGGAGCACCACGAGAAAGAGCTTGAGCTTTCGAAGCATTGGATAGAAAGGCTCAACGCGGACACCGAGGTCCCGCCCGTATTCTTCAACGGACTTGCTATTCCACGGGAGAAGGCTTGGCTCCAGAGGATGAGCATGAAACTCACAAGTGATCTCCAGATGGTTCAACAGGGAATATACATGGGCAAAGTCGATGAAGATATGTGGATTCCGGATTTGTTCTTGGAGAATGCGCCGGCCCGGCGCAACCTATACATATTCCCGGATTCCGACAATTCTCTGACAGTTCTTGATGTCAACAAGCTCCACACCGAACATGACGACCTCTTTACTCACATCCCTGTCATTGAAGCGAGTGAAGACACAAGCAGGGAAAGCTGGGCAGCCTTAACAGTTATCGCAGACTTAAGCAGTACTGCAGGTCTCAACCTTCTACTGTCTGCCCTGTCATTCCGTCGCAATAACCCCGGGATCCGCCTGGATATCGTCAATAACCCTGGATCAACTGGAAATTCGCATGAGGTCAATACACTTCTCATGAAAGACATCAGCAAGCTGCCCGAGATCGAAAACATGGAGGCACTGGAGGTTCTTCTGTCTGGTGACATTGTGGTACAAGACAATGGCTACGACAGTGCTCTGTCACGTTTTCTTACCACAGCCGGGGTTACACCAGGTGATCAACTGCTCATTCTCAATGGTCGAGTTATTGGCCCAATCACTGCTAAGGCGCCATTCAAAGAGGATGACTTCCAGCAGCTTCTCGAATTCGAACAGTCGACTCGAATATTGCCTGTATATAAAGCAGCTGAAACGTTGGGATTGACGGAGAAGATATACAGTCCATTGGCTGCTGCAAAACTTACATCGATCACAGCTCTATCGACCATTTCGGATCTGCCGGAGGGCATTTTCGAGTCTGCTCCAACCTTGCGAACAGCCATGTTCGATAGCTGGAATTCGACGTATACAGCGATTGATGTTGGCGATGCGACGAATGCAAACATCCATTTCGTCGCTGTACTCAATCCCACTAGTGAGGTAGGGCAGAAATGGGCGCCTATGTTGAAGGTTCTGTCTGAGCTACATGGCGTCCATTTGCGTATCTTCTTGAACCCAAGAGAGAAGCTGGAAGAGCTGCCGGTGAAACGTTTTTACCGCTATGTCCTCCGCTCAGAGCCATCGTTTGAGGAAAGCGGAAAAGTTGAGTCTCAAGGCGCAACTTTCAAGGGCTTACCTTCGGAGGCCCTTCTCAACTTAGGCATGGATATGCCGCCGGCTTGGCTCGCCGCAGCTAAGGACTCAGTTCAAGATCTCGACAACTTGAAGTTGAGCTCCATCAAGACAGATGTCGATGCTGTCTATGAACTTGAGCACATTCTCATTGAAGGTCACTCGAGAGAGACGTCAGGGAATCCGCCTCGAGGTGTTCAGTTATTACTTGATACGGAGCTTGACCCGCGTTTCGATGACACCATCATCATGGCAAACATTGGCTATTTCCAGTTCAAAGCCAACCCCGGCTACTACAACATCCAGCTGAAGGAAGGAAGAAGCTCGGAGATATTCGATATCGTCAGTGTTGGCGGCAAAGGCTACGAGGCGGTGCCAGGTGACGAGGGTACTGATACTGCGCTGATGGATTTCCAAGGCACAACGTTGTATCCACGGTTACAGCGGAAGCCGGGTATGGAGCAAGAGGATGTCCTTGAGGATAATAGCTCTGCCGGGGGCGGAGATCTCCTTTCCCGGGGCTTGAAATTTGCGGAAGGAATCTTGGGCGGATCGAAGTCCAAGTCCAAGTCCAAGTCCACGACAGTATCAACCGAGGTTAACGCTGAGATCAACATCTTCTCTGTCGCCAGTGGTCATCTATACGAACGCATGCTCAACATCATGATGGTTTCGGTCATGAAGAACACCAACCACACGGTCAAGTTCTGGTTCATCGAGCAGTTCCTGTCCCCGTCCTTCAAGGGATTCATACCACATCTCGCCGAAGAGTATGGCTTCAAATACGAGATGGTGACATACAAATGGCCACACTGGCTTCGCCAGCAGAAGGAGAAGCAGCGAGAAATCTGGGGATACAAGATTCTGTTCTTGGATGTCCTGTTCCCACTCTCTCTTGACAAGGTCATCTTCGTGGATGCAGACCAGATTGTGAGGACCGACATGATGGACCTGGTCAACCACGATCTTGACGGTGCACCGTACGGCTTCACGCCCATGTGCGACTCGCGCACCGAGATGGAGGGATTCCGGTTCTGGAAGCAGGGCTACTGGAAGAACTACCTCCGTGGTGAGCCGTACCACATATCGGCGCTGTATGTTGTGGACCTTCGTCGTTTCAGACAGCTCGCGGCAGGTGACCGGCTTCGACAGCAATACCACCAGCTATCTGCCGATCCAGCTTCGCTCTCCAACCTCGACCAGGACTTGCCGAACCACATGCAATTCACGATCCCGATCCACAGCCTACCGCAAGAGTGGTTGTGGTGTGAGACGTGGTGCAGTGACGAGAGCCAGAAGGAAGCACGGACGATCGATCTATGTAATAACCCGCAGACCAAGGAGCCCAAGCTGGATCGGGCGAGGAGACAAGTGCCGGAGTGGACAGTGTACGATGATGAGATCGCAGCCGTTGAGCGCAGGGTGAAGGGATTGCCAGCTGAGGGCAAGAAGGTGGGCGGTGACGAGGACCAAAAAGTGCTCAATAGGGACGGGAAGAATCCCAAGGGTAGACGGTTTGAGGAGGAACTAAAGACCAGAACTAAAGATGAGCTATAGCCTATAGATGTTTTGTGGTGATATATAGATGGAAGGTAGATCATTTGCTGTTACACTGCTACTTGTTCGTGATGTATAAGTGGACGATTGTGCCCTTCTTCGGCATTTCTTCAAAGGAACGCATCGAAAACATTACCACCACAAAAGCCACCACGAAATATTGATGGGAAGTGTATACTGATGTTGTCTAACGTCTCCTTGGTGAATCTGGTCAGGAATCTGTCCTTGTCCTAATCCTTTAGCAATCGAGACCTACCTGTTACCTTAAACCTTTGGATCACCCGGAGTAGGCTAACCCGGAGGCACTTAAAGTTGGTATGAACGACCTCGACCGGCCTGCCCGGCTTGGCACCGACACGGGTAATAAATGGGGGCCCATATCGTACAAACCAATCAAGAACTGCTGGACAGTTGCAGTGACCTCACTCACCTACCATCCCCCATCTGCCAACTTCGACTCCCAGCCATACAGCCATACATGTCATCGTCCGCACCACCACCCCGTGCAGTACCCCTGAGCAACGGATCGAACATGTGCATACCGCAGCACACATAGCCACAGCACCTCCATCAGCCGTGCCACGCAAATCCCCACTTCATAACATTGAACCCACCGGCACACAGTCACCAAGACACACACCCACGCACCATGGAGCTAGGCCTCTCCGTCCTCCCGCCCGCCATCACACACACCCACACCATAGTATTCCTGCACAGCCGCGGCAGCACCGCCGCCGACGCCTCCGAACAGCTCTTCTGGCCGCGCGACTCGCTACGGCGGTCCCTCAAGACCGTCTTCCCGTCGGTAAGATGGGTGTTTCCCCAGGCGGAGCTGCGGCCCTGCGAGGCCGACGAGGGGCAGGACTGGTCGCAGTGGTTCGATGTTTGGAATCCTCTTGATCTGGCCGAGAGGGAGGAGGTGCAGGCGCTGGGGCTGCAGGAGAGCGTGGAGAGTTTGAGGAGGTTGGTGGTGAGGGAGGCGAGGTTGTTGGGTGAGGGCGATGGTGGAGGTGGAGGTGGGCTGGAGAGGGTGGTTTTGGCTGGGGTTAGTCAGGGCGGGGCGGCGGCTGTGCATGCGTTGCTGAATATGGTCGTGCCTACGCCTCCGCCTCCACCACTGGATGGTGGTGGTGGTGGTGGGCTGGTTGCTTGGGACAGGGCAGACTATTTCGACGAGCGGCACACACCGCCAACGAAACTATGTGCGCTGGTGGCCTTCTCGTCCGCGATGCCGTTTCCCGGCGGCACACTAGAGGAGACGCGCGAGGTGCTTGCGCTGGACGGCACGCCGATCGACGACGTGGTGTGGAACACGCCCGCGTTCCTCGCGCACTGCGCCGACGACCCCCTGGTGTTCATCGAGTACGGCAAGGTGCTCCGGAACTCGCTCCGCGACTTTGGCATGAATGTCACGTGGAGGGAATATGAGGAGGGGGGCCATCAGATCAACTCGCCGCAGGGCGTGGATGATTTCGTCGATTTCCTCATTGCTCAGGGGGTGCCGGGGAAGAGCCCTCGGAGGCGGAGGGGGTCTTCGGGCAGTCGTAGTGTCAGCCCGGATTAATTGACTGATACGTTAATGTGTTGTGTTCCTCTCTCGGGCTTCGTTGGCCTCTTCTCACCGGGCAAGGCCTCGGTGTATACGCGCAGGAAACTTTCACTCGTGGAACAAGATCAGGTCCTTTGCAGAGTTGTCACCATATTGAACGGACAGGAATAGCCCTCAGGTGTGCACTCAACTATCTTCAGCGTCTAAAGCCCTATCAACCCTCGCGCTTCAACTTTTCTGAGTCGAAACATTCTGCACCATGATCGGTTCCTCGCTAAGCAGCGTGCGGTCTTTGATGTACGCCGGAACGGGATCATCATCCAGGAAGAAGTCCTCCATCGCCACCATGCTCTCCCAACTCTTGCTCTCATGCGCATGCTCACCATCCGGATAGAGCTTCGGAGGAAACAACCTGCAAGTCACATAATACGCGACAGTGCTGGTGGTCAGCGAGAGCACGAGGCCACAGTTGTACACGTGGATGGCGGTCTGGCTGATGGACCTGGACTTAATGCCGGAAGTGACGACTACGACGACACCAGTGGCCACGCGGCGTAGGCGCGGAAGTTGACGCCCTTGGTGTAGTAGTATGGCGAGCTGGGTTCGGGCCGGTACCGCGACGGGATGTGGAAGTTCCCGCGGCGGACGATCCGGTAGTCGACCATCATGGCGGTGACGATGGGCGACACGAAGCATAGGTACGAGCCGAGGAAGGTGACGAAGTTCTTGGTCGAGATGACCAGCAGCCAGGGCACCAGCTATGTGACAGTCGGCTGGGTATGTATCGACCTAGAGCTATACAATATGTGTATAAAATGTTCACGTCATTCCGAGTGGACGGGTCTATGGTCATGACTTTACGGTGCTGATGCTTGGCAACTACAGTATTCTGAGCAGGGACAAGCATGTCCCGAGTGAGCAACACACATGGTCAATGTCGAGTCGTTGATTGAGAAGTTGCTGAATTGAGACTCGGCTTTTCGAGTTCAGAGCTCGTGTGCAAGCTTACGCGAAAGCAACTATTTGCTGTGGTAACGACGATGCGGTTACTCCGTTCTGACCTGAGGTTAATGGTCTCTATAAAGTCAAATAGCAGTCCGCCCACTGAAAGTACCTATCATAAATCAAACATCTTCCCCCATCCCTTTATCCTTCCCGTCTCGAGCCCCTTCAACCTCAGCATATCCCAGACGACCGTCGACACCGTATCCAAGACCGGCACCCCATACATACTCTCCCACGCCCACGCCCTCTGCGCCGCTTTCAAATTGGTGCAAAACGTCGATATCGCTTGCACCTCGCCCCTCCCCTTCTCCATGACCTCCTTCACCTGCCCATCCAGCGTCTCCTCGCTGATTTCCGCAATAGTCACATTGTCCGAGACGCGCAGGTGGCTCTCAGCCACGACCTCGTACCCAGCCCCAGCATAAACCTCGACGATGCGCGCCTGCACATCATCCACATACGGCGTGACGAGCGCGAACTTCTTAACACCTAGCAGGTCGAGCGCGCGGTTCAGCGCAAGCGTCGACGTCGTGGCGGGCACACCAAACGCGTCCGTGATAGTGCCGCAGAGCCGCTCGTCCGCGTCAAATCCCAGCCAGCCGCCCGACGTTCCCGACCAGCCGATCACGTCGACCCTGGCATCCGCCAGCAGACGCGCCGCCGCCAGGATCGGGCCCTGAGTGTCGAACTGCGAGAGCGCCGAGGCTTCCAGCGAGATCTTGGTGACGAAGAAGCGCGAGAAGTGCACTGTGACTTCGGGCGCGAGGGGGGATAGGATTGCGGTGGTCAGGGGCTCCAGGGCCGTGTTGGACGAGGGCACGAGGATGCCCAGTCTCAGGGGCATTGTGTTTGGTGTTGGGCCCTCTTGGGCTGTTGGACGCCTCTGGCTGGGACGAACCTTTGCTATACGATAACGTGGTCGATTGGTACGGAATGAGACGTAGTTAGAATAGGCCTCGATCGATTCCAGGCCTTTGATGATGATGTTCGGAGCTTCCGTCGCTCAGTGTCGATATCATGGCTCTGGAGCTTCCCCGCAAAGGCAGATAGCCAATCCGATCATATCTCCGTCTCTAATACCTGCCGGCCCCTTACGGCTTCACGGGCTTGGCCGATCGCAGGGAGCAATGAAAATATAAAGTGATTTTTGTATTCAACTTGCCAGACCATTGTTCATAATCTTGCGCGACCTATATTACCCCTGTCAGCGTCAGTGTATCAGAGGGCATCATGGTATACAGTTGGCGTCCAAGGCACTCTTGGTGGTGGCGCTCGGCCTCCTGGAAGCAACTGAAAACACCTTGTAATAGGTAGTGACTATCCCCCTAAAGCCCTGAAGAGTATTACTTGGTGTCATAGGTCTCGGCACGGCTGACTGTTATCGGCTGACGTCCCGACCGGTTATCTACTATACAAAAACGCCGACAATTTGCAAGTTTAAACCTTTAAAAATAGCTAAAATAACTACTAATTATATGGGCTAAAAGATTTTTAAAAGTCTGAGTCGCAAGTTTTAGCAATGCCGCGACCGATAAAAGTCGATATAAACCTTTAACTTTTTGACTTGGTTAAAAAATTTGAATGAAATTATTTATATTTAATCGGATAAAAATCGTATATATAAAGGCTAATATATTAAAAACCCCAGATAAAATACTTAAGCACTTACAGTCTTTAAAAAGCTTAAAAATAGTAATATGAATAGTTTTATTTAAGTAAATAAAGTAATTGTGACGTTCCATATATGTGAATAGGACATAGAAGCCCTTGTTTACTATGTACGTGTGAGAATTGAGATGCCTGTCAGGTGTGGGCTGCAGCTGGCAGCAGGTGAAAGGGCTGAAAGAGGGTAAAAGGATCCATTGTGGTGACCATTCGGGCGCTGCCTGGCAGAGCCGTTGTATGATGACAAGTAGCCGGGCTTCAAAGGGTTCCCACAGCTGTATTTAAGTGGGAATCTCTCCTATGGAACCATAGCTAAGACATAGACCAACAAGCATCCTATCTGAATCCCAGACTTCCATAGTACGTATAACTGTGACGGCCTGCACGGACCTTCCCACATGACAAGCCAATACTTCTCAATAAGGGAAGGATCTGACCAGAGGATCCCCTTAAAGGGGCAACCTCCCGCTGTACCTATCTCTTTCTCTCTTCCTTTCCTCTCTAGTCTTGATATTCTCATTAATAGAGTAATAGCTGCTTGCTGCAGGCCATGTCCCAGCTCCAAAGTATGCTCGCCATGACAGTCTTAAACGAAGATCTAGACGCGTATCGCGCGTGATTTTGCCAAGTTGCAGCGGCAATCGCGAAACATGGTATCCAAGACGCGGACATTTACAACTTTGATGAGACTGGGTTTATGATGGGCATTATTGTGTCTGGCATAGTCATCACAAGCACCAAAAGAAGTGGCAGACCTAGACAAGCTCAGTAAGGCAACAAAAAATAGTCTACAGCAATCTCTGCTATCAATGCTGATGATTGGGTGGTCCCGCCATTCAGCATTTTACAGGGCAAAACCCACCTCATTCCATGGTATTACGACACAACATTACTGCGCAATTAAAAGATGGCCGTGTCTGACAACGGATGGACTACAAATGAGCTTGGTTTGAAATAGATTCAGTATTTCGACAAGTATACCAGACTGCGTATGACTGCCGGTAAACTCCTCCTCATCCTAGATGGTCACGAAAGCCATCATTCCCAGGTCTTTGAGAATTATTACCAGAACAATGGCATTATCACCCTTTGTATGCCTGCCCACTCGTCACACAGGCTCCAGCCTCTAGATGTCGGCTGTTTTAGCCCGCTCAAACGAGCTTACGGTCGCATGATTGAGGATCTCATCCGGCGTCATATAACCCACGTTTTGAAGGAGGACTTTCTTGCAGCGTTTTGTGAAGCACACAACGCTGCTATGACGCCAGGAAACATTCGAGCAGGTTTCAGTGCCACTGGGCTTGTTCCTTTTGACCCAGAAAGTGTCATTTCAAAGCTGGATGCTGTCGCTGTCATACAAATACCGTCGCCAGACCCCAATCTGCCACCCACTACTTGGACTTTAAAGACGCCTACCACCATTAACGAAGCGGTAAACCAATCGGTTTATATCCAAAACCGAGTCAGAAACCACCAGGGAAGCTCACCTATATCAATAGTTGATGCGTTGAGCTCGTTTTCGAAGGCTATATACGGTCTTATGCATAAGGTCGCTTTGGTTGATTCCCGGGTCCGCGAACTAGAAGAGGCCAATCACTTACTAAGTAAACGCCGGAGAACAAAAAACAAACGTCTAGTGAAAGGAGGAGTACTTTCTGTTGAAGATGCAGTAGATCTCCAGGCTGCAAAAGATGGTGCTTAGCTGGCAAAACAGGAAATGGATGAAGGTAGTCGTCGTCCGAGGCGGGCGGCAGCGCGTGGGCGACGGTGTGGCGTTTGCGGCAATACTGGCCATAATGCGCGAACTTGTACAATAGAGATAGAAACCTCTGAGGAAGAGGAATCCGATTGATTGAATTGAACTGAATGCGTTGTGATGAAGTTATTTGACATGGCAGTTGGAGAGTTCATAACGAGTGCCAACTCGCTTGTAATGTCAACTCGCTTGTCAGCTACGTTATATTATATTAAAATAAATACAGAAATATGTTGATTATAAAAAACAGTTTCACCGACAATGCGAACAAAAAGAGTAATTGATTAAAACTATATTCGATTCAACTTAGTATATTAAAAGTAGGTTTTATTATAAAATTAAATAGTGTCACAATTCAAGGTCCAATATTAGGGTGAATTGCTTGTGTAATCGTCTATCGGATCTGGGGACCAATCCTAATACTAAATACATACTAAAGCACAAAAATTCGCCCATCCATTGATTTGGCAATCAATGGAGCCTTGTCTTTCGCTCTGAAAGCCACCACTCCTGGTGTCTCCACCCCTTTCATCCTTTGACCACCTATTCTGGCCAGATACAGCTGCCTGAACAGCTGCTAATACACCTGTACGGCACCCTGTATCCCACAAATAGCTTTATTTATAAAAACTTTTTTCAAAACTTTAGATTAACGTTAAAAGTTATAACGTTAAGATTATTTTATTTTATTAATAATACACCAATAGATTAAACCCGCTTTTCTTAAAAATGGCGTTATTGTCATAATTCCGTAAATGTATTAGAAGGATACAGGGACCCTTATTGACTATTAACGTATAACAAACTCTGGTTGAAGGAAAAGACAGATCTGGAGATGCACACAAATTGGTGGGCAGCAAGATGTGTGCAGTCGTCCCCCACCAGACCCACCAGTGCATGGATCAACCTATCGTCCGATCAGTCACGTGCTCAGTTATATGACAAGGGGACTATAGGGACCATCGCAAGACCTGATGAATAGTGGAACCATCACAGTTATTATAATTTGTATAATTATAACCTAGAATTTTTTTTTTTTGTAATTATAATAAAGTAATATAAAGTTACGCGCTTAAAGCGTATAAGAGGCGTTAATTGGAAATAAAAATCTTAGTTTTTATTTATTCAAAACGTATAAAAAACTATTAAGTAACTATATTAAACAAAAAAAACAGGTATAAACCGTTACATTCTAATTTTTGAACTACAAACTTATTCAAAAAACTAATTTATGAGTAAAATTTATTGGCAAAGAATTAAAAAGATTCGAACCTTTAATTTTAAACCCTACTTTACGCTTTTTTAAGCTATAATTTACCGATAAAACGCGTTTTTTTAATAAACTGGATATTTAATATTAATATTACTAATCTATTACGGTTTAAATCAACACTATTAAAGGCTTTTATTATTTTATTATATGCAATGTGTTAGAATTGTCATTTAATAATATATCAAGTAAAACCGAATAAGTTATAAAGGTAAAAATAAAATATTTAATATTTTTTCTGCTACATAATTTAATTATTATCAGTATTATTAGAAAACGGGTACTTATTAAAAAACAAATAATAATGTTATATAATCGCGTTATAACAGATTATAACTTTAATTTAACGTGTTCAGTGTTATAAGTTGTTTAATTGAGTTGTAATCAAGATTTAAAAAACGGGATATATTAAAACAGTTTTAAAACGGCTAGTTATAATAAAAATTACACTTAAATATTTCTATATAAACTTTTAAAAGTACTTCTCTTATCCTATTTGACTTTCATAGCTATTTAACTTCTATCTAACATTTAATAAAACGTAAATATATGTTAATATAACGACATTTGATTTATTTAATAACTATAATGCGGTAATAACGTATTAGTTAGATTATCTTTTACCTTCAAAAAATTAAAATATAAGCGGGTTTTTTTAAAAATATTTTTAAAAGTAAAATAAATAATAATCATTATGTCAGATGTTGGATCCCAGATATAGTGCTCTTAGGTGCAATACATGCTAGGGGGCTGCCAGGGGACCAGCGGATCCACCCTGGCATAATGCAGTATAGTATTTAGCTGTAGATTAGCCCTGCCGAGCATACTTGAGAATGACAACAACGTTTGCAGCGACCGCTCACACCCCCAAGGCTTCTGACTCTTCCAGAATCTCACATGGTAGAATCTCGTTCAGTTTACTGTTGAGTTGTTGCTGCAATCATACAAATCTATTGTTCCTCTGACTGACGAATCAACAATACAATGGATCCCAACACACCGACTGCTACAGAGCAGGGCAAGCCTAGCGGCTAAGGAGGCCAGCGTATCGTCACACCTCGCACGCAGTTGCAAGCACATAAGAAGGTGGTTGAAGCGGAAGATCGTAATGACGATCGTCAGCACACCGCTGCTGTTGAGCAAGACAAGGCTT